AGAGAGAGATTAAATATAATACTAATCTATAACCTATTATAGATATATAGTAATTAAAGTTTATACTAATTTATATTTAAAGTAATAGTAAAGCTACTATCTTACTTATTAAAAACTCTATCTTTTATAAATAGACTAAGTATATTAATATTAGATATTATTAACTTTATAATGATACTTATACTATATTTAATTTATTTATACTCTAGGTAAACCACTAGTTATTAATAGCCTTTTAAAGGCCCTTAATAAGAGGATGTTTAATAGCTTTATTATAAGATTAGGCCTTAACCTAGAAAAAAAAAGAAGGTAATATAAATAATACTATTAAACTAATAAATAAAAATACTAATATTACTATTACTAGTATATAAGACTAGTTCCTACCTTCTATACCTAATATATTAGCTATTATAATAATTTAATACTCTAACCCTATAGTTATTACCTAAGGGATATATTAAAGATAGACCTCTCTACTATACTATATTAAAGCCTTACTATAAAGAGGCTATCTAATAGAATAATTATTTATTTATCTTAGGTAGTAATTATAGGGGCTATATAAATAAATAGTTATCCTAATTAATATTATAGCTGATAACTTACTTCATTTATAGAGAGAAAGAGTTACTTAGGAGTAGTATAAATAACCTTATATATTTAAAGTGATAATATTGGTGTAGTCCGATAATTAAGCATATTAAAGAATTCCAGCCTTTCTCATTATTAAGAGCTATATATATATATTAAAATAGCTATAAGAAGTATGGCTTTATAATAAAAAAGACTTAACGAAACTTGAAGGATATAATAAACTGTTTTATTTAAAAAAAAAAAACTAAAAAATACTTAAAAGCCATAAAAAAAATATCATTTAAATATCTAGGCTATAAGACATTAGTAATTATACATTTATAAAAATATATATATAGTATTATATACTAGTTAAGGATAATACCTAAGTTCTTTATTAGTAATACATTTATTAATATAAGTTTTAAGGAGCTAAAGAAAGTAAATAAAGGGGTTAAACTTTATAAATTTTTATTACCTAAAGATAATAGGGCTATAGTTATAGACTTGGCTATAAATTAGATGATAATATCAATATTAATAATAATAATATAATAATAGGCTTAAAGATAATAATATATATTATAGAATATTATTACTTTTATTAAAGAAGGGTATATTATATATAATACTTAGTCTTCCTTAGCTTTAATAATAATAAATACTATTATATAAGTAATTCCTAAGAGGTCTTAAGGAATCTATTATAGTTAGCCTTAATCTTAATTAATATTATTAAATACTTACTAACTAATACTTATAGTATATATTAATATAATAATAATAATAACTATACTTTAAGGACTAATATGGCCTACTCTATACTTAATAAAGAGATATAAAGTAGGCTATATTAATATTATTAGCTAAGCCTAGATAAGAGTATAAGAAGGGTATAGTATTAAAAGGTATATTATTATAATAACTATTAATAAAATTATATAGGTAGATTTATTATAGTATAAGTAAGATATTAAGGCTTTATATTAATTATTAAAGTATAATAATAACCCTTTAAAAAAAATTAAAAAATAATATATTTTTAATCTAAAGATAAAAGGAATGTAGTAAATAAGGCTAAGATATATAATTCTAAGTATTAAAAGGGATTAATAAAGGTATATTATAGGTAAAATAATATTATATTATATTATAAACTAGATAAAGAAGTAATAATAATAAAATAAAATACTATTATAATATAACTAAAACTTATAAGAAAGAGTTATAAAAAATAGAGTATATAAAAGAAGCTAAAATAAAGCTAAATTCTAATTTTTAATAAGGAAAAAGATAATTTAAAAGTAGATTAATAAATTAATATTAAGTAATATTAATACTATTATTTATAATAGCTAGACTATAATATTATAAAATAATATTATACGGGGTTAAAAATAATTATAAATTATAAAATAAAGGTAAATCTAATGAATAAAATTAATTCTAAACTAAAAATAAAGGTATACTTACCTAAAAAGATAATAATAACATAATAAGACACTGAGCTATACAGGATACTAAGCTGCATAGTAGGCAGTAGCTAACTCTATACCTATAATTCTAATAAAATATAGTCTTATTTTAAAGCTTTTTATACCTATATAAATGTAATATATTAAGAAATAAAAGAATAACTATTTAATAGGGTATTTTAACTAGTTATAACCTTCTTAGTTATAATTACTATAGTATATAGCATGCTATAGCTTTAGTCCTAATAATAGACCTAGTTCTACTTCTCTCTCTCTCTTTACTATTTTTTAAGCTACTTAAAGGCTAGTTAAACTTCCTTTATCTTAAATATAGTTATTATAAGGCTTCTTACTTCTTTTTTTAATATATTTTTAAAGCCTAAAGCTAATAGAGTTCTTATTAAAGTAGGACTATACTTTATATTATAATTACTACCCCCTTTATAACCTTTTTAAGTATTATTTCTATTATAATAAAGGATAGAGACTAGGCTTAAAGCTCTTTAAGTTACTTTTTTCTATTAATTTAATTAATATAGATTAATAGGGGTATAGCTAAGATAAAAGGATTAATTACTTTTAGCTATTAAAAGTAAAATAAATATATTTTACTTAATTTAAAGCTTTAAAAGTACTCTCTTTATTTTTAAAGAAATAAGACTAATTACTATAAATCCTAAAGCTATATTTAATATTAAGAATATCTAGTAGTATACTTTTCTATATATTTCTAGAAAATTACTTTTATTAATATAGTTTATCTTATATTAAATAGCTTCCTAAATCTATTAGCTATATAGCTTCTTTAATAGCCTAAAATAGGCTATATCTAATAGCTAAAAAAGATAAGAAGAATAAGGGAATATATATAAAGGAATAATCCTCCTTTTTATATAATATTAATTAAATTTAATAGTAGTATAACTACTATAGCTATTAAGGATTAAAAGGTAATACTAGCTTATAATTTTTAAAGCTATATATAGTTTATCTTCTTTAAGCTATTTTAAATTAATATTATTATTTATCTACTTATTCTTACTAATATTAATAGTCTAATCCTTTAGGATCTCTTTATATTAATAAGATTAATATTTAAACCCTATAATAATAAAATATAGAGGTAAAATAGTATCTATAATATTTATTATAATAATTACTATTATCTACTCCTAATTATTAGACTATAATTACTTTATTTAGGATCTTTATATCTCTAATCTATAGATAACCTTAGCTATAGAGGTAATAATTATTTAAAACCTTATCTTATCTATATTATAGATATTTTATTTATAATAGGATACTATAAGTTTTTACCCCCTTTCTTAATTACCTACCTCTATTACTTATCTAATTAAATAATTATTTTATATATATACTACTCTATATATAATATAGATAGAATATATAGTAAGAATACTAAAAATACCTTAAATAGGCTTTATAATATATAGGCTATTCTATAGATAACTTCTTATATATTTAATAGTCTAATAAGTACTCTATTAAGTATAGTACTAATATATATCTAATATAGACCTTTAACTTACCTAAACTATAATTATAAAAGGGTAATATTAAGATAGTTAATTATAAGAAAGAGATAAAGTAGATATTTTAAGCTACTTTTAGAGATAAGATTTATATAAGTCTAGTTCCTCTAGATAATAATTTATTAGCTTTAAAGGGTAGTATATCTAAGTCTATTATATATAAGCTTTATTATACTTTTCTTCTAGATTACCTTTAATTTAGTAATATTTTTATATATATAATAGTACTAGTATCTATTAAGCTAATATAATTAAAGTACTTCTTTAAGACTTAAATATTAAAGTTATAATTTAGCTACTATATTTATTAGATTTAAACCTAATTAAGAATCTATAGATTATTATAAAGTAGGAGATTTATAAACTTACTCTAGACTTAAAGATAGTACTAAATATAGAAGAAATATACCTATAATTAGTTAAAGTAGCTAAGGAAGCCTAGTAGATAGTTTAATTATTTATTTTAAGAAGGTTAGTAAAGATAATACCTTATTATATATAAGTAGTTATTAAAGCTAATAGCTAGTATACTAAATATTAGTATAGTAGAGGTTTATACTGGTAGAAAAATGAAATCTTATTAGTTAATCTAAATACAGCTATAGCAGGCAGAAAGGGGGGGGGTGAAAACTCCTTACACCTCACTGTATATAGTATATCCTCTATATATTATTAAGTATACTAGTATATACTATATTAGATAGTATACTAAGTAAAGGATACATAAGGATACTTATTTTATATACTTAGATAGTTCTTTATAATTAATATAAGTTATTAATCTATAGTTACCTTATAATTACTCTTAGATTATTCTACCTACTTATTTATATATCTCCTACTTAATTTAAAAGTATATATACTTCTTAGCCTTACTTCTCTCCTTAATTACCTTACTATATTCTTAGGTACTATAGCTTATAGAAGCACCCCAGTTACTATTAGTACCCTTAGATTAGGGTTATAGGTTAGTATTCCCCAGGCTTAACTTACTGGTTACAGGTTCAGTACTATTGTGAGATCCCAGGGTGTGACAGGAGTCTAATACTAAGATTATAGCTTAGATAGGTATATAACCCTATGGTATATATCTCTAATTATAGGTCTAGAAGGCTTTCTAAACTAGTAATTAGTTCTATTACTAATTAACTGCTACATTTACCACACTATCTAAATTTAATGTTGAACCTGTGTAATTATATTACTGCACGTTCTCACACCTAGTAATATATATATTATAGAGAAGACTGTCTGCCTAGGCAGTAACACATGGGAATACCACGACACTATGGCAGGATATAAAAATTCAACTCATATAAAAAGAGTTCCTTGCAGTTAACATAATCCTAGAGATTATACCCATAGGTAAGTGTTATTATTATATTAATACATCTTAGCCTAAGTCACCCATGATATCCTCATCAAGATCAAAACCACCTGACTCACTAACCATACTAATGCCACTTTTCAACGCACTGTCAACCCTCTTCTGACTCCTTTGTATGCTCTCCATATGCTCATTACTTAATTCCAATCCATGATTGCTTTCCCCTATGTTAACTGCAAATGATTTTAACATCTCACGTGTTTGAACCAACTGCGCTCTCATCTCAGTTTCCTGCAATATGCTCGAAACCTCAGTTGATTTCAAAAAGCGGATCATCGTAGGATCAGCACTATGTTGTAGATGCAACAAGGTCGCTTTCATGGGGCCGGTCATAATGAGTGATGCGATAAAGGCTTCCATCTCCTTGGTAGTCATGGCGCAAATCACTCGTTCTGTGACATCCACCATCATTATAGAAGCGAAGGTTTTTCCCAACCTCAAAATGGTGAATACATGAAATGCACCCATTGCTTGGGAAACAAGCCCTGCATTATTGTCCTAGAAGCGCCTGTTAGACCAGCTATCTCATCAGAAGCTTGGTAGACAAATTCGCATCTTACCACATGCCAGACCGACCGCGCAATCTCTACCTCAGATTTCAACTTATGAAAATCACCCTCCTCAAACGCACGAGCTAGAGCAAGATAGGGTCTTGCAAGTGATCGATAAACTCTCATCGCATGTGAAGTGATTGTTGGAGGGGGCGTGATTAGCTGATGACCCATCCCTTTATCAGTACTGACCGATCACCCGTCATTGACTCTGGATTGAACCAACCTTGCCATTTCCTAACAAGCTTGTCAAGATCCATTTTTTGTATGCCTCCACCATGATCAAGCTGATGGAGTTGGTCACAGGGGAAGAAATGACTATACTCAGAAAGTGATGTGCTTTGCTCCAATCTTTAAGCGCCATGTATACCATAGCACCGTAAAGAAAATACCGCAAATAGTCACCGTATGCTATCTTGCCAGAAAGTCCAGAAGATCTGGTAATGTATGTGGTACTAGGCCCATCTTGCGCAAAGAGAAGAGGCTCATGATAATTCACATAAGCCTGTTCTGAGTCCCGGGGGAAATTACATATGTGTTTATCCAGGATTGGTAAAACGTAGGCATACTCCTTTGCTTGCAGACAAAGTCTTATGAGGAGGAGATGAGTCGATGTGAAGACAGCACATGTTGAATCGAGACGAAGCATGGCATCCCTGATAGGCCGAATAGCTAGCAAAGGCTTATTGAAGTTAGTTGGAGAATCATTTTACAGCATTAGCCAATTAAACCCGTCTTGCCTTTGAAACTTCTTGTGCAGATTGGCCCACAAATTCAACAATATGACGCCACTCCTCTCCCGCATATCTGACTTGAATGGGATCGAAGCTCCTCAGAAATCTTAAAGCTTTCGACCATAGCTGTCCACCTGGGAGTATGACACCGGGGATTTGTTCGCTGGTCTTACTCCGTATAGTATTGACCTGGAAATGGAGTATGATCAAATAAGAAAGAGAGTTTACAGCAGGGTCAATACTCTGACACACAATCATTAGTTAAAATCAGTATATGACTGCACGGGATGTTTCTGGATCGAAGACCAAGACACATGTGCCCGAAAGAATGTGGCTGATAAGACCTGCATTGCTTACATCTAGGAAGGAGTGATCCTCAGAAATAGTGCTGGACGATTTATCAGCCAGTGATTGTCTCAGGTAGGCGATGAGATCACGCAGTTGACAGTCATAATCATTATCTGATGCACCACTCAAATTATGCAGTGCTGGTGATAATGAAGAAAGATGTGAAAGAATCTCTGCCATATCTGGGGTAAGGGTAGAGTAATGCATGAAGGTATTTGATGTGGTGTCAACTCGAGGACACGGGAGCTATGCACCTTATCTTACAATCAGTACCCGTTTAGGTACCATACCTAATTAGGTAGGCAGTACCACCGCTGCCTCTACGAAGATACCTCAGGCATACAATACCTAACTGTGTTTGGGCGTGCACTGTTTTAATATTTAATAATAACCGACTCTCCCACATAATGCCTTAGGTAGCTACCGATGTTCATCTTGGTTGGATGTAGCTAGGTACTCCATATGTACTATCTGACGCCCAGAGTATCATATATATGCACATGAGGTTGATTTCTTCGCGGCGGGGGAGGGGTTAGTTGTCCCCACACCAGTTTGTACTAAGATAGTCCCAGCAAAAGTTCATGGAAGATACAAATATATTGCTGTCACTTTATCCCCAGGTACTTAACCTCCCCCCCCTTCCTGAGCCAGAATCTTCCTATCAGTGATATATTTTATTCTATCTTTTCGTACTCATCTGCATATATTTAAGCACCGACCTCTGTTCCCAACCATTGCTGAGATGTCACTCACTGAATCTTCCGCATTTGATGTTGCAAAGACTGCATCTCAAGCATCTCGTCGTCTTGCAACATTGTCTAATGCTGCACGCAATGAGGCATTGACTGCTCTTTACAATGCCCTTCTAAAAAATAAAAATGCGATTCTTAATGCAAATGCAAGAGATGTAGAGGTAGCAACCCGTGCCGCGGAAAATGGCACTCTCAGCCACAGTGTCCTCAAGAGACTTGACTTGTCGAAGCCTGGAAAGTACAGCGATATGCTGCAAGGTATATTGAATGTTCGAAGTTTGGCTGATCCAGGTGGGTATCTCAAATGTTTTCTGTTGACTGGCGCTGACCAACGTTGAAGTGGGAACGGTGAGTCTAAGGACACTGCTCGACGATGGCCTTACCCTCGAAAGAGTTAGCTGCCCCATAGGGGTTTTGTTGATCATATTCGAGGCTCGCCCCGAGGTCATTGCCAACATTGCTGCTCTATCCATCAAATCAGGAAACGCTGCAATTCTCAAGGGTATGTGTCATGTCATGACTGACCATGAATGCGTGGCTGATTTATATAAAGGGGGAAAAGAGTCTACTGAATCCTTCATTGCAATTTCGAAAGTGATATCAGAGGCAATCTCAAGCACTCAAATCCCCAAGTCTTCAGTCCAACTGGTGAAGACACGGGATGCCGTTTCTTCGCTGTTGGAACAAGACTCGTTGATTGATCTTGTCATACCGCGGGGATCAAACGATCTTGTTCGGTTTGTCAAGGATAACACAAAAATCCCCGTGCTTGGACATGCCGATGGCCTTTGCTCTGCATATATCCATGCAGATGCCAACTTGGAGATTTGTCGAAAGGTGATCGTGGACTCGAAAACCAATTATCCAGCAGCTTGCAATTCTTTGGAAACTTTGCTTGTACACCAGGATGTTCTTGAAACTGTCTTTCTTGGAGTTGCCGAAGCCCTTTTACTCAAAGGAGTAACTCTTCGCTGTGACTCGGTATCGAAAGCTGCGTTGCTCCAGAAATTTCCAACTATACAGGGAAATCTATTGCAAGATGCAGTCGACTCTGATTATGAAACCGAATTCTTGGATCTCATACTGGCTGTTAAGACTGTTCCTTCTCAGTCGTCGCCCATCTCTGCGGTTGAGGCTGCTGTCGCTCATATCAACGCACACTCATCAAAACATACCGATATCATTTTGACAGAATCAAACGAAATGGCGGAACTGTTTATGAGCGGCATTGATAGTGCCGGCGTTTTTTGGAATGCATCTACAAGGTTCGCCGATGGCATGAGATATGGTTTTGGTACAGAGGTTGGCATCAGTACGAACAAGATACATACACGAGGGCCCGTCGGGTTGGAAGGCTTGACCATCTACAAGTATAAAATCCGGGGAAATGGTCACAGAGCAGGCGACTATTTTGAGGGCGAGGGAGGCAAAAGGTGGAAACATGAACACTTGCCAGTAGATAGCAAGTAAAATCGCGTATATTTAAACTCATCACTTCAATTCAAATGAAATTTTGATTTAAACTTAAACTGTCATTCCTAGAACATTTTAAGCAGATCCACAGGATTTGCTGCCGCACTAGCTCATGAGCCTTAAATGGGTACTAGCCATACTCGAAGTCTCAACGACTAGATCTTCGTGGAAAACACGTCATTTATGAGTGACTTCAACTCGGGCTCAGGACTCCAATTAGTCCATTCTAAATACTTCTTTAGACCTTGAAACCCTTAGACCTTCTCCGACCACGAGCTCTCTCAAACTTCCGACCCTTGCTTCGGACATAAGGTTTCTAGTCGAGGTCAGCACCCTTAAAATTCCCACAACGAACAGATATTGAAAAAGACCAACCTTGTGGCTGTGAGGGCCAAAGCCGAAGTGCTTCACGGCCTCTCTGGCGTTCTTGGGTCCACGGAGAAGGAGGGTGTTGGCTCCAGTAGGGGCTCGGAGAGCGAGCTGGTCCAAAGTCAGAGCCTCACCACCTGCCTTTTCGATCCTGGCTCTAGCGGTAGCGGTGAAGCGGAGAGCGGCCACAGACAGTTTTGGGACGGTGAGGAGGCGGTTGTCGTCTGTAATTGAGCCAATGACGACGACAGTCTTGCCTTTGTGCGACTCGCTGACATTCGCTGCGATACGCGAGAGGGAAACGGGCGGGCGGTTGATTCTCGACATAAAAAGGCGGCGCAACACAACCTTGTTGAAGTTTGACTCCGTGCGGCCTAAAAAGAGTATTATCCATCAGCGGTTCATGTTCTCGCGTATTCTCAATCCAAGCAAAACCAAGGTCAATCATACGGGCAAGGAAGCGGTAAAGTTTCACCAAAACCTGCAAGTAGACATTCTCGCTCTTTGGCGCCTTGCGGTGGGTGCTGCGCACATGGTGACGGTCCAAGTCGATACCTGCAATGAAAAATTAGCCTCTAGTGCTCCGTGACTTCCACTGGTAGCTGCGCCATGCAAATAGGAAAGAAGAGCAAAATCACAGGAGGTCTGTAGCAATTAACTGTTAGCATTCAACATACCCATGGCTGATGATAGTGATGGGACACCTTGGAATTGGCTAGCTGTCGCACCCGTATGCAAAGTGAAGCTGGTGTGGTTTTTGATCTACGATTTTCAGATGGACGGTGTGTGCGGGCTGAGCCCTACCCTAGTACAAATTCGGAAAGGTCGTTCCATGGCAGGAGGCTGTCTTTCCTTATGCCTCAGGCCACAAAGTCTGCCTACTACTCAGCAGTACTAGAAAACCTAGAAGAAAGAAATATAAAATAAAGTGAAAAGGTTTTCACAGAATGGTTAAGAATTCCAGATGAAAATAGCAAAATACTTAGCTCCAGTGTCCAGTTTTTATAGCATAATTCAACGTGTTATGAGATACCATCATTTATTTTCCCATACGCAGTATTGTACAGAAATCTACTGAAAAGTATTGCCAACCTTTTGTATAGCATATCCCAGGGCAACATGCCTTGAACTGGAAATATCATATGCTTATTAAATTCCCATGGTTATGTTGAATAGCCAGATGAAGTAAACAGAACATCATTATGCATTGGTAATTGAAGCTACCTACTCTTCATTCAGACCGATGAGGAAATCTCGGGTTAGCTCGAAGCTAAGCCAACTGCTCGCCATGCTTGGAGCCACTTTGAGAAGGTTAGGCACGATGCCTTTAAAAAGACCACGTGCCCCTTCCTCGGTCACAATGACTCTTACGGCGTCCCAAATAGATGCATACTGATAGCCTAATCCAGACATAGTGTTTATTTGGAAACGCCGCCGAAGAACATCGCTAAAGCACTAGTTAATAAAAATGTAATATACATGGCAAAAAGTGAGCCATGGTTAATTATGATCTTACAATGGATATGTGCATGTTTGCGCCACAGCCCCGGAAATGGCACCTGCCAATAATTTTCGCAAAGGACTAGGGTTTTTGTCACCTTCAGGTGTCAGGTATTTGCGGACTGATTCGTACGTCATAAAATTGAGGCCCACCTGAACGTGTCAGTTGGTGTGTTGAAATCAGAAACCGTGAACTTACGTATGGGGCGACGCCAACGACTGTAGGGACAATTCCGCGATAGAGAGCAACAATGCCACCCTCATTCTTATACATTAATACCATGGTATGGAACATGCCTGGCAATTTCTCGCCAGCTTCCCTTTCTCTGAGCGCAGAGAATGAGGCTGACTGGATAGAAAGTCGCGTCCGCACAATATCAAGGGGATAAGTTATGGTGACTGACGTTATTCCAGCTGCTCCCCCGCAAATGAGACGACGCACTGGTGACAGATCGGTGCCTGGAGAAGGCTCTGCGAACTTGAGATGTTTTCAGCCCTGTCAAAACAACCCCAAAACTGTCGAGTTCACACGGTGAGGGCCTGTAACTCACATTTTTATAGAAGTTATAGCTCCCAAATTGCACTGCAGAATAAGGAATTATGCGAATACAGTTCGTGCCGTTTCCTCGCATGAATCCTCTCCATCCCTCCTCTCGCCCCATTTTCACGAGAGCTTTCCATATTGATAGTTTGTACTCTTCTCTCCCCACACTTTGAATTTGAAAGAGTATTTTGAGACGTTCGAGGGGTGACACTATTGTCCTGGAGACTGCTCCAGCTACACCTCCACCTATGAACGCGGCAACAACTGGTTCAGAAATTTTGCCTTTAGCTTCTCCGAGGAAGGATGGCGTTTTCTCTGGAAGGGTTTCCTGACAATGATGCGCAGTGAGTCTTGCCATACTTCAAAGGCTACACACGTATGTCAAACCTTACCTTGAATGGCCCAGAGCCAGATGTTGATGAATGGGGGAGCTTCGGCAGTGCACTCTCCCCTGTATCCTCCAACTCATCATTTTGAGTTGTTTCTTGGCGTTCCAGGCTCATTTTGACGCAGTGTTCATTGGTAATTTATATATTACGTCAAGCCGCTGGAAGTTCCTCGCAACAATTAAAGCTGGTTCAAGGTTGAAGTATATTTATCGGGTTGGGTAATTTCTCTTCTCCCCCTGCCTCTCAAATCGATATCGAATATTGTGAAGGGGGAAATGTGCCTCTGGAAAGTCTGGACAGAGAATCAATGGCGATACAAGAGACATGTAGAATTCGTTCTGCTAGTGGTTTGCTGGCCATGAAGGTGGTTCACTTCACACCGTTATTCAAAATACCATGATGAGAGATAAAAAGAAAAAGAAAGCAAAGGCGTCTTTAGAAAGGGTGAGAATAAGATGAGAAGAAATCCGGGATCGCTCAGACGACGTCGCAACAAAGATAGAAATCAGACTATGAATGACTTTGTAGGGTGGGCTGTCGTCTGAATTTTGAGTATGAAACAGGCCGGTTTTTACTTCTTATAAATATAGAAATAAAATAGGCGTATGCTCTATCAGGTCTTGAAGATGAAAGGAGACTCTAAGTGTACTGGATGAAGATGGAGAAAGAATGTTGACATTAAGAGCTTCATGAAACGTAGATTGAGTACCCTATGTACGGAGCACGTAGCTCCACATACCTACCTACCTAGGTAAGGTTCACTGCTGTATCTGTAATCAGTAATGAATTACATTATTACATGTCGGGTCTGTACCTAGGTAGGTAGTTTACAGATAATCCACTGAATATATAACTGCCCGTAGTAGATGTGTCTATAATACATGCAGTATTACACCTCAGTGCACATGTGGCACATGTGCCTATCTGTATCTCTCTTTTACACACTTTGCTCCCTCCCGACTTGTGACCCAACTTTTCATCTTCTAGGTAGTCTGCTCGGCCGCTGACACCTTATCTTGACCCAGTCTAATATACCATCTACTATTTTGTCATCAGATTGCCGTCTAATAAAGCCTACAATTACAATGTCTCGGCCAGGTACCACACTTTATGTCACTGGCTTCGGACACGGGACTCGAGCTCGCGACCTTGCCTACGAATTCGAACGGTACGTGCCGCTCGTCGGTTCCTACGCGCTACCAAAAATCCCACGGCTTTGATATTCATATACGCAATAACCTCATCGATTAAGCCTCGCATCTTTGATTTGGAAGTCATCTCACATCATGTTAACCACGGGAGACTACTTCCATGACGGAAATCCCGCCTGCCTGCTTTGAAGACTGTCACTTTCGGGCGCTTTGCCAACTAAGTGCATCAGTTATCCTAAACATTCAATCTTATCCGCCATTCGTCCATCATTGCCACTGATCTCATTATGAAAAGAAGTATCCATGATGCTAATTTTGACTATAGATATGGACGTCTGGTTCGATGCGATATTCCTGCGCCTCGTACGCCTTCCAGCCGACTGTAAGTTGATGTCAATCTTCCACCCCTGGAGTGCTCTTATCTCATGCTGTTCAGCTTCGCTTTTGTGGAGTACGAGAGCCGCCGTGACGCAGATGATGCATATCACGAGATGCACAATAAACGTATCGGCCGTGATGACCTCCTGAAGATTGAAGTAAGTTTAACCACTGGTCTTCGGTTAGCTCCTTTCGCTAATCCCTATACCATTAGTGGGCTCGGACTCCCCCTTCGGCGTCCTGGCGCTTTGACTCAGGCCGTGACCGTCGTCGTGATCGTACTCCTCCTCGCCGTGGACGTTCGCCATCTCCACGTCGCGCCCGTGGCGACTACTCTCCCCGTAGAGACGACAGGTATGAGCGGGATTACGACCGACATGACCGTGATTATGACCGCCGGGATCGCGACTATGACCGCCGGGATCGTGACTATGACCGCCGGGATCGCGAGCGCTCTCGTGACCGTTCCCGCAGTCCCGATGAGAGAGATCGCGACTTGAAGGATGACAGGGAGCGCCGTGATGATGAGCGGGAGCGTCGCGAAGATGAACGAGAAAACGGAACCAATGGCGATGATAGGAAAGGTCGGTTATCTCCAGCCATAATCTGCCCGTCACTGACCAGGGTAGTTCCCTTAGATCCTCTGACTTCTGCCCATGATGAGCTTGATACTGCTGAGTAGGTCAACATGGTACTATGCCATCGAACCATCACTCTATCCTTTCGCTTGCCAAACTTTCGGAACGATAGGTCGGTCCCTTGTCACTTCTTAGTGAAGGACACAATACTGAGGATGGAACACAGCCTTCTCCAGACTGGTATTGAACCTCAGTACTGTGTTTTCCGTCTCCTTCCTTCCCCCTCTCTTTTTCTTTTCTTTTCTTCTCTTTTTCATTTTTCATCTATCATTCCGTCTCGTGCAGCTTGCCAAGTTTCCCCCTCCCCCTCCCCTACCTGTCGCGGTAATGGGTGTTATGCCCGGAGATTTCGTTTATTGTCTTGGTTTTGGTATTTATCCTGGTCAGCAGCTCGAATTCAACCCGAACGAACGTCGAGCGATCGTTTTCATTACCGCCAGTCTTTGTCGTCCTTGTGTTCCTCTCGATGAACAACGGTCCGTCGTCCTTAATCGCAAATTTAATATGAAACCGATTAGCATTTCCCTTCCCCGTCCCGTGCGGCCGGTCGGAGCTTTGCGAGGTCTGCCAAGTCGTGTCGGAAGTGGATTGTAGTATTGATTCTAGAAGTAGCCGTAAGCTTTCATTGTAGGGGCTTGCTATGGGCAGAAGAATCGGGTTATGGTCGTAGCAATCTTACTAGTACGAGGTCAAAGTCTACCAGATAATAATACCTAACTGGGTAGCTTGATATTGATCTTATATCATCAATGATGTATCATTCCGGAAGATACCTATGTCCATGCCAATCAAATCGTCAATTGAATTCTGCGCTCAAAACACTGCCCTGGGTACATAATAGACTTTTCAGCGTATTTACTGAGTTGAAAGCAATTGGATGCCCTATTAACGCGCCCCCTCCCTGTCGTATGCACCCAGGCGCCTGTGTTTTTGGCATCATTGCCGACTATGTACTGCTGACCAACAATTTGACTTGACGTATGTACATACATTCCCATCAAGCTCCGTTTTCCCAGGAATTGGTTCGAACAGTGCGGGGTAGTCACCAATTTGCTTCAAAGTAATAAGTAATAAACTCGAAATAGTGCAACACTGGATACTTATGAAGGGGTCGGTTATACCATTTGTCTTTCGAGATACCTAGGTCAGATAGCCTACCTAATAAAAATCTAACAAGCATCCGTGTAATAAATATATCCAAGTACCTTCCGTCCCTTGAGTTAATGGCCTCTTCCATCTACGAGTTCCCGTTCAAATTTCTTCCTTCACCTGCTCTATCTTATCATATTTTTTTCTTGCCTCTAGGTACCAGCCATGGCATCGAACCCGCCTGGTCTTTGTTACATTGTCGGTGCAACACATAGAGGTGATCACAAGAGACAATTCATAACAGCCTCTTTTCCACAAGCCAAACTAGATGGGTTTTGGATGGGATTAGATGCCGATATGCGGATACCCGAACCTTTTGAATAAAACTTATTCTATCTAGCCGGTGCTAGCTGCTGTGACAGCTGATTTTTCTTATCTTGCCGATAAATCCACAAAGCAAGCTATTCTGTTGCTCCCAGATGTCATTGGGCATCAGTCCATTGATTCCCAGTTGATTGCAGACCAGCCTACTGCAAATGGCTATTTTGTAGTCATGCTTGATCTGTTTCATGGCGATCCAGTGAAGCTGAACCAATCTGCCCACAGACATGTACCTACCATATAGAGTTGGCCCAGTTATTAAGTCAGTCTTGAGAGAGATGGGGCGAAGTCTAGAATATCAAAAAATAGATGTGCTCGGTCATTGCTTCAGGGCAAGTTGTCCAATTTATACTAAGATAACTATATAATCAGAAAAATAACTGGCCCTGGGAGTTAACTGACGCATATTCTAGGCTAAATATGCTAAAAACTGACTTTTTTTATAGCCCAGTCGCTATAATGTTGCCTGTTACTCTCCCTAGTTTTATTGATGTGCATGATTGGGTGGCATTAATGGATAGCTGCAGTTAACTAGGTAGTCAGTGCTATGACCACCAGGATCCATCATCATCGGTGCCTCATACAGGAGCATTCATTGTCATTGCCAAGAGGCCGATTCTATTTTTTCGACTCAAAACGCCATGGGCCAGAACAGGTATATACAATCGAAAGCTGGCCAGCCCAGCTATACTAAAACCAACCTATGTATTTAGTGGGGTAGAGCATGGGTTCGCAGTTCGAGTCGATACTTTCAAATCGAAGATCAGCGTTACAAAGGGAATGAATACCTTCTATCAAGCTGTTTCGTAGTATAATCAATACTTATGATGATTAATTTCCTGTAGTAAATACACTGGCATTGGCCTGAAATGATTTAACCCTCAATTTATAATGTTTAGATATCCATTGATGATTGATCTAATACCCAAGTATCCAACATGTTCACTGTGTAAAGAGTACTCACTCAAGTGCCAAGTTATTGACAGCGAAATATTCAATTACTTATTTCCTAATTATTTACAGAGTACCTAATATTCAATGAAACGATATTATGCATATTTAGATTTTTGTGCAAGACTAAAAGCGTCCATATCAAATCATTTCAATAAAACGTAAACTAATCTGACTGCACCATAATTGATGCTAGTACTGACCTACTAATATAGGACATAACGGTAATGGCCACACATTAATGAGAATGTAATATATCTTCAAGGTTAGGTTTCCCCCTGTTACATTTTTTCGTATGTAGCCATCAAAGAGCCTGCCAAGAAATAGTCAGCTTCATATTGCTTCAAAAAATATTCAATAATCAAGAAACCGGACTTACCAATAAATGTAGTTACCAAACGAGAGCGGACCTGGCAGATATCTTCAGGCACCAACCAAATAGTCGCCCCCAGTTTTCTTGCTATGCTAATGCTCAACTTCGCATTCGCATATGCTTCTTCATCAGTCCGGCCTAGAGTCACAAGGTCGTAGTCAACATAGCTGCTCTTCATGCCGCTAAGCACATCAAGGAGGAAGAGGCCAGATCCAATGGACTGGTCCTTGAAACTGCGTATAGTAGATGTTCTGCCGCCTTTTTGGGACATGTCGTTTGCCCAGCGAATCATCTCTGCATCTGTAATTTCACGCTTGCCCATGCGCTTTGCCAAGGTAGAGAGAGTGTTGGTGATATCCTTTCGCATCAATTGCCATACCAACCCAAGCGTGAGAGTCCGCTGGCCATCGGTAATATCAGCACCCTGCACGCCGACGAGAGAGAAGCCAATGTGCTTCCCAAGCTCAATGGCATAGTTTGTGTTTTCAACTGCCTTGAACCGCATCATGTCACCACCCGAAGCAGGAGGTTTGTTAACATGTCTCCAGTTAACACTTCCAGGAATAACTTTGTCGTATGCCTGCAACAAAACAGTTCCATCGCTGAGATCGTCAAACAAAGAGTTAACCGCGGGCTGCACATCTAGCGAATTCAGCCAAAGGGTGAAAACCCTTGCCTCTCGTTCTCCTTCAGCATCGAAGTCTTCAACCTCCAGCTTATCTTCCTCGGTAATTGGGTCGAGACCTGGGCAAGTGTTGAACAGGTTGGCAACGAAGGCGAGGTTAAGTTTCGGGTTCCCAGCAACAAGCGATGTAGGAGTCAAAAACTTTCGGCAGTCCAATTTCTCTGCATTTGTTAAAACCTGTTCAGCTCGTTGAAGCAGGTCCCCAGTGTAGAGAGGGTCCCGCGAGCAGAGCTCAGGCGCCAATTGATTCAGAAGAACAGTATAGTTTTCACCATCCTTCACATCAGTAGAGAAGTTCGCCACCCTGAAGGAAATCAGTTAGCAAAGTCTGTCCTGTACCGCCTATTCCAAATGTAGATATTGTACATTAGGGATTAGATAAAAGGAAGAAGAGCGAAACTGGGGTCAATATTTACCTTCTGTCCCATTTGGCATTCTTCAGATGATAGTTGAACCAACGCAGTAATATTTGTTCTGGAGGAAGACGCAGGAACTGCTCCAAAGTTTCGTCCTCTTCTAGAAGCCGGTAGAGTTCAGGATGAAGCTTAATGTCAATCTTGCCCAAAAGGCCCCGGCGAATGATCTGCCAAATAAGACCAAGAATGAGATGCTCACGGACTTCTATTATATCACCGCTTCCAATGTTCACAACGGAGCAACCGATACCTTTGGCTGAATTGATGACAATGTTGTTATTCTCAGTCATGTGGAATGCATTCAGTTCCTTGATCTTCTTCCCAGGTTTATTCAGAACACGCTCATCGATTGTGTCTGGAACGCTATCATTGATCAACTTTGTCAGAACCAAACCATCCTTGCACTTATCAAACATCTCGAAAGTATCAGTGGGGAATGGCAAAAGGTGACCAATGTCCGGATCACCAGCAAGGATGGCATTTATATGCCTAGTAAACTCAGTTCTTTCATCCTCGTTGATCGTATGCGTGACATTCGAAGAAGAACCCTGGACGTGAATCCTTCCTCCGATGCTGCCCTTGGAGACGTGCCGGGACGCGCCAGCACCGTTTCCTTGCGTAGCTGCAACAGGATTTAACCCCCCAGCAGCCTTTCCTTGTACCGAAGTTGAACGAAGCTTGGAGATAAGCTGTAAAATGGTCTTGATTAAGCCCCTGAAAGCAAATATTAGGAATGGGAAACGAACATCCACATAGTCTTCAAGCTCCACACGCCGGGAGCTATCAAGCTCAACCTCCTTCAAAGCTTGACGCACAACATCGTACGGTTGTCGTTCTGATTGTTGAGTTGCCTTGATCACGGTGGCCTCATCCAAGTAGCCCTTATCGTCAATGTCTAGCTTCCTGAATCCATCTTGTAGGGAAAAGATTTCGCCTTGGTCGAGTTGCGGGTATTTCCTGCAGAAGACTGAGAACGACGTTCGATCAAGGCAGAGTACAGAGCGCTTTGAATGTGATTGTGTAGAGAAACCTACTTTTGAAGCTTGAGAACATTCATTTTCCCGTGCCCGAAATGACTGGCTGCAGATATTTTGAGAGTAGAGGGACACTTGGTAAGTGCGGAATATGCCCTTAAAAAACAAGGCAGGAGGTAAAACTCCAGGGAAAAGGTACCGGACTACCAAAGCAGGAATTGATACAAGATATTTGAGGATTCTGTTGGGTATCTTGCCTATGACAAAACTCGTGTTCAAGTCTGGGAGTGGAAAGGCGGTTGAAACTTGAATGAATCGAAGAAGTTATAATAACTAGGCAGCCTAGGTGCTGGGTTAACTAGTTGGTTCTGCCCCAAGGCAGAATGGAGAAGCGGGGTGGGGTCGGGAGGGAGACTTGGGAAGTTGGGAGGCGGGCAGGCATTCACCTCTCAGAGTCCAGACACATTCTCATTACATCGAAAAGGCCCAAAATTTCTAGCACAATTTGGCAATTCGACTCACATGCCTACTTTTCTCAGTAAATAATTCAGTGTATTATTTTCCTTGAACTAGACCCTACTTTCTGGAATATAGATTAGTAGTCCCTCACTATTTTCCGATGACGCATGATGCGGTGCGGGCTGCCGCTGCCTGATGATGTCGGCCCACCATTTTAGCCACCGAAAAGTCCAGGCTGACATCCAAGGGGTGAAAGGCCATTTTTGCGTATGTATTCCATAGGTAGCACACAGCTGTTGAGTACTCAGTGCACAGGGTAGTGCAAACCATTATTATTGTATGAACAGGTCTGCTTGTACCTCTTTATTCAAACACGTATTTTTCTCGTGTGTTTGAGTACTAGCTTTTAGCTAGGAAAGTATTGCTGATTATCATGAACTTATTTGAAAGGTATAAACAGGTATGGTTTTCTTTTTCTCCCTGTGATGTATACCTACACCTTTGCCCTTCCTGGAATGATATATTAAGAGTGGATTATGCTCTTTGTAGTATCCTTCATATTTAGCGGGTATTACTCTAGTTGTCCAACTGGTTGTTCTATTTCGCTACCTCGGTTTCATACTGTCTATCTGCCGTCATCCGTCTGAATCCCCAGCAAATTCACTAAATCCAACAAAAGCGCATTGGCTCGCCTCATACGCCTTCAGGCTCAACAGGGCCCAATGGCACGAGCTGATCAAAAAGGGTCTTTTTTGGGAGCGATTTCGCCCTGGAACACTTCCAGGAATTCAATCCCTCAGCCGGCCACCAACCAAATTGATGGGCAAGATGTCCTTCAACGGTCACAAGGGGAGGACCATACTGTTACACGCCGACATAGGTTGAGTCTGCGTCAATACCCCAAGGATTGTCCTTTGTTGAGAGTGAGGTGGTTTTACGCAGTGGATTCACCCAAGCGAAAACCAATGCTTTCGGATTATAGAAAGGATGATTCAAAGCCCTTACCCCCACCAAAAAAATTTGTCCCGTTCTCCTTGAAAGATTCTCAGTCTATTGAAACCTCATTCCAAAGGCTTTCCGACCTCGAAGCTGCACGTGAGCAATCTCAATCCACGAATTTCACAGGGAAGGCACAGGATGATACCGTCAAAGTCCCTGTTAACGAAGACTACCTCTTTGATGTGGATGTGGAACAGAGGGAGCTCAGCCCGGCCTACTGGGTGGGCCCAGTGTATGAAGTGCGTCGTGGAACATGGTTCTTTCAAGAGGGCTCTACATTCAAGCCGTGTGAGGAAAACCTTGCTACTCAACTTGAGGAAGGCTATCTTAAAGTGAGGCCATGGCAATTCGAGGACACTCAGAAGCCCTTGCAACCACCAACTGTCTCTAAAATGGATGAATATGATAAAGCCAGCACAATAAGAGGCTTACAGTCAAATCCGGGTGCATCTGATACAATGAGGCATGATTCTCTCCACGGCCATTCCGAATATTCTGGGAATGCGACTTCTGCGGCTGCCAATGAATCCCATAACTATCGGCTTTTTGGTGCTTACATGAACAGCATAGTCACCTACCAAGATTCCTTCACTGCATTGTTGACAAACGATGATTTCATGTCCCGAGTGAGCACCACTGTTTATCAAAAGTTAGGTGGCATAGCCGGCACAAGAGTAATGCGGGGTTTCACTGAGGCTAAAAAACAGAAGGAAACACCAGATACAAGAGGCCCTGACCGGAACCCACTTCAAGGATCACCCTCGAGTGCTCCCCAGGGAGCTTCCATGGATTTTAAAACCAAATCTGGAACAGGAAATTCACGACCAGGTTCCCCTGTCAACCAAGGGTCGGATAGTGAAAATTTTGCTGCAAAGAATCCAAAATCGACAATAGAACGACAGATGTCATCTCTTGCTGGCGAGCCCCAGAATGCTGCTGAACTCGAAGAGCAGGCGCGTAGGCAGGAGGAAAAGGAGATGGAGGATTCCAGGGAAGTTGAAAATGAGGATAGAGAGCGGGACATTGACCACCTGGTTCTCGTCACACACGGCATTGGCCAAAGGCTTGGGCTGCGCTTAGAGAGCATCAACTTTATTCATGATGTGAATGTCCTACGTAAAACTATGAAGGGTGTTTATAAGGCTTCTCCAGACCTCCAGGCTTTGAACTCTGCATCTGCAGACAGCAATAAGAATTGCCGTGTTCAGGTCCTTCCTGTGTAAGTAAACCATCAACATCCCTGAAAATCCGCCTACTTTGAAATGAACCTTTTATATTCCAATAGAACGATCTCATGCTGATTTGAGTAGGTGTTGGAGACATCTGCTTGACTTCCCTTATCGTGGGGTTCGGCAGAATCGCAAGGAACTTGACCTCGCTGATGCAGATATACTTGAAGACGATATGTATCCCGGCTTGGCAGATATTACGCTTGAAAGTGTCCCTGCCGTTCGAAACCTGATATCTGACTTGGCAATGGATGTGCTCCTCTATCAAAGTGCTTACTGTGAGCACATCTCGACTATCGTCCGGCAGGAATGCAACCGGATTCTCAAGCTTTTTAAAGAGCGAAATCCATCGTTCAAGGGCTCTGTGAGCCTCTGTGGGCATTCGCTTGGAAGCGCAATTCTTTTTGATATCCTTTGCCGCCAGCAGTCTGACTCGCACCTTAAAAAAAAACGTCCGCCCCCCCAGGAGGATCAAACACCTATGCCAAATCGAGACTATTCACTAGATTTTCAGTGTGAAGAGCTTTTTTGTTTAGGGTCTCCCATCGCACTTTTCCAGATGCTCAAGGGAAAAACCATTGCTGGTCGATCAACTGTGGATCCCAGAAGTTCTAATATCAACAGCAGTATCGACGTCCCAGAATTTTCGGGCTCTTCAAGTGCACACCATTCTGTGAATGCTAGAGTGGGAACCACAGTGGAAGCGCCCGCGATATTGTCTTCACCACACTGTCGACAACTCTACAACATATTCCATCCATCCGACCCTGTCAGCTATCGCATTGAACCGCTCATCTCACCTGTAATGTCAACTCTTAAACCACAGCCTTTGCCATCGGTTAAAAAGAGTCTTTGGGCAACATCTGGGCAAAGCCTTTCGATACTTGGTAGTCGCGTGGGCCAAAGTGTAGGATCTTTGTGGACAAATTTTACATCTGGCGTTGCAAGCAGTTTACTCAACCGTAGCCTAGGCTTGAGCCACGAGGATACACCCCCCCGGGCTTCTGGTGCTGGCTTCGAACATCAACAAACACACCTGCCACCCGCTGCCGATTTACCTAAGAGGAAACCTCGTTTTTCTGGCCCCGATGCTGAGCTTTTAAGTAGATATGACGATCGACCCCGGACTTTAATAGAGCCTGAATTAGAAACACTTTATGATGGCTTTCAAAAAGTTCGAAGCAATCACACAAACGCCACGGCGTGTTCTTCCGCTAGCGGGGAAACCATCGAGTCTCAAGAGCACGAAGATCGCTTAAAGAAACTGAAGATCGAAGATGCGAAAGTCAGAGCTTTGAATTCAAATGGGCGGGTGGATTACAGCATTCAGGAGTGAGGACACCTTTCTTTGCTATTCATTTCAATTATTCCTGTCTGCAGGTTTATATACAGACCATGTCTCATGATCATGCAAAGGCTGATTGTTTTAACATAGGGGGGCGTTTGACATTTCCTTGATTGCTAGCATTGCTAGCCACTTGACCTACTGGGCCGATGAGGATGTTAATCATTTTATGCTGTCCCAGATGCTATCCAGAAGGACTTAAGGTGAAAGCCCTCGGTTATATAAAACACTGCCTTCTACCCAAACGCGGAGGATTGAACATATACGGGTATATGGAACTTTGTCAGGAAAACAGAAAATCATGCTGAGCTTTTAAATCAATTCAGGGGTCGCACAGGGAGATAAGATGGAGCTTTCTTGATGTAAATCCTGCGGTTCACTTACTACTATAGGCTTATGATAATATGTTCCTGATATTTTCGCTAGGTATACTCCACATGTCTGATCTACCACAGGTGCTCTGTAGATGACACTCAAAAAGCCCCAGTTTCCTAACAGAAACAGATAATCGCTATTGAAAACTGGAAAACATAAAGGAGTGCCTACCTATATCCATTAGATAACTTAGAGTTAGAGTATTATTAGGTCAATATTAGGGTAGCTCTTAGGTACTGATCAGCGGGCGATAAGGGCTACTATGAATGTATTGCTGACTACTCCCCAAAATGAGACTAATGATAGCCGAGCAGACACTTGCCCTTAAAATCTCTTCCTTGTTCTACTTTTTTGAATTTGACACAATTTATTTATTATATTTTTTTTCCCACCCTGGAGGGCTAATATCAACTGTCATTACTGGTTCCTCTACCAATTATCCTCTCACTACCATCGGTTAAGCACAACGGTTCATCATGAATGCTGAGCTTGAACAGGTCCACAAAGTCTGGGAGCGTATACGCGCCAACAGCCCTATATACGCATTTCTACTAGGTGATATTGATGTTTATCACGCTGAGAAAGGTGTTTTTCGTGCGCGAATCCGGGTCGCTCCTAATCACCTGAACTCCAAAGGGTCTTTGCATGGTGTTTTCTCTGCCTGTGTTACAGACTGGGCTGGAGGTTTGGCCATCGCGTCCTGTGGCCTTGAATCCACAGGCGTCAGCACAGACATTCATGTCAATTACCTCTCTACCGCAACGACCGGGGATTGGCTTGAGATTGAAGGCCGTGCTGACAAAGTCGGGAAGACCCTTGGTTTTACAACAATAACTATTTTAAAAAAGGCGGGCTTGGGTGAATTAACTATTGTTGCCCAAGGGTCACACACAAAGTACATAAAAGCCCGTTGATTTCAATTCATCTGTGCTTGATAAATGGGGGGTATCTAATATAGTATGATGTTCTTTACATCACCGCCATCTTCTTTGCATCTGGCATGAAGCGCATATTCTTTGAATGCCCAGATTCACTCGGATAGCGGAGAATAATTCCATTCTATCTGCTTTAGATGCCTTGTTATCTAAAATAGAGGATGAGGCAATCATGAATGGATACATACCCAGGTAGATATGTCCATACAAGTTCTAACGGCCACCCGTTGCGTTGGGTGACCTTAGGCGTAGTCTTTGATCAAGTGGGTGGCAGAAATAAAGGCGGTGGGTAAACTGCAGTACGATGCATGTCAATTTATATATTAGGATTTATACCAATACCACCAATGATAGATGTTTGGTTATAAAAATCTCTTAAAGATATAATAACTGATGCCTACATAGTTAAATAGCATTAAGTACTAACAATAATACCCAAATCAAAAGAGAAAGGAACCTAGGCAGTGGGGTGATACTGTATGCATTCTAATGAAGACTAAAGAACCCTCAGGTAATCTATTATACACAAACATACTTTCATTTCAAATCTTGGAACTTAGGTTTAAGGTACTCTATAGGTACATACCTAGTTATAAGTATGTGTTCTGTGTTGTGTACTAAGGTGCTTCATAGACTGGGCATCCCATTCAGCCTGCCTAGGGTAAAGCACAGACCAGTTTTCTACACCTAAACATTTAAAGTTGGCCACCTACTTACATTAACTGCACTGTTAGGTACAGTCCTTAGGTAATAACCTGAACCAACTAACTAATGAATAACTAACTAGTTAACTAATCAACCTACTACCGCCTCACCTACTAAGTACCTAGTATCTACCTAGGTACTTGTGGTATGAATTGAGGGTACATGAGCCAACAAGAGCAATACATCAGCTTTATCTGTTATAGACCATTTTTCCATGGACAACCCAAGACGTGGGGATTGATAATATTGATTTGAAAATGATTGCATCTTCTCATGAAGTCACTATGGACAATTCCAATGATGCAACTCCTTCACAATCAGAAAAGTCCCAGTACACGGGAAAATCTGCCATTGAAGACTCAATGAAGCGCGGTGATGAGCACAAGAATAATATACCAAACCTTGTGCAATCCAGGGAAATCGTCGACTTCATTCTCAACTTTTTATCCACATCTAATAACGAAACACTGCTCTGTGTTTTCTTATGCCTGATCGCTGTGACCTACATTGTATTGGGACGAGTCGGGTTAATCCTGATCGGTTTTGTATTGGGAATCGTTTTGCACGCGTCTTGGGATGGGATAAGTGATGGTTCTGCTTCCAACGAAATGGTGTCCAAGAAATCCAATAAAAAGAGGGAGCTTGCACTGGAAGTAGTCAAACGATTGATCGACCGGCGCATATACAAATCAACCGATATCAATGTTGAAGACAACCCCGAACCAAAAGCTATTTCGCAAGCTTCAAAAATAGATCTCGAATATTCGGCTTTCCGTCCAGAAACAGCATCTGCTTTAAGGTCGCTGACCGATGCGGTAATTCAGAACTATGTGAAGTAAGCTCCCTTTTCCCATAAAACATCATGAGCTCACCCAAGGACAATGAAGTTATTGGTATGAACCAATTTTGCCATCCGAAACGTCGTTCCCTCTGTCCTGTCGGCGAATATTAACCGATTTTATTACATCTGTGTCATTCCACCTCGCGCGTAAACGGACGACGGACACCTTTCTAGAGTTTCTTACAAACTCCTCCTCAATCACCATCGTATTTCTAAATGAGCTATCTACAGCTTTCGACGCCACGGATACGTATATTGAACCGGAACAGAACATCAAGCGTTATTTAGAATTATTTCCTGAGAGCAGTTTGTCCAATGTTTTGGCAGTTCATCAACAACAAAAAAAGCTCAACATGGCTGCAGATGATATCCTGTCCAACTTTCTCGACAGAAGCGCGTATAGCTGTCCCGCAATCAGAGATTTTCTCCGAGAGGTATTAGCTGGTGTTGTTTTTGAATCCATGGTCTCTAGTCTTTCACGCCCCGAGTTCATCAATGGCTGGATAATCCACATTTTCAGCGAGGGTGAATCTGAGATCATGAGCGCAATTGATGCTGGTGTCGAAGGGGCGCGAAAGCAAGACGTGGCCATGAGAAAAGGACCAAGTGATTCAGCAAATGTGGCTTTAGTATCAGCAGATAACACCGGACCTGACCTACAATCTGGTTCCAAAACCAGCGGGAAACAGATCCTCGATGGGGATAAGGCAACGGAAGAAGCGATTATGGAAACGAAACGCCTAAGTGTTTTGATTGCAGCCCAAGATGCACAGAGTCAGACCTCCCTCAAAGACGCAAAGAATGATCCGCGGGGTCTGGGTACCCTCATTGGTGGCGATGATGCTGCCCCAACTCACCCGAATGGGGAGATGATTCAAAGCCCTATGGGCAAACATTTACAAAGCAAAGAGTACCCCAACGATGAGAAAATGCAAAATATAATTGAGCACATGTCTGAAAAGAGGTCCGAGTCAATGGATCCCGTAAGGTCACCTTTGTCACCATCAGTGTCCATGGATTCCTTCCCGAAAGGAGCGAAGTCATCGTTTGACAGTACTAACGGATCTCCTCTTTTAACTCTCCACGGTGCCTCTGTGTTAGTGGATGATGGCTCGGAGCCGGGAGAAAGGGGGTTGATACGGTCGAAGCCTACGTCGAACTACCTATTGCAAATAGAACCGGTGTCATCGCGTTCCACCGGCTGGATGGTTTTCAGAAAATATGCTGATTTCGAATCACTCCACGAAACACTGGAGACGATCTCACGATTAAACAAAATCCGGGACTTTACAGACCAATATCCTACTTTACCGCCTTGGAAAGGGCAAACAAGAACATTATTGACACAGAACTTGGAGCTATATTTGCACGACGCCCTTCAACATGAGTCACTCGCGGAATGTGAAAGAATGAGACGTTTTCTTGAAAAAGATGGGTCGCCGGGACCCGAATCCGCGGGAGGTTCTGTGAAAACCGGCTTTTCTTTCCCTAGTCAGTTTGCCTTCGAAAACATGGGAAAGGGTGTTCTAGATGCTTTGACGAATGCACCCAAAGGTGTCGCCGGGGGTGGCAAAGCTGTTCTAGGCGGTGTAACCGGAGTTCTTGGGGGTGTGGGAAGTGGCAAGAAGAGGTCATCCTCAGCTGCAAATTACCAAAATCTCAAAGGCCGCCCTTTGTCAAATGAACCTCTTCAAAGCGCACCAGATGAGGTGGAGGGCCTGAGAAGCCGTGAAACCTCGATAGGGCTAAATACAAACACAAATGGACATCTATCTTCGCCAGACTCTCACGCAAGACAAAATATCTTATCCCTTGACGCATGCTCTGATCGCAAACCTCCAAACGACTCAGGAGTCCCGCAAAATGAATCCTCCAGAAGTGCAAGCAGCAGTTCAAACCCAGCGGCCGAACGAAGTTTAGTTGGATTAGACACTGACGACCCTTGCCCTTTCTCTCCTAAACTCTCGAATACCAAAGGTCTAGGTGATAAATCTGCGTTGCTTTCACCGGGTAGTGAAACGAAAGCTGAGGCGACCTGTCACCCGACATTCACTGGACTGAATGCCCCGGAAAAGCAAAACAGCCCCATCACGCACGAGGAAACTCATATGGCGGTAGAACTTATATTTGCCGTCATAAACGAACTGTACACTTTGTCATCTGCTTGGAATATACGCAGAACGCTCCTGAATGCCGCAAAATCGTACATTCTACGTCCTGGTAGTCCAAATCTCGAGACGATTCGCTCTCTCCTGCAAGACTCAATGATCGATGCCCATACTTCTGATGAAGCCATTGGAGTGTATCTAACCAAGGTACGCGAAAATTGTCTTCCAACAGAAGCCGAATTGAATTCCTGGCCTCCATCCCCTGGCGAGGTCGAAAAGGAGCGCCTGAAAGAAACTGCACGGAAGCTACTTGTTCAAAGAGGATTACCTCAAGCCTTAACAAGTGTCATGGGGGCAGCTGCCAGTCGGGAGGCACTCGAAAAGATTTTCGATTGTCTGCAAGTTGAAACCATTGCCCGGGGTCTTATTTTCTCTATTCTACTACAGGCTTTGAGGGCTGTGATTCTCTGATGAGGAACTCATGCTGTGGCGGTTATATTTATGGTGTAAATCAAATACGGGATTATGTGTATATTATAAGATCCAAAGAGTTTTCTACAACTTTCAACCTCTATCATTTGATATACGTTAAGTCATGGCTAGGTATGTTTGTACCATGAAGATTGCAAATGACGCAATTTCGATGAGATCTTATCACCACGTGACTGAACGTGTCTATGAACGGCGCGTAACCCGCATTCGGCAATGCCTTTCACATACATTGTCTCTTACCAAGCAAATCATTGACATATTATCTGGTAGTCTCTTCAGTCACACCCCTTGTTTTATATTTAGCTTGTACCATGGCTACTGGATCCAGAAAGCGTTCATCAAACGCAGGCGATGACTTCGTCGTTAGTGATGACGATGATCATCTTCCGGCAAAAAGAGCGAAGACCAATTCAACAAAGACCATGCCCTCTAGCAAACTGCAAGAAGATTTAAAATCAAATAGCAAGCTTGATTCCAATGGAGATCGATACTGGGAAATATCGAAAATGCGGCGTGTTACGGTTTCCTCCTTCCGAGGAAAAACAATGGTCAACATCAGAGAGTATTATGAAAAAGATGGCCAAGAGCTTCCCGGAAAGAAGGTCAGTCTTATTTTTGAATGGTTTATGTGTATGCATGTTGCATAGAGGGCTTACTGACTCTATCTAATCTTTTATGTAGGGTATTTCCATGCCGATGGATCAATTCGCTTCCTTTATTAGCTTGCTACCTGATATTGAGATTGCACTCAGAGAAAATGGAGAGCCAATTCCTCGGCCAGATTACACTGGTAGCATGGGCCAATCAGTTGATAACAGCAGTGAAGGGCGGGAAAGCCCTGGTAACGAGCTCCAGGACTCCGCTTCTGCGAAGCAAAATATCGAAACAACAAGTGAAGAGGATGGCAGTGACGAGTAGTAATATAAAAAAGCACTAAACTTAGTGTTTAGCATTTCTTTACATTCATGATCTAACATATGACTGTATCTCATACCTCAAATACAGAAGCTTCATAGGTAGTTGGTTTCAATGCCATCAAGAAATCACCAGCATTATGAAGTACATAGGGTTTCATATATTTACATTTGCTCATGGGCTTTATAATAGGCATGATTTAAATACTTGCTCTCTAATCCGTATGTTGTTTGCCAAGCAGCAAATAAAACACCATGCTAGAAATAGTCGATCCACTAAATCTAAATGCAAAGTCACTAGTTGTGTCTATATGCAAAGTATATAGTTATCTTGAATTTCTGCAGTTCTGAACTCACATTTCAATCTGCTGGAAGCCACTGCCTATCATAGCAACACTCCCAAGGGTTGAAGACCTGGAGAATCCTCTAGATTCACACCTCACCGGGCAGTAAATTATACGCATTTTCTTGGTTTAATAGAATATACATAGGTATAAATAAAGCACTGTAGATATTCCTTAGAGGATCATACCCAAAGTACATGACTGCTTGCAGCCAGCCATTCATCTCATTTCAGTAAAAAATTATCTTAGTCAAGCTAGGTACTCCATACTGTATCCATACTTGTACTACCTATGTTAAAATAGTTCCAGGTTGATAAGATGGTATTCATTGGACTCCTATTTATGGGGTGCCCATTTTTTTTTTAATATACCTGTACAGATCATACCTTACCACCTTTACTTATACCTAGGCTGGGCCGCTAGGTAGACATCTGGTATCCTTTTTTTTTTTTTTTTTTTTTGTTAAGGATGACCTCCTTAGTCCTTATAGATAATTAAAACTGTTATGACCAGTGGAGACATGGCAGTTTGACCTCAGATCCAGTGTGGTCATGTGATCATCACTGTAAATGGCAGTTCTCTGTCATTATCTTACATAACCAGCTCAGTGGTGTGCTAACTAAGTCATATAACTAGTTATATGTTATGTGATTACATAGTAAATATCTTTAATGCTGGGTGTAATGTACTATACCTCAGTAACTACCTAGTCCAATAATCTACCCATACATTCTATCACACTTTCTAATTTCTATGCACCTTCAGGTTATGTCTTTACGGAAACTGCCTGAAAATATAACTATGTAGAAACCAATTGTTTTTATAAGGTGCTCATATTGGAAGTTTAGAACCATAGGGAGCTAGGTAGACTATAGTGGCTTATTATTATGACCAGTGGCTGCATGGCAGTGTTCCCAGCGATATCTTATATAATCTGCTCAATGGTGTGCTGAGTCACCCCACTGCCTGTCATGTGATCACACAGTAAATATCTTCAACGCTGAGTGCAGTATACCGCACCTCATTGATTAGTTCACTATAATCCACCCATACATTCTATAACGCTTTCTACGCACCTCTAGGATAATTCCTTACACATATATGATATATCATTTCCTAGACTCTCAGTTGCCCAAGTTAGGGCTCCCTGTGAAGGTGCTATGCTAAGCAAACAGTATATTTAGAGTAATAATTTTTTAAACTAGTAAATAAAAAGAACCTATAATATCATAGAGAATTTGACATAAATATAAGTTTACTTTGTATTCCATAAACTGCCTGAATATGGAGAACCCAGTACTAAGAATTGTATTACTAATACATATAGAAGTCTGCCCAGTCAGTAATCCTCACAGTTCACCATATATACTATATAGGTAGGTACTTACCTAGGCACTCTAGTATATAGCCTCAGTATAGGTATTCAAGGTAATATAGAATAAATTTCCAGGTGATTGGGTTAGTCATTACTGTCAATTTAGATATATAGTATTTCATGCAGTATTAATCTCTATTATAACTATGAATTGTAGTTTATAATGAATACTATGGAGTACCTGAGTAGTAACAGGCGCTGAAGTGCTACATACAGCATACTTAATGCTGTCTACCTTACTACATAGTGAATGATGTGGAAGTTACAGAATACAGAGTACCTGGTAGATGTCACACCTGGGTATCTCACAATGGTACCGAACCTGTGAATCTGTGAGTCAAGCCTGGGAAGTACTAACCTGTGACCCTAATCCAAGGATGTCAACAGTAACTGGGATGCTCTTATAAGCTGAGAGTGCTTGATAATGCAGTAGGGTATACAAGGAGAGAAGCAGGGCCAAGAAGTGCATACACTTCTTAATTAAGATTAGAGATGTGCGAACAAGTAGGTAGAACAATCAGAATAAGTAATGAAAAGGTAACTATGGATTGATGACTTATATTAATCACAAAGAACTATCTAAGTACATGGAATGTGTGTCCTTATATATCCTTCACTAATTATACCATTCTGTATCAGTATACCATTCATGGTACTCCTAATGGTATTCTCCTAATGTGGTGGTGTTCCCTGTAGATCCTGTATACCTTCCTGTATACCATCTATGGTATACCAAATGGTATTCCTGGTCACGTGAGTACGGAGGTATCGGAAAATGGCTCCTTCAGCCCCAATAGGTAAATTACATGAAGAATATGTCTCCGTGGGTCAATGCCTGACCGCCCGATTCTGCCTAATACAGTCGCTGATAAAGATGCCGTAACAGTAGAACTTTATCCTACCCCAAACCAGGTATTTTCGATACATTGAAAATACAACCTGAAGGATGTAAAATTGTAAAACTAATTACCTATACCTATAGTAACGTACGAAATTACACCGCGAATTTGACCCCCCGATATCTATGTATTGACTCCGTATTTTTCTTTTGAAATTATTAAGACCCCAAACTATTATTTAGGTAGTAGCCTGGTACTTACCTACCTCCCGTTGTATTAGTGTGTAAAAAGTTCTCTGCATGTCATGTGACATTGTAAATACATTTATTTGATTTCACTACAGTAAATATCACATGATATGGAGAGAGCTTTTTATGCATGCCTTCAACCAACCATGGATATATGTATGAAGGTCTGCAATACATACTCTATGCTCCCATTTATATTCCACTAGGTAGTAAGGTAGGTACCTAGGTACAGAGTAGATACCTATTAAGGTACCTAATAAGGTAGGTAGTTAGGTACCTTACTGTACCTCCCTAGCTGTGTATTGTACTATACATACATACGGATGCCCACATGGATGGACATCCATCCATGGATACTGGTAATGGTACCTCCGTACAAAAGAAAGCAGGACACCCCCTTTTCTTGCTGGTGGTTGACTACGAAGTATTGAACCTCAACCCCCATTCTGGACCCCATTTCTTTTTTCATGACCAATCTCACCTTTTGAACACCAATTTCAACTTTTCCCAGACCGTCCTTTCTCTTTTCCCATTATTTATGGGTATTGCTGTGATATCTATCTTGATACAAGCTCAATTCGACCCCGCATTGGCTAATCCCAGGCTCAATACCGATCAGTACGCTGTCTCTGTCCACGGACCACCCCTGAGCACCATCATACACCATACGGAGTACCTTACTGTTATTCTTCCGAGCTCTTCCAACACTGCACGCTGAGCCACGCCCTATAGCCATTGGTTTGCAAGACACTATCCACTGAGTTTTATATCTTGTTGCGGGCTCATCCAATTTGGCGCCACTTTCTCATTGAATGTTCCGCGATAGAACCGACACATAAAAGACCCCACTGGCTCTTTCCTAACCCCTTCCTGAAGCGCATTTGCCCTACTTCCTGCCAGATAGCATTCGAATTGATCATCAAGCGAGTCGGCTTTTATGCTCATGGAATAACAAAGTTTTTTCATTTTTCGTTTTGCTCAATGACGAAATGCGTATTCGCTAGAAACATCTCGACATTTGCGCCGGATTGCAGGACCATGTGCCGAAGTTGATATGAAAAAGGAGAACTAGAAGACTCAGCTTCCAATATTCTACGCGAGATTACCGAGGGTCATTTGGAATAAGTGTCTTTGTTTAGCATTACTCTAGGCGATCTCTAGAGAATGACCAAGGATAATCCACTGCCTGCTCTTATACCTGCGATATCCTCGACGACTGTGGTCTATTTAAACTCTCCAAAGCGATTCAAGCCCCGCGAAAATTGAATTCGCTTTTTGATGGTTTATATTGTTTGGTATCTTGCTTTCTTGCGCCCCTCGATAACAAGTGTTCGGCGGTCTCCTGGCTTCGACCGTCTGCCTTTTACTGGGACATACATACATTTCCCCGACATCTCGGCAAATACTTCGCACAATCAACGCATTCAACCCCTCTAGCATTGTCTCTGATTAGAAATGCTACACTCAACCACGGTCGATCCCGCATTACCTCCACACCAGAGGCGTTCTTCTAGACCCATATCGCCCGAGTTTGCACCCCCAGCCACCATGGACAGAGCTTCTTCTCGTTCTCCACGCCCTATATCACGAAGCGATCTACACCAGCAGCCAGAGACCAGTTTGCTAGAAAATGCATCTAGTTTCAGCGTAGTAACGCCATCCGTGATCGGGGCCGTCTCAGCACGAATTCCGAACTCGCCTCCAGCCAGCTCAGGTAATAGCGGTGCTATTCAGGAAGGGCTTGGGAGCTTGAATCGCTGGTCCCAGTCCACAGCATCCAGCAAGAGCCCTCCCAATCATATAGATTACCGCCAGGGAAGTTACTCCAGAATGTCTAATTCTGGCGATCATACATCACCCAAACGTTCCAAAAGCCCCATAACAACAAATGTCACCTCCCATCTGTCACAAGCAGACCATATTCCCCACAGCGCAACTGTGGCCAGCCCCGTGGGACTACCTGCCATTGCTCTCCCGGAAATCGGCATGCTATCAACTTTTTCAACCGGTATCATGGGCAAAGTTCCGTCGCAACCTGGATTCGTATCCCCTGAGTCTTCATCGATCTCCGCCAACATGTTTCAAAACCCCTGGAAGGGACAGGGCTCCGAAATGGAGAACCTCCAGCAATTTGCCATTGAGGATCGCGCTCCTTGTGTACCACAATTTCAGAATCGAGTCTTGGAAGATGGCGGATATACAATTGATGAAGGCCCATATCCATCTATCGGAAAAGACGAAAAGAGCCGAGGGAAACGGCAACGTGGTCATTACCAGAAAGCGACGCTTTCGAAAGCGTTACAGAAGGCAAACACGGCCGTTCTTCTTGATAATGCTGCGAATTTTGAAGGTGCCATGGAAGCTTACAATGATGCCTGTCATTTACTACAGCTGGTTATGCTCCGTAGTAATGGGGGCGATGATGAGAAGCTAAAGCTCCAAGAAATCGTAAGTTTCTCTAAAACTTTTTTTTTTTTTTTTGGCCTTGGTAGTCCGTTAAGTGGCTAATCCGTCTAGCGTGATACATATATGATTCGAATAACTGAATTGCAGCGCATGGACTTTTCATTTCAAGAAGCTGATCATAAAGCACTGCCTGAACGACCCTTGAGTCAGGAGTCATATGGTGACCTGTTCCGACCACTTGAGGATGACGAGGACGAGGCGTTTTCAGGAACAAGTATGAGCCCTTTGCAGACCACTACAGATTTCCGTCATCAAACGGTGCCCGAAGGACAGAAGGAACTAGCTTCACACCGGATCCCACCAAGACGCCAATCATTATTGCCTTCGGCGTTTGATGATGAAATACGATACGCTACTGCTTCACCAAATTTCAGAGGCCAGCATGATCGTTCCCACTCCGAGCTGTCTTGGCAAACCCTTCAAAATGAACGTTTAGAGGCCACTAACCGTACACTGCATGGTGGCTCGCCGCCAACACTTTCACCCAGAGAGCAGTCTCCCGAAGCATCGAACCTAGGGGGAGATCTCTCTTACGGTGGCAAATATTCGGAGTTGTCCTTGCTTGGCACCCACGTTAAGGATGCCAATGAATCAACCTCATGGCTTGACACCATTGATGAATCCGGTGCCTCATCCCCATCTTCTATGCGCTCTAAAACATCTTCTGTATACTTGCGACATAAGAAAAACCATCACTTCAGCCACGGCACAGAGGCTGAATTTGATGCTGCGCTTGATGCAGCTGTTGAAGCTGCCTATGATGATGGTTTAGAACCGGCAGTAGGGCTGAGCGACAAAGATGATGATATCGTGGCGAATGCTCGGCGAAACGTTGAGCTGGCAAAGCAAAAAGTGAGAGAGGCGGAGCGAGAAGCAGAGGTAGCAATGACGCGTGGCCGAGAGATGCGTCGTTTTCAAGATCAGGAACAACCATATACATTCGATTCAGATTACCTCGACGAAGAAGCAGAAGAGGAGGAGCGCCTGTTAGAGGAAATGACCAGGGAGTATGTCATGGATGATTTTGAATTTGATATTCAGTCCAAATCTGCTCTTCCTCGGCAATCGGACTCTAGCAGCTTTTCTGGGAGGACCTGGGAGAGCTCGGCTGCTTCTAACACCACAACGGCCGGCGCAGCCTTGTCTACACTTGCAGAGGATGATGTATTGCCATCAACGGAAGCGAAGATAGGCCCGAATACACTGCCCCATCTGTCCTCGGATTCGACCTTACCGGTGTCAATAGCCCCATCCGACAATCCCTCTGTGTTACCCAAGCAATCTTCGGCTCTCGGGCAGACAGCAGGTTCAGTGAGAGCACGGAGAATGTCTGGACAGGAACTGAAGATCGAAACTAGCTCTCGCCCAAGGCTTGGCTCTGATGCTTCCGGTTCTGAAAAATCATCAGACCAGTTGACCAGCCGGCCACCGCCACTTCCGAAGGACGAGCCTCAGACGAGCCTGCCTATCCAGGCAAGTAAGGGGTTAGATCCTACTTCCGCCTTGCGATCCGCCATGCCCTCAAGCAAACGCAATGCTTCCATTAGCTCCTTTGCCGAAGACACAGCGGCAAATGGGAATCTTAGCAAGGCCCTAACTCAGGATGACGACGACGCTGGTCTGTCACCACCGCCAGCGCGCCCAATTGGCAAAGTGCCTTCTGCACCTGACAACCTGGGCAAGCAAAACCCAGGTCTTAAAGCGTTCCGGACGAGAAATGTATCGGTACCCATCCCTGAGCCATCTGCAGATTCCCCTGGAACCCCGTCGAGCAGCGCGTTTCCAACCTTGGATCTTCATAAGGGAATGGCAGCTGGCGTAGTTCCTATCCTACCGACGCCGACCGGTGCCAGTTTTACACCGAATGGTCTTCCCAGCGGCGGGTTGTATCTCTTCGATAGCCATATTCACTCTCCCACCAGCCCGGGATGCCCTAATCCCATGGTTACTAATGCCCCTATGCCATTAGAACCGTGTCCCGAGTCATTTCTTCTGCGCCCATTTTGGCTCATGAGATGCCTTTATCAAACGGTGACTAACCCTCGCGGTGGTTACCTGTCGACCAAACTATTTATTCCCCGTGATGTCTGGCGCGTGAAAAATATCAAGATCAAAGCGGTCGAAGAAAAAGTGTCTAACTGTGACCTGTTAACGGCGGCATTGCTGAAATTATCTCAGGTAGATACCTACGATGCTGATGCTGTACTAGAGGAAATGCAGTCACTTGAGAGTGTTCTCGACCAAGTCCAAGCTTCTTTGTCAAAAAAGTTAGGCAATGAAGTTGGTGTGCAGGGGGCAATGCCGCTCTTCAGAAGCTCCGCAGCCTCGGATGATACAGCCACCACTGCGGAAATCCCGCCCTCGAAAGGTTCAAATGGACCAAGCAAGTCATATTTGACTTCTTGGCGCAAATTGCGATCTAAGAATTCAGGATTTGGTGCTGCAGCATCAATTACCAGCTCCAAGGAAACCAGCAAAGATAATTTGACAATCAGCTCGCTCCCCATGACTTCTACTCCCGTCTCACAATCCGAAAGACCCAACGTAACACAATTACAATTTAATGGGCCCAATGCAAATTATATGGGTGCTTTAGCGCGGCTTTGTGATGCAGCTCAAGTATTAGGTAGGCTGCATACCCCTTGATGCGATTCTACGGTTTCCCCACCCCCCTTAGAGTGTCGATGATTGACTTGCCGTTAGATCAAATTGCCCAGCAAGTTGAAGACCCAGGGCTCAAACATTCTTCACCAACCCTGGTTGGGTTGGAGCTGAGTACCCGCCATGCCGCAGAGTTCTTCGGTTTTTACGTATGCCGATTTGCTTTGAATGATATCAGTGTGATGCTTGATAAGTTCATTAAACGAGGCAGTGAATGGGTTCTTATTTAATCGTCGAGTTCCAGTACCTTGATACCCCCATATTCAATTTACCCCTGTTCAAAACCCCCTTTTCTTACGCCCTTTGGGTTCACTTTTCTATTTTTTTTCCTATTTTCCTTCTTTTCGAGATACCAGTTGTTGGAGTTATCATGACATCATGTTGAACATACCCAATTCCAGCTCCTTTTATGCCTTTCTTCACTATCTTATTGCCATAAAAACCAGCTATTCTGCTGTTATATTATCATTTCTACCATATATATCTTATGCTTTACCATACTATGGTTGTCGTGATATCTTTTCAACTGTGAACATATCAATCCATCCCGTATCTACTTGTTAAGAGGGCCATTGTTGCTTTGGTATATATATATATGCGTTCTTTCTATTCTTTCAAGTAGGAATGATCCTTTAATACTGCAGCTTGAGAAAAGCACATCAAGAATAGCTCGCGAATAAAGCAATGAAAAATATTATACTATCAAGCTTATTCAGAGTATAGAATACTAAGACTACTACGGAGTACTTGGTTATCTTATGTATGTGGCAGTGAAAACCCAACGTACAAATGGTATGAAATTGCATACTACCTAGTGTACAATGGATAATCGAACTAGTATGCCGTGGTTTCTCTGCATCCCTGATGACATCAGTAGATTGATTCCGACTGGGTGAACGATTTCAACTTTGATCATGACAATGGACATGATCGCGTCTACCGTTGAGACGGGAGGCTGTAACTCGCAACGTGTGGTGATATGATTACTCCTATGATCAGCAATGTCTGCGACACCATCAAGAGAGCACCTGACCATAGGCACCGAAGATGGCCCCCGTGACGGCTGCTTATGTCCTTTTGCTGGCGCAAAGCGACATCCAGGCATCATCTGCAGCATGTAGCCTGCTGCTGCTTGTTCATTTCAACGACTACTAGTATGTAAGGTCTGAAAGGAAAACTTAACACGCAAAATAGCAAAGCCTCGGCACTGCTTGCGGCGGATTGGGAAGACATTCGTGTTATTTTGTAAGCTGAGAAACGAGAAAAAGAAAAGATTGTAGAGGAAATAGGCAAAAGTACATCAAGGCAAAGCGATTTATCTTTCTCAAATCGTACGGTTGACTTGTGAGTAATCTCCTCAACGCAATTTCAGCCAAAGAATACCATGGCTTCTTACTAGGACATCCTCATACCAAAGCATTCCAATGAAACCGTACGCCCAATTCCCTTCACTGGATAGGAACACGGTCAATATTTCCAAATAATAGTTGTAGGTTTGTGTTAACATTTGAGAGCAGATCATGCCCCTAGTAGCCTGAGCAGATAGAACAGATGAGCAGATCCGAGGACCTTGCCTTGGACATGGTTGAGATGCTTGTTGACTGATTCGCTCACGATACAAGTCCAACAACAGATCATCTTCCTGTAGCAGGATGGGATGTCTTGAATATGGATCATGGCTGCCTATATTAGTATCGGCTATCACTGCTTGCAGTGCGCGAGGCTGAAAGGGAACATAGGGTCATTTGCCCAGCCACGCTTGGTTGCAATGGCCTCAATCCTCGCCAGCTACTCAAGAATCGATTTACCACCGGCACCTGGTTTGATCACGGGCTCTCTGTAGTCAGAGTGATCTGCGTCCAGGACAGTACAAAACTGAGACCGTGAAATGCATCGCACCTCTCGTGGGCGACATATTTGGCACCGCCGTGGTTCTCATGGCAAATCGATTCCCGAAAGGCAAATAGAAGAGAGCCATACAGTATACCTTATGCAACGGTAGATTGGTTTCCAGAATATTTAAAGAGACCAGAGTTTGGGCGAATTTCAGTGCTTCCCTGGAGACCATTACTGGGAGTGGCGGCGGTCAAGTCAGGTTAGATCTGAGGATAGCTACAATCTAAGGTGACATTGGCCAGGCCCAAAAGCCAATCTTTACATCCCAAGAAACATATGGTACCTATGGTGAAAAATATAGACATGCAATTATGCGGGATTGATAAATCAACCCCAGACCCCATCGGGTTATCGTCCGCCGTAATCGGGCTTCTCGGGTTTGGTGAACAAAACGGACCAGGGAACGACACCCCACCACCGTATTCAAGGACTGGGAGAGGTAAGCGTTTAGTGAAGTGATATCTTAATATCAACAGGCAAATAAAAAAGATGAAGAACTATGGAGTAATTTCGTCTGTAGTATTTCCAAGTTCCAGCCCATGGTTTAGGGAAGCAGAAGACTTCCCCCAATTTTTAGTAGTTACTACAAATCATGCGCTTCATAATCATGAATTGAATAGGGGTTAAATACTAATCCTAAAGGATTAGACTATTAGTACTAGTAAGAATAGATAAATATATTAATAGTATAAGTCTTAAATAGCTTTAAGAGGACTTTAAACTATACATAGCTTTAAAAATTATAGGCTAGTATTACCTTTTAATCCTTAATAGCTATAGTAGTTATACCACTACTAAATTTAACTAATTTTATATAAAGAGGAAGATTATTTCTCTATATATACCCTCTTACTTATCTTATCTTCTTTAGCTACTAGATATAGCCTATTTTAGGCTATTAAAGAAGCTATATAGCTAATAGATTTAGAAAGCTACTTAGTATAGTATAGATTATATTAATAAGAGTAATTTTCTAGTAATATATAGGAAAGTATATTACTAGGCCTTCTTAATATTAAATATAGCTTTAGGATTTATAGTAACTAGTCTTATTCCTTTAAAGGTAAAGAGAGTACTATTAAACCTTTATATTAAATTAAAAATACCTCCTCTACCCTTAATATTAAATAGTAACTAATCCTTCTATCTTAGCTATATACCTACTAATCTATACTAACTAAATTAATAGAAAAAGTAGCTTAAAGAGCTATAAATCTAGTTACTATCCTCTATTATAGTAGAAGTATGTTACGGCACCTTTATCAGTAACCGCATCAGGCAGAATCAGGCGGTCAAGGGGAAAGGATATTCTTATGGCGGAGAATTACGATTTGCTACCACGACGCTCTTTACGGCTACCATCTGGCAGACACCGCCACACTAATGTGATATGGTATACAGGTACCATGTCTTGGCGAACATACCATTTGGTATACCAGGTACGGATGGTATACATCTTGGTATATAGAATGGTATACCACTGGTATACCATACGGAGGACCATCTAGGGGACCATGGAGATAAAGGAAAGATATATAAGACGCTCATTTTATGTACTTAGATAGGTTCTATGTGATTAATACAAGTCATCATCTCATAGCTACTACTCCACCACCACTCTGATTGTTCTACCCACTTGTTTGTACATCTCTAGCTTAAGAAGCATACGTACTTCTTGGCCTTGCTTCTCTCTTTGACTATCTTACCACGTTCTCAAGCACCATGGCTCAGAAGGAGCACCCCGGTTACTGTCGACGTCCTTGGATTAGGGTCACAGGTTAGTATTCCCAGGCTTGACTCACAGGTTACAGGTTAGGTACCATTGCGAGATCCCAGGGTGTGACAAAGTAGTACTTAAAAAGGTAATAAAGGGGGTAGAGATTACTATATATAGTATAATCCTATTTTAATAAGAACTTCATTAGCTATAGGCTTTAAAAATGTATTAAAAAAAGAGAAAAGAGACCTTATAATATTATATTTAGGATAGAGGAAGTTTAATAAGCCTTTAAGCTGCTTAAAAAATAGTAGAGAGAGAGAGAGAGAGAGAGAGAGAGAGAGAGAGAGGGAAGTAGAACTAGGTCTATTATTAGGACTAAAGCTATAGTATACTACATACTACAGTAATTATAACTAAGAAGGTTATAACTAGCTGAAATGCCCTATTAAATAGTTATTCTTTTATTTTTTAATATATTACATTTATATGGGTGTAAAAAGCTTTAAAAAAAAAGACTGCATTTTATTAGAATCATAGGTGCGGAGTTGGCCGCCGCCGCCGCCGCGGCGCAGCTTGGTGTCCTGCGCAGCTCAGTGTCCGGTTACATTATCTATATAAATATAATAGTGGGATAGAGCATAGTTGTATTTTTATTATTATCCTAAATAGCTTTATACTGTAGAGTTATTTTAATTATATTAATTAACTACTCTAGATACTTTATATAAATTTATTTCATACCCTAGCTAATAGAATGGGGCTTACAGATCTAAGATTATATTTATAGTAATAGTTCTAGGCCTCTTTTTTATGCTATATTAGTGATATAATATAGAATATATAGTTAATGTGTTGGTTATATATAAAATACAATTCTATCTAAGTAGGCGGTCTGCGGAGGCGGTCTGGCTGGGGGGTGCAAACTAGATTCCTCCCACTGTAGGTACTTACCTAGGTATCGGAGGGCGGATTGGATGATTATTACTGTAATAATACACTGTAACACAGGGCTCTAGACTATATCAGGTAGTTATCTACCACGGGCGGCAGGCTGCTACGTATGGAGCTCATAGCCCCCATCCCCCAAAAAACACGTGCCAAACTCTTTTTCGCGTCGCCATCACCAAAACAAATGGAAAGAACGCGGCGGTTGTAACGCACCATATACAAGTTGAATCAGGTTTTATTATTTTTCTTCCAAAAGGTGAGTTTTGTGTCTTGCCTGAAGTCATTAATATCGGCCAACTAGCTGATTATGATAGAATTTTATTGATTCATTATTTCTTGGAATCCCTCCGTACTTCACACTTCGCTCGATAGACCTTACACTGCCATACAAAATCTAGATCAATAAAAACCATGCCACGACCACCTACGAAACGGAATCGCCTGGCATCCAAGGCTCCCTCTGCGCCCACCAAGAATATTGCACACTCACAAGTGAGTAGTACGAGTCGCGAGCAAGTCGACTCAGCAGATGCTTTCAGGCCACCCTCAAGGGAAAGGCCGGAGGCGGACAACGCTTCACAGCCAGGAGAAAATGCTTCGGTGTCAGGTATTAGGCGCCAATTAAAGAGCCAAACACCCATTGGCAAGGCGCATGCGCAGGCAATCGATTCATCACCTATGGGAGAACGCATAGCTACAGGAAGTCGACCACCCACGAGAGCTCGTGGTTACTCATCAACTCTCTCTCTTGTAGGGAGAAAGGGTGATATGAGCTCTAAGATCCCTGGAACTCCGGCCTTTGAGAGCTCGATACTGAGCAATTTCAGAAGAAGACCCCGGCAGCCCAGCATTCTTCAGATGATGCAAGCAGAGGATGGATCCTCTGATCTCGACGACGATGATTTTCTTGGCGGGTTGAGCCCAGAAGACGAGTCTACGCCGCTGAATCTTTCCAGGGGGAAATCAATTTTAACCAGACATCCTCCTTCATCCCCCTCGGAGTCTTCATTACCATCAAGTGGTGGGTCGCGTAAGCGGAGACGAGCTATAGAAGAACTACAAGTACCCAATTCACTTTTGGAAGCTGTGGAGAACACCCCAGCTAGCTCACCAGTTCCGGAGGGCCGTGGGGGCGATGTAGCCGATTCTACAGACCTGCCTCTGCCGTTAGAATCACCAGAAGTCTGCAGTCAAACAATGGCACCGCCCATGAGCAGTAGCATGCCACCAAGCCCCGCGCATACCGTGTCAGCGCTCAATCGAGACAACCCACCATCTGCTACCACAGAACTTTTGAGAAGACCTGCCAAGGATGCGCCTGATGATGTGATTCAGTTTTCCACGGCAATTCTTCAAGATAAATTGCTTCCGCGGCGGCGCCAACGGCAACGCAAACACCGAGATGCAGTAGGAACTGATGTACCCAAGGAAAGCGAGCGTGATTACCCTTCATCCGAGCAAGACGATGATGAATTAAGCTACTTGCCCGCCGGGAAACCGGCTCAATCACGGCGAAAACAGACGGCCAAGTCAAAGTCATCCAATGCTCGAGTCAAATCAAAGCCAGCGGGAGAACAAAGGCAGAAGAAAGGCCGAACAAAAAATGACCACAGTGCCAGAACAGACGACGGCAACAGGAGACCAATACCGATTGCGAGACCGTTGAAGCAAACATATACTCGTCCTCAACCGGATGTTTCTATTGACAAAGCAAACCAGCCTGTCGACTTGTCCTCGCCTTTATCATCACCTCTTGATTCTGATGCATTCGAATCTGATGCATCTCTGTCAGACTCGGGGCCTGCGACAAACTTCCTCAGTGAAGAGTTGAAGTCACAGGCGATGAAGTTTGCCGAGGTTGACAAATGGCAAATGGAATTTGAAGATGTAATTACGTCTGGCAGTCAAGGCAGTTCGTGCAGATAAATAACACTGATACCACAATAATATCCGCAATTTGCCAATTTAGCCTATCACCAATTGGATTGATTCAGGCCTAGGAAATAATGATAATAATAAATTGAAATGTAGCACCCATTTATCTTTTCGCTTATTTCTCGCAAGACTGCTCTCAGGTTCAATAAATCCGACAGTAACCGGTGCCGCATGCCTGAGCCCCGCAGGAGGTTGAACCCCGCGATTTTCAACTCGACTTCAAGAGACTGTTCTGCTTGCTCAACATAGTGAGTTGAATTTTACTATTCAAGTCTTTTTTCGCTTTCGCACATTAAAGACACGGACTATGGCGGACTCTATTTTAGCAGGGAAATACCCGGCCAAAGCTCATGCGCGCCGAGTGGCAGAATATCTACAGGCTCGAGGATATGACAATGCCGGAGTCATATACTTGGAAGCACAGAAAACTCGTCTCATAGAGGATAATGATGAGGCGATGCCCTTTAGGTATGACATGTAATGCCTCAATATGTCCTCATAGTTGCAAACTAACCGGCATCGTCCCAGACAACGGCGCCCGTTCTTCTATCTTTCAGGGTGCTTGCTGCCGGACTCATACCTAACATATGACATTGAGGCCGATTCATTGACTCTCTTCATACCTCCAATCGACCCTGAGGAGGTGATTTGGTCTGGCCTTCCGATGTCCCCTGACGAGGCTTTAGACCAGTACGACGTTGACCAGGTGTTGTTGACGACTGAAGTCAATGCTACTCTTTGCTCTATTGGTTCGGCACATGACGGGAAGTCTGTTGCTTTTGCGATCGCCGACCAAATATCGAAAGAAACCAAATTTGAAGGCTTTTCCGAGACCAATTTATTTGTTTTGAAAGCAGGCATCGAGAGCTCCCGCGTTGTCAAGGATGAATATGAAATTGCCCTTTTGAGAAAAGCGAACGACATATCCGCCAAAGCACACATCGCAGCTATTCAGGCATCAAAGGCAGCAACAAATGAGCGCGAGATTGAGGCCGCTTTTATTGCCACCTGTATTGCTAATGGATGCCGGGAGCAGTCCTATCACCCCATCGTTGCAAGCGGTGAGAAAGGTGCCACTCTCCACTACGGAAACAATGACCAGGAACTTGTCGAACCTGCTTCCAAGCAAAGAAAGAACAATGTGCTTATTGATGCTGGTGGGGAGTATCGAACATACTGTGCTGACATTACACGCGTCTTCCCCTTGAATGGAAGATTCGTAGCGGAAACCCGCCAGATTTACGAGATCGTTCTGCAAATGCAAAACGAATGTATCGCAATGCTCAAAGATGGTGTCCAGTGGGAGGATGTGCATGAGAAGGCGCACCGCATTGCAATCCAGGGTTTGCTGAAATTGGGCATTCTTCGCGGCCCAGAGAATGAATTGTTCGAAAAGAGAGTCAGCGTAGCTTTCTTTCCTCACGGCCTCGGCCATTATCTTGGCATGGACACTCATGACACTGGCGGTAATCCTAACTACGCAGATAAGGATACAATGTTTAGGTACCTTCGAGTGAGAGGCCGCCTACCTACGGGCTCTGTCATCACTGTTGAACCGGGCGTAAGATTCATACCCTCGCATTCCAACCGGCCTTTTGTTATCTCTAGATGCTGATTTTTCTGTTGGTTAGATCTATTTTTGCCGATTCATCATTGAACCATTCCTCAATTCCGAAGATTTGAAGAAATACATCGACATCAATGTCCTGGAGCGGTATTGGAGTGTTGGTGGTGTGCGAATCGAGGACAACATTCATATCACCAAAGAGGGATATGAAAACTTGACTACGGCACCAAAAACCATCGAAGAAGTTGAGAACCTGGCCTCATAACGCTATGTCTACATTGACTGGAAAGACCTTTCACCGAAGTTAGTCCCTATGTGTAGCAGCTGAACCAAATTCCAACGGAAATACTTATTACCTGGCTTATGGTGTCAGGTTTCTGTGCGAGATTCCCAAAACAACTGGTCATAGATCTTCAAACTACCAAGTGCTTCCCCCGGCATTGTCTGCCGCTTCATATTTGATTTATATACACGCAAAGAGTTCCAATTTGAAAGCACTTTCAATCAACCCTAGGAAATCAAATCTAGCATAGCAGCTAGTACAAAGCCTTTTGTATCTATGCCTCATGCCCCCCTGCAGCTTCAATCTTGGGATAGTACCAGGTAGTGACTGCTATGATAACATAGACAAGCACACAAAGACCACCTTCAAGCCAAGTGGACTTTCCGTCCCGCAGAAAATTCCCAACAACGAGAATCGATAGTACAAGCAGCGCAATCATGAATACCTCAAAATCCAGCCCCATATCTTTCCCCAAGCCCCAGCCCACGAGGACTGCAAGGGGTGCGTTCAACAAGGCGGTTTGAATAGAAGGACCGAGGCAATGAAAAAGAGCGAAGTTGATTTGATTATCCCTATTTAAGGGTTAGCCAGGCAAAGATCTTGGCTCAGCATTTATGATTTTGTACTTACCAAGCCTCATCAATGGCAGTCAGATGCTCTGCTGCCTTTTCAACCACGGGCACTAATATCAGACCCATGAAATTGTCGGACACGCCCCTCTCGACGACGATATGCTCAATTTCCTGGACTAGGAAAATGGCTGACATGCAAACACATGCAAGCGAAACTGCTATGGCTACAAAGCACTCTGTCAGTGTTAGCTTGGACCTCATGAGTTCCTCGTCCCGGTCTTCATCCTGGGCTTCATCAAACTCAAGAACTTCGTCGAAGATAGAATGATGACTGTGGAGGTTGTAAATTAAGAACCTTGGGCGGTAAATAAGCGGATGAATCATTAAGCAGAAAGAACGGGGTGCAACTCACATTATAAAAGCGACGATGAGAATGACAGCAGTGGCTCTACTGATCTTCAGAGTGAAGCGAGACAAGTCGGCAGGCGTGATCTGCACCTTGGCCGAATTTCCGCTCAAGGCCGCATAGAAGGCGCTCGGTATCATCAAGCCAAAACCTGCGACCAGCAATAACCCGGAGCCTACTTCGCTGATAGTTTCGTGGAACTTTTGATCCTCGCGCAAAATACCCCCAAAAAAGAAACACATACCCAGGCAAAGCAAAAGGTTCGCCAGAATGGAGCCAAGAATGGCAGCTTGTATGACGGGAATCAGATTTCCACCATTGTCATTGTGGATGAGGACCATGAACAGTACTATTTCGACAACAGAGCTCAACGTCGTCTCCAACAATATACCAAACACCTTGGGAAGTTTTTTGGCGAGCTCGCCGCCTGCGAACCCAAGCAAGTTTGCTGAAGGGACTATCGCAATGTAATTGAGGGTAAACACCCAAACATGTAGATCTGGGCGAGCAAAGTGGAAGGCGATGGCTGCCGGGACAAAGGGCCAGAGGACGCTCACCAGCATGGATAGCGTACAGGTACTCTTGAAGCAAACGAAGAGAAAATGGAGCGGATGAATTCCTCGTCGACCACTTTCGCCAGCAGTACTCACACGGAGTAATCCACGGCGGCGAACGGAGGCTTTCTCATTGTGCATGGGCAATATCGAATACTCCTGGCCACTGTTTGTCTGTTGTTGGGAGGGATCAACGGCCATTGAACAATCATTGGCCGAGGCCGGTTGGTATTTCGTGTCCTGCGGAGATATCTTTGTGGTACTCGCCATCTCGGAATTCCTCCTCCAGTATTCTTTCGTTTTCGCTATTATTTGCAATGTCCGATGTGTGATGAAACCCAGCGTCTGGCCAGGAAATACCCAGAGCCAGATATTCAACTGGGGGGGGGGGGGGGGGGGGGTAAGGCTTGACGCTTTATAAAGCAGCAACAAGCATGTTTGAGATGCCAACAGATATACACCAGTAAAAATGATAAAGGGCCAGAAACTGTATCAATAAGGAACTTCGTTTATACGCTTGTGAAACCGACCAAAACGAACCAAACGCTGGAAATCAAGATGCAGATGCAGATGAAGGAGAGAGAAAAATAAAACAAAACAGCAGAGTACACTACCAACTCTCAAAGTTTACCAGCTTTGGTCAGTCTGAGCCTCTCACACGGCCTCGAGGTCTTGGCAAATTAAGCCAAGCCAGTGCGTGTTTTCAATCGACAATGTTCAAGAGATGCATTTTGCTTTGAATGGTGGTTCTGATCGACAATCTGTGACAGTTTGGGCGCTTCCCCCCCCCCCCCAACAAGATTATTTGGCTGTTTGTCTTATTCTTTCTTATTAGTGTACAGTGCGGTAATCAATGCCCTATGCCATATACCAGGAATTGGATTAAAGCGAATTTTCAGAGTTTCTGTGCCGACCATCAAGGGAATTGTAATACGAAGTAATGATGTGGTCGATGTTGTTTCTGGCCCAAACGGCAAAAAAAAGTGGAGATGTCATCCAGCACAGCCACGTTGAAAAATAATAATAAGATAATAGATAATACTAATAATAATACTAATAGCTTGTAATAACTAATGACAACCTCTTGAGGTAATACCGAGGTAGATAGTGTTGTCATCGTAGAAAACATAGCTGATCCTTAGTCGTCTGTTAATGGGTGCGGACGTCCAGACGAAGTAGTTCAAATATAATTTGTTGATTGTCCCAGTTATTTTGCATGTCTGAGCCATCAACTGAGCCAAACATGGACTTTTCCACGCAGTCACAAGAATCACGAGGAAATACTCCGAGATCTATGTACTAGGGAGTTCATCACTGCGTCCAATCATATAAATACTTTGATTGTTTCCAGAACCACTTGCGGTGGGCATTGAGCTCATCCTGATCAACGACTGCAATTTGCTCAGGACCAACCATTATTGCTGTGGCCATATCGATGGATAATGCAATGGATAAATAGTCCAGTATCAGCCCTGCACTTGAAAAGCTCTCAAGATATATGGTGGCCCGGTGAGATGACGAGATCTTCCGGCATACCAAAGTCTTCATTCTATTAGGTAAATAAATAATACCCCATAGATGAGACCGTTTTGAACACAGAAACACCACACAAGAGAACAAAGTATTTAGTGTTGAAAAAAAAAAAAAAAAAAAAAAAAAAAACGAAAATAAATAATACAATAATTCAACCTACAATTAATTTAAATATACATCACCTTGCGTCAATCTACTGTACGGTAGAGGTTATCATCACATGTAACGTGTGAAGTGGCTGCAAACGGCTATCATCGGGAGGGGAGCTATTCTTGGGATTTGCGAAATCTTTGTTCCATCGCGTCTTATGAGATTTCTTCACTTTGCGGCTTCCTAACTCATTGGTATTGTGCTTTCATACTATTTTCATCGAAGACGATTCGTTGGGAGCTCAGTTCTTTCGGAATATCCTCCCCTTATACAGTTGATCTTTGATTTCCATTGGCTTGATTTGGGCTGTCGATCACCATGTCCTCGATAACTACCCCCGCTATCCCACCAGTGGCTCTCGACACTATCACACAATACATTGGGAATACCCCTCTTGTGCGGTTGAACAGACTCCCACAAAGTCTCGGGATTGATGCAACCGTGTATGCAAAATTGGAATATTTCAATGCAGGAGGCAGTGTGAAGGACCGGATCGCCCTGCGGATGATCGAAGAGGCCGAGCGATCTGGCCGTATAAAGCCTGGAGATACTCTCATCGAGCCTACCAGCGGCAACACGTTGGTCTTCCTCATTTTGCCCTACTTCCATTTGCATTAAATTAATGTTTCTAATCCTCGTTGTAGCGGTATTGGATTGGCACTGGTTGCTGCCGTCAAAGGTCGGTTCCTATCTACATGGCTTCTATTATTACTGTACTGATATCATCTCACCACACCCTTAGGTTATAAAACGATCATTACGCTCCCAGAGAAAATGTCCGCTGAAAAGGTGTCTGTACTACGCGCATTAAATGCTACGATCATCCGTACTCCCAACGAAGCTGCATACGACTCACCCGAATCACATATTGGTGTTGCCAAACGTCTCGAGAAGGAGCTGCCAAATGCGCATATCTTAGATCAATATGGGAACGAAAATAACCCATTGGCACACGAATTTGGTACAGCAGAGGAGATTTGGACTCAGACGAAGGGCCAGATCAAGGCCATTGTAGCCGGTGCAGGAACTGGTGGAACAATCACTGGATTGGCTCGAGGCCTTAAGAAGCACAACCCGGATGTTCAGGTCATCGCAGCAGATCCTCATGGATCTATCCTTGCTCTTCCTGCTTCATTGAACGATGAGCATGTCGACGAGCCCTATAAGGTCGAAGGAATTGGATATGACTTTATCCCTCAGGTGCTTGACCAACATGTTGTGGACAAATGGTACAAAACTGGCGATAAGGAGTCGTTTCAATTTTCTCGACGTTTAATAGCCGAAGAAGGTCTCCTCGTTGGTGGTAGCAGCGGAAGTGCTATTTCTGCCTTGGCACAGGCTGCCCAAGACCATTGCTTTGGAAAAGACGATATTGTCGTGGTGGTTTTGCCCGACAGTATCAGAAGCTATCTGACAAAGGTAAAGCCACTGACTGTCCTTTCAACTTTGTCGCTCCACTCTCTAGTTTTTCTCCTTGGAGTTGTTTATTCTAACCCGGTTTAGTTTGCCGACGACGACTGGCTAGCAGCAAATGATCTCCTACCGTCACTATCCGCCGAGGCCGCGCCGTTATCTCCCACTCTGCAGCCGCAAGGCCAGAGGGACGAGTTTGCTGGATCGAAGGTAAAATCACTTCGATTGAAGCCAGTAACTACCATTCGGTCCGATTATCCGTGTGAGAAAGCGATCGAAATTATGCGTGAAAAGGGATTTGATCAACTCCCTGTGCTTGCACTTTCTGGAAAGAAACTTGTTGGACTTGTTACCTTGGGAAATATCCTGAGCCGACTAACTCATGGACGCGCTACTGGAAAGAGCCCCGTCGCAGAGGTCATGTTCGATTTCAGCAAAATATCCGAGGTTGTAACAGACCCTAGGGACCTGAGCTTGGCAAGTTCCGAGTCAGATGGCAAGCCCGGTGGCACAGATATTTTACGGTCCCAAACTAAAGGCCGCAAGTTCATCGAAATCACAATGAACACTCCGTTGAGTGTACTGAATCGATTTTTCGAGTGGAATAGCGCAGCAGTTGTTACTGAACGGGATGAGCATGGGGTAGTGAAGCCATTGGCAGTAGCCACAAAGGTTGATCTGCTCACCTGGATGGTCCATCATAAAAGGCCATGAACGGTTTCATGAACCAGTAACCTCTAACTGATGGCTTAGAATACGCTTCAATGTGTTTATTCCCCTGTTTATTATTATTATTATTATTATTATTTTGGTTTAAGTTTCTTCCTGATTAGTTGGGGCGTTTTACATGTTTCTCCTTTCACTTTCACTTTAGTGTCCTTCTATCAAGGTGTATAGGAAAAGTGTTTATAGATTAATTTTAACATTATAGAGTGGCCAGTAGCAATTCTTTATCTTTCTGCTTATATAACAGTTATGCATGTCATAAACTGATTTCCCTTAGCTATATTAAAGTGATTCTTGCCACATTATTTCAGCAATCATTGATAATAGACTTTTTACTCTTGATCTTTGACTCTCTATAACTATGATGTTCTGTTGGGAAACATTCATCACTCTACTAAATGTAGAGATTAATCCCAGTTAAAATCAATATAAACTCCACTTCTTACACTGTTGTCTTAAAATGTAAAGTTGAATCATTTCACAGCTCAGTTATCCCTTAAGATGACAAGTCTTTTTACATATCGAAACTTCTCTTTAAATGACACATCTTCCCTAGACGGCAAAGTGCCAGTGGTGACAGTGGGTATTTACCTTAAATACGCACCAAAGCAAGAATAAACATAACTTTAGGACGATAATATGCAAGAAAGTTACTGATAATGTACTATTTTCTATTGCCTTGGTAGGTGGCCAAGCAGGCATAGGACAAGGCATGCTTAACCCGTTCTATCCGGTGCACATGGCGCAATCTTTCTTTATATCATTTATGGTTTGTAACTGGCATCAAAAATAAAAACCTATCTCAGAAATTACATCATAGCGCCTCCTACATAATATAGAGAAGGTATTCATCATTGCCCGGAGCAGGACCAAGCATACAGCCGCACGAGAGGAATGGAGGCACCGGGATGGAATTTCACTTGGCGAGAGGGATGAAAGGGTCGAGTTCATCCGGTGTAATCTGGCAGATATAAAGGCTGTCAAGGAGGCAGCCAAACAGATAAAAGACAGGACAAATAAGATCCATATAGTGATAGGTATGCAATGCTGGTAAGACTTTCTTTTCATATGTTCAAATACCCCTCTACCAGATATTCACGACCAAAGCCTGCGTTTTTGGATGGCCTATGGCGGTACGATCGCTCTAAGCTCGGTCATATTCTCTTTACCAAGGAGCTCACCCGCCACCTTCAACAGGACAAGGTTCCTACAAGCAAGGATATCTATGTCAATACTTTCTTTCCGGGAAGCATTGTCAGAGCAATGGGACGGATGGAACTTGTACTTTGGGAAGCTACCTAGTGGGTTCCATCCTGAAAACGGTGTTTTCATTCATTGGACAAATTCCAGAGGACAACGGCTCTATATTTGGCTGGAAGTGAGGTAGTCCGGGAAAGACTCTGGCGGTCAATACTTCATTCCCATCGCTAAAATGCTATGCAACAAATAATATTACTAGGAACATGAAACTCGCTCTTGAACTGTGGTTAAGTTGCGTTCTTTTCAATTGATCATATTTCTGTTGCTCATATTAGCCATGCTTTTTCTGTACAGGACTGGATTGATGCCAAATCCGCGGAGACAATTAGCTCCAGTTGAAACGAGGCTAGCAGCTGTTCTGCCCAGCCCGTTTCAAGTATTCCAGTCTCCGAGATAGCGAGATCAAGGCCAGCTTCGCTTCCGCTACCATGTCCCAAATGTAACCTCGTAGAGCTGTGGGCTGTCTTTAACTGCTTTCCCAAACAAGCCTTCGGATATATATTCATTAGCCAGCTACAGCCAATCCAGAAATTATGTAGAAATATCGAAACACCAGTAGCTAGCCAGTAGCTCGGATTGAAATACAAAAATACCGTTCATAGACACTGTCCAACCCATTCTTCCCATCTTTTCACACCAGATCCAAAGCTTTCATCATTATCATCACCCTTGACAGCCCCCCCAACGACGTCAACTTTCACGCCAACTTCATCCTCCAAGAGCTTGAAGCTGAATGTATCCTGTGCATTGTCATTGCCGAGGATGTCGTCATCCCCCTCGTCCACTCCAGTATCGGCACTTGCATCCATAAGACCCTTGCTCCTGGATTTGCGGATTCGGTCAATCTCGGCCTCGAGCTTCTCACGCACCGATCCAGGCGGCAAGGCAGTGAAGAGATCTTGTTTGTTGGCCGCCACAAGCACCGGAAGCTCCATGGCGGCCTTGGATGCCGCCTTTCCCTTCTTCAAAGCTCGCTTCTGAAGAATTGAGAGAATTTCGTGTAAATAGGTGGCCGCATCCCGCAAAGTCCCATCATCGGAAAGAGCAGCAGTATCCACTACAAAGATAATGCCACGTAACTTTGTTTTCATGTCCGTCGAATTTGACATCAGCCGCAACTGTGTAATTCCCTGAGCTCCACGCAGCTTTCCATGACCAGGTGTATCCCTGACACGGTACTTCACAGGATTTCTTGAAGCTTCCTTCAAAGAGGGATCATTGACAGACCGAAAGCGGTTAGACGCTGTCGGGACTGAAGGAGGGAGGCTGACCGTGGTCAAGGTCGATGTTTGGGACGTATGAGTGAGTGAGGATTTCTTGGAACTTGGAGACGATTTTGCTTCAAGCTGCCAGGAGAGAACATGTCAGAACATATCTTTTAACCCAGATAGCCCCCAAGCACAAGAGTAGCAAATCTTACCAACGACAAAAGAGTTGTTTTGCCTGCACCACTGGGTCCTAGTAGTAGAAAATTGCTAGATGGCGGAGATGCAACTGTGCGATAAAAGATAATATGCAGTAAGACAGGGAGGCCAAAGGCAATAAAGGCCGTAACCACAATGGCGATAGGGTTACCATCGAGCAGACTGGTAGCAATGGCTTCAGCCGAGCGCCAGTTTAGTTGAAGCCCCATCCTTACTACGCCCAGTAGATGGAGGTAATGGTGATGATTTTTTATAGGAGGGTCTGGGAAAAAGAGAGAGAGAGAGAGAGAGCCAAGTGTAGCTAGTTAGCTGGCTGGCCATTAATATTACCTAGCGTCTCATCGGATGATCAACGGCGGACTGATCAGCCCACTGCCGCTCGGTAGGCATGCGGTATTACCGTAAGTATCTGTCTTGGCTCCGCTTCCGCTCTCACGTGCTCCGCCGCATAGTATGCAATGTTTGAGGGTTGAAGTTAGTTTGCATACCATTGGTTCGCAGGGGCGACGGCAGGAGTCAAATTTGGGGAGCAGCGCGTGTGAAGTCCAGAGACCTCAATTTTCCCATCCAGTTTTCTTTTTTCTCGCCTTCGTTTGTCACTTTCGAGAATCCCTTCAGTATGAGATTTTTACACTCGTTACCCTTTGTCTTTGGTTTGCTGTCTCAGGCTCTCGCAGATGTTGAATTCACTGTGCCCACAGTCGGTTCTACGATTAAGGGTGGGGGTGTCATAACAGCCTACTGGAAGGACTCTGGCAAATCCCCCAGGATTTCGGAGCTTTCACAGTACAATCTATATCTTTGCGCAGGTGGAGACTCCACAGATACCTATGTACGTTCCGCTCTTTTGTGGGTCTGTATACAACGTCACGGGATTTTCATTGACTGTCAGGGTTTATACAGGAAGAAATAGCTACTCTCGCGACAGAAGCAGCTTTTCCTCGGGGGAATATGGTTTCATTTAGGATTGACTCAGATGTGGGTGGTAATGAGACGAATGCATAGTAAGAGCATTTTCGATCGAGCTCCGCCGCGATTGTATATTATGGGCACTGACAGGATACTCTTGTTTTTCCCGCAGTTTCCTGAAAATGGTTGCATCTGGCCCAGAAGCTTCTATTATCAACTATTCAAGTCGCTTCACGCTCACCGGCATGAGCGGCTCTTTTTCATCCCATCTCATGAATGGAATCAATTCTGTCGTTGACTCTAATGCTTTACCCATTGGAGAAGAACATGAGCGGGAGGAACTTCGAAAGAGACAGAATGTTGGAGCATATACCATCCCGTACAGCTTACAGACTGGGCCAACGAAATATGCGCCGATGGCTAAGCAGCCAGGGAGTACAATTCCGGCCAAGTCTCCAACACCCCAATATCCAACCAGTCACTATTCAATTGCTACGACATATCTTCCTGAAGCTACTGTTCAACAAACCCTTTCTGCCGCTGCAACCTACTCGGTTTCTAGTGTTGAAAACACAGTATGTACTTGCAATATTCCCTACTTGCTCTTTGCTCGGCTTTCAGAGTGCTAATAAATTGTTTTCGTGTAACAGGCATCTCCTGCGCCGCACCCTCATGATAAGAATAACTAATGGCTCTTAGAAAGATGGAAGGACTGAGCCTTTTTGTTCATGGCGGAGTTTAGGGATGGGATATTCTTCAGTGCAACTGGTTGCCATAGCTCACTTCCAGCTTCTCTACCTTCTGTATTTTTGAAGTTCTAGGGGGGCATTTTGGAATTAAAAACAATCATCTTAATTTATGCTTGTCACGTCAATTAATAATAAGAGCCAGTGTTTCAATCTTTTGATATACTCCCAACGGCCATGAATTTCAATCATTTTCGGTAGCCTGATCAGATTTACAGTATATGCAACAAGAAAAGCGCGGCACACATTTTCTTAGATCCGGAAAATAATACGCCAGTTTTCGAATTTAAACCGCAAGCAGCGTAACATTAGAGAAAACGTAAGATGTGTGTTTCTTTTTTTTTTTTACAGAGCGAAGACTATGTAGAGTTCGTTAGCAGAAGCGGCAGAACTTGTGTATATATATATCCATTCTCCAATGTGATTTATTGAGAGAAAAAAGTAAAGAAAGAAAATGCGTATCATCGTGCGGAATGGGTAGAAATGCAAAGTTGGGTTGGTCCGTATCTATTTAAGTCAATCGAGCATAGCCGCTGGGTGAACCACTTGGTTTACCATCGCGGGGAATCGTCAGGGCGAAAGAAGGATATGTTTTCCCGGAAAGCAACATATTCACTATCGGCATATCCTAAAAGGGATTGTATCTGGGTACTTCTGTGCCCTTTGATGCGAGCAACTTCGATGCTGCCGTAATTGACAAGAGCCCGCCCAACTTCTTTCGGCTCCTGTCCATGGTGAAGGAAATCGCCGTTAAGAGAAGACGGAGAAATCCTTTCAACCACAACCAGTCGAACGGCTTCTTGTTGTGCAAAGTGTCCATCAACACCAACCACGCCAGCTGGTAACAAGCCAGCTTTGGTCTGAAGCGCATTGTATGCACCATGGTCGATAAATATGGTTCCGCGGGGCTTCAGTCCATGAAGCAGCCAGAAAGATCGAGATTGGATTGGACTTTCTGAAGGGAGAAAGCGTGTATGAAGGGGGGGTGACATTGATGGTGGCGGTGCAGCTTCATCAGTCGCTGATGCGCGCATTGAAGAGTTCTCAGCGATGTTTTGGAGATACTTCACGATGTCGTGGACGTTTCCTGGCTTCGAACTCTTGGTAATAATAGTTGTCACGCCAGCACTAGTCCCCAACTTTGCAGCCACAATCTTAGTGCTCATACCCCCAGTTCCCAGGGACGAACCAGCAGACGATACATCAGCTTCCAAAGAAGAGATGTCCGAAACTACCTCAATAGGTCGTGCATCAGGGTTGGTTCGTGGGTTAGCAGTGTACAGGCAGTCAACATCCGTCATTAGAAACAAATAGTCAGCTTTGACCATGGCAGCTGTGATGGCAGATAATGTGTCATTGTCGCCGAATTTAATTTCCTTGTAAAATTAGAGTTAGTATTGCATATAATACATACGACCCAGATGAACCTACTGAAACTGCCAATGTGTCGTTCTCATTGACTATAGGGATCACCCCCATGTCGAAAAGCTGCGAGAAGGTGTTTTGCGCATTGATGTATTGGGTTCTCTGTGACATATATTAGATATTTGAGTTGAGATCTTGAGCTGGTGAGCTCATACATCTGCGATATCGTTTCTCGTCAAGAGAATTTGTGCGACAGGAAGACGGAGATGTGAAAACAGACCATCCCACAAACTCATAAGCCGGCACTGCCCGACAGCTGCCAGCGCCTAATGAGACCAATTAATTATGGAATCTATTTGTGTGTTGAATAAACACGGTATCTATACCTGTATGCGAGGTAGGTGTTTCGGCCTCTCATCTATATCCATTCGCCGTAGCCCTACACCGACAGCGCCCGAAGAAACAAGGACAACATTGTGACCATCTCGATGAAGCCTGGCCGCAGTTTCAACAATTAAAGTTAAGATCGACAGGATGGGCTCGTGTGTGTTTTCGTCAACGATGGAACTTGTTCCTATAGAAAAGGAATCCAATGAGTCAGTGTTATATATGGCAGATCATCGAGTATCCCCGCACCGAGTTTGATAACGATTGTGAGTCTCTGAGAATCCTTCATGATGTGAAATTGATTGATGTGGATTACTAGAAAGCAAAAATTCCCATATAATAAGGTACACTGAGCAGAATACAACTCTCCACCACAGAATTCCTGCTCTTGTGTGCAGTCAAACCTGTCAAAGTGTATCTTTCGCTCTCACAAGACTCGTACTCCGTAGACTATGGGTTTCTGGGGACGCTTCTTTCTGCCATACATTACCGCCCACGCGGAGATTGGAACGCCGGCGAAACCTCTCTTTCCGCTGCGTTCAGCGAATCAACTTAATGGATATAACTTCTCTGAAAAGCCGACACTCCTACAATGACAGACTCTCAACAATCTAGTACTGCCTCGAATAAGGAGAACAATGCCGATTCTACTGGTTACGTTCCGGGAGATGACTCATGGACACAATGGCGCAACATTTTCGCTATCTTGTCGGGGAAGATGACTGCCGAAGGGAAGGAACAGTTCCGTGTTGCGCGGGATATTCGAAATGAAGCTGCGGACTGCAAGCGCTGCGAGGATCAGCGAGATTATCTCCTGCAATACAGTAAGTTTGAATTCCTCAAAAAACTTGCCTAGTCATGGCTGTTATAAGCCCAGACTAACAAATGTGTTTCAAGGCCCTGTCATTCGTTTTCTGAGCGATAGTATTCGACAACTTGGTGGCGATCTGTCCAGCCACAACATTTATTGCCGTCGCTGCACAAATAGAAAAGCGGGAGGGTTCGACCCTGAGTATGGCATACTACTTTGTGCCAATGAGATGAGAGACCAAGGTCATTTGGAGGACACAATGGCACATGAGATGGTTCATGCCCACGACCATTTGCGATTTAAAGTTAATTGGACAGAAAACTTGCGGCATGCAGCTTGCACAGAGGTAAAAACGAGAGCAAATTGAGCCGATAGTGGTGCTTGTTTGATAATTTGCTAATGCTTATAATAACAGATTCGAGCAAGTTCACTTAGTGGAGAGTGCCGATGGGCACGAGAGTTCTTCCGGCGAGGCCAGTGGAAGTTTACACAACAGCACCAGGAGTGTGTGAGGAGAAGGGCGATCCTGTCGGTCAGGGCAAGGCCTACTTGTAAAGACGAAGCCCATGCTGAGAAAGTTGTCAATGAAGTCTGGGATAGTTGCTTCAGAGACACGCGGCCCTTTGATGAGATTTATCGATGATATACCCATCCATAGCTTTGTAAAACGATTTCCTCTCTTCATTTTTTTTTACTGGGATATACAGGCATAGAAACTGTTTAGAATGTACTATAATTAAGACATCGAATCAAAAGAGACGAAAGTGAAGATAAAAACAAGATATCAAAAAAAAAAAACCATTCCCCGAAAGATTCCCGTTGAACTCCTGTGAGACGAAAATGCTTGACAAAAAAACACCAGCGCCCTGGCTGAAACCCATTAAACTCCATGTAGGCTGATGGAAAAGAAATCAAAATAGTGCAACGCCTAAGGGATGCGTCTTCATTGCTTGGTCTTGGGGTCATGCTTTTTCATCCTTCGAAGAGCCAGAGCTCCGCTTCGCATCCTTCGCGCAATGCTTGAGAATCCAGGGATGACGCTGGATCTCATCAAGCGAAATACGTTTCTCAGGGTCAAGGACGAGCAGCTGCATAAAGTAAGCGGGTAAATCTAGCAGAAAAATACGTCGACCTTTACTTACCCTTTTGATCAAGTCCCTCGCCTCAGGGCTCACAAAGGAAGGGACTGCCATGTCTGCCCTAGCGATTCGTCTTTGTGTCATGACTGGGGTGTCTTCAAAGGGTGCCTCGCCGACCAAAAATTCGTATGTCAACACACCCAAACTCCACAAATCAACCTTCTCACTGTAAAAGTTGTCCTGGGCGCCTGGTTTGAGCATCTCGGGAGGAAGATAGTCCAGGGTTCCACACATGGTCTGCCTTCTGTTGTTTGGCGCATGGACACTCCAACCGAAATCACTGATTTTGATTTCACCGTGGATTCCAACAAGAATATTTTCGGGCTTGATATCACGGTGCATAACATGCTTTTTATGCAAGTACTTGAGAGCTGCAGCCATTTGTGCAATGTACTGCGCAGCCTTCCACTCGGGGAATCGATGCTCCTTCCGAAGATGCTTGTATAATTCTCCCCGGCCCGCGAATTCTAGGATCAGGAAGATCCGCTTGCTGTCATGGAAATGCCCATAGAGCCTTAAGACATTTGGATGACGAAGGTTGCTCTGGATCTCGATTTCCCGCCTGACTTGCTTCTGCACTCCGCCCTGTTGCAGCTCAGACTTATGCAGGACCTTGAGAGCACAAACAAAGCCCGAAGATCGCTCCTTTGCCAGGTAGACTCTTCCAAATTTCCCCTTTCCCAATGGCTTGCCAATTTCGAACATTCCGAGGTGTAATTTTTTGGGACCCGCCTGCTCTCCAACGAGTCGGGGGTCACCGTTCTCATCTGCATTGCGGGCCGGCAATGGATTTTGCGATGCTTTGGCGGGGGATGAACTCGAATTAATTGCGTTGACCTTGTTTTCGTTGGTATTTTGAAGGGCTAGCTTTAAGAGATTCGACCTATTAGAGTTATTGCCCAACTGTCCTGTGGAGCCGAGACCTGAAGACACAGTCGAGAGAGAGCCCTACGCGTAAAGATCAGTTAGGAGTTCTCAGATAGATCATCTGCCATTGATACCTTGGTCTTTGGTTGATAACGGTTGTTGCCGTTCTCATTTTCGTCTTTGACAGACAGATGCTCGAAACGAGCTTCTAATGCCTTGGTAGTAGCCATTGGTAGGGGATGGGGTGATGGTTCGCAGAGAATAAAGTGATAGGGTGTCGGTCTCTAATACTAGGAGCGTTACTCAAGGGCAATCATTGCTGAATTGTGGTTGAATGTCGAAAGAGTAAGAATGTTTTGTGTGTGGTGTATTTGGCAGGAGAAGCAGTAGAAGGGTGAGCTTTAGCTGTCGGCTGTTTGGGTTCTGTTCCCTTTCGCATCACCCCAGCAACGCATCGGACCGCCTCTTTCTCCGAACGCCGCGGGGTATCGAAATCAATGATGATTGATAAGGAAAAAAGTGATCTAAAGTAAAATCAACCCTGGTTGATAACCCAATCCCTTTATTTTTCATTACAGCTTAAGCAATATTTGACTTGATATGGCGTCCAATCATTGTGTGACGCCTGTTCCTGCAATGGGCAACCCGACGGCTGTCTCTCCTACATCCCAGAAGCCCAGTTCTATCTCAATCAAGGGCTTTAAAATCACGACTCAAAAGTTACCAATATTGAAATCTGATCCTATTGAAGAAATGACAAAGAAACTAGGGATTACGCCACCAGAAATGATTTTTGGTGATAACTTTATTGCTATTGAACATGAGAAGAGCGGCTGGGGCATTGTGTTTAATGCGTTTGATGCATTGGACCGCGTCGATAAAACAGGCGAGTCAATGCTCAAAGTCGCATATTCGAAAGAGTGGCAAAGAAGCAGGTATTTGAAGCATTTCGGAATCCCTTCTATTCTTTACCCTCGGTGTTGACGTGTGCCAGAGAAAAAACCCACGAAGGTATCAAAGAGATTGTCAAGCCATTCGATTGGTCATATACTACAGATTACAAAGGAACGCTTTCTTCCCAGGATCACCCTTTTGAGGAGACTACAAAAGAAATTCCGATCGAGTTACTGAAACGCCCTGACCCTATTCTATTTTTTGACGACGTCGTATTATATGAGGATGAACTTGCCGATAATGGTATCACTATGTTCTCATGCAAAATCCGAGTTATGCCGGCGAGGCTTCTCTTGCTCTCAAGGTTATTTATGAGACTTGATAACGTTCTCTTTCGACTCCGGGATACAAGAATCTATGTTGACTTTGACAACATGGAGGTAATCAGAGAATACCAGTCCAAAGAATGCGAATACGAAGCAGTCAGAAAGGTATTACCGCACCTGCACATTATGCTGTTTCGGGTGAAAAGACATGGTCGATTAGCTGACGACTTCAAGACCTTAGCAACCACGAGGGATGACGTTCCGGCCGTTATGAGAGACCCAAACAGGCTTTCAGGAATTCTCCCTTTAGCAGAGAGGCGTATAGAGCGAGTCATCCTAGGAGAGTAGATCAATTAGGAGTCATGACCACTTGAGCCCTCCCAGCCCCAATAATTCCCAAATACCCCATTGGTGGCCAGTGGCTCCGATAATCCTGATTAAGAAAGTCTGGGTTCAAACCCACTTCATTCTCAAATATGCCCGTCACAATGCCGACTGCCTTCATTGAGACAAGGAGGGGGGTCACAAGCAAGATGCATTGATGCGTTTTTGCTCTCAAGCGTGTTTGACCCGCTTCGTGAGTAAAGTGCCCATTATGGGAAGCTGCACTAGAACAGGCGTACGGTGGAGCTAGCAACACCATATAGACACCTAATATCCTATGTGATGTACAAGATATCAAGTGTTCTTTAATGGGAGAGGATTCCGCCGACCAATCGGGAATGGCTGTATATTGAGACAGCGGCAAACAATGCAAACTGGAATCTTGCCGTAGAGTTGCAACCGCCTTACCAGGTTTATTTGAAGACAACCAACACGGTGCAATTATAACATAAGCTCCACAACAATCCAACGTAACCCAAGGCCAGCCCATGAGAAATGCCTTCTAAGACTTTGAATTCTTCGTGGTTGCGAGAGCTCCGCAAACCCTATTCGTGGCCTCAGGTATGACGATGCATCCGCCGCGCTCTTTTTTTTTTTTCTTTTAAGAAGGCCCAAACCATCCAGACTGACCAACTAGTTATCACAGCCACATGCAATCAACAGAGCATCTATCTCGTCAAAATCGTTACAGCGTCCTGTCAAAACCTTGTTGATCGGCAATGCTCGCGACTCAGCGCTCATCCCATTACCTGCCTCGAGCTGTCGTTTCGGCGAACTGCACCAAAAATTGACACCTTTTTCTGGACTCAATTCACAAGCTCGCCGACCTTCCTCCAGGCTTGCGAAAGCCATCTTACCACGGCCCGGAACGGCCGCGGAGACATATGTTGCATATGGAATGACCCAGAAACTATTCGAGGCCTGCTCGAGCCAAGCCGACTATCGAATCCCTCAAGTGTCGCAGCAGGGCGCAGAAGTCCCCAAAACCGAAGCTGGTGAAGATATTGGTGTTGGGGAAGGTTGGTGGTATGAAGGTTTGTTTTCTCCTGGCGAAATGACATGCTTCATGCAATTGGGGCCATGTCTATTTGAGATTGTATTTTTATTTTTATTTTTTTGAGACTAATGCCCATTGAAATCTGCAGATCTCGGCCTCCTTCCAACATTTTCAACCTGGTCACAGGTTACATTCTTACATATGTACATATTGACGGTCCGTCTACGGGCCCTGCCATCGCATGAAAGTCTTCAAACATATTCTCGCCACCTGATCGATCATTTCTCGCATAACGCAGAACATCGCATGGATGTGCTTCATGGTCTGGCTAGCCGTGGGATCCGGAATAAGTTCCTCAAAGATCTTTTTATCCAGTGGCGAGGCGTTCTCGCCGCATATGACGAAGGCCTTGTCAAGGGTGATGCTGTTCTAGGAGCTGCCATCTGGAGGAACCTCTGGAAGGCTAGCCACACCGACCCGGAGGGTCAGGACATTGACTGGGCCAAGATAGCTCGTGTAGTCGCGTATATGCGACGAGTATTATCTGAGATTTCCAATGTGAGCGAGGCTGATCTGATATTCACCTTGGGACGCGGAAGTAACGGCAAACGCGGCATCTTCGGGTATTCTGAAGTGGATAAGAAGATGGTTGATTCAAATCGATGAATTGTGGAGCTGGCGAAAGATTTACTCTTGCAATAACCTCTGTTTGCATAATAAAGGAGACGGGATCAACTCAAGCGTGCTTTCTTTTTCTTTTTCTTTTCTTTCTTCGCTGTATTATTATTATAATTTTACGTGAGTAAAATAACAACTTGTGTCTAACTATAAATGCATTATAATAATTACAAGCGACGTTTACATATATTATGTAGTAGTTTGATCTTGGAATATCACATTTACACATAAAATCTAGGTAGCCATGTCCAAGACTTGCGATTTGTCAGTCTACAATGATAGTTAAGTGTTATGATTCATGGTGACGCAAGGTTGATAACTTGCTCAAGGCACAAGGCCTTGGATGTCGGTCTTGCTCATTGATCCTTCTTTCCAAAGAGATCTTTCTCGACCATGGCGCGACAGATAGGGTGATAGAAATCCTTGTACTTCTGGAAAGTCTCAACCGCGAGTGTGGGATCGACCTTCTGTAGACTCCGATACCTGGTATTCCCCACGTTAGTTTTGCTGATATACTGTCAAAACGTGACGGGTTACTGGGGAAGTCTTACAAAGGACGCACGAATTTCATTCTTCCAATCTTACCCAATAGGCTCGCAGTCGGCCCTTGAACACTCTCATCGCCAGCCTTTAGACCAACTTGGAAATATAAATTGGCGACTTCAATGTTTTCGCTTCTCGTGAAGCCGTAAACCTCGCCCATAAGTCTCGACAGCTCGGGTGTAAGAGGGCGCTCAAAGAGAAGGATTTGTTCTAGAAACACCACGGTTTGGTTCGCTGTCAAGTCTTGCACATCGCTCGACTGAGGTTTAAAGTTGGAATCTGGAAGAGACTGCCATTTATTGGAAAGTTCATAGACAATGTCAACGAGCGATGTGTCAAACTGTGGCTTGGGGGGTAACCCAGGCCCATAAAACCAAGTCTCCCAATCAAGATCATTCAATAGCTTAGAGGCTTCTGGGTCAAACTCGAAGAAGCTCAAGATTGAGGCTTTGAACTCGTAGGAGTCAAGAGACTTTCCTTTGAATGTGGTAAAATACTGAAGGGGACAGTCAATATACCGTGCCGTGGGGAGGAAGCATGGACCATACATGAGGGATAAACTTGTCAAACTTTTCCTTTCCCACAAGTGTTTCCAAGTGGAACAGAAAGTTGAAGCCCTTTTCATAAGGCACACTTGAGAATGCATCGTCCGGGTCCTTCCCCTTGAGATTGGTGATGAGTTTAGTAAACTCATGGTCGAGGCCAAAATGCTCCACGGAATCCGAAAGGGCCTTCCAACCTATAATTGCCGAAAAGTGACGGTAGGCTTCGCCGTGACTATGGATGACCTAGTGAGTATGGCTCAAAATTCCTTGAATCAAATACTCACACTGCAGCTAAGATCTTCATTTCAGTCAGCAAAAATACAAGAGCTTCTTTGAAAGTGAAAGACAATGAGGTGAAAATAAAGAAGGGAAACGAACCCGTCGCTCAAGATACGTAGTCCAGCCTTCATTCAACCAGAAATGCTCCCACGAGGCGTTGGTGACCAAATTACCACTCCAGCTATGAGCGAGTTCATGCGCAATAACATCGACATTCTCTCGATCCTTAATGATTATTATCAGCTTAGTCAATGGTACAGTCATAGATTTCTGTTGGACGAAGATTAAAAATACCTTTGAGATAATGCTTGGTGTCGCGAAGGTGAAGATTGGGTTCTCCATGCCTCCATATGGGAAACTCGGAGGAAGAATCAGCACATTATACTCGCCCCATGCATAAGAATAAACAATTTTCTATTATTAAATTAGCATATATTTCCGGATTTGTGATGTGCTTTCAAGGCATACCTCAATAGCATTGATAAATTTCTCCGTGTCTGCTTCAAGCTCCCACCTGCATTCTTCAAGCTTGTCGGGACTAGTTGCAACAACACTACGAGGTCCAATTGCAGCTTCCGAGATATCCCTTTTCTCCTAATCAGTTGTTTTGTCCACCAAGGAAATAGTGGTTTACTTACCCACTAGCCAAAGCGAATAAATAGCTTGGAATCGGCACCTTCTGGTGAAATTGGTATAGAGTCTTTCCGTCGGACTGAGGACTCTGTGCTGAGTCTCTGATTGGCAAGCCACTGGCAATCACAGGAAGAGGAGACGTGATGTTAAAGTCAAGAGTACTCTTAACATCAGGTGTATCTTGACAAGGAAATATGGACCGGGCATGGATGGCCTGGCACTGGGAAACTAGGTAGATATGTCCATGAGAATGGGAGTGCCTCTAAAAGACGAATTTCTGCACGAGGAAGCTTGTCTTACACATATATGGATGTTTATTATTGGAAGTTTGAGCAGGCGTCAACCATTGTAGAGCCGTACATTTCTCAGTGGTTTTGACGGATATCTCAAGTTTCAAGTTAGTAGTTGGAGATGATGTCTAGAAAAACACAACATACATCAACCTCGACGAATTGGTTAAGCTTTACACCCTGTTCAAGCTTAATTTTTAATGCCGTGCCGTACGGTTCCAAAGGAGGGAGAAGCTCCCATGGGGATGGTTTGCCATCGACTTTCACATGGACAATATCCAAATAGTTTGTGTCGAGAATGATATCTTGCGACTCGCTGTTTGTAATGGACTTGAACCGATGAACAACATTACCAGCAAGCTTCTTCTGGTCGAAAAGAACATCAAAATTAGCAGTGATATGGGTGGAAACCCAGCTGTTATAATTGCTGAGGGTGTTGGGATCCCGAGGAGGGTTGATGACGGTCGTAGCCATACTACGAGCTCGAACTCGAGGGAGATGAATTTGAATTGTGATGGAAGAGCTCGATTTCTGTACCGTACTAGCAGACCTGCGAAGAAAGCTGAATCGCCAGAATTGAGACAGCGAGGAGAGGGTCATACGGAGATGCAACCTAGTACCTTAGTTGAAGATCTGGAAGTCGCAGTGTGCCTCCAATATCATAAAATACCCCCGCACGAAACTTTTGGTATTTCTGTTGTCATTACATGCCGGATCCGAGTCGATCTACGTATTATTGTATTGCAAAAAAAAAAAAAAAAAAAAAAAAAAATACATGGGATTTCACCTCAACAAAGGTAATTATTGGTCATGTAATTGCAATAACTCACATGTCAATTAAGATCAAGGGCGGGAATAAAATAAAATATGATATAAAATGAAACAAAATAAAACAAATGCATTGATTAATCAATCAATCATATTGCTATGCTTTCTATTATTATGTAGTACAGCCCAAAATTGCAGAATAGTTTTGGTCAACACAGTTGCGCGGCTGGTGAAATGTGGCCGGCTTGCTGCGCGCAAATGGAGATCGAAGCTATCACTCCCATGAGCTTCACCTGTCATTCTTCCTCTCATTCAGCACGGAAGGTCACTCTTTTCCCTTCTACAACACTTTCCTCTCCTGTAATTTGTACTTTTACTTTTATTTCTTTCCTTGATCCTGTGTCTCTTTTACCCTGTGTCCCCTGTGCTATATCCATCCTGTCACTCTTAGATGGGTTTGTTTGCATGAAAACAGACAGCCCTCTTTCTTTTATATGAGCCTTTCAATTCTCCCAAGCAAAAGCAATGGACACCCCCCAGGCTCAGGTTTCTGGCCTAGAGAGCGCACCCATACCCGCGCCCAACCCTGGAAATACCCAGAATACTCAAGATGTTCAGAACACCCAGAACACAACCACAGCCCCTGATGTTAACATGAGTGAGGCTGGGAGCCAGAGCGCTGTGAATGAAAGCCAGACAGAACCAGGCCAGGATATCACCATACCAGACGCCCATCCAGCAGAGCCAGAAAACTCAAAGCCAGCAGAGCCACCAACGCCCGCGAAGAGAAACCCTGGACTTAGATTCCTTGAGTAAGGAACTCTTTTTCTTCGCAATTGTGCCCCATCACCATCAACAAAGGTACCCAGCTTACATCTCTCAGCTACCTCACATCACCCATTGTCGAGCTTATCGTTGGCCAAGGAGAGCATGAAACTGTTCTAACTGCCCACCAGAGCTTGCTCTTAGAATCGCCTTTGCTCGCAGAATCTGTCGCAGCGTTTAATGAATCAGGACCTGTAGGTTCCACCTCCTACCAGGCCATGAGTTGAGTGCTAATACTATGATGAATTTAACAGCGACGCATTCAACTTCCCGAAGAGAACGTCGAAGCATTTGGATGCTTCCTCCAATTCCAATATACCCGTGACTACTCCTCTGTACAAACAAAGGCTTCTGGTCAAGATACAGATGCTGTTGGAGAGATAGATGATTCTGGAGAACAATTGCTTAAGCACGCGCGAGTTTACACGCTTGCAGAGAAGCTGGGGATGCCCGCACTGAAGACCCTGGCTCACTCTAAGATTCATCGCATTAACAGTACTTCTCGTGGCGAAATTGCGTACGCCCGCTACGTCTACACAAACACACCTTCTGACGACATCACGATTCGGAAGCCTGTCGCGTCCTTTTGGGCGCAACGAAGCCATGTTCTGCGACATGAAGCTGACGAAGACTTCAAGAAATTATGTATTGAAGTCCCTGAATTTTCCTGGGATGTGCTCACCCTTGTTCTCGACTGGAAAGAAAAGCGTTCCCAAGACAGGGCAGAGGCAGAGTCCGGCGCCAAGGGAAGCTCCCGGAAACGACTTAGAAGTGGACTGTAGTCAAGTTTTCCTTGTATGTATAATTGATGTGAATTAATAGAACACGTCAGCTGGACTTATATGGGCCACTGCAAGATTCATGTAATTCTATCCTTGATAAGAAAGAAATAATGTTACTCTTTCACCAAAGTACGTAAGGAGCTCATAAGTCCAAAGCAGCTGTAAAGTACAGAAAGAACCAAGCCAAGTTACAATGCTGAAGTCTGCACGAGGCTATCTATAGATTATAGCAATCACATTTGTCCTGGCTTTACTCCGTATCTCAGTCGATGTTTTGTTGCGTTCGCTTACTGGGCCGAAAGCAACCGCCGCTGATCCCTTGTGGTACGTAGTTCTCCCGACAGCTAGGTCATTATTCCCCGCGGACCAAACAAAGAATTTACTATGGAAATCCCAACCAATCCTGCGGATATTGTCATATCTGCTCTCAAGGAACGCAACATCTCGGTTAAACGAGGCGAAATTGAGTCCGCTTTTGGCGACGAGACAAGTGAGGAACACAATGCAAAATGGGTGTCAGAGCATCTTTGCTATGACACTCTCTTGTCACGAGAAGAGTTTATGTTGTATGTCCCTCCCGGCCATTTTTAAATCAACCCCCCGAATTATTGACCTTCCATAGATACTCAAAGCTAGAAAGCTCCGGCGCTCTTCGAAACATCTTTCTCGCTCCCGATGTTGATGCGACGCGACCGTTCCTAGACGATGATATACGGAGTGCGATTGAATCCCTGAATGCGTCTACTGCTGCGGTCCAGCAACAAACAGAAATTTTGACGTCGCAGTTCGAGAATCTGAATAAACAACTTGGCCTAGAGAATGATCGAAATAAAAGGCAGATGAGGGATATAGAACGGCTGCGCAGGAAACATGAGTTGGGAAGACAGAATGTCGCCGCTGCGGTATTTACTTCAAGGTCTAACTATCATTTTGAACCGCTGCTGAAACTTTGCAGACCAGTGATCTTGCTCATGAGCTCGAGATAAACTTTAAAGGTGAAGCAGAAAAGGCGACGGCTGATGGTAAAAGAATACTCTCTTCGTTGACCGTCCGGTTAAAAGAAGAAGATAGGATTCTTGCTGGTCTGGAAAGGCTCGCTTCTGGAATAAACTCATCTGGGGATGATGTCTTGGTCGTCAAAAAGGCGGCGCAGCTGGGCGCAATGCTTGCAGGCTGTGTTTCCGAAGAGATCCAGCACCGTCTCGATCGATTATACCTGGAAAGCATCCAGAGTAAACAGGGAGTGCCCGGCAAACTCTCGGAACACGAAGATGAAGAATTAGCTGCATTGGAAGAAGAGCTAGAGTCCCTATATCCAGAAATCGATGTTCTGGCTGAAATATCAACGCAGCAGCAATTCAGCGAGCCAATCTTACGGGAACTCCAGAATCACCATGGTCAGATACGGGATGCCTCCCATCGAAAACTCGAATACGTATATATGGATCCGTTCAACCTTGTTAATCCAGTGACTGATTCATTGCAGGTTCTATATATGGTCACTGGCATGGCATCCGCAACAGAAAACCTTACTAAATGCTTACAAAATCGCGAATCTTTTTGTGAAACACTCGAAGCGCTGACAAATATTTACCGATCAGAGGCGGGGGGTCAGTTTTCGAATCAGCCTTCGAGGCGAGAGACCATGATGAAACGACGTTCTATGCAGATACCTTCCATCCCCCCGGGGAAACGTATCTCCCCCCTCCCAGAGGCGCAGGCGCAGGCTCTCGGGAGACTTTTGCGCCGCCTTGGTTTATCCTCCGACTCAGTTTTTCAGTCGGAAGAGGATGACGGGGGTACCAATTGCCTCTACGAGAAGAGAGCGCATATACTTGATTGCTTGCGGAATTTAGGCATCGGTGCTGATTCATCGCTTGTGGCTGAATCGATCCCAAGTGATCGGGCGTCTCGACTTCTTGCTTCGGCCTTGAATGCTGATTCCCGTTTCGAAACCTCTCTTTCAGACGTTGATCAAGACAGGAGACTTTTAGAATTGGAATCACAGTTGGCGCTCGTTCAGAAGGGAGTGGAAAAGCTCAACATGGATATTCTCTATCAGCGAGAAAAGGACCAAGAAAATTTTATGGAGAGATGGTCATAAATGACCAGACCTTAAAAACAAACACAGAGAATCTATATCAATAATTTGGCTTCCCTACGCTCCTCAGCGCTCATTGTTCTTGAAAGATGTACTACGCACCAAACCTATCACTGAAACATACAAAGAAACTACTATAATGAATGACCCAGTCAATCAAGACAATGTTAATGTAAATGGATTCGGCCCCCCATTGTCTACCATCCTCAAAATTTTCTTTCAAGTTTTCAACTATTTCACCGTTTGTGTGGCAAGTGAGACATGTTTTCTCTAGGTTTCTAAGTTCCTAGGACAAGTAAATCTTCAAAAAGCCAAGAACTATATAGCAACTACGTCCATAAAAGGGCCAAATCAAAATATCGTTTGATTGGACATATGAGTGTGGCTGGTGTTGTACTGCGCCACATCAGCTGCTTGCGACACCTCTCTCTTCACGCTCATCGGTCATGCATAACATCATCGAGACCTTGAAAGAGAAGAGGAGGGAAATCTCATCGGTCAGCCTTAGAACTAGTCTGTAAGGCCTCCCGAGGCATAATGCAGCCAACCTTGAAGGAACAGGCCAAAGCTGCCTGCTCTAGTAGATTCGTTGGCCAGGGGCACTCGATTGACTCGCTGCAGCCTGTATGCCTCAATGGAGGCTCTGACATCCAACTAGGGTTTTGCTCCTTCGGCTTTTTCTTTCCTTTCCCATGTCATCAATAACATCATAATCATGATCATAATATTCTACTATCCATGCTTTCTTTTGTCATCTGTCCCTGGGCCATAGTCCTCTGCTCACTGTGTCCTCTCGTTTCATCTGCCCGGCTGACATCTACTGCGCCCCTGTGACCGAGGCCAGCCACGCATCTCATGTTCACCATTGCTCATCAGGGGATCTTACATCCATCGATCCAGCTGAAGCCCATTGTTGGAATTTTCTAGTCAGTTCGTCTGTTAGTTTGCCTTTTCTAAGGATACCTAACCACACAGCGCCTATCTAGGCTGCAATATGCATAGATATACTCTAGGGCCTCTTTGCACTGACCACTTAAGTAGCCTTTCGTCATGAATTGATCTTTTATATAAATTAATTGAGGAGAACTTTCCTTTCGTATTTTTCATGTTCTTCCAGAATAATGAAAACATTGCTTTGTTGAAAGAAAGGCAAAGAATCGAAACCAAGGCCCTCTGTCTTTGTGGCCCCGTATTCACTAATATCAGGTGCCTCGAGCTCATGACGTGAACCACATGTCTTTGATTATACATGACATTATTGCTTCGCATCCTCGTTTCTCTTGCAAAGAGAGAATAGCAACGTCTCTTTCTTCTTTTTTGATGATCATTATTATGTCCGGCCTTTGTCCTTTGTTAGCTCTTTGTCCGAGTATCATCCTGCCTCGGAATAGATACTGCTTTTCTTGGAACATTCCATCATACATATATCGACCACCAACGCCAACCCGAGTCCACATATCTCGTCCTATTTTATTAGAGAATTTTCCATTCAGAGGGCTAAACGAATCTTCCGGCACATTGCAAGGCAGCTGAGTGGGGAGATGTGCCTCATTGAGAAATTTACCGACGTGTATCCGATGGAGATTCGGACGAGAAAAATAACACACAGGTGCCTGTTCAGTGATGGTAGAGGTACCTGTCGCCGCACTCGCGTCCATGACCGTGGCGAGTTCTACCATGCGCGGCGAGTCGAACCCAAAGATCCACCGAGTATGACCTCGCCGAGATACCATACAATTGCGCCAGTGGAGGCAACACGTCCAAGAAAACCTAGAGATTCAAATCGACCGTTTGGGTTCAGCATACCTCCGTTTATAAGGAGGGATTCTGAACCGGATGCGAGCCGCAACGGCCCCAGAGGTCGAGGGAGGTCTCATCGATCATTTGTGGTCGAATCCCCAGACATTAACCTCGAATACCGATGTCCTCGGTGGCCAACCTCTGCCTCAAGAATAAGGTCTGCTTCACCACGAATAAGGTCTGTTTCACCACGAATAAGGTCTGTTTCACCACGAATAAGGTCTGTTTCACCACGAATAAGGTCTGTTTCACCACGAACTAGAGTTGCACCCCTTCCTGAAAGCCAGAAGCAGCCTTATAGCCCTGGCTTTCCCCCTCCGGACAACCAAACACAGCATACGCCTCAAGAGCCCCGACAGCCAAGGGAGCGGACTCCGGTCGCTGAGCGTGTGCCTTTGAGACGGAGACAAAGTTCACCTCCTCGCAGAGTGGAGGTTCATAATGATCGACCTGACCATAGATCCTCCTTAAGCTCTAGCCGTGGTAACGGTTTAACAAAGAAGGCGGAAGGTCGGCAAGTTCACTTCTCCAGCGATATCGAGTACGTCGACGACACCGAACAGTCAGAAATCGGGCCCGAAAATGGGCAGAAAATATTACATCCACACCGAGAACAATCGCGTCGCATCAACCCTTTCACAAAACATAAACAGGAGGATTTTGAGAATGAAGCAAGTTACCGACTGAAATCGAGAGGAACAACTTCAAGCTTCCGAGTACGCCCCGCCTCTTCTGAAAGAATAAGGGGGGCACCGAGAGCCCATACAACCAATGACACGCGCTGTGATCGACCACGTATCATCCAAGATGGTCGTCGTCAGATTTCAGAAGCAGGCGAACGTATTTGCGAGGAAGCCCGGCAAAGACAGAGCCGTGAGGATTTTCGTCGTGACTTTCCCTCGCAGGCTAGTCATAGAAGACAGAGCCGAAGATCTGATCGTTTTCAGTCATTCAACTCGGGTGATGAGAGAATAGTCTATGACAAGGGTCCCCGTCGCCATGGATGGCGATGGCCATGAATCGCCAGGCTTAGCCAAGACACCACAATATTGGCGTTGTATTTTGACTGGTATAGAATACCTTATCTGCGTTGTAATTGTTTTCTGGTTTCGGTGAGTGCATTTCAATGGTACTTATCAACAGCATAGTGGTGTACGGCGCTTAGTTTTTTATGTGCAAGGATATAGAATACCCAAGTTTAACAATCGCCATCTTTTAACTGTTTTTTTGGGGGGTGGGGGGTGGGTGAAGTGTAGGCTTTTGGTAATCAACGAAGTAGAAAGGGTAAAAAAAGAAACTGCTGGGTGAAATGTGCTGTATCAGTTGTAAGGGAGAGGAGAACCGAGAATCCTTTGTTTATACAAACAGGGGATCTATCTGCCTGAATGTATATAGTCTGGTCTATAATGTCCGCATGTCCAATATTTGAATAATGGAAATCCGATTCGACTATTTTTCCTGCATCATAGTATCCTGAGCCGTTGTTGACATAGAAAGAGTGAAACCCCTCAAGTCAACTAACGCCGGGCCGAAATGATGTCCGATCCCACCGAGTCTTACGTTGCTTGTTGTTTATTTTCCAGTTCACCGGCGAAATGAGTCTTACTGGAAGCCTCATAATGAGATTACAATTTCTCGCATTTATAACTAACACTTGATTCTGTCGCATCGTTATTTCTTTATTACCGTCATTATCGTGTGGCCATTGATTGCTGAGTGAGTAGATATTAGTACCTTACCCGCGGTTGAAACTATCCAAAATGACTCGAAACAACTCCTTCAAATCAAAGGCTAACATTTCACACCCTCCTAGATGGCCCAGGAATACATAGACTATTACATTGGCGGACTTATTTCAAATAGCGCCTTCGTTAGCATATCGCTCGCCATTTCTTTACTCTCTCGGCTACCCCCGTCTTCCACTCTTTCACATTTCATGCGCCACAGCTCTTTAATCAACTCGAATCTACGCCAATATCATAACATAGCTAGACAAGGGCTGGGGTCCTAAAATGCTACTCTTACCCCAAGGGTCAATAAACACCTTTAGGTTCAGGTGTGTCTTCAATACACTCACTTTTGACGGCTCACTGTAGTCTGTCGCAATGAATGACCAGAACATGGCTTCTGGAAACGAAGGGCCGCATAGAGAATCAAGTCTCCTACAGGAACAATTGGTTTTAGGCTCTCGTGAAGGAGTCGACAAAACAAGCAAGCCGAGCTTGGCAAATGACGCCGCCCAAATATTTAGCATTTCGCCAGAAAAAGCGTTTTCGCTTCTATGTCTCAATCTTGAAGGTCTTGGGGAAACAAATGCCGGACTTTCCACAAATCCTCTGGTAGCCGTTGCCTCTGCATTTAACCGTATCACGGGGAGAGACGGTGTAGCCAACGGAGAGGAGTCCACACCAATGAAAGTCACTGAGTTGCACTTCGATAGCCCCGGTCAGGAAGGGCATGATTCTGTACAACAAAGTGTGTTGTCCAAAAGGTTTCTCTCCAAGAAGGAGCCCCCAATACCGTTAAAGGTGTACCTCGAGCGAATCCATCGGTACTGCCCAATGTCGACAGCTGTCTATCTTGCTACCAGCATTTATATTACCAAAATGACAAAAATTGAAAAAGTCTTTTCCGTGAATCCCAAGAATATGCACCGTCTCGTGCTTGCTGGTCTCCGAGTGGCAATGAAAGCGCTGGAAGACCTCAGCTACCCGCATAGCCGTGTTGCCAAAGTTGGTGGTGTCAGTGAGCGTGAACTGTCTCGTCTTGAGATCAGCTTTTGCTTTCTGGCAGATTTTGAGCTGCGGGTTGACGCTCAAATGCTTATGGACGAAGCGGAATCTCTTCAAAGCCACTCAAGTTCTTGAGAAGGGTATACAACCAGCTCTAGCCAGGAACCCGTGTCATCGGTGGATAGCTGATAGAGAAGCAGCCTCTCCCATAGTATGCTGGTTCCTTTGTGGGTTTTAAAACAAACCAATCTTAGTCTGCGACATCTGCAGGTGAGATTGAAAGGTCCCTTCCATTGATGAGAAAGGGAGCGGCGTGTCTGGCAACGGCTCTTTTTCTCGATACCAAAAGATAATTCTGCATAACATGTTCATGATTATTTTGGATACCTGAATGTCAATCCAGCAATTTTCTTCTTTTTTCCATATCGACTGTTCAACTATCATAATGCGGCTGCCTAATCCAGACTGCATTTGGCTGAGTAATAATCCTGTGCTTTGGGCATCTGAATCTTGCGGCGATGCTTCTATCACCACAAAATCATTATTAGTGTTGATAAATGGGGACTCTCTGTAAATAATCCTCAATTCAAAGCACTTGCCCTGTGCAGTGTGTATAGGCACCATTCTCGTACATGTAAATAATAATTGGAGGTGAGGCTGGTAGATCTTCTTAGCGTCCGGACTTCGTAGCGCTAGAGTTTCCCCGAGCCCCAAAAAAAGAGGCCTCCCCGTCTTCTCTCTTCTTGGACTTTTTTTTTTTTTTTTTTTGAACAAATCATTATTGCGTTCCTCCGCCTTGTTTATCCTTTGCTGGAATAACTGGGGTAATTGGGAGAAACAGAAATTGGCAAGCAACCGGAGTTCTGACTGAATTCGCAATGTTTCGTTAGATAGCGCGTCGAAATTATCAACCGCTAGTTGTCCTCCGCGCCTCGTCTCCCTTACAGTTGAAAACAAAAAGCCAACATCGCATCGTCTTCTCTTGATCGAGTCGCATTCCACAACTTACGTATAGAAATGTCTTCCGGGGCTTCTTCAACTGAGCCACAAAGCAGCAGCAACGCTGCGGGTGCGCCCTCAGTACCCAACGGGAAAGGCACAACAAGTCCCCCGAGAGTCACCCAGCAAGATGCCAGTGTTGAACTCAAGACCATGAAGCGCGCCATCCCCCTTGGAGAGGATATCATGCAGATTGCTCGGATAGGGGAAATTGGTGCGATGCAAAACCTATTCAACGAGAAGAAATTCAATGCTAGCTACAAAGATGAGGAGGGAATCACTCCGTTACATGTGCGTATCCACGTTTTTATTCCCAAATCATGGGACCCTGTCGTGCCATACGAATGTCCACTAACAATTGCGACTGTTCTTAGTGGGCCGCAATCAACAACCAGTACGCCATGTGCAAGTTTCTGCTGGAGTCTGGGGCCGACGTCAACGCCAAAGGAGGAGACTCGGTAGCCACACCCGCGATGTGGGCCGCTCAGCGCTGTCATTATTATATTGTTCATCTTCTGCTCCAACATGGTGCTGATCCCCTTGTCACCGATGTCCAAGGCTACAATATTCTACACCTCGCGACCATTGATGGAAATGCGTTCTTGCTTGTCTTGCTCCTACACCAAGAGATACCCGTGGATGTTGTTGATCAACAGGGTCATACTGGGTTGATGTGGGCGGCATATAAGGGGTTTCCAGCATGTGTCGATTTGTTCCTGCGCTGGGGCGCCAATGCTAACGCCTTTGATGAAGGAGGCCTGACTCCCCTCCATTGGGCTTTGGTGAAGGGTTCATTGCCTTGTGTCCAGAAGCTGCTGGAATACGGTGCGGACAGATTTGCTAAGACAAGAGATGGAAAGTCACCAGCAACAGTGGCAGGGGAGATGAACACTGTTCGTGTCTGGTATCGGGCTCTTGATGAATGTGGTTACGACCTTGATGGAAGCCACAAGGTTCTTCCCCTAGGTTTGACAGCCTGGATGCGGGATAAAAGCGTCATGTCCAAGTTCTTTTTCCTCTGGCCATTCCTCATGGTTCTGGTTGCAGTGTGGATCCTCAGCAACATGGCGATATATGCAGCTATTCCCATAATGCTGGTGGCAGTGTTTGGTCTACAATGGGTCGCACAAAAGGCTGCCAGTCAAGCTCCTTCTGAGTATAGGATCCTTCAAAAAACGGTATGCGGTTTCTCTTTTAACAACAACATATCTTAGTGCCTGGCGTTTCTGTTTTGAACAAGTGCTGACTATTCATCTAGCCGTATCTGTCGGGTGTCTTTGCGGGTTCATTATTTTGGGTCGGTGTTAGATACGTGCTTAATGTGCTTCCCGGTAAGTTGAAGTCTAGCAGAACCAACCCCCCTCCTCTCTCCACTGCTTTCTTTCTTTCTTTTTTCTTGGTCGTTGGATAGCTGACCTGGTATTCTATATTTCAGTGACTTATTCCACGAATCCAATTTTGAACGCACTTTTTGCAATCTTCTATGGATTAACGACATATTTTTATATTACTGCGATGGTTGGAGATCCTGGCTTTGTTCCAAAGCTTGGCAGCAGAAACCAGCAGAGAGCAGTCATTTCGGAGCTTTTCGAGCAGTGGAAATTCGACGAGGAAAACTTTTGTGTTTCCTGCATGGTTCGAAAGCCCTTGCGAAGCAAGCACTGCAAACGTTGCGGACGTTGTGTTGCAAAACATGATCAGTGAGACCCCTGCTATAAGACTAAGTTATTGTCGCTAACCTGAAATAGCCACTGCCCGTGGATTGATAACTGTGTTGGAGCAAATAACCTCCGTCATTTTGTTCTGTACATCACCTGTTTGGAAGCTGGTATTATCCTGTTTGTGCATTTGACATTTTCTTGTGAGTATCAACCTATAATGCAAATTATCTCTTTATACTTGATATTTGAGTCTGTAGTGATGTACTGACAAAATTGGTAGATATCAACATTCTTCCAGCACCAACGGAAGCTAAATGTAATATCATCAATGAAACTCTCTGCGATTTTGTGCTTCGCGATACTTTTACAATCATTCTTGACTTGTGGGTCATCATTCAGCTGGTCTGGGTCACTATGCTCTGCGCTGTTCAGCTTGTTCAAATTTCCCGAAACCAGACGACGTATGAAAACATGAGGGGCCACTCGATCGATCGAAGCTACCCAAGCTCCCGGGCCTTTGCCTCGGCCCTGGCGGCCGGAACGACCTCCCTAGATGCTGCCGGGCTCTCGTCCACTGGTCAAGGCCCGAACCCAGCACTTGCTCACGGTCCTCAACGCCCTATTCGACGACATGGCTGCATTCAGCAATGGTCTTCCCTCCTCGGTGTTGATACTTTCTTTGCAACGGCACGTGATGGATTGAGAGATGGCCCACGTGCTGCCCGGCCCAAGAACCCCTTCTCACGGGGCTGTATCACGAATTGCCGCGATTTCTGGTGTGATGCGTCTCCATACTTTGGGAAACGGGAACCTGGCTCTGCAATGCTGGGGGGAGAAGTTGTGAACTATAACCGGATGTACGAGGCACCTCTGCGGATGCATAGTGGAATGGGCGGCTCGAGTGGTGCCTATCGAAGCCTAGCGGGTGAGGATCCAGAGCAAAATGTTTGAACGATGATATCTCCGTTATACGATAATCGAACCTTGACGCGCTTCATGATACCTATAGGCAAAGCCTTCGGTGTTGAGAGCGCAATATAATGATTACGGATGAATTCTGCATTTGGTATAGATGGCCATTGATGGGGACCTTTTTTTTCTTTTCTTTTCTTTTCTTGTCTTGTCTTGTCTTGTCTTGTCTTCCCCCTATTCTGACTCCCATGTTTTACTTGGCAGCATGTATTATGTTTTGCATACAACGCACATAGCATGACAAATATTGATCTGCTCGGGTTCACATTATCTTAATTCCGGTGTCTGAGCAGAACTACCTTATCTAGAGTAATAAAGTACGTCCGGGTTGAATCTGATCGAGCTTTTCTGTCTTCCAGGGTGGGATTAGTGCTGGCCAATGATGTCTCTGAGCTTAGTGACTGGATGTAGACAGTAAGGCTTCATTTCTAGCACGGGTTGTCTTCATTATTGTCCACTTGAGACATCCCACGTGTTTTGCGACAGGGCTTGTTATTCCCTATCTTTCAATTGCATGCTGCGTTAATCAATTGTTTTATCCTTATTTTCTAGGAGAGACATGTTAGAAGTAGACTGCAAATAGTTGAAAGTACAGAGATGGATGGATTTCATGGTGTCAGATTACAGTAGAAGCTAGGTATGCTTTAAGCCAGGTTCTATTTAGATCGAATCACCCATTAAAGATAGTCTGCAGATTGCTTCCTTCAATGACCCTTAGTCTCTGATGTTTCATCCCGACGTATCAGACGTTGACTTAGCCATATATAGGTGGAAGTACCAGCTGATACATTCTAGAAAAACTCTCCCCAGGATCATGAAACACAACGGCTCCCTCGTCAAAAACACCAAACGATGACGAATTTTAATCAAGTGAGCTCCGAAACCATCCGGCGGAGCTCTGTGAGGCCTCGATGTCTTGTTTGCTCTTTGAGTGATGGCCTACAAGGGTACCTGAAACAGCAACCAAGACCAGGAGAAATATCGCGAGGAAAAGGCGGCTCATGCTTTTTTCTACTTGGGTCTTTTCTCCAAGGTCATCGACTCCTTCGGGGTTTGGAGACAATGAAGAGAGCAATCGATACCAATGCTCCAATGGGCTTGGATCGAACCCACCCACCATCGTCAAGCTGCCATGTAAGGTACGAAGAACATCCGATTTCTTCTCGGGGATGAAGCTTACCAACTCGTATGACCGACTAGCGGCCACACTACAATGAATCATACAGTAGCAGCAGCTACTTGGGGGGGTGAAGGGGAGAATAGGTATACTATCATTCGTTCCGGCATTCTGGCTATGGCGGTCATTCGTGAATATACCCTGTTGGGATGAGACTTGATTGGATCTGGTTTTGCTTTTTCCTTTCCTTTCCTTTTTTTTTTTCTTCAGGTATCCATGATCCATGTTTCTACCATGTATCAACGGATGCCCTAAGCTTAGTAGGGGTCTCAACTGTCAAGGCCGAGATTAGATGGATAACGAAGATGACTCCACCGGAGTGGCGGTCTGACTGAAGATACTCGGCACGACGACTATGTTTCTAGTACACAACCATGGTAGAGAAATCGTCCGATCAGAAGGACGCAGTGACCCCCGTTTCCCATGAAATCTGGTGATATCTATAGCACCTAGCGTCCTACAGACAGCAAAAATCCATACCACGTATTGGCGTAACACCGAAATATCCGATGTCGCAGCGCGATTTAGTTTCTGGGTTTAGCCCAAACTCAAACCGCCACGCTAAGATCTTATCTCGGCAGCGGTAACTTTGGCTGGTGTGTGTGTTTTACGGAACGCGACCGGACACGGTAAGGGGCCTTGGCAGAATGGGGTCATCGAGTCATTTTGGAATAAAATATATTACCCCTTCCTTGGAAGTGCAGGTGGGAAGGGGGGAAATAGCTGGATATTGCATTGGTCGGTCTGAAGGAAGAATGGAAAAAAAGAAAAAAGCATTGCCCCTCGGTTTTACGCAGGGTCAATGATGATCAATAAAATAGTAGACACAAAAGTACACTACAGAATTCAACCCCAGAAAATCATACCAATTATAGATAGAGAAGGAGAAAAGAAAAATAAAAAAAAAAGACAGGCTAGAAAAAGAAATAATATTAACTATCACGAATAAAAGGCAGCAAGTGTAAGCCCATAAACTGGGTATGTAACACAGGTAACACGGCATGAACACTTTTGCTTGGGGCGTTGGGGTAGTGCCATCAGATAAAAAATTTGCGCGTTATCTGATGGCGCCATGCAGCCATCCAGATTCGTGGATTCCATGGAACCCTGCCGAGGGAAACAGAAACAGAAAACAAAACAGCAGAAGATGAGCGAAAACAAGAAAAAGAAAAAAGGCAGAACCACCTGCCAAGCCACTTGATGACGTTCCATCCACTGATTGATTAGGAGGCTTGTCAAACAGGACGATCTTCGTGTCGCTTACAGTATTCTCATATAACGAATTACTAATAGGTAACAAGGTCAGTTTGAGGATCATTGGCATCTCCTCTGTGCGATTACTATTATTTTGCGTCTGCCTCGATTTCCGAGGCTTTTTTTCTCCTTCGCTGGTCGGAGTCTCCAGTGGTTATGTAACTGCATCTTCCACCCCCGGACTACCGCGTCCAGTGGCGGCATTTCGATTCGCTGCTGGCCTTTTGGTGTCCTTCTCACAAGCCCCAGTTGGGCCATCTTGGGCCAGTTGGATTCCTTCGTCATGCCACTCGTCTGTCGGGGGTCTTTACCCTGCTAGGCCGATCCGGTGATGATCCCATTTTGCTGTTACGACCTGGATCGGTCCATCATCTACCAACATGTGGCAGGAATACTAGTACGAGTCTTATACGAAGTAGTCTTTTGTAGGCTGTTTAAAAAAAAAAATTACTACGGAGTAAATCATAACCAATACCAGCGACTGCCTGCTCCAGTGGAATCATGAATGTCAGGTACCAGCTACCACTAGCCCCGGTGGATTGCGTACAGAGTAGTCCTTCGGCACCGGCGGATCTTGGGTAATCATAGGTCAAAAATTTCGAAATATGCGATTGAGATGAAAAAAAAAAGGGGGCAGTTAAAAAACAGAGAAAAAGAATCAGAGTTACGACGTTATAATATATTCCAATCTTTACATTAAACACTCCATATATATATGAACCTAATGTTCAACTAGAACTGAGGGGAATAATATAAATAACAAGAAGAGTAATAATGAAACACAAACAAACGTAACAGACAGATAGATATATGGTAGTGAAAATAATCAATGCACATCTCTTTCCCTTTTAGCTTTTGTTACCGTCGGATCCCAGCGCCTCTTTTTGGTTTCCTCTTACAGCATGGCGCGGAGCCGGGTGTCCTGCACCGTTGCTCCCGCCAGCTGGTCCCTGAAGATCGAACGCACCATCTCCCCACCTCGCGCCGCGAGGACCGACAGCAAACTGTCGCTCAGTCCATGGGTCTTCTCGTTGCATCCTTGCAGCCAAATGCCAGCATTGGCGCTCACCTTGCTGGGGTCCATGTCCACCCGGTAGTCGCGGCTTGGATTCCATGATGCCTGACCCGCCGGCCGCAGGTGCTGCACGCCGCTCAGCATTTGCTCATGAGCGTTGCGGAAGTAGCCCGTTGCGACCATGAGTGCATCCACCTCCAATGTTTCCTTGCCCTTACTGGCATCCGCATCATCCTTGATCGACTTGACGTGGAGACGCATCCGGTTGCCAGGGCCGTGGTGCTCAACGCGAGTGATCTTGCGAGCTGGAAGGATGCGGTGCTGCCATTGAGTCTCATCGGGGTTCTGGACACGCTGGAGGTAGAGATCCTCGTAGATTTGCTCGATCAACTCGAGGCGGACCACACTATAGTTGGTGGCCTTGTCTGTAGCGAGGGATTGCTGGCGCTCTTCGGGGGAGAGGTTGTAGAATGAGTCGACCCGTTCGGGGTTGAAAACTTCGTTGACACTGTAGTTTTTTGTAGTCAGTATTTGACACAGCTGATCGCTTGTTGTGCGGCAGATACTCACAATGGCGAATCGTCACTGGGACGCATGGCAGAGTCTCTCATGATCAGAGTGGTTCTCGACTTGGGGTACCGCTTCTGAAGATCGTGGTAGATTTCTGCGGCACTTTGACCGCTACCAACGACTGCGATGTTGTAGGCCTGGGTCTCATCGTTGAGCATGTTGGGCAGGTTGGTGCAGTACTTGGACGAGTGCATGATTCTGGGGTCCTGGGGAAGACCCGGGGGCATCTTGGCCGTGCCTCCAATCGCAACAACAACCTTGCGCGCCCGTCTCGAGGATACCTCGCCCGTCACGACATTGCGGGAGAAGACGGTGAAGTAGTCAATGACGGAGCTGCTGGGATCCGTCTTACCAGGGACCACCTCGGTCACTTCCTCGCCGTAGGCCACAACATTCGAAAATTGTTCCGCACACCACCGCATGTAGTCCTCAAACTCCAACCGAGCGGGGAGGAAAGTTCCCAAGTTAGTGAAGTGGATCAGACGATCCTTCTGGTGAAGGTAGTTCAGGAAGGTAAAGCTGCTGCGGGGATCGCGGAGGGTCGCCAGGTCCTTGATGAAGGAAATCTGCATCTTAGAGCCGGGGAGGAGCATGCCTGAGTGCCAGGCAAACTTCTTCTGTCGCTCGAGGAAGCAGATCTTGGGCTGGAAGTCGGAGTTGGGGACGGATTTGTTCAGAGCTGGGTCCAGCTCATCGTGGAGGGCAATGGCGATGGCCAGGGAGGCAGGACCGAAACCCACACACAGGACATCGTGCAATTCATCCTGAGGGGTGGATTTCAGCTTGGGGGTGTCGAGCGACGAGCTCTCCGTGCGCGGCTTGACGGTGCGCTGGCTGGGGAAGCCCATTTCTGGCTTCCGTACAACAGGCTCCATTGGTGTGATTGTAAGAAGGGAATAAAAGAGAGAAAGTTGTAGAGAAGACTAAGACGAGAAAAAAAGGTAAAGTACAGAAAGCAAGCAAGAAAAAAGGGCTTTGGTCTGTAAAGCTGTAGGAGGAACTGCTGAGAGGAAGAGGAGTGTTGAAGAAGATGAATGCTGGGATGGGGAGAGCAGGTGGTTAAGTATAAGTTTACGACTGGTGACCTCCACGAGGAACGGAGTAAATCCAGAAATGCAAAACAGAAACCGCATTACAAAAAAAAAAGTAAATACATCTCCATCGTACTAGGGTGACTTTTTTTTTTTTCCTGTGTCTGCAGCGGATCCGTGAACACCGTCGAATTATTCTAGGCAAAACAACGCAACGCAGACCGTGGCGGCGTCGTCCTTCTGACAGCGGGTCGACTTTTTTTTTTTTTTTACAACTATAATCCTCGGTTACACCAGCAATTGATTGATTCAGAAAAAAAAAAATATCGGTTCTGTGAATTTTTAGAGAAAGCAAGGAAGAGGGAAGGAAAAAAAAAGGTGGAGGCGGAGGAGATGAGATAATTTAGTGTGGACAACAGAGTGGGTAACGGTCATTGATGGACGTAAGTTGATAACTTAATGAGGAATCAGTCCATCATTCCATACAGAAGAAGGACATACAGGGAGAATACAGGGACAGGGATCTTATTTGCTATTTGTCCAGAGGATGATGCGAACTGGGTCAAATTCCCGGTCAATGAATGGGGATGCTCAGAGGCATGTTATGATCGCAGAGTTACCTAGGCATGGGAAACTCTACTGCTGAATACTGCAGAGCAGACATGAAACAGCAGAGGCTCAGACCACCACAGCAAAGTATAAATTTTTTTTTTTTTTTTTTTTTAAAAAAAAAAAGCAAAGCCCCGCAGGCAGAAGATTGGTATGTATTGTCAGTGTTTAGATAATCCAAGTGGGATGCAAGTTGGGCTAAAAACGTAGTCCGATGGAGCTTGCATGTTTAGATTAGATCCGCAGTCGCCCGATGTCGGGAAAACGCGCTTGGTCCGCTTAACCCATCTGGTAACAGATGATCTTTCTGTATTGGTTCTGTATGGTGTATTCGATTGTGCGCCCTTGGTTACCTATTGTTCCCCGTTGAATCCCATGGTAGATTAAATATGATTGATATGATATGATGGAAAATGAAGATGAAGATAAGATCGTGGCTGCTGTGGCGGGGTCACATCGTATTGGATGGGAAAATTAATCCGCTTCGTATAACACGGGCTATGATATTTAATCCTGGATATGATGCTGAATGAAGAATACAGAATCATAATATCTAATCTTACTATCCTACTCTGTGCAACTCGATGCTCACCTCATAGCAGTATGGATTGTCGTTTGTAGCCTCGATGTCTGAGAGCACCAGAACCCCACTCTCCTTGTTAAGGGGCGGTTGATCAAACAGGATGCACCTGCGACTTTCATATGATTGACATTGTTCTTCTTGTTTTTTCTTTCTTGGTTGTTTCTTTTCGCCTTCCACTTGGGATGATCTCTCTTTTTCTTTTTCTTTTTCTTTTTCTTTTTCTTTTTCTCCCTTTCCTCTTGCTCGGAGATGTTCCCTCAGATGAAACACAGTTTCCCCCACACTATATCGTGGCTCTAATTATAACACCAGTGATGACCGAAATCATCAACAGAAGGGACCAAAATAAAATGAAATAAAAATCCCAACAAAAAGGAAGTGAAAAAGCAATACTAGATCTGATACAATGCCTTTGCTTTTGCAACTCCTAGAACCTAGGCCACTTAGCTAGCCTAGCTACCAATTATCGAGGTACCAGCCCATCTGCTGCCCCCGCAGCCAGGTAAGAAATAGTATTACTAGGGACATGCTACAACATACCCCTCATTTCAGCTTCGTCCCCTACCAATGAGGAAGCTGAGGATTGTGATTATCCTGCAGCCTTGACTCACTACTGTACGTCTGAATGTTGCTATACATACCTTGGGCCCGCCGTCTTCACTTGCCCCCCAGCCCTTCACCACGCCCCCATTACCCCATGTAGATTGCTGCTTTCCCTTCACCTCGTTTCTTTTTGCTTTTTGCCGCGCTTGTCTCGACATGGGATGCTGATTTTATTAATCGGCGCCTTCTGATTCGACTGTCGAGAGTGGGTTGTCATGGATCATCTGATCTCTCCCTCTCATCGTCTGCCCTCCGTTGCTTTCCTCCCTTTTTCCTCACCTCCCCCTTTCCCAACTAACTTCATAGGGCTCAACCTTCTTGTCCAAACGTTAGCCCTTTTGCCCCTCCGATACCCTCGGTCAAGAACCTTCTAGTCGATTTCCGGTTATAATCATTTCTCATCAAGCACCGATGGGGGGTGGTGGGCTTGTTACGTGTGGCTTTCCATCCCATTGACTGATTCCATCTTCATCCATCTGCCGATTCTAATCCTTGTCTGGTCTAGGGTCTACTGTTTTCTTGCTACCCCCAGTGTTTCGCCTTCAGTGATGATTATCGTTCAAGAACACTGAATTCAACGACAGCTAAACGCTGCATGGGTCGTTCCATTCGATTTGTGTATTCCATGGACGATTCTGCTCTACTTGGTCTCCACGATACCTGCCCTGTTGGTTAGTTTCCCGGGACTATGAACCCCGCACTAGTCGTTAGATAAGAGCCCGAAAACCAGATGGCTGTGCCTTAATCGACCGGTCAAGCATGTCATACATATTCGAATACCTGTGATTTGCCATCATAATCATTGTTCATCACAATCGCCGGTCGACGTGACCCCTCTGGCGCAACAGGGATGCGAAGGAATCAGATCACACCATCGGTTTTCTGCCATGGAAGGGTCGGCTCGAAGCTCTATCTATACACAGTGGAATGTTGATCCCATTTCTTTATGATGCCTTTATCCGGTCTAAGTATGGTTGCCGGTCGATCTCGAATCCGCTGCTGCCTTTGGCTTCCTGAATATTGACCTTCCTAATCTGATGGAGCTTATCTCCGGAACATTGACGAATGGGGGCCAGTCGATTAATAACTGATCGCGCGAGCATGTATTCATTGGACTGGAAACGAGATAGCCCAGGCCTAGGAGTGACTGTTCTGCCAGGTGATAATATTGCCTAAAAAGTGTAGGTGGATTGATCTGCCAATCACGAGGCTGCTATTATCAAGAAAATGCTCTTTAAACGACAAATTTACTATACCTTGGATTCGCTGAAACTATGAGGAATTCGCCTATGGCAATTCATCTGAATTGACTAAAGGGGCTATGTGCTTGAGAGATTCATGGCTATGATAAGAGCCTGCAGAGAAAAGACGTTATGGTCCAAGGGGATATGATAACTGTGCTATATATCCAACGGATCTTCATACGGAGACGCAAAATCCTTTAGAAGATTAGCAGGGGACAGGTCTATCCAAAGATGACCATACAAGAGCACCGATTTTCAATTTGAAATCACATTTATATGACTGATATGAGCAAGTGTAATGCCAAGTGCATTGAGAAATGTTCCGGATAACCTGAAGACACCTGTATGTCTATCCTGCTTCAATTGTCTGTTCAGTGGTAACTAGGGTGCCTCCACTGTTTCAAGACGATAGAATGCCTATGAAAAAACTGGATCATGATAATGTTTCTTGTGAAATGGAAGGGCATCTTTTTAATCAAAGATCAAACCCCATGAAAAGTTCGAATCAACTAACAGGACAAAATACAAGTTATCTCACTCTCAGTTACTTTGGTGCTCTCGAGTTGAGTTGAACCGCAAGGCTTGGTCAATTGAATCTTTTATTTCTGCTGGATAAGTAAGAATTTTGTCTGTTGTCAAACTGACTGCTATATGACCAGTGGTGGGAGTCTCAGTCCTTACCATAAGAGGACATTTAGCGGTTTTACGCAGATTTATCATGTCGTCTTTGTCATAATCCTCTCCCATCTTCTGCCACCGCGGACCTTAACCATTCAGATGAAGATTTCGCACGAATGTAGTCAAGCCTGAAACCAAAAGTCAAGGTAGCAGTGGTCATGGGTCCTAATTATATAACCGTCAAGCTCCCTGGCTTCTCGGGAATCGGAACATATGCAATGGGAGCCAAGGATGCCAATGCAAGGAGCTGGACATTTAAGCTGAGCATTTAAAAAATTCCACAATGTACCTCGGCGTAGTCAAGATTTTCTCATTCACTACTGGGCACTTCGACAAGGCTCTCGATCTATTTCGGCACGTTCAATTCATGTTGGGACTCCCATATCCTCGCCGACGTGGGCTAGTTTTTTTGTTAGTACTACACTATAACGTCATGCAGTAAAATTAGGGTGACTACTGGCCGAGACTTGGATGAATGGGAGTATGTTGAAAGGTCTCATCTGGACTTTGTATTTTATCATTGAAACGCGAGCCTCGATGGTAAGTCTTGATCTGCGATGCCTCTGCATCTAAACTCTACTTTTGCTTTCTTCAAATTATGTTATAATTTATAGTATCCTCTTCATAAGAGCTCCAGCGTAGCGTCAAGCCCCATAAGTATACTAGGACAAGAAGGACGAAGTATTCTGTTGAATAGGTAAATCAAGCGGAGAATTCTGCTGAGATTATCCAGGTTTATTTTAATGTTCTTGGATTCTAATTTCTGAAGATACTTTTTATAGCTGTAGCAGAGATTATGTTTCTCAAAGGTCCGTTCGGACAAGGTTTGCAGACATATATATCAGCTTCATATGCGGCTAGTATTACTTCTTTACATCCTAATCGATGCCAGGGGCAACTACAATATGCAGGAACATACAGCCTTATTCAGACCAGACGCTGTGTCTGAGCAGCCTGCATTGTCATATCCAAAACCTCTTCAAGGGGTTTTTACTGCACACCAGCAAATGATGGATTCCGCGGCCTGCAAGATACAAGCCGGGTACCTGAGTTGGTTATGCCCACTCCTGTGCATGAATGATAAAGCGTTTGCATAACATTGCATATGAAAAAGCACTGTTAGATGGAATTGAAATGATAGATTATTTACGGACTGGCTTTTTCTAGAATTCGTCGTATGTCCATGAGTCAGGAGAAATTGTCACTGTTTCATCTATGGTGTCTGGAAGGTTCCTTGCTGTTATATATAGATATATAACCACGAATGTATCAAGGATGTCAAGTAGAGATTCATTAATGGTCTATTTGAAGCCATCTTGGATCGTATACCATGACAATTTCCATTGAAATATTGGTATATTCAAAGAAGAGCAAATGGAATCCTAAATGGTGTAGTCATATAAGATGTTTCCTATCTCTGCATATATATACAAATGTACTATCTGAAAGAAAAAAGAACATATAGTTTATCATCCAATGGAAGCTACCGGTATCCATTCACCGAGATTTATAGGTATTATAACTCAGACTAAGGAATATTTTTGATTTTTGAACGCTAATTTGATAAAATACATTTACTAGCAAAGTATGATCATGCCCATGTAATGTCATTTCTGCCCACACAGATGACCACCTCAACCAACCATCCAAACGTACCATAATAGTCACAAAGTATCTTCTAAAAAAAAAAAGAAATGTCAGGATAGAAAGCGTATTAGCCCAAAGAAACCTGAGACTGAGAATTTGACATGGCCTGGAAACCATATCTACGAAACTAGTGATATATACAGTGCCTCAAACTATCGGGATACAAGCATGACGCAATCGATACTCTTGACTAGCTGGGCAACAATATTGGCAGAGAACTGCAGACCAGACAATATATGACTCGGCGCTTCGCAACCACTGGCAACAAGGTCGAGCGCCGGGACATCCGATGCGGGGCTCAATACGACAAACCAAGCCAGCCAGTTCTAGATGCAAGATATTGACGACGTTGTCAGGGCAAGCAGTCAAGTTCCATGGATCGGTACCTCCATCTATGCAGGATCAGTACGCCTGGTCTGAGATCCCTGATCCATGCCGAAGACCAAGAATTGCCATATGCAGTCGAGACGGATGATTTGAAACGATAGATTGGAACTCTGGGGCCCCAGAACTTAGTTGGAAAACAAGATTAGCAGTGGCATGGCCAGAGATAGAGTCGCCAACTGGATAAGAGTTGAGCAATGCGGTGTAAGGGGGGAAGATATTGCATTGTCACTGCGTCGCAGGATAACTAAGCGTTCTGCTGACTAACAATTGTTTATATCGGAGGGTTTGGAGGAGCAAGGATGGGGATGGACGGAGCGTTCAATAATCGTAGATGAACCAGAATTTGGTTAGGCTGATCATTGATCACCCAAATAATTGGACCAATTGGGAAAGAAAAGACTAGCAACTTGTTTACTAAATTTCATTTTAGATGATGACGATGATGATTTTCTCCTTCTCCATTTTGTGACATCTTAAGCCTCGACGGGACGCGGAACACCCGTTATGGAGGCAGATCATGTGGGGGAGTGTTTTGTTTTGGTTTTACTGTATGTATGTTAGGTACCAGCTTTATACAGTACGTATGGTACGATTGATGGTTACAGTACCGATTATCAGCGATGCTGCCCTATTATTATCATATCGATAGGGAATCAATGATGAAAACGCATTCTTTGGACACGTCGAGATCAGTGAAATTGACACACGTGGATGGCGGGGAACAACAACAACTCATACGGGCAGTCACTTCTTTAGACTACCATGGAATTCCTTTTTTTTTTTTTTTTTTCAAGGTAGCTTTATTATGAAGACTACGCCAGGGCTTGTGAGTAAGGTGAGAATTCAGACCAAAGTCAAAGCTGTATATTCTCACAGTTGAAAAAAAAGAATAATGAGCGCCCTTGCAAGCAGCCACAATAATCACCAGATAGTCAGAGTAATAATGGAGTACCGGCATTACCAAAAAAGCAATGCGACAGTGGCGGTGGTTTCCAGTTACGGTATTGATGCAAGGGAGGGGAACCTTGGGTACGTCCCGCGTGTTCTTATCGATTATCGATATACGGACCGTGGAGGTCTTTCAACTCTGCTTACTAGGGTTGAGTTGATAGAAACGATAACTAGTTATTTGGTTTCTCCCAGATGTATTTGACCTATCCAGCCATCGTCCAAACCCCAGATCAGATCGACTGAGCAGCAAGAGGTAAATGTTATCGTAGTGTACTCCGTAGTATTGTAATGTTTGTTATGGGGTCACGCGTAACGCTGCACTAAACCTCATTGGGCCCACGCTATCAACAACAAACGCGCTGCGCGTGGGCGACGCAACGCAGCGCAGAGGCAAAAGCAGCTGATCGAGTCGCCGCCGGAAATCCGCAGAAAGTCAACCATATCCATCCAGGTCGGCCAGACCGATTTGATTTTCTCTCCACGCCTTGTGAATTTTTCATCTCCATTGCTCCATCGGAGACACGACTGTCTATTTATCCACTTTTGCGCTTGAGAAATTCTTCGAGTGCTTTGACTCACATCTAGTTACATACCGCAACTTCCGGAACCCCTCCTCTCGCGCTCTCGCCTTCTCGCGTGGCCGAATCTTCTTTTTTTGGGACCCAACCCCTTGCGCGTCCCATTCGCCTGCCATCCAAGGTTTACCAGCAAGATCGAAGAAGGAAATAAAATAAACTCAGGGAAAAGTTTTTAAAAGGGCAAAAACAAAAAAAAAAAAAAAAAAGGGAAAAGGGGAAAGGAATCAGAGGGGTTAAAACCAAAAGGGAACACAGGAGTTTCAGTATCGAATAACCCTTCGTCAACCCTTGTGTCGTCTGCCTTCAACCTCCCCTTCTCGTGTCAACATCATCGCGCCAGACTCGCTCCTGCGCCTGCATCGCGTTCGCGCCTGCCCGCCTGACGTTTTGTTGTTGTCGCCCTGAAACATTCCTTATCGATCCCCTCCCAAACGCCCCGAAAGACATAGTGTTTCAGGCGCGTGCCCGCGGCTGGGTGTGTGCGAAGAGGACCCTCTTCCTCCTCGAGCGCATGGAGGTATCAGTGTTCTCGAATTCATCGGGCTTGCGATGATCTGGTGATGTGCAAGTCCCCATCGTTCGTTTGCTTGCACTTGCCTCGACTTTTCCGCTCTGTCTCGTCAGTCAACCTCTGTTTGCGCCTTACTTGGGGGTCAGCATTCCATCTGTGACCCGCTAGAATCGGTCCCAGCACTGCCACTGGTGACTCGCCTGCCTTTCTGTTGTTGTCAGCGTCCGTCGCGGGTTTGTAGGATCTTCGCGACGTTCTGATCTGACAGCGCAATCCCATATCGGATTGCTTTTGCTCAAAGGCATCGCGACGGCCTCAGATTCTTCAAATCACTTTCAGTTTATCTTGAGTTTTTTTTTTTTCTCTCTTGTGGTTCAAACGGCAAATTTGATCCTTGAAAAAGATTACGACTTCTGTTCCTCCGCAACGTACATTCCCAACATGGTTGCAACATTTTCGCCGCACCGCGATGCGGGTGGCACCCTTCATCTACCATCGCACGCTGGGATCCATAATGTTGATGCCAGTTCGGCCATCAGGCAACTGCGCCGGTCATTATCACGCTCACCTTCGAAGAGCTCGAATTTTTCACTTCTAGCGTCACGAAATCACTCGCCATCGAAAACCACTCCATACATCTCATCTCCCTTGTCACCCTCGCGACGGTCCAGCCAGAGCAACTTTGTGCTCTTCCCTACTTCCTCTCACCAGTCGCCATTCGCCGTTCCGTATCCTCCAAGCGCCAAAATCACCCGGCCGATCATGCGCCGTGTGCGAACGTCCCCGAGAAGTCCAGTAAAACGCGTGCTCAACGTCTCGACCGATCAAGGAAACGCGAAGCCTCTTCAGCCGGTACTAGCACCAACGGGCGACGAGAATTCGCCAGGAACTCCCGGATTAACGGTCCAACCAAGCAACGAGCCATCGGATATCGTGTGCGCTAATAACCCTTCTCCATGTACGGAAGGTACATTAGGACCTCGACCGACACTGTCCCGAATTGAAAAGCGACGAAGTGGTACGGTTGGCTCATACGCAGCCGTCAGCCCGCTGAAACGCAGCGACGGCATCATGAACCTGGACCAAGCATCTAGAGGCAGCCCATCTGCCAAGAGACGAAGCGTCGCTGCATCCAATTTCGCGGGGGAATTCAGCATTTTCGACAACGAAACGGCCCCTGGTACAGACGAAGACCCCACCGAATCTGCTTCAGACTCGGAGGACACATCGTCATTCCCTTCCGCCATTCCACCTTTCAGTCCCTTGAACACAATCCCTAAACGTTCATCTTCACTCCGACGATCAACTCTTCAGCAACGCCAAAGTGACCGCCCGCTATTTGGGCGATCAAGGCTTAGCGGAGATTCGTCTGACCTTGCTTTTCCTGGAACGCCTACTGCCAGTCATCCTCGCACGCCATTGGACAGCAACCTATTTCAACCTAACCAGGAGAGCCCTTTCTCACCTCGTCCTGTGCAGGGTAGTCCTCTTTTTTCATCACATGCAAATGGAGCGGGCCAGGCCCGTCCGGCAGCACACCCACTATCACGGACAATAACCCAGTCCTCATCGAGTTCCAGCCTCGGTGATGACTCGCCAACCCACGAGCCGGCCCACAAGCCTGAGAGGCCGCGGGGCGTTTTCAATTTCTCCAAGTCACTTCCCGCAGGTGCTACTAGACCTGCACCAGTGCGACGGCTCACTCGTGAGGATTCAAACTCGTCCACCGAATCGTTCGCTACACCAGAAAACTATAAGCTCGTCAAACCACTTCCTGCCGCGTTCATGTCGACAGGCCTGATCTCTAAGAAGAATCGCAACGCAGAGGACCCTCAAAATATGCAAGGGTTCAACAAAAATATGCCGGACACTCCATGTAAACGGCCAATCAACCTATTCCCAACCGCTCAGAAGCCACCAGCCGAGCGATCATTGGACAGGCCTAAATTGTTCCGCCAATCTAATGATGTGCCTCCATCCCCCTTCAATCCAAGCACACGCCCTAAACCGGGTCCTTTTGCCCGCGGTATGGGCATCTTTGGGAGCAGCTTCAACAGACCCGAAGTTTCCCGTCGTGGTAGCTTTGTAAGTGTCGATGGTGATGACTGTGGACAATCTCAATCCCCGTCCGCCCAGCATGATAGTCAGCCTTTGAGCGATTACGACCTCCCTCCCACCCCGACCAAACAATCATTCTTCCCATCTCGCACCTACCCCCCGGCCGCATCGCAAATTGCTTCTCTCGAGAGATTATCAGAAGCCAAAGGGACCAACTGTAAGTGCTCTTGTTTCTCTGACCTGTGTCTTTGTTCACGCTAACCTTCTTGCAGCGAGTCCATTACACGACAAGTTCCAGCGTGCGTCTCCGCGTACACCGCAGGATAATCTGTTCCCGCCAGACCCCAGCGGCCTATCAATCTCCGCGCCTTACGACCAGCATTCCAACAAAACTGACTTCAATTCTCCCTATCTTCCGGCAACCCCCACTGGCCCGCGCGATTCTTTCTTGGGGTCGGGAAAGCGTCTTAGCCTCCCACTAAATGGATACAATGCCCCCGATGTGGATCCCAGCTTGACTTCGCGGTTTGAAAAAGTGGAGCTCGTTGGTACTGGAGAATTTTCTCAAGTATACCGAGTTGCTCAGTCTCAGGACATGGCATTGTCATCAATATTTTCTCTTCCCTCTACCACACCCAAATCCCCGAGGACGTTGCCGGACCGAGTCTGGGCTGTCAAGAAGGCCAAGCAGCCATACTCAGGATTGAAAGACCGTGAACGTCGAATTCGCGAGGTAGACGTCTTGAAGTCGCTGACAAACTCGGACCACATCATTTCTTTTGTTGACAGTTGGGAAGAGAGCAACCACCTTTACATTCAGACCGAATTTTGTGAGGAAGGCAGCTTGGACGTCTTTCTTGCCCAAGTTGGCCTCAAGGCGAGATTGGATGACTTCCGGATCTGGAAAATTTTGTTGGAATTGTCTTTGGTATGACATAGTAGTTCCCTTGATGGTCGAAAAGCTGTCTGCTAACGCAACTAACAGGGCCTCAAGCACATTCATGATCTAGGCTTCATTCACCTCGATCTGAAACCGGCCAACATCCTCGTTACTTTTGAGGGTGTATTGAAGATTGCCGACTTTGGCATGGCAACACGTTGGCCGGCGGAAGAGGGTATTGAAGGTGAAGGGGACCGTGAATACATAGGTCCTGAAATTCTCATGGGTCGCTTTGACAAGCCAGCGGATATATTCTCCCTCGGCTTGATCATTTTCGAGATCGCAGGGAACGTCGAACTACCCGATAATGGTCTCTCCTGGCAAAAGCTCAGGAATGGCGACATGAGTGATGTGCCTAGTTTGACTTGGAGCACTGAGACCAGCATTTTCCGGGATGCATCCGGGAACCCCGTATCTGAGGAGCCATCATTCGAAGAACTGTGCGCGTCCGACTTTGGCGATGATGACTTTGGGGATAGTTTCCTCGGCAATCGGAAACCGGTACCCATGGCTCGCAGCGGTGAGCTTGTTGACCCTCCTGACTTCATGGTGGACGCGAACCATGAACAGGCGTTAGATAAGATCGTCCGATGGATGATCTCACCAGAACCTTATGATCGTCCCACAGCAGACCAGGTTCTAGAAACATATGCGGTTCAATTCATCGAACGCCGACGCCGGGCCGGGGCTACCGTCTACGAAGGCAACTGGGGCCCTGCTGATGAGATACTCGCCGAGGACACTGAAATGATGGATGTTTAATCGGTACTTTTCGATACTCGTGCATTTGGATGGAGTTGGTGCTTCTTTTCTTCTTTCTTTATTCCCTCCCTACCTCCTACATCTCATGATGGCGTTACAAAAGAATCTGGGCTTTCATCTTAATATTCTTTAATGCCGTCTTGCTGTGAACGATTTAGCCTTGTTTTTTTTTTTTTTTTTCTTTTTCTTTTTTGTTTTTTTATATGGCGCGGATTACAGTGCATCGTGTCTGTTGCTGGGACGAAGAGTCAAAGGACCGGTAGTCCTTATTGACATTACTTTGTGATATCTATCTTCCTTCTTTGCAGCCTAGGCAGTTGCTTGGTGTTCTTCTTTTCTTTTTCCTATGTCTAACCCTCACGACTCGGATGATACGATCTGTGGAACGATTCCGGCGTTGTGTGCGGGGTTTACGCTCGTTTGCTAGACTCTTTCCTTTGTTTTATGTACGACTGCTTAGCGCTTGATGCTATGTTCTATTCCCTTTGAAAATGTACTACCAATGTTTTTTTTTTTTCTTTTTTTTTCGTTTTATTGGATTCTTTGCGTCGTGTGATGGCTTTTTTTTCCCATCCACCCCATATTTGAGGCCATCAACCACACATTTCTTTGCATTTGCACTGAAGCCACCCTGGTTAGAAGCAGGGATATAACCATGTGTCAGGCACTGCTATTGTGCCTTTTGTATTTGTCTTTTTTTCTTTTTGACTCGAGTACGGGTAACTCCTTTTCCTTTGCTTGTTGAAACTTTGGGTGGTGATAATGATTAACTTGTGTCCCGCTGACACCCGCGTTCCCATTTCCTTTCGGCTGTCAAACTTCTCTTCAACCATTGTCTTTACTTTTTTTTTTTCTCTTTTTCTTGTCTTTTTTTATGTCCTTGATAGACGAAACAGCCGACTTGTGATCAAGCAGGCTTGAGAACATGGGAATGCTTTGTGATATACTATTTTGAATGCGAACCAATTCTGGCCGCAACCATTATCAAATCCTCCGTAGAAGACAGCTCTATTGTCTTAAAATACTCCGTATAGGACTGTCAGTAAGCGTGTAGATGGCTGGATATGTCAGGTCCTCTATAACTCGCCACCCGTTCTTGGCATTGCGGCTCGACTTCGGAGCTCTTCTTTCTGTCCTTCATCTTTGCGGCCTTCCCTTCATTTAAAAACACGCTCCCATGCCCTCACTCTTTTGCTGTCTGCCAGCTGGAGCTTCCGTTATCAATTTTTCTATTTCTTGATCTTTTGCAACCGTGTCTTTCCACACGTGTTCCCATATAATTGGTCGCAATTCGCAATTATGTGCTGCTGTTTTTAATACAGCTAACAGAAGGGAAACAACCTGCTAATCTACTTTCTCCATATATTTACTATCTACCATCACGATTTACGCTGATAAATCACGTCGACACGGTTTCTCCGATCACCAGGGATTTCGCCGCTCGAAAACTGGTTCGCGTGGTTCGTAACGAACGACCAGCTACCTAGCCACCATAAGCAGTACACCCAATCCTATTTCAAAATACTTTCCACCAAACAAAATGGACAATAGAACATTCGTGTCAGACTCTCTCATCCGTCTTACCGGCGCGTCAGATCCTACCATCGTCGACTTTGTGCTTGCAACCGCTAGCTCAGCCAAATCCGCCACGGCGCTACAGGATAAGCTCGTTCCTTTCTTAGATGGTAGCCCGGACGATGTTAGTGCATTCTGTGGGGAGCTACATAGCCGAGCTGGTGGTGGCGGCGGTGGTGGAAAAACCGGGAGCAACGGGGCAGGAAAGGAAAGCAGGGGAGAATCCTCGTCAACCAAAAAGAAGTATCGGCTGGTAGAGATGGGGGAGGAAATGCAGGATACGGCGACATCGCTGGGGCCTATGAATGTCGAGGCGGAAAGGGAAAAGCGCAGGCGAAAGGATAAGGATCGGAGTTCTCGCGACAAGGACGATGGGAAAATTCGGAGTCGCTGGGAGAAAGAGGATAGTCGGAAACGAGAGCGGAGTCGGGAGGGAGAGGAGACTCGGGATCGCCACCGGTCAAAGAAGCTGCGTAGACGGGATGCAGATGACTTTGAGGATCGGTGGGGAGATGAGGAAATCCCAGATGATGTGTATGAGGACGAACAGGAGGAACTCGAGGATCCACCATCAAAACGAACCAGACTGGAGGATGGATCTGCGTCGCCTCGATCGGCCACGCCAGAGGAATTGGACCCGGCGAAGAAACAGGAAATGGATCGTGAACGGGATCTGAAAGAACGAGACGAGTTCGCGAAACGACTGGCCAAGAAGGATGACAGCAAGACAAAGAAGGTTGTCGAGGACCGAACTAGAACTAGCGAGGCCGCGCGACGACGGGCCTTAGCAGATGATTCTTCGGCCAGGGCCGCTGCCATGCCGGATATCAGAATGCGTTCTCGACAGGAATATTTGAAAAAGCGTGAAACCGAGCGACTTGCACTGCTGCGCAGGCAGGTCGCGGAGGAGGCAGCAGAGTTGCGCGAGAACCCAAATCTGACTCGCAAGGAGAAGGAGGAATTTGCAAGAAATAGGGAGGTGTTGCGGATTGCAGAGGAGCGACTACGGATCGACGACCACCGCGATGGCTACATGATGCCCGAAGACTACATTACGGAGAAGGGAAAGATAGACAGGAAGAAGAAAGAAGATGCTTTGTACAAGCGGTATGTTGACCGCGACGAGGCAGGCCAGGAACGGTTCGTTACGGAGCACGAAGAGTGGGAATTGGAGCAGACGGCTAAGGCTAAGGCGCAAATCAAGCGGTCCGAATTCGTTGACGAGGGAGACTACGAATATGTGTTTGATGACTCTCAGAAAATCAACTTCGTCATGGATGCCAAAATGGAGGGTACCCAGAAGCCGATGACAGCGGAGCAACTCATGCTTAAAGAAAAGCTTGATGCCGCTGAACAGAAAGCTGCCTCGATGGAAGAAACCCGAAAGAGCCTACCGATCTACCAGTTCCGCGATCAGATCATTCAAGCTGTTCAGGATCATCAGGTTCTTATCATTGTTGGAGAGACTGGATCCGGTAAGACAACCCAGATCCCGCAGTACCTCCACGAAGCAGGTTATACAAAGAATGGCATGAAGGTCGGCTGCACCCAGCCCCGACGAGTGGCTGCTATGAGTGTTGCCGCCCGTGTAGCAGAGGAGATGGGCGTGAAGCTAGGCAATGAAGTCGGTTACGCCATCCGGTTCGAGGATAACACAAGTGACAAGACCACCCTCAAGTACATGACTGATGGTATGTTGCTGCGTGAGTTGCTAACGGAGCCGGACCTTGGGCAGTACTCTGCACTGATGATTGATGAGGCTCACGAACGGACGGTGCCTACGGATATTGCCTGTGGACTGATCAAGGACATTGCCAAGGCACGGCCTGATCTAAAACTACTCATTTCCTCTGCCACTATGGATGCACAGAAGTTCCAGAAATACTTTGACGATGCGCCCATCTTCAACATTCCTGGACGTCGGTATCCTGTAGACATTCATTACACATCGCAACCAGAGGCCAACTTTCTTGCGGCTGCTATTACGACAGTCTTCCAGATTCATGTTACCCAGGGCCAAGGTGATATTTTGGTGTTTTTGACTGGTCAAGAGGAGATCGAGGCAGCCGAACAAAGTTTACAGGAGACAGCGCGGAAGCTTGGGAGCAAGATCCCCGAGATGATCATATGTCCAATCTATGCCAATCTACCATCCGAGCTGCAGACCAAGATCTTCGAGCCAACCCCTCCCAAGGCCCGGAAGGTTGTGCTAGCTACGAACATTGCCGAGACAAGTTTGACCATCGACGGTATTGTCTACGTTATTGACCCGGGCTTTGTCAAGGAGAATGTATTCAACCCCCGGACAGGTATGGAGAGCTTGGTGGTGACGCCGTGCTCGCGTGCGTCTGCAAACCAAAGAGCTGGACGTGCTGGTCGAGTTGGGCCCGGAAAGTGTTTCCGGTTATACACAAAGTGGGCGTATCACAACGAGTTGGAAGAGAGCACGACGCCCGAGATTCAGAGGACCAACTTGAGTAGTGTCATTTTGATGTTGAAATCTTTGGGGATCGACCAGCTTCTTGATTTTGACTTCATGGACCCACCGCCGGCCGAGACAATCATCCGGGCGCTAGAGCAGCTCTACGCACTAGGGGCATTGAACGACAAGGGAGAACTGACTAAGGTCGGACGACAGATGGCGGAGTTTCCGACGGACCCCATGCTTGCCAAGGCGATTCTTGCGGCGGACAAGTATGGGTGTGTGGAGGAGGTTTTGTCGATCGTGTCAATGCTTGGAGAGGCTAGCGCTCTGTTCTTCCGACCTAAAGACAAGAAGATCCATGCAGACAGCGCACGGAATCGATTCACGATCAAGGATGGCGGTGATCATCTGACATTGCTTAATATTTGGAACCAGTGGGTGGATTCGGATTTCAGCTTCGTGTGGGCACGGGAGAATTTCCTGCAGCAACGCAGTCTAACACGGGCGCGCGACGTCCGCGATCAGCTAGCGAAGCTGTGCGATCGGGTCGAAGTGACGGTCAGCACCTGTGGACCAACGAACATACAGCCCATCCAGAAAGCGATCACCGCTGGATTCTTCCCGAACGCGGCTCGTCTGCAGCGTGGCGGTGACAGCTATCGGACGGTAAAGAATGGACAGACGGTATACCTGCACCCATCGAGCACACTGTTCGAAGTGAACCCACGATGGGTAATTTACTTCGAGCTGGTCCTGACTAGCAAGGAATACATGCGCAGCAACCTGCCGCTACAGGCAGAGTGGTTGGTGGAGGTTGCACCGCATTATTATAAGAAAAAGGATCTGGAAACGTTGGGATTGGATCGAAAGGTGCCCAAGGGACAGGGAGCTGCAGGCGAGAAGAGTCGAAACTGATGATGTCAATCTTGTCGATATATACCAATTTTATCTAGCATGGTTTAATTATTCTTCCTTATTCAATGCATAAACAGCCTCATATTCCGCAACCCGACATTTATTCCGACAACTCGGTGATATAATTCCGTGTACAATAGCCAGCCAATCACAAGCCTGCCATTTCGTCTGACCGCGGCCCTTGGATTTAACCTCGGTCTTTTTCTCTCTCCGCCCGCGTTTCTGCCCCGGATCAGCTCCAACCCCATCTTCATCGAGATCATCGTCGCCGTCTATCCCCATCGTTAAACTGGACATTTCCATCCAAATTTCTTCCCAGACAGACTTGCTTAAAAGCTAGGACACCATAATACCCGCTCCAGACCCCAACGGAAAGAAATAAACAACCAACCAAAATGTCCAAATCCTTCACCCCCACCGAAGTGGCCAACCACAAGACCGCCGATAAGGGCCTCTACATCATTATCGACACCAACGTCTACGACGTGACCAACTTTGTCGACGAACACCCCGGTGGCGCAAAGATCCTCAAACGAGTCGCAGGAAAAGACGCCTCGAAGCAGTTCTGGAAGGTTGGTTTCATTCTTCTTTCGTTCTTGTCGTTCGTATGTATGTATGAACTGAGGCTGAGGCTAATTGGTGATGGTGGTTCAGTATCACAATGAAGGTGTCTTGAAGAAGTATTCGCCTAAATTGAAGATTGGGGAGATCAAGGATGCTGCGAAGCTGTGAGCTAATACATCTTGGGATACTTTGGTCGGTTTTGTTGGATGTATGTATATACCACATGCCAGGGATGAGGGGGAAAGAAGTTCCCTCTGGAACAGACATCCTGGTTTGTTACCTGTAGGCCGATAGACATTGATATTGGCTAGAGAAGAGTTAGAAGACTCGTGTTGACTAGTCTACTTATTTGTGATATCCCTGCTTATCAAAATCATTTTATCGTTGTTTATCTACTGCTACTTCCATAAAGGACCAGTTAATCCACCACTACAAGATTCAACGATTCAACGATTCAACGATTCAACGATTCAACGATTTCAAAAAATAAAAAATAAATAAAAGTAAATAAATATAATAATAATAATAATAATGCAAAGTCCTTGACATGATGATGACAATGACGTATTCTTGTTTTATCGCCCTCTCATCACGCAATTAAACAATACAGATAAATAATCCAATAGTTCTAATCCGACGCTTTTCAGCAAAACCAGCCAGCTGACAACAAATCAACAATGGTATCCATAAACAAAAGTGGTATCAAAAATGTAATATCTCCAAATACAGCTGGATATACAGGGAGTAACAGCAAGAGCTAGAGCGAGAGTTCACCAATGAGTTCTCGTTATCAACACCCAATGGCTTAATAGAAGGTATGGAAATTGGATTTCCAGCGAGTGCCGCGAATCAACAAACCATAGATCGCTCGCGGCAAGGGTGAAATAAAAGCGATTATACTGCGTTTATATATGTATAGAATGTCTCAAAATCCCCGGAAGGGGTCGTCGTGGCGAAAGTAAAGTTCGCTACTATCCTCCAAGGTTGGAAAGTCAAGGTCCCGTAATGCATGATGATGTCCCTGATACCCTTGACTCCATTGACTCGAAGCCTTGCTTCCGTTTCGGGGCCGACGATTGCCGACGCGGTGTCGATTGGACTCGGTTTGGTCAATGAAAGCTTCCATGCGAACGGTTCCTATTGCATCAAAGAAGTTCCCCGTGGTACCAACGCTAGAAGGTCCACTGGCTTCAGATGTGCGCCGACTGAAGCTGCTTCGGCCGCTACTGATACCCTGAGGGTACATTGGAGGGGCGTATACATCAGATGATCCGATAGTGGCGCCGCTATTAGACGAGGGCATCGTTCCAATGCTCGAGAAACTTCGTATGGCAGGCATGCGAGGTGCAGTATTGCTGCGTTTTCGCGAGTGGTTGGAGAACCGTGGCACCGTAGGAGGGTCAGCAGCACTGAGCATAGAGTCTCCATCCGAAGGGAGCTCAGGAACTGGGGCGACGTGGTTCGCGAATGGTCGCTTTCCCTTGGGGCCTGGGCGAGGCTTGCCCTTGGCTACTCTGATTGAGTCGCGAATAGGATTCTTGCGCAGGGCAGCTGTTGGTGCGGGGGAGGCAAATTCCTCCTGAGGAACAGGCGGTAGAGAGGCGAGGTCATGAATGCCCATCGCGGAGTGGCTCAAAAATGACAGTGCCGTGAGCCAAACATAATGGCGTTCAATACTAGTGGCAGTAAACTTCAGAGCCCTCTGAGGGGTGAGGATCAGAATAGAGCGGTTAAATTGATTTTGAGGGTTGAATCCCTTGGGTAAAGGATTGTCATCCTTGACGTCCAGGACAGATTGGATGGTAACTGTTTCAAGTATCAGTGCGACGATACCAAACATTAACCATCAAACAACACGACTTACATTTCCTGCCACTCTTGCCCAGCAATGCAGGCCCGCTGGTAGGCTGCTTGCTGCTCCACATTACTGCTCTTTCATATGGTGCAAGCCAAACCCATCTCTTGTGTCTCACTCCACTGTTAGTGATGTTCGCAGACACCTCATCCGCATTCTTGCCATCCCAATTTTCCTTAGAGTCATTATTACCACCAAAGGACCTCCTCCTCCGAATATACTTGAACATCCATTCTCCAACCATGGTCTGGGCGATCGCATCGACAACACTCGTCTGCTGAATAGAAGTAGCGGCGGAGTCCATGCGCTCATGAGCAAACGCACGAATCGAGCCCGGACCACGCGTAGACCGTCTTCTGTTTGGTCGAGGAGCAACGATATCATCAAAAGGCAGAGGTCGTCGAGGGCTATCTGGAGTAAAGGAAGAGGTTGACATGGCCATGGACCGCTGACTACTAGGTCGTTCATATGGATCTGTTTGGGACATGGTTGTCGCAGAACGAACCCTGCGCATTGTCGGCCTCCTGACAATAGGTTGATGTCCACGATCAGAAAAGTTTCTGGAGCCAGAAGGAGTCGGGCTTTGCCGACCTTCGCTACCATTGACGGGGAAGTTCCTCGAACTAAGCCGGATAGGAACAGGGAATGGAGGCGCGATGCTAGATCCACTGCCGCTGCCGCTATCAATACTGGGTTCGCTAGGGCTACGTGCCCGTATCCTCTGGTGCGCTGCTGCTCCACTTGTGATCATTGCCGCTCTCCGAATATCTTGCTGTCTCGCTCCGGCGGCTCCGGCCCCAGAACGTTGTCCTCTCGTAGGTCCAAACAGAGTGTCTCTGCTCTCCTCAACAGTTGATACATCTTCGGACAATGGCAATGCATTGTCCATCAGATGTTCGTCGATTTCCGGCAACGGAGAGTCATCCAGGCTAGATCCCGGTTGTGCTGAGACAAGTTTTCCCCTTCTCAACTTATAAGAGGCAAACGGCCGGTTTAGAAGCTCATCATCGGTGAAAATATCTTTTTCAGTCTCAGGGGCTTCTTCGTCGCTCACCTGCTCAAAGCCAGCAAAGAGGCTGCTTGACCTCATTGGTCGTCTTATGCCTGACTTCAAATCGTCCGACAGTGGCCCATTGTCATTATTTCCTGGGTACGCTTGAATATGGTCAAGCTGCTTGTCTCTTGAAGCCACGGTTGTCCTTTCCGGGGCAAATGGTCGAGTCTTTTTATCCTCTGAGCTCAGTCTTAGTGGAGGTGCACGGTAGGGTTGAATGGGAGGAGGCTCCTGAGACTTGGGGCTCAACGGTAGATCGGGGATTGCAGAGGGAAGCAGGCTTGCCGGCAATTTGACAGGTCGTTGGTCGATTCGAATTCCTTCTGTTTGTATTCCAATTGATCGACCATCCATGATTGCTCGGAAGTTCGTTTGGCAAGAAGCACTTTTTGTTCGAGGTGGCAACATCACGCTGCCACGTGGAGAAGGTGGTTCTGAGCAAGGGGGATGGATTGCAATCATGGGAATCTCCACTTCAGATGAAGATGCATCATTCGGTGACAGAGTAGTTCTCTTTTCACGTGCTTCAGCCACTGGGGCCTGCTCAGTTTGTGCAGATGAAGAGATCATTTTAACTTCTACGGGCGGTTGTGCTGGTGGCGACGGTTCGACAATTTTCGGCGTCCAAGGAGGGCTGGGCAGATCCCCAACTGTCTGACAAGATGTTGATACCATGTCAGTCATCAGAGTCAGAGTGCTCGAGTCCTTCATCTGGCAAGAGCTGCGGCTTTCTTCTGCATCATTCACGGAGCGCAAACTTTGACTCTCCGAAGGCAGTTTGGGCGATGGAGGGGGTGAATATTGGACCCCGGCATCTTCATAAACGCAAGATCTATCGTACAAGGATTTCACAGGGCTGCTCATCTCTAGAACCCGGTCCTCTGCAGCGTTTCCATCTGCACTGCCATGTAGAGAAAGTCCGAGAATCTTTCTCGCCTTCATTCCCATTCCTATTGTGTGTGACAATTGAGACTGCACTGATGTTGGTCGTTCTTCCGGAAGTGCCTCAGGGGAATAAGGAGTTGAGTCGCCCTCGAGTTGTTCAAACTCCTCTTCCTCGTCAAAGGCTAGTTCTTCCGCAAGATTCAAGCTGTCGTTCTTTCCTTGCCCGTTTGCAACGCTCATAACAGAGAATCTGACATCGTGGAAGTCGCCATCGTCAGTACTCATGCTTGTAACACTGGTACGGCGTCGTCCTGGGCTACTAGAATAAACACTAGCCGTGTCACTATCCTTTGCGGTGGTTCCTTCTTTGGCCAATTCAGTGCCATCGGCCTTTGGCGCTGCACGGAAAGAACCAGCCGCTTGAGCAGCTGCCACTTCGTTTAAAATGGTCTTCAAACGGCCCTCAACCACGTGGACTTTGTGCTCCAATTTCCTGCGCTCGCCTTCCCAAGACTGTCGCTCGCGATCCAAGAGCAACTGGGCCCTTTCAGCATCTTCTTCGCGGCTTCGGACCTTTTTTTGAGTCTGCTCTAGCTTTTTGCGAACATCCGATATGCTCTCCAGCGCGTTGTCACGATCTTTGGCTAGTTCGGTCAGCGCAGACGAGGACCCACCCTCAAGGAGCTTTAACTGATGCTGAAGTGACCGAGTCTCTTTGGTGGATTGGGATAAACTGTCATGGAGACTTTCGTTTTCTATTCGTGAATCATCAAGGCTTCGTTCTAGAACATCAATCGCCTTTGTTTTACCCTCGACATCACGCCGTAAGGAGAGGATTTCGGAGACAAGGGAAGCATGAAGTGTTGGGGTGAACCTTCGTGGATCGAATGGCATCAGATTGTCTTCATCTGGGTCTTCCAGGTCGCTTGGTCCTTCCGGAGAAAAGTTCTGGTTTGGCAAAGATGTGGGTGACGATGATACAGTAGGGGACGAATCTTCTCGATGCAACGATGGTCGAGACCTAGCCCGGGATGGACGTCTGTATGGTGTTGTAGAAGGCGCGGGGAATGCCCGAGCGGTAGATGGTGTCTGGAATTCCATATTGTAGCTGTCGCTTTTCATCAAGCTAAGACGCATGCACACCGGAGGTCTTAAACCATCACCATGAGAACATGTGCTTCCTTCAGCTAACCAGTCAGAGCAAAGACTGTTTTCATAAGCGAACAGTCAATTCGTTGCGTCATTCAATATCCATCGACCATGTAGATGTTTCCAACTCGGAGGATCAGGAGGCGAAGGCAAGTGGCACTTCGAGAGGTTGGACAATCGCAGTTTCCGGTCCAAATGTCGGTTGGTAATAAAAAGCGATAGTGGGACGAGCCCTTCGATTAGCTCTAAAGCACGTTCAAAACCGGGTCAGTCACTCGTGGTAATATAGGCAAGGTCATTGTCAAAGAGCAGATTGTAATCTAACAGATACAGTTTGTCGCAGTAGAGAAATATCTACGTACAGAAGTGAGACCGTATGGTTGGAATCCCCCGCAATGAAATAGCAGGATCAAATCAATTGATAGAATAGAAGTCAAGATAGACTTAATTCTCCTTGGACACCAAGTGAGGGGTGGCAAGGAACTCGATCGATTGGAGTCTGCGATGAGCGCCTGAGGGGGAAAAACGAGAAGACACAAGTACAAGAGACGGGAGAATAACCAAGTTGGCCGAAGCTGACAGGTGGGATTGCTTGGGATGAGAAAGACTGATCTTCTCTCGGTTCCAATAAGAATATTGAATTAAGAGTAGAATCAATGCAGCATGGCAAGGATCTTAGGAGAGGGGAGGGACGGCAGCTGCAAAGCCCGTTGAATCACATTAGATCATCAGCCTTGCGCCACCAGTGCATGCTCTGGGCAGCGGAAGTCGAAGACATGGACGTGAGGAGGGACAAGCCGTGTTAGTAGCAGCTAAACTGTGCGCAACCTGCATAAGGTCAACACTCAGCAGCCCAGGGGTGTTCGTTAGGGGCATGGGGAAAAGGTCAATTCACCCGATTAGTTAGGGGAGAAAGATAGCAGCTCCACCGAAGCTGCCACTGGCGACACTAAAGATGGGTCAAAGGCTCAAAGAGTCAAAAGTCCGGATTGATCCTCGATGATTATTATTTTATGGCATGAAAGAAAAAAAAGAAACAACCATGGCAATGGGCACGAAAGCTAAGCACAGCCCAGCCCGATCGGCCGTAGATGATGCCGTATCAGTTCTCAGGTAAACCTATCGCTGTTGCGAGAAAAGAGAAAAGGGGTACGGAAAGATAGGAGAGTACGGCTCGACTGCCACATGGTCCATCAAAAAGGCAGCAAAATATGGAAAAGATTATCATATGATTCTTAAGATGAAACACGACGACACGGTAGTACTATTTCCTGCTGGGCTGGCCAGCAGCCTGTCGAGTGTCAGGGGAGGAAAAGGCAGGGAACAAGAAAAGGAGTTTTAGACTCGGGATCGTCAGTCCCTCGATGTACGCCAGTTATGGGCCCATGGGGAGGGAGTTCGTTGTTTACCAAGACACCCATCGTGGGAGGGTCCACTGCGAGCAAATGTGGGCCACTTTGAACACGATTTCCTGCTCAAGCTCTGGAACAAAGAAAGACAAGATGGATAGAGACCCGTCTTGTCATCCGGCTGGTGTTTCTGGATGGAAACAATTATCCCGCCATTCTTTTGATTAAATGCCATTGTTGCTTGTTTATCTTTCATCCATTCAAATTCTGAAGACAATAATGGAAGATTTATTAAAGACAAGTCGTTCTTGTGATTGTGAATGCGCGTGGCTGAGAAGCGCGTTACAGTAGACAGCGTGTTTTGGGTGAGAACGTTTCCCTCGAATTAGCGCGCGCGCTGATCGTCGTAGGTAATTTCTTGGGACTCGAAAGGCCATGGTCTGTGTTTCAAAAATCAAACTTCAACAGACAGGTGTACTCCGTAATAGCATCCGACCAGCTGGTAGGTTTAGCAACTGACAGTAGCTCAAGCGCGTTATCCGGATGGCCCCTAAGCCCGTTGGATGGTATTATTGTCCGGTGTTGATCAAGTTGTACTTGGTATAGGATCGTCGGCATGACGATAAGAGATGCTGTGAACGCAGATGACAGACATTGATCGAAGCTGTAGTGCGCGCGCTATTCCTGTATGTGCCGCGATTCATGATCGAGACCGAGCCGATTCCGAGATTTGTGAGCACTCCAAAGTTTACCTTACCTTACCCACTCCTGCTCGAAAATAGGGCACAGATACTACTACATACTGTCGGAGCACCCGAGAGCTTGCCCTTCTTGGGGGAGCTCTTGATGGTCTGTTGGTTGTGTTCTCCATACGGAGTGGTCGGACCGGATCCTGCATTCGATAAAAATCAATATGGATTAGTTATTCTCGTCGGAGATTACGGCAACAGATACATCTTTTGCTGTCGTGGTCAAAGCCCCTTTTTCCGGTCTTGAATATGAGTACGGAGTTAATCTGTAGCTGTGGATAGTAATAATCTGCCAGATCCTAAGATAGCAGTCATCACAGTTGGCCATAAGGTCATCACACCTAAGAATAACGCGGATCAAAGCAACCGTAAGACCGTTCGACGACCAAAGTCCCGCTACATCAGGATTAGGGAGGGATTCGGGAGAAAAAAAACCCAATGATGGCTCACAAGAATATTTGCAAGGCAATGATTATTCTCATTGGACTTCAACCCCTAATTCCTCCCATTATTTATTATTTATTTGCAGACCCGTTAAAAACGTGAGCCTGGTCGACTAGTCAACAATTAGTGAAGACGAGCGTTGTTTAGTCGCTCTTGTCGCTATCCACAATATTCCAGTGACCCACACCGGCGAAGGAAGCGAAGAAGCTTTGCCACTGCTTTGGAGATTCAGGGGAAGAGGCAAAGTGGTGGGCGGGCATGAGACGCGTTGACAGGTCTCCTTGCAGGTGCATTTCTGTCAATAATATTCAGTCAGCATGCAGTCCAGTGTGATCAAAGCACGTCTCATGCTGAATGGAGAAAGATGCATACCGTCCAGGTGAAGATCAATTGATGGCCACGACGGCTTGGTTGGATGAGGGAGAATCCGAGGGGTTCTTGTTGCGTTCGCGTCTGAGTCGTTAGTGGGCGCGGGAAGACGGATCCGTTGGTGGAGAGCTCGAGCTGGGAGACTCCGCAACGTCCGCATCCTCATCCAACGGATGGATATTGCGATGCTGACTGGGAATACGAGCAGGAGGCAGGCTCAGTCTCTCTGGATAGCTGGATGGCGATTGTTGAGATGTTGAGATGAACGATCGGTGCCTGAAGGTGAGAGACTCCATAGTAACATCTAGAGTCTATACTATCATCAATGATCATCGGGGCTGCAGCTGTCATCGTTAGCATTGACCGGGATTAGGCCATCATTGCCGCTAGTCTGGGCTTCTTTTTTTTTTTTTTTTTTTTTTTTTTTTTTTGGAGGAAATATTTGAAGTACAAAGTACAATGGAGTACGGATGGAATGGCGATGGATATTTTCATCTTTCTAATGGAGTACTTCGTATTGTTGCGCCCGGTGAGCACGAGTCTGGTCATTCCGTGTGCTTCAATGCATACGCAGCGGGATGACAATTATTTTTGACTGGGAACAAACAGGGTTTCTCGGAAATACAGCAATCAATCTGATGCAGTAGACTCGGTGATGGATCTTGTGGCATGCATACCATATCGAGAGATGCATGGGATAGGGGACAGACTAGTAATAACAGTATCAATGTTGCTTTGGATGGAAGATTCAAGAATGCTGCATATCTTGCTTCACTATAAGTCTTCATACGAAGATACTTTCTGCCCTTGCATTGCATATGATCAAAGTGATGCTGATAGCCATGAATCAATATGCTAAAAATAATGCAGCTGAATGATTCAGGCTACATCATCTCAAGAGTAGACATAACTGAAATACCTGGTATTCTGAATCCGATCCAGGAAGCAAAAAGGATTAGTATTATCATACTTAAATAAAACAGTTGGATTGATTATTCGATCGATATGGACTTTACATGATACATCTCGTCATGGCTCATAATATTCAGAGCAAGTCCAGATACTATATAATGACTAGGAATCGATACAGGTTCTTGATGCATGATAGCCACAGGTCATATTCCAACGAGCTCTGGTCAAATATATCGGGTCGGCTCAGTACTGTATTTTGGTATCCAAGTATAGAATATGACCAATGAAGTTGATGGAAATATCGATAACTAGGGTAAGCATATCACATGTGGTGGCTATCTGCACCATTCCAGGTTCTTCTCCATTGCTAGATAAGGCAGACTATTTTCTGTAAAGTAAGCGAGGCCTATATAAAGGCATTGCCATACTGTATATTAGTTCACTACCTTGTCTTCATCCATTGATCTCATAATGCAACACCAGGTTTCAGAATGCTTTTACTATCAATCCCAGCCAAGCATCATTATCATTTCATCAAATCAAGGCAGAACATCTATTAGCTGAATCTTACACCATAACTTTTAAAATGATCCCATATCACAATGTGGATAGAATGCGTTTTTACTTCATCTTACCTCGGCCTAATTACATCGTTACCCCTCCACTGACTAATCATCATGATGTCAACAGGATTATTATCCCGATGCCCCTCAGTCTTGTTGATATCCATTTGGTCATCCATTAGACTATATCTCTTACCTGTGCCAATCCTTCGACACTGTGCAGTAGTCCCATACTGTCGTCAACATACACCACAAAAGCCAAAAAGTCTCAACACACCATGTCAATCAATCAGCCACCACAAGTACTCTTCTTCGACGTATTCGGCACAGTCGTGGAATGGCGGTCCTGTGTCACCAAGGCTCTGCAAGATGCAGCTGAACGAGTCGCCCGCGAGCCCGGCAGAACCGTCACCCCAGACGTGCGAAACATCGTATCTTCAATGACCACCGACGACTGGCAGAATATTGTCGAAGAATGGCGCAAGTCATACAGCCAATTCACCAAGTCTTTCGATCCCTCCAAAGGCTTCACCTCCGTCGACCAGCACCACTATGAGTCCCTACTGGAGCTACTCAAACAACGCAATCTCGAATCTCTCTTCACAGACGAGGAGAGATGGGATCTAGCTCTCTCCTGGCACAAACTTGAGCCATGGCCCGACAGCGTCCGAGGACTTGAGCGGCTCAACCGCAAATTCCGAACATGCACGCTGTCGAACGGCAACATTGCCCTGCTGGAAGACCTTCGGCGGAATGGGTCGTTGCCGTTTACCGATATCGCCAGTGCAGAGCACTTTGGTGCCTACAAGCCCTCACCCAAGGTGTACAATGGCGCGGCTAGAAAGTTTGGTGTGAAACCGTCGCAGTGTGCGATGGTGGCGTCGCATTTGGGGGATCTCAAAGCGGCAAAGAGTCAAGGGTTTCAGACGATTTATGTAGAGCGGCAGCGGGAGGAGGCAGTCCTGTATGAGCCGGAAGAGGAGGCGCAAAGGGAGGGATATGTGGATATGTGGATCGATCTAGAGTCCAAGGGGTTGATAGAGATTGCCAGGCAATTTGATATGCTTCCAAGTATCGACTTGTCGATATAAGGTAAATGGATGTTTCTGATTCCGTTCTGTACATACCTATCTAATAATAAACATGCTTGTAAGGTTGATCTTACCTGCAGACACTAGCGCTTATGGATATATTGCTCAGATACAGGTATCACCACTATGACTCACATATTGCGAATGCGGAGAAACGACAACAGTAGATTTGTCAGCCCTGGTATCTATTATCGATAAATAGAGATGAATTAACCCTTCAAAGGACTGCGGTAAAGCTCATCTCAAGAGACAACATCAGTAGAATCAATATGCCAGAACAGGTACTTACAATACTCACTCCGTCCAGCTAACGAGACCAACTGATAATCCCAGGACCCTCAAACTGACAAATACGCCGATTCAGACGGCCATTTCCGGCGAAAAGAATCCATCTTTCGCTCCTTCATCTCCCACGATCCCACTGCGGACTTGTCAGCAGAAAGAGGCCGCTACATTCTCTATCTAGGACTTAGCTGTCCCTGGGCTCATCGAACCAACTTGGTCCGCTCCCTCAAGGGTCTAGAAGACATCATCGAACTGGTCATCGTAGACCGAAAACAGGGCCCGGATGGATTGACTTGGGGGTTTGAGGAGAAAGAGCCCTTGTATGGATTCACCCTGCTGCGAGAGTTTTATTTCAAAGCAGACCCGCAGTATGAAGGAAGTATCACGGTCCCAACGCTTTGGGATAAGAAGAAGGAAACGGTTGTGAGCAATGAGAGCAGTGATATCATCCGCATGTTCTATACAGAATTTGACCATCTCCTTCCCGAGGAGCTGCGCGAGGTTAATCGACCCGGGGGAGGATTCTATCCGGTGCAACTGAGAGAGGATATTGACGTGCTGAACGCGTGGGTATACGACAAGATCAACAACGGAGTGTATAAGACGGGGTTTGCCACGACGCAGGAGGCATACGATGCGAATGTATATCCGCTATTCGAGGCGCTGGATCGAGTGGAAGATCATCTGGGCCAGGCAGGACACCAGCCGTATCTCTTTGGTGATAATATCACCGAGGCCGATATCAGACTGTACACGACCATTGCCCGGTTTGACGTGGCCTATTATTCCATCTTCCGGTGTAACCTGAAGATGATTCGGTATGATTACCCACGGATTCATCTTTGGTATCGCAGGTTGTATTGGGATGAATCGGAGAGAACCAGGGGAGCTTTCAAACAGACGACATTTTTTGATATCGTGAGTGACGCATCGTGCGTGGTTTGATTGCAGGCTGACTTTTGCAGTATAAAGTGGGATATTCGAGAGCTGTCCAGGGGAAACGACCCAGTGCGGATATGATCATCCCAGCAGGTCCAGTTCCCCATATTCTGCCATTGTAGAGCTCATTGCAAGTTACTCTTGATTTCAAAATCAATAGTCAAAGATAGCGATTCCATGAGCAATCCAACATTGGGTAGTATGAGGGATAAAGCAACGTAAGACAGCAACAAGGGTATTATCTGACTGCATATATCGAGTCAGGCCACGAACATGTAGTTTATAAGGACTTCCTCTCTGGGTATCGTTTCCGTCGGGTCCATCCATCCACGACCGCATCGCTATACTGAAAGAGGAAATTGTGAGGTTCCCGGGAAGAAGATCGCAACCATGGAAACAAATTAACCAAGCCGTATACTCGGCAGGATTCCTCGTGGAGGTCAACAATAAACAGTAAACACAGGCGGTTGTTGTTACGTCGGAGGTCTGTCGCTGACCACTCAGCTGTCGACGGAGGATTTTCCCCTGAGATGGGTCTTTTTCTTCAAGTTGGAATTGGGTGGGACAGTTCCGAGGTCCGCTTGTGGGTGGATTTTGGGAAATAAGCGAGAATTAATGGGCATGTAATAAGATTGCGATTCTGCAGGGTTTTCTTTCTGATGGGTGGAAGTATCGTTTTTTGATGATATTATCATCGGAGAATAAATCAGACAGGCTTCGTGGACGGAATTGACCATGAGAATTGAGTGTATCACGATCGGCCGAAGACATCCTGAATCCGGATCTGATTATCTGATGTTGACCACGATCAAATATCGTCACATGCGTGTACAGGTCTTGCACGATAGCTTCAGGAGAAGACAATCTGGCCAATTTGGGCCGGTAATGGCCAGTGCCAGTCAGCCAGGGTTCTAGGTTCTCTTCCCGTCGTCCATTAGGGCTTTTCTCTTTCTCTTTCTCTTTCTCTTTCTCTTTCTCTTTTTCTTTTTCTTTTTCTTTTTCTTTTTCTTTTTCTTTTTCTTTTTCTTTTTCTTTTTTTTTTTTTAGTATTAAACCGACTCTTTTCTACTCCAGAGATATACGTAATTGATATCCCAGCCCAGGATCGGAATTGCCCATAGCGGTGGAACAGCCTCTGTCCCCTAGACCCATCTATCGACACGTTCGGGCCAGCTGGGATGCTAGATCCAGAGGGTGAAGTGGAACTTGGAGGTTGGGTTGAGGATTCAAAGTCGTGGCTATCCATGGTTGAGGGCGTCTTAGTTATTTTATTATTATCTACCGATGGTCGATTGCAGTGTGGGAGAGTGAGACTGCATGTCATTCGTATTTTCCCTGTAGGAGATGCATATTCCTATGTACTTCGGAGGGTACAAGTCCGCAAGTAACACGATCAATTGATCCGTTAATCTATTGAGTTGAATCTTATTGATCCTGTCTTCTCTTCCAGTAAGCAGATTCTGTTCTCCAGCTAAGAACTCGTAGAGTTTGCAGTAGACGGAGATGACATTTGCTACCCGATGGACCCCGACGCCACGATAAGCACGGGAAATGAGCATTGAGTTAGTCGTCGCTAGTCTGCTGGGTTGGTTAACGATTCTGGACACGATCTTATTGACATAGTCAACCAACAGCTCCTGTCCAAAGCTGTCTACTAACGTTTATCGATTTACCCTTTACTCCGTCACTGCTGCTTTGTTGATGTTTGATTATCAACCCGTCATCTAGACTGCGACAAGGTGTCGACTACATTAGTGCCGTACTAGCCCACGTGGACGAACGGGCCGGAATGGCTGCATGTGTAACAGCACTGACTTTTAAATCATGGGTGTATGCATATAGGATAGTGGGCAGGGGACACGGCAACAATGCCCTAGACTACGCTGAAGTTTAACTTGCTTACAAGCTATCTGCGATATTATTTCCCCCGACGTATTCGTACTCTGGAATCAAGCTAGAACCCTGTCCTGTCTGGGATTCATCTGGAAGAGGATAGACAAAGAGACGGAATAAATCTAGAATCCATGTTAGTCTTAAGTCCAGTTGACTACTATTAATGCCCCACAAACCCTGCATTGTTTCATGTCATGCTGTTCCTGACATAAGTGACATCAGCGCCAGATAGTCAGATACTACGTACGACTCCTTAACAGTTAACCTGATATACGGGATGCTCAGCAAATCGCCCTGAGAGGCTGAAACCTCCATCCGATTACCTTTTCGAGTATCGCCAGTGGACAGTGTCATCCGGCGGGGCAAACCGTCCTCTAGGGATCCCGAGGATCAGGAATATCCCATCTTAGCCCATGTTTTTTTTTTAACAGTTAAGGAGGGCTTGTCCGGCCCCTTTCCGTGGAATAGGGATGGTCGTGATGGGAAATATTAATAGACTGTGATATATGACAATCACACTTGGCTAAGAGTGGTATGTCGATGCTGGATAGTGTCGCCTCATTCTCGATACTCGGTGGCCATAGATAGGGCAGGAAGGGAGAGAAAAAAAAAAAAAAAAAAGCGGTTTGCCTTTTGTTCTCAATCCTCCCCGTCGAGTCTGGGCGTTATGGGAGATTATGACCTGTATGATTCTTCTTAGCATCATCTTTCTGGGGGAAAAAAAAAAAGAAACCCGAACGAAGGTACTCCGTACTGCTTTGTCCTACCCAGAGATCGTCAAATATACGAACATCACCTCCCGGAAATGGTCCGGGACTCGACTGGTCCATCATGGGAATAGCTAAAAGGTCATGAGGCTATGAGCAGTCTAAGGCTCTAAGCTACTACCTTACAGTCTTGCTCTGGTGGAGAGCATTGGTTAGTCTTTAGCGGTAACCCACTTCGTGTCTACCCGAAACCGTCTTCGGGAGACTGTCCTGTCCGGCGGACGGTTTGTGATCGATGAAGAAAAAAAGAAACGAAAAGGAGGATCATGGTCTGAATAGGGAGTTGGTGGTGGTGGTGGTCGTGTACCCAGTAGCAACGGTAGTTAGGGGAGAGAAAAAAAAAAAAAAAAAAAGAAGCTAAAGGAAGCTTTCAAAGGTAAAGCACACACACTGTAGTACTCGTACGCCCTGATTTTCTCGACCATGAAAGAGAGCAGGCAGTACTTTGTCAATGGTATATTATTCAGAGTATATATAGAGAGAGAATGGAACCTCCATCTGATTTTTAAGTTAATAAATGAGAAGAGCAGAAAAAGAAAAGAAAACGAGCCAGAACAAGATACATAACGTTGAACTCGCTTTCAAACCAACGCGGGTCCTGCACGGCCAGCCCCAGACAGCCGCCACTTTCTCTCACTCTCATTCTGTCACTCTGGCTGTCTCTTTCTGTCTCTCTCTCGGTCGCTTCTCCTCCTCCACGCCGGTTTCTTCCCCTCTTCTCTCGCTCGTCTTTCGACGACTCCTCTCTTCCTCAATTTCTCCGTCGAATTCGCGTCGATTTCACTATCCCATCTAGTCATCTTCACTACTGCTGTTGGTCTCCGACAGGGATCATCGTCTCCGCCGGCTTCATTTCCTTCTTTATTACTTTAGTTAACTAACTACTATCTTCTTTTTTTTTTTTTCCTCTCTTCCCTTCCTTTCCTCTTTCTCCCCTCCCTCCCCTCTTCTTCCTCTTTTCCTCTCTTCAACCCTCTCTTCTTCTTCTTATCTTTCTTTCTTTCCATCCAATTTCTTCGGGTTTACTCTCGTCCGATTGCTATTGGTCGTGGTCCCTCCATCTTTTCTTGCTGGCCAAGCCTTTCACTTCTATCCTTGGTCTATCTGGTACTGCCTTGACGTCGGCGCCTGTTCGTCTGCGCCTCCTCCTTAACCCACCTTAAAACTATCTTCTCTCTCCCTCCCCTCCTCTCCCACTCAACGACCCAAAAAAACAAAAAGAGGAAAGGGGAAGCACAAAAAAAGCAAAAAAGCAACCCCTCCCGCACTTACCATCCCGCTGGCAATTATCTCCCTCCCCTCACGTGGCGGGAACGGTTTGAGGCAAATAGTCAAGTGTCTTGGTCGGGTCAGCTCTTGACAAACCCGCGTCGTTTCTTTCGTCGCGTACAGAGCTGTGGAACCAATCGATTTGGACTATTCGGCTGGCTGTGCAATTCTTCAGCTGCTGCTTTGCCACTATTTTTGTATCTCTTTTTTAACCTTTCCCGTCGATTCCCGGCTGAAGAGAGAGCTTCTTTTGTTGATAACGACTTGTAACTGCAACTTGTTCTCTCTATTTTTTTTGATGACCGACTCTTTATCCAATTGCCTACTAGAGGTATGTTGTTACTCGAGTTTCTTGGCCCCGACAGCATTGCCCCTTACAAATACCCGCGGCTTGTGCGTTGGGGGTCTGTTGGCCCATGCAATGATGATCCTGGTGGCTAATTCGAACCGCACCATTATAGTAGCTCTTGGAACCCTGGTGTTTTGCAACACTTCGTTCCAGCAACCCTTATAGATTTCTATCCTTTTTTTTTTTTTTTTTTTTTCCATTTATTCTCTCTACGCCAGATACCCAAATCGTCGACTATCAGTCGAGTGAAATCTTGCCGCCATGTCGGGAAAAATGACGTTGTATAAGTTGGTGGTGCTGGGGGATGGCGGTGTCGGAAAGACTGCTCTCACAATTCAGGTTTGCTCCTTGCCTATCCCGGTCCTGTGATTACGAGCTTTTGGCTGAGACTTTGGATTTATTAGCTGTGTTTGAATCATTTCGTTGAGACCTACGATCCGACCATCGAAGACTCCTACCGCAAGCAGGTAGTGATCGATAATCAATCATGTATGTTGGAAGTCCTGGACACGGCAGGCCAAGAAGAATATACGGCACTGAGGGACCAGTGGATTCGTGACGGCGAAGGTTTTGTGCTCGTCTACAGCATCACGTCGCGCGCTTCGTTCTCTCGGATACAAAAGTTTTACAACCAGATCAAGATGGTCAAGGAGTCGGCGAACTCCGGATCGCCTTCCGGAGCGAGCTACCTAGGATCCCCGATGCATGTCCCTGCTGGACCGCCGCTGCCTGTGCCTGTGATGTTGGTTGGCAATAAGAGCGACAAGGCCGTCGAGCGTGCGGTTTCAGCACAAGAAGGCCAAGCTCTGGCCAAGGACCTGGGCTGCGAGTTTGTGGAGGCCTCTGCGAAGAACTGCATCAATGTCGAAAAGGCCTTCTACGACGTTGTGAGGATGCTCCGACAGCAGCGACAGCAACAGCAGGGTGGACGAGGCCAAGAACGACGGCCGACCGGCCTGGGCACCATGCGCGATCGTGATGCTGGCCCCGAATACCCTAAGGCTTTCCGCCCAGACCGATCGAGACATCGCAACCCAATCAAATGTGTTGTCTTGTAAGCTGTTGCCTTGAGGGGCTTGTGTGAACGAACGGTCGGTCGTGCTGCTTACGAGGCCTAATTTGGGGTCTCCTGGACATGGTTTCTTTTTCGATCCATTGATGGTCGATTCTTCATTCTTGACCTCCGATTTTCAACTCCCATCCCCCCACCCCTCCTCTCCGCTCCGAGGATCCATGTGAGCATGCTCCATAACAATTTGTTCTCTTGTTTATATTTGGCTGCAAGACATCTTGTCGGTCCCCAGGCCCCCCTTTGTCACCTTTCTATGACCGACAGCTCGAGATGTCGGTATACGGATAATGTGCTTGATGCATGACGCATGCGTTGTTTTATTTTATTATTATTATTATTTTTTTTTCACTTTTATTATTATGGGAGGGCGCCTGCTTGGCATGACTTGGTGTTGTTTCGGCTATACGAGAATCTTTCTCGTTACGTCGTGGGAACTCATAGATATTTCTTTTCTCTCTTCCCCTCTTCTCCTCTTATCATTTCCCACGATTACCTCTTATTACCACTACGACTGCCGTTATTGCGAAGCACTATTTTTTATTTTTATTATTTTTATTATTTTACTTTTTTTACAATGGTCAGACCCCGCTAAGAGACGGAGCGAGCCGGAAGTGGATCGAGGAAGGATGAGCGCAACAAGTGGTGTTGGACGGATCATGCACGATAATTCGAAAAAGGAAAAGGAGCAAAAAAAAACAAAGGCATCCGATGGGATGATGCTCGATTTAACCGATCCGTCAAAGAGAAGAAGAAGACGAAGAAGCAGAAGCCGAAGATTTGCAGTCGATATATTAGCAGGCATTTCGATATGATACCCTACGACCGAGCTTTGAGTTGTGATTCCATGCATTTACCCAAAAATACATAGAGCAGAAGAATGAATTTATCCAGTTGACTGAGCTGTACCTGTATATACATGGTAGTAGAAATAAAGATACCGAATCCTACTAAGCCAGACTCAAAATTCTGATGTCCAACTAATCTACATAGTCTGTTGATACAAAGGGAGTGTGGCTGCACTAGTGGGTGACGAGAAGGGGACGAATGGGGCTGGTCCAATATTGCGATGAGGCAATGGACCGGTGAACGCGCTGATTAGTTGATTTGGGGGGAAAGACCAGCAAAGAGAATACGACGGAATCATTGATTATTATCGCTATCATTATTGATCGGATTTAGCCGATGGTGTCTTTGATGGATGTGTTGGTTGTGATTCTGTTGGTGATTCGATGCTCTCCTTAGGGACGTTCCCCAACCTCCAAAAAAGTGCGGGGAAAGCTTGGACCAAGATAGACAGACGGCCTCGGCTCCCTCCCGCTTGCTTGGTGAGTGATGATACGAGGTGATCTGCTGGTGGATATGATGATGATTATGATGGTATTCTGCGTTAGAGAATGTGTTTGTACCCATCATATTGATATCGTGTTGGATTGGAATGATTGCTGTCCTGGTGAGGCCGGTAAGGCTGGTGAGGGGTATCATACGACTCGACGGATTAACCTAGGATAAGGCACGCAGGAAGGTTACACATGAACCTCCACCTCACCCATGTCCGATCGTTGAAACGAAAACGAGAGCCAGGGCAAAACGCAGAAGCAAAAAGAAAATTAAAAAAAAAAAAAATCCGGGATCTCCGCGTTTGCAGGGCATGCAGTCCACCTCGCAGTAGCAGCAGCATCTAACCACGTAATTTTAACCCTCATTCCTGCAGTTCTTTTTCTCAACCTCCTCTCCATCCCACTTAGTCTCTTCCTCTCTCTTTTTTGTTCTCTCCCCCGCACCATCGGAGGGAAGGAATTCATCCATCATACAAACGTAAGGCTATTTCATCCTTCTCTCTATCCAAGTCAAGTCAAGCATTGGCTTTGGTTGATGATGTCACGCCACCCCCAACAAGACGTGCATGAGCTCTCGCTTCGTGACCCCGAGAGATACTGGTCTCACCACGCAGAGCAACTCTACTGGCATCGGAAGCCTTCGCGGGCCATTGCCCGCCAGCTCAAGACACTCCCTAGTGGTGTCACCCATGACCATTGGTCATGGTTCCCGGATGGCGAAATCTCCACTACGTACAATTGTGTCGATCGCCATGTGCAGAGTGGGAAGGGTGATAATGTGGCGATTGTCTGGGACTCCCCAGTCACAAATACTAAAGAGAAATATACCTACCGGCAATTGTTGGATGAGGTTGAGGTTTTGGCGGGTGTGTTGAGGGAGGAGGGCGTTAGGAAGGGGGATGTGGTTATCATCTATAGTGAGTTTTTTCCTTTTTGTTTTTGTTTTTGTTTCATCTTTCTGTTTGTCTCGGGGATTCCTAGTACTTATGTTCAATCCACAGTGCCTATGATCCCCGCTGCGCTTATCGCAGCATTGGCCATCGTCCGTTTGGGCGCTATCCATGCAGCGGTTTTTGGTGGGTTCGCGGCCAAGTCCCTCGCCCAGCGGATCGAGGCTGCTAAACCCCGGGCCATCATGACGGCGTCATGTGGCATCGAGGGATCTAAGGGTCCTGTGTCTTACCGGCCGTTGGTCGAGGGGGCTGTACAGGCGAGCAGCTTCAAACCGGAAAAGGTTATTGTCTGGCAGAGGGATCAATTGCGATGGAATAACCCGGATAAACTGGGTGGCCAGCGGAACTGGCAGCGGTTGGTTAAAAGTGCTCGCATGCGTGGCATCAAGGCTGGTCCGGTGCCGGTGAAGAGCACAGATGGTTTGTATATCATTTACACCAGCGGTATGGGTTGACGGCCAGTTCCCGGAGCCTTGCGTTGCTGACAAGTGTCTAGGCACGACTGGGCTCCCCAAAGGAGTGTTCCGAGAAGCAGGTGGACATGCGGTTGGACTTGAACTCTCGATCAAGTACCTGTTTGACATTCACGGCCCTGGTGATGTCATGTTCTGTGCTTCTGATATTGGATGGGTGGTGGGCCACTCGTACATCCTGTACGCACCTCTCCTGGTGGGCGCAACTACGGTGCTCTTCGAGGGGAAGCCCGTAGGAACCCCAGATCCAGGCACTTTCTGGCGGGTTATCGAGGAACACAAGGCCAATGTGCTATTCACGGCTCCCACTGCCATGCGCGCGATCCGTAAAGATGACCCGGATAATCGATTCTTCAAAGAGGTTGCCCAGCGCGGCGGTCTCAAGCACTTTAGAGCACTCTTCCTTGCTGGCGAGAGAAGCGAGCCTAGTATTGTACGAGACTATCAAGACCTCTTAACCCAGCATGCAGCTCCGGGTGCTCTGGTCGTTGACAACTGGTGGTCATCCGAGTCAGGTTCCCCCATCTCCGGGCTGGCCCTGAGAAGCGCAGTTGGGGCGGTTCAGCAACAGAAACAGCAAATCCATGCTCAACCGCTATCCATTCGGCCTGGGTCAGCAGGACTACCAATGCCAGGGTTCGATGTGCGAATTGTCAATGACGACGGCCATGAAGTACCAAAAGGAACGATGGGCAACATCGTCATGGCACTGCCGCTAGCTCCGACGGCATTCACGATGCTGTTCAATGATGACGAGAGGTTCTACAAGGGATACCTCAAGCGTTTCAACGGCCGATGGGTGGACACTGGCGATGCAGGAATGATTGATGATGACGGGTACATCCATATCATGGCACGATCCGACGACATCATCAATGTAGCTGCCCATCGATTCAGCACAGGTATGCCCCCTTTATCCAAGGTAATGTTTGAAGAGAACCAAAAGCTAACGATAACAGGAGCAATCGAGCAAGCCATTCTCTCGCACCCCCAAGTCGGAGAAGCCAGCGTCATTGGTATTCCGGATTCCCTGAAAGGCCATCTCCCATTTGCCTTTGTCCAACCAAGATCCGGGGCGGGGCCTCTCCCCTCCACGCCGAGCAAGGAACTCTTCACGGCAGTTAACAATCTAGTCCGAGAGCAGATTGGGCCCATTGCCTCCCTGGGTGGAATGATCCAGGGGCGAGGTATGATTCCCAAGACACGGAGTGGAAAGACGCTGCGGCGAGTGCTGAGGGAATTGGTGGAACACGGGGTGAGGGGAGTATATGATGCGCCGGTCAGCGTGCCTCCAACAGTTGAGGATGCAGAGGTTGTGGAGGTTGCAAGGAGGAAGGTCAAAGAGTATTTTGAAGCACGAAATGCTGTTATTGCTAAACCTAAACTTTGATCTGCACATACATTACGACAGATACTCTGACGATATGAATATACATATATGATCCAAACTTGATAAGATCAAATAGCATTAATATTGACAATACACTAGGGACGTAAACATGGCGAGGGCCAATATGTAAAGTGAATAATAAGAAAAAGGCAACGCGCGTAACAGCGAGAAGGTATATCGTTCCCAACACAAAAAATCCAACGTAGAAATTTGAAAAGAAATTGCCATAGATACGGAATCCACAGCATCGTAAAACCATGACCCTTTCAGATCATGGAAAAGTAAACCCATTCTCTCTCTCCATTGAAAAAGAACTTATCTGACAAAAAACGCAAATAGGGCATCTATATCAACATTGAAGGTATCCGACTCCAGCTAACCGAGACAGTTCAAATCGTTAACTCCCTTACAGGAGGTAAGCGACGAGACCGAAGACGGTAGCGAGACCGGCACCAGCCCCGACAGCAGCACGGTTGGCACCGCCGGTGAAGACGGGGGTGGCGGGGGAGGTACCGGAGGGGCTACCGGAGGGGTTGGCAGCGGCGCCAGAAGGACGAGGGGTGCCGATAGCAGGAGCGGAGCTGGAGGGGACAGCGCTGGAGGAGACCACGATCGAGCTGCTGCTGGGGGAGTAGTGGGGGATCGAGGAGGGGGTAACGGCGGCGCTGCTGGAGGGGGACTGAGCAACGGGGGTGGAGCTAGTGCTGCAGGACGTTAGTTACGAAGATCCTCAATTCCAAGACAAAAAGAACGTACCACTTGTTGCAGTGGGTGATGGTCGAGGTGATCAGAGGACGGGTGACAGTGTAAGGACCGCCGGTCATGGTAACAGGGCCAGGCTAATTGACCGTTAGCCGCAATCCTTTCTCAAACAAAGATCAGGGTAGATAAACATACAGCGCTGACACTGTAGGTCTCGCTGCCGTGGACGATCGAAGACGACGACTTGGGGCAGTAGGTGGTGTAGTCAGTGACCACGACAGTGCTGGCCTGCTGGGCAGCCTGAGCAGCGGCAGCACCCATGGTGAGGGTGGCCAAAGTAGCAGCGATGGAGAAACGCATTTTGTTGATATAGAAGAGAAGGTAAGGGTTTTGGTTTTTTGGTGTTTTTTAGAGTTGATCACAAAGAGTGACAATGGATATAAATCCGAAGATGAAAAAAAGAATGTACTCGGTGTAAAAACCGGGGTGTTTGGAGATGGAGCAAAGAGCGGTTGGGATGAAGAGAAGAAGAAGGAAAGAGAAAGGAATATCAAGAGGGAAGACGGGGGACTTTTATTTCGGAGCAATCAGGGGGAAACAGCCCAGCTGCGGCCGTGGCAATACCGGCCGTGGCCCAGTCGGCGATGCTATTCCCGACGGCTGCCTGTTCCACCCACGCACACCCCTTCGCAGCACAGCACTTCCTCGTTTTTTCTCTTTTCTTTCATCTCTTCTTCTTCTTCCCCCCCACTTTTGCTCCTAAGACAAACCCATCTTCTGCAGTTGGAACGCCCGGTCTCCTCTTTTTCTGCCTCCTTTCATTCGACCCCGAAGATTAATGACTCAAACCGATTGTCCGTGTGCATAGCATGCAGTACTACACTAACACCAACTGCAATTTCAGCAAATTTCCTGTTCCTGACTTCCTGACCGGTTCCTGAATCCATCCCGCGTGGCTCTGCCTATCATTTCCCAGTCGAGGGAGCGTTTCCTTTCTCCGCTCGCCAATTCTGAATCCCGACTGGTGGTTGGCGGTGGTCATCCATGGATTTCTATTCTTGACAATATTGAGACACCTTGGTTTGCCTGCTAAGGAGTATTTACTCCGTACACATGATGATTATTATTGAAAGAGTACCAACTAATGGAAATTTATCAGAACAACAGTGATAGTTAATGCAATATGAACACGTCAAAGGCTCCGGATTGGGCAAGCAGGCAGGATCATCGGCTCAGGGGCACCACCTCTACACTAAAGAACCTTGCATCCCGCCTAGCGTCAGGAGAACAGTCCTCCCGATGGGGCTGACCGTAGCAATTATTATTATCATCACTCGTTGTCTGCTGGCAATTGGCATCGTTGCCCAAAGCAGGGCTCGTTCGGTTTCTGGTCTGGGCCCTTGGCATGCTGGCTTTCGACAGTCAACAACACTGAACAGTATGTTGTACACTCCGTATGGAGTACGGGGTAGCATGATAGGGCAGCCAGGACTAGTAGCCTAGTAGGGAGTACTTGTTCTGTATCCAATATTAAAGAACGCGTTGTGATGTCTGTTTTTCAGACCGTATCCAAACATGCAAAGGCTACAGTGAGGAGTCCGTTTCATCGCAGAACATGATCATAGTAGGCATCCTCGGATGCTAAGATTTCAGATAAGAGATCTGAGCCTCTGACTCGACTTGGACGATCCATTGAAATCACGCCCGGATCAGCCATTATTATTACTTGCACCTGGCCACCTGCTGATAGTTTCGGGTCTGGACTCCTTGCTCATTGTCTGAATGCCCATTGACTAGTTACTGCTGTCTGCTACTCAATCGATGGCTGCTGTTCGATTCGCTGGTGTATCAATCTCGAATCCATTCCATGTTGATCTGCATGGTAAAAAAGTATTAAGAAAGAAAATCGCAATCTTAGGGATCTCGCGATTCCTTCGCTATTTTTATCAAGCAAGATCGCGATTGTCAGCTACCGTTTTGCCAATTCTAACGTGCTTCCAGCCTTGTACATTCAATATTGTTGGCATTATTCCTAGAAGCACGTCTGAGGTACAGGGTGTTCTGTATGGCCTGCAGTCACAGAGTAGAACGACGCATGGGAGCTGGAGACGGCGGATTCTATGCTGGAGAACAGTGAATTTACGCAAAAGGTTCCAATTCAAATATTCATTAAAATTGTATGCATTGTGCTACCAAAATTATGCTATTCTAATTGACATAATCGAGGGGTATTGTGCAAGCAAAAGTCAAGTTGACTCGAGAGGACAACTTGGATGAACCGTATGACAGACAAGGGATAACATGCCACTGCACTATAGGCTCAGACGATGCGAGATTATGGGATATGTGATCCTCTCGAGGACATCATGAGACACTCGAATAGAATCAATGTTGTCGTAACTCAAGTTTTAACACAACCTGTCCAATCCGACGGTTTCAAATTGCCCCTATTATGGATGGTGGGTGGGCGCGGGACATATCAACATCGCCCGTGAACAGCCAGCCCCGAAGGGCAACCATTCAACGAGTGCTGAGGATGCCAAAGACGCCATCTCTTCATCTTGGATTTAGTTGTGTGAAGAAAAAAAGAAGACGAGAAAACGCGGCGAAGAAATAAAAACGAGAAAGTGGGTATCGGGGAAAAAAAGACCCGATGCACGGACCAGGATTCGGCTGATCCCAAAGCAGACTAGCGCCCTCCAGCTTTCCGCGGGCAACGGAGGCCGCCGTATCAGTTGTCCGAAATCACCGTCCGGTTTAAAGAGATAGATAGGGCCCTTGAACTTCTCGGTTGACTTCGCTCGGTCTCTCTTCTCTTCTCTCTATCCTCTCGGATTGAAGAATTCTATTCAGATCACACATAATGTCTTTGAGTCGTTGTGGACGCCATGCATCGCGGTTGATCCCGCTCGCTGGAAGCTCCTCCAGAGCTACTATCACTGCTATCACCGCCCGCCCCGGATCCCAGTTGAAGGCCTCCGCACTGTCGGCCTCAAGGGCTGCTACTGCGCAATGGCGGGGTGTCTCATCCTCCAGCCGCGAGGGTCAGCAGAACGTATGTGCGGATGATTTGACATGTCAACGATGGATGCTAATGGCCATGTCACTCCAGTTGCTCTCCGCATCCCTTGAAGAATCCGACCCCACCGTCTATGAGATCTTGCAAAAGGTTACTTTCCCAGTTGAGAGATATCAAAGTGGAAAATTTGTTACTGAGACCGATTGTAGGAGAAAAAACGTCAAAAGCACTTCATCAACCTTATTCCGTCCGAGAACTTCACGTCGCAAGCTGTCCTAGATGCGCTTGGCAGTGTGATGCAAAGTCAGTGCTTTCCCGTTTATCCTCTCAGCTTTATCTGACAATTGCAGACAAATACTCCGAGGGATACCCTGGCGCAAGATATTATGGAGGTAACGAGCACATCGATGCGTCGGAGAGGCTATGCCAGCAGCGTGCATTGGAGGCATACAAGCTCGACCCGGAGGAGTGGGGAGTCAATGTGCAACGTGAGCCTACATTCCCCAATTGATCGGTTTTTGCAAGAACGGTAATTAATTGGTTGAAAACAGCGCTCTCTGGATCCCCGGCCAACTTGTACGCAATATCTGCCCTTCTCAACACTCACGACCGCCTGATGGGACTGGACCTGCCCCACGGTGGACATCTGTCACATGGTTATCAGACTCCGACTAAGAAGATTTCCTTCGTTTCGAAATACTTCGAGACCTTTCCCTACCGTCTCGATGAATCCACTGGACTCATTGATTATGATGCCCTCGAGAAGCAGGCCCTTCTCTACAGACCCAAGCTCATTGTCGCCGGCACTTCGGCTTACAGTCGTTTGATTGACTACCCCCGCATGCGCCAGATCTCTGAGACCACTGGCGCTTATCTGCTGAGCGACATGGCTCACATCTCGGGTCTGGTCGCTGCTGGTGTCCTCCCGTCTCCTTTCCCCTACTCTGACGTGGTTACAACCACCACCCACAAGTCCCTGCGTGGACCCCGTGGTGCTATGATCTTCTACCGCAAGGGTGTCCGCCGGACGGACAAGAAGGGTAACAAGGAAATGTATGACCTGGAGAACCCCATCAATGCGTCGGTTTTCCCTGGACACCAGGGTGGACCTCACAACCACACCATCACTGCTCTCTCTGTCGCATTGAAGCAGGCCCAGTCTGCTGAATTTAAGAGCTACCAGGAGACTGTCTTGGCCAACGCCCAGGCCCTGTCCGAGAGACTGGGCAAGCCTCTCAGCGATGGTGGCCTGGGATACAACATTGTGTCCGGTGGCACCGACAACCACCTAGTTCTGGTTGACCTGAAGAACCGTGGCGTTGATGGTGCCCGTGTCGAGCGAGTGTTGGAGCTCTGCGGTGTTGCTAGCAACAAGAACACCGTGCCTGGTGATAAGTCCGCCCTGAAGCCTGGTGGCCTGCGTCTGGGTACCCCGGCTATGACCAGCCGTGGCTTCCAGCCTGAAGATTTCCGCCGGGTGGCCGACATCGTCGACCGCGCCGTGATCATCACCCAGAAGCTTGATAAGGCTGCCAAGGAGAGTGCTGCTTCCAAGGGTGTCAAGAACCCCGCTACTGTCAAGGCCTTTTTGGAGTTTGTGGGTGAGGGCGACGAGATTTCGGAGATTGTGCTCCTGAGGCAAGAAGTAGAGGACTGGGTAGGAACTTTCAGCCTTCCTTGGAAGGATGAGTAAAAGTAATGTTCTATGATGGTTAGGCTTTCTGATTTCACTTCCCCTCACTTCAACATGATGATCGTTCCAGTTACTGTCCTGGAAATCGTCGTCCCCCTTTGATGAGCTATCGGCAATTTATGAAATTTTCTTTGATATTTGTATGTATAAGGAGTACAGAATCTGTTCAACACACTCGGGTCTGTTATGCGATTAGATAGAAATCATGAATTTCTTTTTAGTTTTCTGTCTGGCATGTAGGTTATAACCTGTCGAGCACCCAAAAAGCTAGGGTTGCTTGACTCGCAAATTAGCCTCAACGTCTATCTCCAAAGTAGATGATATCATTTCCGAATATGGTAATAGGATCCGGGTTAGCACAGAAGACACCATCGGAATCCTGACCTCTTCCTGAGTCATCCCCCAGCCTCCTCACCTAAATTTGGGGACAATGGTCGTCCAGCATCCTTCCGTCCTGTCTTTCAAAAATTTCCATCTCGCCATCCTTATTCCAACCAATTTCATTTGCATCAAGCGGTGCGTTGAATTGTATTTGACTTGATGGCAGCGTGCCTCTAGACTGACCGGGTACATACTACCAACTCGTCTCTCCAACCTTAGCTTGCAACAACTATTGCAACTATGCATATAAGTCAGGTATATTAGTGAAATCAACCCTGAATAATTCGAAAACATCGTGTTTACCGTATTTTCTCATAGCTATACACATACCCCATTAAATCGCTACGGGGGACAGCTCTTCCGGAATCAGTGGTCACCCGAACGGGCTTCCAATATGACCGTCGCTTTATGCTTCTCAAGGTCATCCGAGGCGAGGATGGGGCAGATACCTTGGAAAACATGCATGTCTCTAACTTCCATGAAATGTCGCTCTTCCTCACCGACATCGTGTTTCCCACTGAACACGAAGATGGGACAATTTTCGTGTCATACCGACCGCCCGAGGCTGTGGATAACCAAGACCCCCTGGTTAAGACATTGAAGGTGCCACTACAGCCTAATACGCGGGGTTTGGCCGAGCTAGATATCGAAATGCATAAAAGTCTGACTAAGGGGTACGATATGGGAAGCGCGTATAATGACTGGTTCAGCGAGCGCTTTGGGTATCGAGTTGTGCTGGCGTATTTGGGGCCTCACTCGAGGCAGGTTCTTGGAACCTTTGCGCCTAGTAAAAGCTCAGCACATCGGAAATCGTCGTCTTCTATTCTGTCGATGCGGACTCTGATGGCTTTGGCCACGATGACGCTGGTTCTGGCTGTTGTCGGTACGCCTGCTGTCTCGGGGGATGCGGTTTTCTCTATCGTAGCTACTGCGGGGACTCTTCTCGTGGCAGTGACTTTATCAATCATGAATCTTCAAGGCTGGCCATCTTTCCTCTGGAGAAGAGAGGAGGAGGAGGAGGCTCTCACCTTCGCAGACACGGCGCCATACCTTTTGGCGTCCAAAACCTCGCTAGATAACGTGTCTGCACGGCTGACCGGTATGGAAATGGACATAACCAAATTCCGGCCGAACATTGTCGTCTCGGGGGCTAAGACTGCCTTTGAGGAGGATTTCTGGGCTGAATTGACCATCGGGGGAGATAGGGTTCGTTTGCTTCTCACGGCCAACTGTATCAGATGCCAGAGTATCAACATCGATTATGCGACGGGGAAGAAGGGAACGGGGGAGGTTGGGAGTGTGTTTAAGAGGCTGATGAAAGACCGAAGGGTCGATAAGGGTGCCAGGTTTAGCCCTGTATTTGGGCGGTATACGTTCTTGGATCCGAGTTCTGATCAAGTCTCTATCCGGGTTGGGGATGAGGTGACGCTCTCGAGGACAATATCTGAGCGGACAACATATGGTGAGTTAACCTGCTAGGTAATGCCTGACGATTGATGAAACTAATATAATTACAGATTGGCCAGGCCTTGCGTATTAATGATTGATTTCAATATGTCTATAGTATGATTCGGAAATAAGATTAGTTTGACTCCCGTGGTTTCATCGCACATCACGAGCGAAACATGCTCTTCTTTCCCTGCTGCCATAAACCTCTGTCATGCTCCAGAACAATCATAAGGAACTCTGCATTTTTGATAAATTTCTCAAGTGACGACTGACCCCTGTGGACATCATCGCTGATCTCGCAAAGTTTCCGATTCTGCATACAGAGCTTCCTATGCAGCTGGACCAATAGCTGATCTGTCCCCATGCTCAAAGTCGGTCCTCCAGATGCTTTCGATCCCGGTGGCCACCGAGTACAAAGCGCCCCCTTTAGATCCCGTTTGATTTGGTGGATATATGTTGAAGGTTCTTTCTTGAAATAGGAAGAGGAGGCAAAGGCTTGTTCTTGTCGCCTGCCTTATGCTGCAGTCCCATCGACTCACTTAGTTGTCGATATAGCGACAAACAATATCTATCGTTCTTTTCGATGTCTCCCACATCAACATAAGTAGAAGCTGTCTTACACAACCACAGTTCATCGATTATCTCTGGCGAAGCGTAGGATCTGATCTGACTGGTTTCGTTAGTGAGACTATCGTTCAAGTTATTGAGAAAGGCCAATGCCTCCTCTAGAGTATCAGAGAGTCGTTTCATTTGGAGCTCAAAAGCACAGTTAGCCCCCTCTTGGGAACCAATCCGGATCCCATCAGGAATGGGTATCTGGGTGTCTCTAATGGGGTATTGACCGTCAGAACCAACGTCTCCTGGATGAGGGTGTACAGTAATGTTGGTCAATGGAATATCCTCTGCCATTTTTATAGCAGAAAGATAGAAATGAAGAAGTATGGAGCTGTCATGCTAATACTTATAGCTTAGGTGTGGTATGTTTGCTTGGGTTGCTCTATCCATACCTCTTTATCTAAACTATAGTTCTACCATTCCATACAGCTAAAAGTGTTCCAACTTGTTTGTTTTTGTTACTTTGCTGGCTATCCCAGCTATATTCTCCAATACCCCAGTCTTTATGCATACCCCGCCAAGCCCTATGATGATAAATCAACTTCACCCCCCAAACCAAACATCCTAAAAGACTAAGAATAAAACTATCTTTCTTACAATCATCTCAAAAAAAAAAAATCAGATCTCTACACACAATGGCTAGTGAATTCCCTCCTTCCACCCTCAGACCTCTCATCCAGGAAGTTGCCGAACTTCTCAAGGTCCGGAAGGAGACCATTTCTGTGGCAGAAACAGTACGTCGTCCTATCTTCTTGGTATTAATATACATCTACTAAGATGAAGATACAGGCAGCAGGGGGCATTGTTTCTGCATCGTTACTGTCCGGACCAGGGGCATCGGCTGTGTACAAGGGTGGCTTGACGGTTTGTCCACAGTGGCTGTCAACCCCGGGTTTCCCCGCTGATATATGATCTATCCAGCTATACACCCTTGAATCCCGCATCGCCTTTGCCGGATGGACTCAAGCCCACATCGATAACTATGCAGGTCCCACGCCGGAAATTGTGGCGGGGTTGGCGGAGCACGTTCGCCAGACGTTGAAGTCGACATATACGGTGTGTGAGAGTGGGACGGCGGGCCCGACTGGTGGGAAGACCAGGAACCGGACACCGTAAGATCTACACACCTGCCGACTACAAGTGTATTGTTCTTCATCGAATCTAACAAGAACAGGGGATATGTCGCGTTGGCTGTGTCGGCCCCGCAAGGAACCTACACCAGAGAGGTGGAAACGGGGTTGGGCACTGATCGGGAGAAGAATATGGTGGCGTTTGCAGAGGAAGCATTGAAGCTGATAAGGGATGTGATGCAAGGGAAGGCGAGTTTGTAATGGCAGCTAGGGAAGAAGAATGACATATGTTGGGGATGAAGATATCCACTTGTATTCTTCATCTTCATCGTCCCAATCAAACGCAATATCATCACAAGCTGCACAGCCCCATGACGCAGGGAGATACTGCACCGCCACACCAGGGCCCGATGACATCGGACTTCGCGATCGAATAACAATAATAATAAATAATAAAATCCACAAGGCAGTTGAATTATCCGGGAAATAATTAATAATAATGAATTGATCCAGTTGCTCAGCATCCCTGAGACATCCTGCCCTTCTGACTGGTTGGGAAGTGTGGCACTGGGTCTGTTCTGTTGGGCTTCTAGTCGCCTTCGATGATTCTTCAGCCGTGAATCCCTACGAAAAATACCACTTCGTTTCCCAGTCAGCATCACCAGCAGTCAACATTCCTTCACCTTCACCTCTCCTCTCTTTCTTCAACACCGTTCTTGATCCATTCCAGCTCTACTGTGGACTATATCATTAAAGAAACAGCACCCCTACCCGTCCACGGCCTTGTCTTGCTTGCCCCTCTTCCCACCTGACTAGCCAGGCACCCGCCATTTTCACCTGCACACTATCGCGATCACCTGCAGAAGCCTTTTCGACTCCCCCATTCGGATATAATTTATCAGTCACACAAGGGGATCGGCCCCTACGTGGGTAGATATTATCGGTAGACCGACAGTTTCGCATCATGGACTCCGGTCTACGTCGCAAGGATACCACCAAGGGCCCTCCGTTGAGGGTCCTGTCGCTTGGTGAGTAGATGGTCGACTGTTTGAGGAATTGTGTAGAAAGCTGACAATCAACGATATAGATGGAGGTGGTGTTCGAGGATACTCGATGCTCATCATCCTACAGGAACTCATGTACCGTACCTACGTCGAATGCGAGGGCAAGGCCCCGCGTCGCGATCAAATCCCCAAACCCTGCGACCACTTCGATCTCATTGCAGGCACCGGAACCGGCGGACTGATCGCCATCATGTTGGGTCGGTTACGGATGGACCTCGAGACCTGCAAAGAAGTTTATACGCGCATGACTAGACGTGTTTTCGAGACCGACAAGACCATTGCCGGCATTCCGTTCCGTTCCACTTTGTTCAAAGCGTCAAAACTCGAAGAGGCCATCAGGGAATGTGTTCGGGAACATACTGTTTTCGAGGCCGAAGGCAACGACACGACCGACTCGAGCGCTCGCAATTCCATCGCCAGCGCACCATTCAGTCCGGGGCACATTCCGCAGCGGTCGATCAGCCGGGGTAGCTTCAGCACGGCCGGGGTGTCGCACTCGTCGGCTCACAGTCAGAGGAACTCTTCGTTCATAAACGGTTTGCGCTGGGGCCATCCGGATGCTCTGCTATACGATAACCGGGAATATCGAACCAAGACGTAAGTTGTTTCTTAATACTGACAATTGTTTCTTTCTTTCTTTCTTTTTTTTTTTTTTTTTTTCCGCAGCGCTGACTGGATTAGCGCTGTCACCACATTGTACAAAGGCACCACACGTAACGGACCCGCCGTGCTCCTACGGTCCTACGACTCCCGTAAAGAACCCCCACCCGAGTTCGATTGTACCATTTGGCAAGCCGGTCGGGCTACATCGGCCACTGGCCTAGCTTTCAAACCCATCCAGATTGGACAGCACTACTTTATTGACGAAGGCCCGGGCACGTACAACCCAGCGCCGCAGATTCTGGAGGAAGCAGTTGTCAACGAATGGCCCGGAAGAGAACTTGGTGTGTTCGTCAGCGTCGGCACAGGCAAGCGGCCTCCAGGCACAAACAACCGACAGCATGAATGGTGGGAGGGGTTCTTCGGAGATGCATTGGGTACCTTTGCAGAGGCGCGAAGACGATTAATTACCAAGATCGAAGGCTGCGAGGAAATCCACCTAGACATGCTGCGGGATCACCTAGCCAAAAACAACGTGAGCAAGGACAACTATTACCGTCTGAATGTCGAAGTCGGTGTGGGCGAGTTTGGCATGAACGAATGGAATCGACTGGCCGATATCAGCACTAACACCCGTCGGTACCTGAGCAAACCCGAGGTCAAGAGAATGATACTTGATGCAGGTGTTAAGTTTGCCAAGATTGAGCGTATGCACCGCCGACTAGCTGCTCATGAGGCCATTGACAACGACGTGTCATCTATCGGCGAAGATATGCCACTTTCCCCGGGGGTGCCGACGCTCGCTGTCCCACCTCCCGCCAAAGAATTCGCAGTTGAACTGCCTGCAGACGTTCCCGCGGATTTCGGAAGCCGTCCACTACATGTGCCCACGCCATCTATTCCCTCGAGGCTTCAGGTTGGGTCACCACCGCCCGACGATATTCTTCCTTTGCATCCCACTCCCCAAGACTCGGTTCACCCTCCACCGAGTCGTGGCTCGGGTAGTGACATTGGCAGCTACCGCCTTAGCCATCATAGTCACGAGATTGATAGTCGACCAGGCTCCCGGCAGCAAGGGTCACCACGTCGCAGTGCAGAGCATATGTTCGAAGGCATGGCACCGCCAGTGCCCCCGAAAACGCCCATCCCCTATCCCGACGCGGGTGAGACAGGGGGGATCATCATGCCCATGCCGTCGGTGACGGTGAGTCCTTCTTCGAACGGAAAGGTTCGACCTCCATACCCAGTGGATGAGCCTCCACCAGTGGTGAACAAGCATCGGAAGCCCAGTTACCATGTGCGATGATTGATGAATTTTTGGTTTTTTTTTTTTTTTTTTTTTTTTCTTTTTTATTTTCCCCAATATTCTTTCTTCATTTATGGGATTCGAATGTTGTTCTCGCGATCAAGGCGTTCGTTTTTTTTTTTTTTCTCAGGCTTATGGCGTGATTCCCTTTGATCGTTTGTTTTCACAATTATTCCCCCTGCCCCTTTCTTTTTATGGGTTTATTTTGTCGATGAGATGAAGATGACGATCGTTTCCGTGCGCTGGATAGGATACCCCTTTGAGGATTGCGATACCAAGGGAAAAGGAGAGAAAAGGAGCAAAGGGAATAGTTATTAGTGTGTATAGGAAATGAATTAATTAATCAACTATTTCCATGAAACGGCTGCTGGAATGTAGGGATAGGGTAGTTTAATGGCATTAATGTTATCATAACGTCTGTCAATGAGACAGGCGATGATCGATCGGCCCTGGAATGCTTGGCAGGAGTCAAGAACTCGGTATCAATTCTAGAACACATCAAATACGACTGCCAATCATTCAATAATAATGATGACGATCTTGAATTAAATAGAGTCAATTATGGAGAATTGCAACTCCATCAGATGGACTGTTCTCCATAATCGATTGCGTGGAAAAGGATCCAATGAATATCATCGACTGGCCCAGCCTCTTCTTTTGCTCTGCCCAACAGAAAAAAGACCATCGCGTTTCATCCACTGATGATGGACCATGGCTCTCCTTTTCCCTTCATCTCCTTGCTCCGTACTTTTTCTTTTGCCTTTCTACGGAATATTCCTCTTCTTTGTTTCTTCTTTCCCTGCATGTTCCTTTGTCTTTCCTGCGACATTCTTTGCTTCTTCCCTGCCAATCATCCCAATTAACCGCCTGTGATTCCGGCCCCCCCTCTTTCGAAGCGCTTTTTTGACCAGCTGTCGTCGACTCACCGTCTCGCTCGTGCATCGAAACTGTCGATCAACCTCTATCTTGTTCGTTTCAGATCTCGTAAAAATAACCATTGGCGCTGTTCGACTGTCCTACATATACTATCGACCCCTCCTGCTCCTCTACGGCAGTCGTCCGTGTCCCCCCCACCAAACGAGGTCCCATTCCACGGACGACTCGCCTCGGTATCTGCGTCTCGACTCCTCCTCACTGCGGGTCAGTGAGTACATTTGGCTAGCACAATATGGATCTCACCGGTTCCCTTCTGGCTCATGCCTCGACACTACAGACTCGTGCTGAGAGTTCCAGCAGTGGGAGACCGGCAGTCTACAAAGCTATCGGAATCTCATTAGCCGTTGCCTCGGGACTCTTCATCGGCGTTTCGTTTGTATTGAAGAAGACTGGTCTGCTCAAAGCCAATGTCAAGTATAATGAGGAGGCCGGAGAAGGTTACGGGTACCTGAAGAACGTGTGGTGGTGGACGGGCATGACGCTGATGATCGTCGGGGAAATATGCAACTTTGTCGCCTATGCGTTTGTGGATGCTATCTTAGTGACTCCTTTGGGAGCACTGTCGGTTGTAATCACCACTATTCTGTCGGCTATTTTTCTCAAAGAACGACTCAGTTTTGTCGGCAAGGTCGGTTGTTTCTGCTGTATCCTTGGGTCTGTTATCATTGCCATGAATGCCCCTGAGCAATCGTCAGTAAGTGATATCCAGACGATGCAGCATTATGTGATCGCGCCAGGGTTCTTGTCGTATGCCGGTGTGATTATCGTTGGTTCGATATTTACTGCTGTCTGGGCTGGGCCTCGGTACGGTAAGAAGAGCATGTTTGTGTACATTAGCATCTGCAGTATGGTCGGAGGATTGAGTGTCGTTGCTACTCAAGGTCTCGGGTCGGCCATTCTTGCGCAGATCAATGGTGAGCCACAGTTCAACAAGTGGTTTCTCTACGTATTGTTTGTCTTTGTCATTGCTACCTTATTGACTGAGATCATTTATCTCAATGTAAGTTTCTCTGATGTTCTATGCTCTGCTCTACTAACTTTTGTGTGAATAGAAAGCACTAAACCTCTTCAACGCCGCCCTTGTCACCCCAACATACTACGTCTTTTTCACAAGTGCCACGATCGTCACGTCAGCGGTTTTGTTTCAGGGCTTCAAGGGATCGGCGGTGCAGATCACCACGGTCGTATTGGGGTTCCTGCAGATCTGCGCCGGTGTTGTCCTCCTTCAGCTGTCCAAGTCTGCCAAGGATGTGCCTGATGCAGCCGTCTTCAAGGGCGATCTCGACCAAGTCCGAGAGGTAGCCACACAGGAAGAGCCCGAGTCGGAACCCAAAGCCGATTCGATCCGTGGTGCAGCAGCTATCATCCGACGCATTTCGACCGCCCGACGGAATACAGAAGCAGAGGAAGCCCGCAGGTACTTTAGGGAGAAGCATGAGGACACTCTTAAGCCACCGTCAGAGAACGAAATTATTGAGTGGGATGGCCTGCGGCGACGAAGGACCATTCTGGGCGAGGGTCACACAATGTCTCGGCCTCATACTCCTGGCACGCCACAATTGTCCAGAAAGGGTTCGCTTCCGCCGTGGGGCATGTCCCGCTTCCCGGAGGAACAGGAGAATGATGCCATGGATCAAAGGCCAAGCACCAAGCAGAGTGGACATTCTTTCTTAGATGGAATCCGATCGCGAACCTCCAGTGTGCTCCATCAGACTCCACAATGGCGTCCGATTCATGAAGCCGAAAACCAGAGCGATGAAAAGGATATTGATATTGGCTACCATGGGCCGGGGAAAATTCTCGCGAACCGGCATCGCAGTGACACATCTCGTTCTATTACATGGGCCGATGAAGCGCATCCGGGCCAGTCCACGAGTCGTAACAGCCATCTAGCGCCGGACCCCCCACCGCATGGAGCCCGACGTCAGTTCTCATTCAACACTGTTTTCAATCGGATGAAATCAGGCAGTGAGTCATCTGTCAGGAATGTAGCTACTCCGCCTCGGAGCATCTTGAGACATACGGAACAAAAGCAAGCCCCAGGCACCGAAGAGGAGCGGCTGGGGCTAGTTAAGGGTGATTCGCGGAATACCGAAGATGAATTCATGAATGAGAAGCTGGACCGAAGCTTGTCGTCATCAAGTGAGTCCAGCGCGGGTGATTACCGGGAGTTGGTACAACCCCAGCAGCCACATGGCCGCCCACGCCAGTCGTCCATTTCGACCATGTCTACGGCAGCGTTTCCTCCGTATGAAGACCACCATGCCTATTACACGCAGGCCGACTACTACTCCAATTATCCTGCATCTCAGTCGAGAGGCAACGTGAATGATGGCTGGCAGGTACCTATCCCAGGTGGACGCGCCCAATCGTCTTCTGTACCATCGCAGCGACGACCAAACCCACTTCCTCCGCTGCCAGATGAGGCCCCTCTCGTCACGAGCGGGGAACCATACATGCGTGTGGAGCTTCGATCCCCGGGCCACAGCCCGAACAACTCGCAGGGGAGCGTATCGTCCTTGCAGACGACACAGCGAAGCCGACGGGCAAGCGGATGGCGCCGACCTGACTCGCTCGGTGGTGATGACGGACGGGGAGGATCGAATGGACAATTCATACCATGAATGGTCTAGTTTGAGTTATTGTTCATATTTGATTTTGTGTATATTGGACTGTATGATATGATGCAATGATGTAATGATTGATGGATGCTACATAGCAATAATGAATTGGATACGAACAAATGATTGGATAAACGAACAGGGTATCAAGATAAACATAATGTACATAATCATGGCTCGTGGGAATCATTTCTTTTTAAACATGCCAGCGATACTGAGCTGACCTTTTGGCGCGAGATTCAAAGCAAACCCAGTTTCCGACAACCGTTTCGACGCTTTGATACTTTCCAAAGCCCTGTATATATCAGCATACACCATCGTCTAGCAGACAAGAAAAAGAGAAACCTACCACTCAGCACCAACAACCTTGACTCCCCTCGCACAGCGATCAATCTCGCTCTGCAATTTGGTCGCAGCAAGCCCACCTCCAGCCCCAACTCCTTTGCCAGCCCCAGTATTCGGTTTTCCAACGATAACATGCGTGACGGAGCGTCGGGCAAGGGAAATGGCGATCGTAGCACCGTTCGCGACGAGGAGATGTTTAAGTCGATGGTCTGAGATGAGAGGCATGGTAGAACCGTTGATATAGATGGTTGTTCCGGAGAGGGGTTTCTCCTTGGTTTCTGTAGGCGTGGACGTAGACGGAATCGATAATTGAGAAGACTCTGCAGCTGCAGTCTTGACCTTCTTATTCTTCTCCTTCCCATCCACAGTATCCCGCTCAACCCCCCTCTTCTTCCCCCCGCCCATGAAAGATCTTATATCACAACCCAACTGAGAGCGTTTAATCTCCTCTTCATCGACCCATTTCCACTCCCCGGGGCCACCTGTTTTCCTCCCTCCCTCTTCCGCATTATCTTCCAGACAATCGCCCGACAGAAACTGGCGGCTCAATTTCTCCGCACGGGTGGTGCGCCAGGCGGTGGTGGCCGAGTAAGGGTTTTCGGCGCGTTGGTGGCCGGTCGAGGCGGAGTTCCAGGGATCGAAGATTTGGTAGTTTTGGGGGGTTGGATGGGGTGGCATTTTATCGTTGGTGGTGTTTTATTGTATCATTGGTGTTGTTGGTGGCTGGTTGTGATTGTGGTTGTGTGGAGGAGAGGGTGGTAGCGAAGTTATTCCGGCCGTTGTTGATGTTTTTCTGTTTGGGGTTAGGGTGGTGGTTCTCTGGGGGTGGCAACTACGATGTTTGTATTGGTAGTATATTTTATATGTTTATTATTATAGGTTGTGGTTATTAGGGGATTGGAGTATATGGAGTATATGGATATATTTCATATGTATAGTGATATAGATGGTGACCGCATTGAATATATATAATGCAATGCCAGGATCTGTATTCTGTAAGAAGCACAGACTACGGAGTAAACAGAGTACCATTGCATTTGCAGAATAATAACATGTGAATACTTTCTTCTATTTAATTAGTATAGAAATAGGCCTATACTGTAGTCAATGTGTATCTCGCTACTCTATCTTCAACTCCACCTACCCACGTACTCTGCTGAATAGCACAATGCATAATGATAATACACTCTGTATTATCAGATAATTTATTCTGTACTCCATACCAAACAATAGAATGAAAACAATAGGATGAACTAAAAATAATTACAAAACGACGAACACGTACAAGCTCAGTGTACAAGGCTCAGTTGCAGTCGTCATCAGACCAATCTACGGAGTACTCCGTACATTCCAGCAAGAATGTTCATCTATTAATATGACCACCGCTATATGATATCAGGAATATCTCTCTGTATACGACGTCCAAGTAAGCTCAACGTGCTCATACTGGGATCGAGTGCAGTACAGTGCAGTTGACCGTGTGCATAGCAGATGTATGTAGCTAGGATCTGGATTGGGAATCGGAGCACACCGGGCAGGAAGGAGAGGACAACAGATAGACAGAGGATGGAAAAGGACGAAAAGCAAATCACATTGACAAATATAAAAGACCTGTCCGACGGCGATGGTGGGACATGGGAGAACACGAGAAGAGGCGAGCGGGTGATGTCGAAAAAGCATGTAACACGGCATTCCAGTCGGTGAGCATTAGTAATATTACCGACAAGTACGTAGAACAGACCAACTGATCGTGGTGCTTCTGCATGGAGATCAACTAGAATACCACAAGTATTGAATAATAGTATGTATTAATCAATCAATTAATTAATGAATTATACAGGCGGGGTCTTCACACTCGCATATGCAATGACGGGTTGTTGCAGCTGAAACCCATACTGATCAGAGCCAGAATCCAGACACGAAGACGCAAGGGATGGTCTGGCGGTCAGACTACGGTGAGTTGGCACTCGCAGCTACGTGGTCGCCTCCACCGCCAGTCGATCCGCCCCTCTCTGGCGGGCATGTGCAGAAGCATCAGGATTACCCCTCTTTGGCCAGCATCACTGGGGAGGCCCGTTCGACTCGAGGGCGCCCGACCGTTCCGTGTATCAGTTTTCAGTCCGTCAGTATGGATTATGTATTATGACATCGTTTACGCTGAGAACATGTCAGGCATTGCAGCGGATGCAATGCGAGGTTAATTGCCCGCACTGCATCCATCTTCCCTCTCGATTATCCTCCTCTGTTATGGCCGCCAACAAGTTCAGAACTAGTCCACTAGGCGTCTCGCTGTGCCAACTAGCCCGGGATAGCGTCATGATGGGGGCCATTCCGGGTCATCGTGATTGGGTTAGATGCATCGCATATGCGCCTTGTATCATCAGGATGGCACTATCAAGATCAAGGATACCTTGGATTATCTAGTCTGTCTAGGATAGCCAGAACTGTTACCCTGGACTGGTCATCCTAGACGTATCCTAGATAGTCTAGACAGACTAGATAATCCAAGGTAACCACCACTAAGCGCCACGCTACCATTAGAACATCCCGAATGCCAGTCAAAGGCGACGGGCAGTTCCACAGGCTATTTCTGAAACTCCGACGTGAAAAGCCATTCTCCATAATCAATACGACCTCCAAGATTAATCCTCCGCCAGGGTCTTGTGCGACAGACTACTTTCTCACTAGCTAGCAGGGAGTCACCGGGATGATGACTTACTGTCGTCTGTCCTTTAGTCTTGACAGAAAAGGCAATGGTTATGATCTGCATTAGTGGACAATATCCCAAACCTCCTCATCAAGACAGTCGACAAATACAGACACCTACAGTCAACCTGGAGATGATCCTAGTCCTGATCAACTACGGGTAAATCCGCTGCATGGCATACATATGCAAGGTACTATCACTGAATATATTCATATACGGATAGAAGTCTGAGGAGATGGAGTACTTGAAAGCATTCAGTCTCAGTGCAGTCTAATGACCCACTGAATTGAATACTTTCATCTTGCATTATCATCCCGAGATCTGTACATTCTGGTATGCTCTGGATGGCAGGGCATGGCATGACAGAAACATATGAACTTGACAGACGACAGTACTACCGGGAGTGACAGAAGTGGATCCTATTAGTAGTAATATATTCTAATAGCAAGTTCTATTATTTGGATTTCGTCAGTGTCTCTCTCCATATACTCACTTGGGAATAGTAGACCAGCAAAGAAAAGGCAACCGATCCCATCCATTCTTTGTCTCCATTCAAATTACAGTTCCCGCTCGGGGATCTGCTGTGCGCTACGGGTGTCGGGCCGTCGGAGGATCCATCTGTATTCATCCATTTTCAGTATCCTCATCTTCTTCTATTCACGATATTATACTCGGTACTGTGTGATGATATTCTAACTACAGTCTTTCTATTCTACTGCATAAGAAGAATCTGGAATCTAAATCTGAATAACTGGAGATATGCAATGCACAACACAGACGGAACCTTGATTCCGGTAATACAATACCGTCAGGTGACATCCATCCAGCCTTGGCTCTCTGATCCATCATCCCTTTCCATCCCAACAATCCATCAATCAATAATAAACAATATCGGGACAGAAAAAAAAAAAAAGACGATAAGACCAACAAGAATGAACAGGCTGTTCAATCAAAATCAAATAAAACTCATCCCTTCCAGTTTTCTTCCGGATTGGTGGCGGAATACCCGGTGGAGTGTTGTACTGGCACTATTTCTAGCCTGGTGTGGATTTTTTCGGTCTCTCTCTTTTCTCTCCACCGCAAACGCAAGGGGTTTGCCAGCTTTCGCTTTTTGGTCGAAACAATATTTATCTTGTCAGCCAAGATAATTATGATACATGGAACTTGTCAAATGCTTCTTTTCTTTCTTTGGTTTTCTATTCTGAGGTGCTTTTCCAACAAGCGGTGAGGCCTGTCGTGCCCCATCCCTGTCGTCGCCCTTGCGCCTGGGGAAAGTCGAGAATCATCCCCGACATTCATCGAACACATCATGAAGAGTGAAGCAGAAAGAAGAAAGGGTAATTATGAAACAGGGAGGAGAGAAAGAGCTACTAGTACCGAGTCTCCCTTCACCGTATATTATCCCCAGGGCCTAGTTCTCCCCCAGCCAGTAGTTGGTGATAATCACCTGAATCACATTGATTCTGTTTCGTTCCGAGAAGCGGATCCCTCAGAGAGGGACGTGCTATCCCTACTATTCTATCTAGCACTCTAGCACCTAAGAAGTATATTCTTCTTTCCCTCCCAGCCAGAACAAGTCAGAAGTCAGTCAGACCGACTGACAGGGTTCTGATGTGTCTACTGAATATCGATCGGTCTGGAGGCGACCACGGAGGGAATGAGGGGAAGGGAAAAAAAGCGACTAAACTACGTGGGAGGAGGGGAGTTGTAACCAGGACACCTCCCAGCTAGTCTGTTAATAGTAGATCAGGGGGGTAAGATGATCATCATCTTGTGTGTGGTGTGTTGATATTATTTCCTCGTCCATGACACAATAGATGAGCTGTCACGGGATAGCATAATTAACCTGTATTATGTGCCATTTGGGCATGACGGAGCAGCTGGGGTTGATCTCTCATTCTTTTCTGTCTCTGTGTCCTTCAAGCCACGGCTTTCGTGGTGCTCTCTCGACCACTGATTCTTCCTTGCCGGCCTGCACGAATCCCTGTCATTCTCTCTTTCTTCTTCTTCTTCTTTTGTGTGACATACTCCTACTTGTCGCTTGCGTGCATCTTGCTGTAGTTTTCGGGCACATCATCGGGTATGAACCTTTCTACTCTCATTCTGATACAATACAATAAAATAATATAATATAAAATAACATATGAGATAAGAATAAAATAAACAAAATGGTATATAATCATAAAGTATGAAAGAATTAAAATATTGAATAAATATTAATAACGATAGATAATAGTCATCCCTAGAACTCCTTACTCGTACGGTGTAGATAGGGTTATGCTGTCACCGCTACTACATGCTCTCTGCGGTATCATATCATCTCATATCATATCCAGTTCGTTGGTCTGTGTCGACTGTCGAACGCCTCCCGCTCTTCTACAGCAGAGGAAACAAAACGAATCCACACCGTTTAGCCTGCGCGAATCTCGCATTTCTGCTTTTCCTTGTATGGTCCCTGACGGCGCTATTACCGGGCGTCTTGCCGATCTGCTCCATCAGGCCTCTTTGCTCACTGCTGCTGCACTCTGCACTCTGCACTTCTGCTGCGCTGCTGTTTTGTCTCCTGCGTGCCAGACTGACCGCAGATTGCTGGTGACAGTCTTCTTTCCACCATTGCGCGTATGAGTGATTGTTCGATTCCATCTATTGTTTGTATCTACTTTCTGTATTGGTTTAGTCTCGTGGATAGTCGTAGAATACGCGCTGATGAAAAGCGCCAATTCCACTCTGTTAACAACCAGAAAAAGCGCCAATTGCAACGATCGGCCCAGGCAGATCCAGCATCATCCCAGCAGCGCAGGACGATCGGGATTACTTACAGCAACGCGCGATCGGGGGCAAAGACGGTCCCAACAGTTTGTGGGCAGGATTTTGGTGGCTACCGACTATTATTCATTATCATCAGTTGTGGTGGACTTTAATTGCTTTTTTTTTTTTTTTTTTTTTTTTTTTTTTTTTTTTTTTTTTTTTTTTTTTTTTTTTTTTTTTTCGGTTTTCTGTCGGTTTTTCTGTGCTGGTTGCATCCCTTGGATAATAGCCCGTAATTATCGCTGGATTATTTATTATTATTTTGTCTGCTTTGGTCGTGGAAGTTCTTAAGCTCGCTATATCCATCTTCTCATCTTCTTTATATCATCTTCTCATCATCTTCTTCTCATCTCCATCTCGTTCTCATTCATTCCATATCCCATATCCACTGTACTTCGTACAGTCGACAGTACAGCTACCTTGCTTCGTGGCGGTACGGTCAAGATTGATGAACGCACGGTTGTCTGCGAATCCCACCGATCCACATTTGGTATTTTTTGCCCTGTATTTTCTTTTCTTTTTTTAATCCACTGCCGGATTTACGAAAAATAAAAAATAATAATTATTATTTCTGCTGACGGCGATTCATTCTTTTCTTGGGGCCAGCACTTAGTCACTGCTACTACGACTGACTAGTGACGGACGGTCGAGTGATCCACAGCCGCCCGCCTGTCTTGAGCCAAACAGTCAAAAGACGGACCTGGCCGGGGTTGAAGCCAAAGTTGAGAGAGCAAGAAAGATTTAAGGATTAAAAGAAGAGACCGACAGCAGCCTCTTGCAGCTTTCTCTCTCTCGATCCCATCTATCCTTCTGTCTTCTGTTCTTCTGTGGTTTGGTCTGTCTCGATAGCATCACACGTGCTGGTACGTACTGCCTCTTTCTTACTTCTCTCTTTTCCTCTCGCTCCAGTCTGTTCAGATATTCCCGTCTGAAAATAGATTGCATACATACATACATCCTACATACTTGGGATCATCCCTTCCGTCCCATTGTTCTCTTGTCTTGTTCCATGGTTCTTCTGTTGCACTTCCTGTGTCTCTCTGTCTGTCTGTCTCCCACTTCCAGCCTCCCACTCAACACGGCTGAGCGGCTGCTTTTCCCCCTCCTACTCCTTCCACGCTCCTACCCAATTTCTCCCAACCTTCCCCTCCTTTCGCTTCCCTGTTTCTCTGTATTCCACGGGTCAGTGACATCTTAATCCCGCCTATCTCTATCGATCGACCTCATCTGTCATTATACATACATAACACTTCCCAAAATAACCTACTTTATTTTTAAAAAAAAAAGCGAAAAAAAAAAAAAAAAAAGACCGAAAAAAAGGAAAAAGAAAAAGAAAAAGAAAAAAAAATCAATCAAAATCAAAATTGCTGTTCGTATCACTTGCCTGCTGATTTGATTTGATATATTTCTTTTTTTTTTTTTTTTTTTCCCTTTCTTTTTCGTGTCTCAATAACTGCACCTCTCCTGCATCACTTCTTTCCTCTTTCCCCAGCCTCCACCTTTTGCCGCTTGATGCCATCTCTCTCTCTTCTTTCCACCGCCCTTGATCTCGCGCCTCTCGCCTGTCTGTCTTGTTCTTCCCAACCTTGACCTGTCTGAGATTGGTGATTCTTTTTTTATTTCTTTTATTTCTTATTTCTTATTTCTTTTCTTTTCTTTTTTTTTTTATTCCCTTACCCCTTCCGCTGCGTCAGCATGTACCCCTTCACTGCCCGCCTTATACATACATCCTAAAGCGCCTCTGACTCCGCCTCGAACCCTTCTCTTTCTCCTCATCATCTTCCGCATGTTTTAACGTTCACGACTTGACGTTCTTTCTTTGCTTACCCTCTTCTTTTTTCTTCCAGACTCCTCTGCTTCCATTGTTGATCTCTGGAGCAGCACGACCTTGTTTTGTTTTCTTCGCGTCTCGACGACCTGCTACGACCTGTTACGAACCGCTACGAGTCTGATCGCCACCCGTTGCGGCTTGCTTCAATTCCCTTCTGCCATCTGCCTCTCTCGTCTGCATCCAATCCCATACCTTGTGCGAGTTACATCGAGGATAGCGTCTGACGTCCGATGCCCTACACTGCGTCGTGCTTCTCCCCCTCCAATTTGACGACTTGAAACGATACCCATGATCCCGTGCTTCTGATTTGGTTGAGCGAATTTCTTGTTGACCATCTATCTGCGAGCCCGTCTTTCACAGCATCTTCTCTCCCGCACTCAAATATTTCAAGTTTTGGATGTAGATTTCTGTCAGCACGTTCTGCATAGTTATTTTCTCTCTGTCCAGTTGCGTTAGCGATCCCCAAGCGTTTAACGGTTACGATTCTCTACGAGCTTGCCACGATTGCTCTTTTGCATATTCTGCATTGCTTGTTCCAGCGACATCCTTTTTTCTTTTGTTTATGATCTGCTCTTGAATCTGCAGTCGATTCTTCATCCCGTTGGTTTCACTTCAAAACAGCCTACTTGCATGCCGAGATCCCATCGGACGATTGCGATTTAACTTCAAACACCCCATCTATATCACCTTGCTCACGAACGCCGGACACCCTTCGAGTCCGACGTCCGTATTTCAACTTTACCTTTTTCAAGCCGTTACCCCGTCAAACCGAAAAACTGGCGCTGCCGTCGATTTCGCAGGTCCACACCAGAGGTCCTGCCGATATTCCTTGGTACAACCACCACGCCCAAGAAAGACCCTTGTTGTCTGGCGACAAACTTCCGGCCCTGAGTCTACCCACGGCTTCGCAGCCGTCCTACCGGGCTAGCTACCAAGATCCAACGGCCCCCGCCTCTAGTAACGCCAGTGCTCGAACAAGTCTATCGGGCTCTGCGTCTGCTGTTAACGAGGTCAGGAGCCCCCCGCCGCCTGCAGACCTAGCCGCTGGTGGTCAGGGTCGGCTCTCTTTGGATTCTTCTGCCCCTGCGGATTATACCGTCTCGCAGAACCCGGTTAGCGACAGCTACTACCCCAACCCGACTTCTATCAGCAGCATGAACCAGACTCAACCCTACATGGATGCTCATTCCCACTTTTCGTCCGGTCAGCCATACGCCTCGCAAGCTGCCACTGCAGGAAGTCTTCCCCACTACACCCAGTACCAGCAACCCCCAGTATTACAGCCTGCCTCGACAACATATGCCCCCGCAAGCTCGTACTCGCAATATGGTTACCCTCCCAGTGCTGTCACTTCGCCCCAGTCTGCGACCCAGCCTCCATCATCCATGAGCAGCCAAGTCCCTGCCCAACTGTTACCACTGCCAGGTGAGTCTGATTTGCTGAATATATCATTTACAGTACTGACGGAGTCCCAGCAGTTACCAACCACTCCGTTGCTCCCCCAGGCTATGGAAACACCACCGGTACACCCCTTCAAGGTTTCGTGTACGATGGTACTGGTCAGATCGCTCCCCCGGGAGCGAAGCCGCGCGTCACCGCCACACTTTGGGAAGATGAAGGTAGCCTGTGCTACCAAGTCGAAGCCAAGGGCGTTTGCGTTGCCAGAAGAGAGGACAACCATATGATCAACGGAACCAAGCTGCTGAATGTTGCTGGAATGACTCGAGGTCGCCGCGATGGTATCCTGAAGAGTGAAAAGATCCGTCACGTTGTGAAGATCGGCCCTATGCACCTCAAGGGCGTGTGGTATGTAACGCCTTGACCTTTCTTATGACAAATCTAACCTTGATAGGATTCCGTTTGAACGGGCATTGGAGTTTGCCAACAAGGAAAAGATCACTGATCTGTTATATCCTCTGTTTGTGCACAACATTGGTGGTCTTTTGTACCATCCCACAAACCAGACCCGCACCAACTTGGTTGTGCAAGAGTCCCAACAACGGCGACTCGAGGGCCCGCAGGCTACCCGGACTCCTCAAGCACCGCAGCCTCCGGCTTTGCACCACCATCACCATCACTCCATGCAGGCCCAAGTGCCTCATCTGGCTCAGCCTCACGCCATGTCTTCCCAGCCGGGTGGTCGACCATCCCTTGACCGAGCTCACACCTTTCCTACCCCTCCAGCAAGCGCATCTAGTTTGATTGGCATCACCAACCAACCAAGCTCTTACGAATGGGGCAGCCAAGGTATGAGCTCTGGAGTCCAGAGCTCTCAACCGCTGTCAATCGACACAAGCTTGAGCAATGCTCGGTCAATGCCCAACACCCCCGCCACAACTCCCCCAGGGAACAACTTGCAAAGCATGCAGTCGTACCAAGGTCAATCAGGATATGACAGCTCCAAGCCGTATTACTCAGCTGCTCCTCCGTCACACCCGCAGTACGCTTCGCACCAGCCTTTGGCACAGCCTAGCATGGCTGCTTATGGTCAGACCTTGCCCTCGACAACCTACCTCAAGAACGACATGGGACCCCCTTCGGGCCGAGCACCCGGTGCACAGCCCGAAACGGAGGCTTCTGATGTGAAACCGGACCGGTATGCCCAGAGCAATGGTCACGTTGGTAGTGGTGCTGGGGAATCTGTCCCCGAGCACGAGCAGGAGTACATGCAAGACAATAGTGCTGGCTACAGTACCAGCCGGGGGTCGTACACCTACACTACCAACCCTTCCATTGGTACTCTTACTGGAGAGCACTCTCAGCTTGCTCCAGAAATTACCGGCTCTCCTTCGCAGCAGAATGCCTCCGGACGTATGACTCCTCGTACGAGTGGTGGTCCCCCGTCGCAATGGGCTTCGGGATACAGCACACCTCCCCGGCCCGCAGCAGCCGGCAGCCTGTACAACATCGTCAGTGATACCCGTGGCACATCAGCCAACGGGGCATCCGACGGATACTCCGTGGCTTCTACCTCGGCCTCCACATACTCTACTGGCATGAACGGCACCTTGGGATCTAACAAGCGTCTCCGGGATGATGATGACGATGACCGCATCATCCGGCCTGACAGCAGAGGCGCAGAGTATGACAGCAAGCGCCGCAAGACCATCACGGAAGCGACCGTGGGTGGACCTGTTGGGGGTGCGCCTATGGCTTTGCAAAGCATGAAGGCTGGAGGAGCCATGGCTCGCCGTCGATGATTGTTTTTGGTCATGAAAACAAACAAACAAAAAAACTTCCAAAATATAAGAAAAAAGTGATTATTGATTGCAGTTTTCTTTTCAGGCAACAACATCAATCGCTCATAATTATTTTCCATATCGGAATGAGTTACGGCTTTTCTTTTTTCTTCAATAGACTACGCGGCCTTTGACATGCGGGACAGGCCGATTGCATTTACATCCGGTGCTTGCAGACTCGGCCTTTGAGTCTGCACGGTGTGGATACCTGCAGCGTGGCCTGATGGTCGACCGGTTTTACATTCCTTCTAATCTCTTGTGTCTCTCTTGGTCCTTGGGGAGCTGTGAGCGTTCTGATTGATGATGGGTCAAATGACGTGGTTTTGTTGGGCAGTTGTTGGCCCGGTTCGGGAGTCTTTACTCTGGTTTTTCTTTTCTCTCCCTGCTTTATTTTGTGGGTTGATGGATGGTCTGCGTTATGGTGCTTTTGGGTCATATTGTGGTATGTGCGATTTGTTTCTGAAAGGCTATATTTTGACGACCATGATGCTACGAATTTTCTACCACTACGAATTTTTTATTATATTGTTTTCGTTCTTGATTTCCTTTATTATCTTTTTCTCCCCCTTTCTTCCATCTCCAGACTTCCGGGATCTATAGATCACTGGGTTTTGCGCTGTTATTGTTTCGTGTGTTTTACCGTTTACTTGATGGGTTCAAAAAGACAATATCACTGGGCTATTTTCAAGACTTTGCTATCAGTGCTTCCAGTAAGTCATGAAATAAAAAAAGCCATGTCGCTGGCGTTGGGAGCTATTCGTCTTATACATGACAAGCCTTGATTTTTTCTTCTCATGATGATTTAGATAAGATTCAATGACTTAATGAAACTGTCTTGTCTTTATATTTTCCCAGTAATACTTATCATCTCCATCCCTAGTCGTAAAGCAAAGCCATACTCCGTAAGCCCGATTGGGTGATATCACAGATCGATCCTTTTATCGACCATCAGGATAGGAATAAGTATCTAAACTCCGTGGAAAGCAAAGGCCATTGTCAATGTGAAACAATCACACCATTCGGGATCAGGTCGGACACATTCCCACGTTGGTGGTTGTGTTCGACTTGGTCGTGCTTTGCTCGGGATTTGAAGATCCTGGTGAACGAACTTACCCATGTTCTTCCCCCATGCATCTTTTCAATTTACATGCGGAGTAACTATGTATGTGGTATCTGCCTAGGTAGTATGCACATGCATAGTGTCGCTTGCCATCTATTATCAGATGCAAAAAAACAAAAATAAAAATAAGATTAAACGGAGAATTGGAGCTGACAAGGACAAGGTTGGTTAGTTAGGTTGAAGCTCCCCCTCCCTCTCCAAACCCCAATTGGCCTCTCCACATCAACCAAACGCCGTTAGTTATGGGGTCACATACGGTCGGTAGTCGGTTGGGATCATGCGATTCTGGGTTTTGTTTGCTTTGCTTTTCTTGTTACATTGAGATGGGGATATTGATGGCGACGGTGTTTACCTAGTGTAGCAGAGACCGGTGCCGGGGAGAGCCGGATGGAATGAGCTACTCTGGCACGCTGTCTGTTTGTCTGTTTTTATCTTGACGGACGAATGTGATGAGGAGGTTGATGGGATATAAAAGGTGGCATTGGGACGTTGTATAGCTTTCTTCATCATCACCATCATCTTCAGTTCTACTACAATCGAATCTCTTCGAGTTCCTCGATCAATTCACCAACAATCCAACAAAATGGCTCCCGTTTTGAAAAAGTACAAGGCCGCAGCTGTTAACGCTGAGCCTGGATGGTTCAACCTTGAGGAGTCTGTCAAGCGTACCATTCACTGGATCAATGAGGCTGGCCAGGCTGGATGCAAGTTTATTGCTTTCCCGGAACTTTGTATGCCCCCCTTCACACACCATGATGACTCAGATAGAGAAGGTAGAAGCTGACTGATGATAGGGATCCCCGGGTACCCCTACTGGGCGTGGAAGGTGACATACCAGGAAAGCCTGCCCCTGCTGAAGAAGTACCGCGAGAACAGTCTCGCCTCGGACTCGGACGAGATGCGACAAATCCGCGAGGCAGCTCGGGCAAACAAGATCTACGTCTCGCTGGGATACTCGGAGCTGGACCTGGCCAGTTTGTACACGACACAGGTGATGATTTCGCCTTCGGGAGACGTTCTCAACCACCGTCGCAAGATCAGAGCCACGCATGTTGAGCGGTTGGTGTTTGGTGATGGAACTGGTGATACCACCGAATCCGTGATCCAAACTGAGATTGGACGTGTTGGACATTTGAACTGCTGGGAGAATATGAACCCGTTTATGAAGGCTTATGCGGCTTCCCTGGGCGAGCAGGTCCATGTTGCTGCTTGGCCTTTGTACCCCGGCAAGGAGACACTCAAGTACCCTGACCCTTATACTAATGTCGCCGAGGCGAATGCGGATGTAAGTGATTCCCCTCCCGGAGGACTGGGTTGGTGAGGCGTGATTCTCGCAGAATGAACTGATAAAGATGGCACAGTTGGTTACCCCCGCTTATGCCATTGAAACGGGTACTTTCACCCTGGCGCCCTGGCAGAGCATCACCGCCGAGGGTATCAAGCTGAACACCCCCGAGGGCAAGGAGTTGGAGGACCCGCACATCTACAACGGACACGGTCGTATCTTTGGGCCCGATGGTCAGAACCTTGTCGAGCACCCTGACAAGGACTTCCAGGGTCTTTTGATTGTTGACGTAAGTTTCCTGATACTGATTAGCATAAGGACCTTCACTTACCCAGACACAGATTGACCTTGATGAGTGCCACCTTACCAAATCGCTGGCTGATTTTGTGAGTGTCCCATTTCCACCTGTCACTCTTTGTATCAAAGCTAACTAGTCAGGGTGGTCACTACATGCGCCCCGATCTTATCCGCCTTCTTGTCGACACCAACCGCAAGGATCTGGTCGTCCGCGAAGACCGTGTCAATGGAGGAGTTGCTTACACTCGCACTGCCGACCGGGTTGGTCTCTCTACTCCTTTGGATACGGCCAAGCCTGTTGCAGACCAGGAGGAGTAAGTCTGGATTGTGGATCGAGATTGCTTTATTCCCTCTCCACTCGTTAAACAAGAAAGTTTGTCAATGCTGAAATGCACTTGAATTTGTATATTATCGCAGTTTTTCAATTGATTTTGTTGCTTTTCTCAATCTATCGTCATATCGGTCGGGGTAATCTGAAATCAAAGCTAAATGCTATCGTCGACAAAAACCTGATTGGCAACTGCCCGGATCTGAGAATGAATCTCAGGCGATGTCGCTACCAATCCCAAGTTGTCGCTTAGTTTTCTACCCTTGCCATAGTTGAAGGGTTTCCCACTGAGATCGGTGATCTTCCCGCCCGATTCTTCAAAGATCAGCATTCCACCCGCATGATCCCATGCATATGGTCGGTATTCCTTGTCCCTGGGGATTCGAATCATGGCATCGGCTGCCCCGATCGTCAGGGCGGCATATTTGACTTGCATTGACCAGAGATTTGCCAGCTGTTTCCTGGTTCCAAGCTTCTCTCGCACCGCCGAATGTTTCTTCACCGAGATCCAAGGACTCTCTAAGCTTTCCGTAAAGGAGATGTCTTCGATATCCAAGTCTTTACGGGCTTTCAAGATCTTTTGCGGTGGCTGTAGACTGGCTTTCGTCATTTGTCGTTTGTATGCCCCATAGCCCTTGACGGCTGACAGCATCAAACCATAGCCATCCTTGTCGACGAGAGCTTCTTCAACGTAGGTGCTCTGGAATTGTAGATTGGGATATCCGACAACGCCAACCTTCTGCTCGCCATCCACGACAAGAGACACGGATACGGCATACTGCTGTCCACGGATGAAGGTGGCCGTTCCATCGATGGGATCCAAAAACCAGATGCGACCGCTGGCAGACTCATTCTGATCGCCGCCAATGTCGATAAAATCCAGCATCTCATCTATGGAGGTAGGGGCGGCAACAAGCATTTCACTCTCGTCATGGTTCAATTTGGTCGAAGTAATCAACTTCCATACTCGCTCAGCCAGCGCCGGATTCCCGCGTAACGCAGACGCCGATTCCTCTCCGAGGAACTTGTCATCTGGGAAATTGTGTCGGATGGCACTGATGAGGATGGCTTGCGAAGCAAAATCGGCAATGGTGACAGGTGAGTCATCGTCTTTGTTTGTGGATCCCTTGTCGACTTCTGCCAGGACGGTTTTTGTAACCACGCTCGCGCGCTGGACCGCGAGAGAGGCGATCTGCAATTCAGCAGAGTATGAGGGGTGCATTATTATCAAACGTTAAGGGTGTTGTTATTTTGCTGTTGATTTTCCACATGCATTGGTGATTTTTTTTTTTTTTTTTTTTTGCTGGAGATGATCGTCGAGGGTTATCTCATCCAGAATCCTTTTACCCCTCCCCCTCCTTCCTTCTGTCGTTCAGCCTCCCAACGAACCAGCCACTGTGGAGAAGAGTATCGTAAATCATGGTCACTAGGAAAGTGGGCCAATTGACACGTAGGACCGTAGGACGACTGCTAAAAGCACGCGATTAAGCCACTTATGCTTGGCCTCGGGTGTTGCACATGCTTAAGCAATGTGATCTTCTTGCTAGACAGTATTTAACTCCACATTATTTTCAAAAATATTGCACTGCACATACTTTATATACCTGTTGGCGAGGTTGGGATTGCTTACCTTTGCTGATTCGCGCAACTCGCGTCTGTTGTTGTTTTGCGAGTTGTCGGAGGCACTGACTTGTAATTCACAAAAAGGGAAAAGGTCGCGCAGCTGACGGACTTCACAATTGCTTCAACTTCAATCTTTCATAAAAATCATCAAAGTCATCATTGCTATCTGTCTAACATATCGCTACATTCATCATAACCTAAGGTATGCTACACGCTCTCAGAGCCAGAATATACAACTAAGAATGCCCTGCAGACTTGCCGTTAGTCGAAGTGCCTTGGCCCATACTGAACCACTCAATCGCATCACGCCTTGCTTTGTGCGTTCTTTCTCTCCTCCTTGAGCTGCTTTTGCATAACCTTGGATTCCTTAACGCCAAAGCCGTGCTCATAGATCTCACGGACCGACTCAAGAGGCATGTTGTGGACTTCAGCATAGAAGAAAACAACAAACACCCACCCGATAAAGCAAATGCCGGCATAAAACCCGAAGGTTCCGCTGGGAGTCATTCCCTTCATCATGGACAAGAATGTCGAGGAAATGATAATGTTGCAGGCCCAGCATGTCACAGTGTTCAACATCGTCCCCAGTGCACGAACCTCTAAAGGCAGGAATTCTGTTCCCACCCAGGAGATCGGAGCCACTCCTGCGGCATAAAATGCAACGTACAGAATGATAGCGGCAAGAAGAAGACCTCCGGCCCAGGTCATTCCCGTTGTTTCAACCTCAGTAAGGTCATGGCTGACTGGAATCCAGTGGAAGGCTATCGCGGTGACAGCCATAGCCAAGCACTAAAGTATCACAGTATCAGCAAACATTCTATCCACGTATACAGTAGATATCGTCTTACCATTCCCATCATGGTGACCAAAAGCACGACCCGTCGTCCGTATCGGTCAATAATGGCAAAGTTGACAAATCCAAACACAAAATTGGTGGCTCCAACAACAATTGAAACCGCTGTCGGCTTATCAAATCCAACCATGGAGAACAAAGTGCCTGAATAGTACATCAAAGTGTTGAAACCACCCAGTTGGGATACTAAAGCTGGTTAGCCAATGGTATCAATGAGGAAAATTCAGAAAACATACTCGCCATGACAGCGCAGGCTGTTGCAAGAGCTCGCAGATTGGCAGGAACTGTGAATAGCTGTTTGGTTTGCCACCACAGGCTTCGATCTGAGACAGAGACCGCCGTGTCTTCTATGGAGTGCTTGATGAGTCGAATTTTGGCAACAATCTGCTCGTCAGTAGCGTTTGGAAAGATTCTTCTCAGTACTTTGTTGGCCTTATCGTCATGGCTATGCGAGATCAACTGGCGAGGAGATTCGGGACACAGAGGCATCATAAAACCAAGCACGATGGCGGGGATTGCTCCCAGTCCCACCATATATCTCCATCCGTGGGATACATCTGTGAACGCGGCCCCGATGGCATAGGAAACAAGTTGACCAAAAGCCACGCACAAATTATCAAATACAATGAGTCGGCCACGGTACCGTGCAGGTGCCAGTTCTCCTATGTACAGAGGGATGATCATAGCAGCGCTGCCCACACCGAAGCCGACAACCAGACGACCGACTGTCATCTGGGCAAGTGACCAGGAGAGTGCTTGGATCAAGGTCCCAACAAAAAATAGGACACATCCGATATAGATACCGATTCGACGTCCATATCTATCAGAGCTTAATCCAGCGAGCACCGCTCCAATGAGAGCTCCTCCGGAAGTTATGGAAGTGACCAGCTCTTGTTCACTCGATGACAATGTTTGTCCCAAGTCCGTTCCAATATTGACGAGCACAGCAGATATGACACCGGTATCGTAGCCTATACAAATTAAAAAAAAGATTAATTCGACCATTCCGGTGGTTCGATCGGTCCATGGATACCTACCAAATAGAAACCCGCCCATGGACACTGTGCTGGCAATCAGCCACACTCCCTTCCCCGGATTTGTTGTTTCGATCGAATCATCGAGGATCTCTCCATCGGAGATCATGTTCTCCTTGTGATCAACGTCTGGCTTCTCATCGTCTGGCGGCAACTTCAGCGAACTGTGCTCTGAATCCATGATGAATAATATGAATTGAGTCCAATCCGTTCCTCAAATGAACACAAAGGGCTAGTAACACCAGCAAGGAATTATATAGACCAACAATGGATGTAAAATTGACAGAATTGGAAGAGATGACCGAAAAGAAGGAAATTCTCCCCGGAAATACACTTTTGCCAGACCAGAATGATATCCCTGGAGAAAAATACAGTCCTTAATATAGCGAAGAGAGAGCCTAGCTCCTTCAATTCCCTCATCCTTGGCATCATTGTCGTTCTATATCAAAAACGGCATAAGTTACTACGCGTGGATTCGTATAGTCTGCCATGGAAGATACAAAGGCCGTGGAACGGGCATTGGGATGCGGGGTATTGCCCCAGATTTCCCCAGAATCCCCTTATCTATTAGCTGAACAACGACATCTTTCAGGTGGACTTCAGCCCACAGAGGCAGCAGCACCTGTCATTATCGTCGAATTTCAAAAGCCGTTTTAGCAGCGAACCGGCAAATATATGACGTCGCTTGCCATTGGCACGATAACGCAGCCGGTTTTGAATCTCTTGGGAGTTGATTCGTGTTGATTGTTGACGGTGGGTTCTGCACCGAGCTCGCCCCTTTTACCCCTCTGGTTGAATAGGGAAAGCGAGCCTTTTTTCCTCATCCACCATCGCCCTCTCGTATTCAAAAAGAGGGAAATTTACTCCGCCCTTGCAGCCGGCCAGATCGGCCGCTAAGAGCTTGGATCCAAGGACAAGATCGGTGCTTGTATGTCTGGCTTCATGAAACCAAGACACAATGTGCGCATGATGAGATGGCTATGGTTTCACCAAGGGATTATTCGTGGGGGAAAGTGCGCTTGGAGGCTGTGGATGTTGGATAGTATTCCCACTTGTGGCTCCTCTATCCACCCTCCAACTCATGGAGCACGACAGGAATGGGCTTGAAGAGAAAATATCATTTCGTTCCTCAGCCCGAAGAAATGATATTAATATTTGACCTCGCCGTCCCTTCTCAGGTCCATCCTGATATCCACGACAATCTTTAATTGACGACACAAACGTCAGGTTTATACCTTGAGCATTGCTTCGGCTGAGCCTTGTGGTTCCATCTCCTCAAAGAAGCAAGGTTACATATATATCTTATACCTTCTACTCTTATCCTTATTATCACATAAAACACGACACAATGTGGTCCATCATCTCCATCGCCCCTTATGCCTTCGCCGTGGGCTTCTTCTCCTTTCTCTACTTTTGCGTCTTTCCCTATGTTGAGTATCTTCGTGACCCGAAAGGTATGCAGAAGGATTCTTTTCTTGAGCTCGTTAAGAGATAAAGCATGATGCTGACTATCATCCAGGTCTACGCAAATACCCCAATCTTTCTCCCTTCTCAGGATTCTCCGCAATTCCATTCATGATGCTTGCTTCTCGGGGGTTCCGCTCTATGGAGTTGATGGAGTTGCATAAGAAGCACCCTGTCATTCGCACAGGACCCAACACGCTGTCCTATGGGGATACTCGTGCCATTAAAGACATTTATGGTCACAACACCAAATGTATCAAGGATCCCTCATATGTGATTACTGCTGGATCGCACACCAATCTTGCGGATGTGGTCGACAAGCCCGAGCATGCCCGGAAGCGCAAAGTGCTCTCGTCAGCATATGCCCTCAAGAATTTGGAGACATGGGAGTTCAAAGTCAGCGACAAAGTGGAGAGAATGTTCAAGCACTTTGACAAAGTCTGCACAGCACCTGCTTCCACAGATGTTGCGTCCGGCAAGACAGCGCCTGATGCTAAAGATCTGACGCTTGATTTCCGGGGCTGGACAAACTTCTTCACTCTCGACGCCATCGCCGATATTGGTTTGTCGGAGAAGTTGGGATTCCTGGACAATGGGAATGATCTCTGTATCGCTGAGAGGAAAGATGGCTCAACCTACGAGGTCAGCCTGCGAAAAGCGCTGTATCCCACTGCCATCAAACAATCCCTCATCCTTTGGAACTACGAATGGTACCCGGTGATCAATAAGCTGGTCAATGTGATCCCGTACTTTGGGCGCATGCAAGAATCCGCAGACCATTGGGAGAACATCATGTGGCGACGGGCAAACGAACGACTTCGGCGCTACGAAACTGGTGAAAAGCTCGAAGACTTTTTCCAGGCACTCATGGAGGACAAGAATGGACATGCGAACAACCTTGAGTTTGGGGAGGTGGTAGCAGAGTGCAACATCATGATGAACGCTGGTAGTGTGACAACGGCCGTTGCCATTGCCAACGTCATGTACCAACTTCTCCGGAACCCACGATGTCTTGAAAAGCTGCGCGAGGAGGTTGATGCCGTCCTGGACCCCGATGAGGTTGTCGCACCTTACGACAAGGTTAAGCACCTCCCATATCTCCGCGCTTGCTTGGACGAATCACTCCGCATCTTCCCCCCTACATCGCACGGTCTTCCTCGTGAAACACCCGAGGAGGGCACTAACATCCTGGGCGAGTGGGTTGCCGGCAAGACATCCGTCAGCATGTCTGCTCTGGTGGCGCACCGTGACGAAAAGGTCTTCCCGAATGCCGACCAGTACATTCCCGAGCGGTGGCTCGGGGAAGAAGGCAAGGCGTTGCAACCCTACCTTATTGCATTCTCTGCTGGTGCAAGATCATGCATTGGCCGCAACATCTCCTACTTGGAACAAACCAAGGCCATTGCCTCTGTGGTGCACCGGTACAACCTGGCTCTGGCATATCCGGGCTGGGAACTGAAGCGATTGGAGTCTATGAATTTGATTTTGGGCGATATGCCCGTTAAAATTTGGAGGCGTGATTTGGAAACGACTGCTTGAGGATGGAGATAGAAATGGGAGTCTGGCGTGCTCTATACAACCTTATGTTTGATGACATTTTTTCTTTTTCGATGCACTTAGAGTATTATGATGAAAATTCCATTTATTCTGTTCAATCACTATATTCAATTTCTCTTTCAACACGTATATCAGTATACTCCATATTATCCCTGTAGACCCTTTGAGGCTTGACCGCTATACAAGAAATGCGCTGGCCAAAGAGAGTCACACATGCGCTTACCGCGTGACTCGAACTGTTGCAGAAGTCAAGAACGACAACAATCCAGATCTCCATCGAAGTGGCCCAGAAATCAGACATCATCTCCCAGACCGATCTATCTGTGTCTCTATCGATGCAAGAAGTCGCGAACTCTCCGAAAAGGCAACAATCCCCGTCCAGAAAAGAGGAAATCCACTCCGCGTCGCCACCAGCGGAGAGAATTTCCCTCTGACTACCAGGGGAATTTCTCCTCTTTGGGACATGATATCTTTCCCCGGATGTATCATCTTCATCCCCCCGCGCTTTTTCGTCTTATCATCATCTCTCATCAGTGGAACTCTGGGGTATACTCTATGGCCCACTGCAATGAGACATCATCACGGGCCATAACCGAAATCTCCAGGGCCTCTCTTATCTCATTGCGGGGATGGCCTTTGTCTATCCAAGTCCCAACTTGGTTTTGTTGACGCCATGTGGGGGATACAGGTCGTTGGCTTGTTATCATGTCCCCAGCGCCCCAACACGTGTGGTGTTACAGTCGAATAAGATGAGACATATCATGAAAAGCAGAAAAATAACTCTATAACCGTTCCTCAGTTGCCGCTGCACTGGCTCTCCGCATGACGCGTCAGTTTTTGGTATATTTCCCCGTTAGGAGATATTTCCAAGAATGGCCACGCATCAAAGACCGTGCGGGGACAATGATGGGCTTCAATTTATCTGCTTGATTGGAGGCCTTCATTAAGAGCTTTCTTTTATGACAAGGGTCTCGTCCATCTTTTTTTCTTAATCTTGACAACATCTTCTTCACTGTCTGAAGTTATTTTCAATTGAGAGTCTTGGTCTTTCAACTCCATTCTTATTTTTCACCGAATCTCCTCTCATTATTGCGTGGCCGGAGTGCCATTGCTACCTGGACATCATGGACTCCCTTACACAGTTGGGTCTGAACAACCCCGAACTCTTCAAGGAGCTCTCAAAATTGGCCACGCCTACAGGTGTCGCCGACTACACAGCTCTGGCATTGCTGGCTGGAGCTGGAGCCACCTATCTATCGCGAGGAATCATCTGGGATCAACCTGATCCATATGCCCATCTCGCATACGAACGACCGCAATTGAAGAACGGCGGCGCTCTTGGCTCTACCAACAAGGAAACCAGAAACATTGCACAGAAACTCGAGGAGGCGGGCAAGAATATCGTCGTTTTCTGGGGTTCTCAATCCGGTACAGCAGAAGGTTTCGCACAACGGTTGGCCAGAGAAATCTCTCTTCGTCATGGCCAGGAAACCATGACTGCAGACCTTTCGGACTACGACTCCGAAACGATCAGTCAGATTCCAGAGTCGAAGCTGGCCATCTTCATTGTTTCCACGTACGGCGAGGGAGATCCCAGTGACAACACCGCAGAGTTCTGGGATTGGATCAACAAGGCTCAGAATGTCTCCCTGTCTAATTTGCGATACGCCGCGTTTGGTCTGGGCAACAGCAACTACAAGTTCTATAATCGTGTTGTTGATGTTGTCGTCGAGGGCCTGGAAAAATTCGGGGCAAAGGCCCTCATGCCCGTTGGTAAGGCCAACGACGCAGAGGGTGCGACAGAAGAAGACTTCATGGCATGGAAGGATGATCTGTTCACGGTCTTCAAAGAGAAGCTGGGCTTCGAAGAATGTGAAGTCAAGTACATGCCAACCCTGGTCGTCCAGGAAGACGAATCTTTGGAACCAATCGATCTTCATCATGGAGAACCTGACAATCGTCGTGATTCCAAGGCAGCTGCTCAGTGCACCCCAGTTCGCACACTGAACATCGCCAATTCGAGAGAGCTTTTCAATGCGTCAGACCGAAACTGTCTTCACATGGATCTGGATCTGAGCAGCCAGCCAGAGTTCACCTACAAGACAGGAGATCACCTTGCCATCTGGCCTGGAAACCCCACCTCTGAAGTCGAACGCTTGTTCGAAGTCCTGGGTCCCTCTGTTCGTCCCCATGTCCCTCTCGGCATCAAGTCGCTCGACCCAGCAACCAAAGTGAAAATCCCAACCCCGACAAGTGCGGCTGCTGTTTTCCGCTACTACCTTGAAATCTGCGCCCCCGTCAACCGTGACAATGTTCTAGGCCTTGCACAATTCGCCCCAACCCCGGAGGCCAAGGCATATCTCCTCCAGCTTGGTCAGGACAAGGACTATTATGCCAACTTTATCAATCGCACACATCTCAACATCGGCCGTCTTCTACAGCTAGCATGTCCTGGAAAGGCTTGGTCTGACCTGCCGCTCTCATATCTTGTCGAAACCCTACCCCATATCCAACCCCGATACTATTCCATCTCCTCCAGCAGCGTCATCTCCCCTCGCAAACCCTCAATTACAGCCATTGTATCATCGTCACCTCTTCCAGAAAACCCCGACGAGCTCATCCACGGCGTCACATCCAACTACCTCCTGGCTATCTCTCAACAATCCCGCTCACAACCCCACCCCCATGGCATCACCTACCACCTCAACGGACCCAGTGACGCCCTCCAAGACGGCAAAGTCTTTGCACACATCCGCAGAAGCCGATTCAAGCTTCCCATCACAAGCAAGAACCCACTCATTATGGTCGCTGCCGGAACTGGTCTCGCGCCCTTCCGTGCTTTCATCTCCGAACGACGCCAGCTCCAACAAATCGGAAAAGAAATCGGCCAGATGGTCCTCTTCTTTGGGTGTCGTAACCCCGAAGAAGACTTCATCTACCGTGATGAACTGGAAGAGTTGCAGAATGCCCTCGGCGATCGGTTGCGGGTTGTAACGGCCTTCTCCAGAAAACAGGGTACACCGCGCCAGTATGTGCAAGACCGAATTGTCGAGTTTGGCCAGGATATTGTCAAGCTTCTTGACGAGAGCGCCAACTTCTATGTCTGTGGAAGAGCTGGAATGGCTCGGGAGGTAGAGAAGGCCGTTGGTGAAACGATGAAACAGGTCAAGGGATGGAGTGACGGACAGGTAAATGACTGGAGCAAGGCAATTAAGAAGAAGAACAAGTGGCAAGAGGATGTTTGGGGATAAGCAAGGAATAGCGGCTCTTTTACGAAAATATTTTAATACGGTGCACAGGGGTTGGTTGGGATTATAGAATTTTGTGGACTTTTTGTTCTATTTTCTTTTCTTTTTTGGTTCTACTTCGTATGATATGGACACACCAATTCCGGATCCATGCAATATAAACCCATGCGTTATACCTTCATTTTATCCTGTATGTCCATTTTCACCCAGTTCATAAAGCCAAATACCTCATCACCAAATAATCATATCTTTTTTTTCCCCCTGTATCTATCAAGAACAATGATAACGAGCATAATAATTAACAAGTTAACAATGAGAATGAGTCTTGACTGGGTGGCTTCAGACTCGCTTTCCGGCCAGAGTGAAAATCTGCTGCCAGATTTCAATCCACTGCTGCTGTTTATACGACAGCACCTTCTGGGGATCGCGGAATGTGCCGGCCAGAATGTCGCGGATGCGGGCGCTGAGAACCTTGAGGGCGAGCATGTATTTCCAATCACGGACTGCGAACCGGACTCGGTTTTGGTCGATGGAAATGACGCCCGAATACATCTATTGCATAAAGTCACTGGTTAGTATCTGCTCTTTTATGCGTAACTCGAATTTATGAATCTCACCTTGAACTCGGCATCACCGCACAATAATGCAATGGCAAAGTCGTCCACGGCGCTGGTTTCATGGGCGTTGTAGTTTCGGTTTCGTGCTTGCATGATGTGGTAGTACGAAAGCCATTTCAGAGATGCATCCGCATGCTTGTTTACTGATGTTGGGTGGAGGGTGACTGCCTGGTTGTTTGCTACATTCCGCCAGCCTTTGCCTTCCCGAGTGAGTAGTTTGGGGTAGAAACTCCATGCTACGACCGAGTTAACAACGACATCGTTGGCGCTGTTAATGTCGTACTCGTCGGGAATTGTGAAGAACTGTCGTTGCCGCCCACCAGACCGTGCTCTGTGATGGTGTTAGTCGTAGTGATTAATTAAAAGGGTGTATCAAGAAGCGTTGTTTACCTATTCAACGATGTCTTTTGAGCCGGGTCCAGAGTGAGAAGCCCCGCGTCGGCAATGGAGACAACTAGTTGCATCTTGACATCTTCAATGTTCAACAAGGTCTGGGAACTAAGAAAGTTCTTTCGGCAAAAGGCAAATTCATTGGTTCCCGGTGTACTTCTCGTGCGCTTCCAAGCGCAATAAGCATTGTATACCGTCAGTAAGTCCGAATCGCCTGCACATAAATGTTAGCATGCTGAGGTAAACATGAAGGCAGTAATTGAATCATACCCTTTTTGAAGGAAAACCTTGAGATGTCTTTTTGAGCGTTAGATCCCATGGTGCTGACGAAAGGCGATTTAGACGATAGAATGGCAGCAATGCTGAGAGCAGCATCGAGACACTTGAAGAAAGCTCCGTGGATGATCAGCTTTCCAAGGAAAACATCCAAAGGCAGCTTAGCAAGTTGCGATCCCAAGGGGGTCAAGTTTTCGGCATTCGTTAGAGCTTTGACCTCCTTAAGAGAGTCAATTGCGCGACGTATGTTTTTCGACGAAGGTGGATCTAAAGCCTCGAGAAGAGTCTGCTCTACCTCACCAAGCTTGCAGATCTTGACACGCAACACTAGATCCTGAAGCGACAGACGAAGCATTTCAGGAGTTTGTTGTTCCGCGAGCTCCTTGAGGTTAGTATTGGTATAGCCGGTTGAGAATTAATTCAAGAACATACCAACTTATCGTGCCTATGTTTGGTAAACATATGGAAGCAAATTCCACTTTGTACACGTCCAGCTCTTCCCCGACGTTGCTTTGCATTGGCACGCGAGATAAAAGACTCTACCAATCTCGACAGTTGTCGTCTCTCATCGAAGCTAAAACAAGGTTAGAAGGACTGTCATACACGCTTGTTACATGTAATGTGTACGTACCGCATCGTCTTCTCTGTGCCTGCGTCGATGACGGCAGTAATATCCGGAATCGTAATACCTTGTGGATTAGCAACATGTAGTTTTCATTAGGACAAGAACGTACCCGTTTCCGCAATATTGGTGGCAATCACAATCTTTCTCATGCCCTCTGGAGGCACAACAAATGCCTTTTCTTGGTCTTCACTTGCAATCGAAGAGTGAAGTGCATGTACGATCCAGTCCTTTTGGAAAGCGGGCTCTGATAGAATCTCATCATTTAAGCGACGAATCTCCGCCATACCAGGCATGAATATCAGAATAGCTTTACTATAATGTTCTAGCTCCGGCGTTGAAGCGATCTTGGTCAGTAACTTCTTGATAAGCTGGTAGTCAAGACGATATTCATCAAAGTTCAGGACTGTTTCCTTGGTTTGCTTAGAATATCCTTCAAGAGTGGCCAGAGCACCGCCAGTCGTATCGCCCTCGGCATTCTCTGCTGCTATCTCCTCCGTATCCTCATCGATCACAGTGTTCGAGTCGTTCTCTGCCAGGCGATAATTTGTTAACTCAATAGCATCCTCGAGATATTTCATCTCCACAGGGAAGGTTCGTCCAGGTATATTCAAAACAGGGACACCTCCGAGATATGATGAAAATCGGTGTGCTTCGAGAGTAGCAGACATCAGAATAAGTTTGAGGTCTGGCCTTTTTTGCATCAATCTCCGAAGAACAATGAGTAAAAAGTCGCTATCGATAGAACGCTCGTGGACTTCGTCAAGAACAACGTGGGATATATCCCGGAAATCGTCTGGGCGCTCCAGCATTCGCACCACAACTCCAGTTGTCCTATACAATGTAAGTAAGAAGCCAGGACAGAGTGGGCAAGACACTTACGCAAATACCAATCTTGTGGATTGATTGAGTTTGCTTTCCAGTCTGACGGCGAACCCAATCAGAGAACGAACGGTCCCTACATCATTCTTGCTTTCCCCTAATTCCTCGCTGACTCTTCGCGCTAGAGAAATTGCTGAAATTCTGCGGGGCTCTGTCACGTAAATTTTACAAGGACGGCCCTGCTGCATTTCATGCTCCAGAATAAAGGAAGGTATTTGTGTACTCTTACCACTTCCAGTCTCACTGCAGATGATAAGCGCACGGTGTGTATCAAGCGTATGGAGTATTTCTTCTTTGAAATTCCATATGGGCAGGTTCATCCTTCCCTGAATCATGCGATTGAAAGAAGGCGTAGCTGTTTTCTCCATCCATATTCTCTTCAACTGTTCATCAAAACCAAGCTTATCTTTCGAAGTGACTTTCTGAGGGGTTTCTGGTCTGCTCGAAGCCACATTCCTTCTCCGGAAATTATCGGACAACACAACATCGTCTTCAAAGCTTCCATGGTTGTCTTGCACCAATTTTTTGATATCTTTGACTGTATTCTTGTCAATTTCATCCTCCTGGGTCTTTTTCGCGTTTGCAAATTCAGTCCAAAGCTCCCTCCAAATTGCTGGCAGGCGCAGATAAGATTTTCCTTCTTTGGAGTTCTGTGGGAAAAGAATGAAAAGGGCAAGCGTTGAGACGAAGGCTTCGGCTTGTTGCGAGGTAGGGGTTGCAAGTCCATCCATAGAGACAAAAGTAGCATAAGAATTCGATTTGTGAGTAACCAAGTCCACGGAAAAGAGGAACGGAACTTCCTGGGGTTTTGACCATCTCACTTCAACTGCCTTTCGGTTTGAATATGTTGAAGGAGAAAAATCTTTAAAAGTGATCGTACTCCCGGAATCCCTAGATATACCAACCGCATTAGCGTAAACTGGCTCAAAAAATATTACTGAAGATAATTTCATACTTGGCTTTACAGGTCTCTTCTAGCACTCGCCTAGGATTGAGACCAGTCCATTTTCCAAAATCCCGTATTTCCATGGCAGCGTTCTTCAGTTCCTCGGTGATTATACCAACCTCTAGAACTGGCTCCTCGGCCTGGAACATGTCGCCCAAGAGGTCTGCGTTATCCTCATTGGTATCTTCAGTGGACAGAACAGTACTCTCTGAAGTTTCCTTCGCCTCCTCGGGAACATCTTGGTTTGGGGTGTCTTCAGAAGGCAGTTTCTCTTCTTCCCGCTCGATACGCCGGGAAAAAGCTGCTTCTTTCCTGAGATCATCAAGCTTTTCTCTCCACAGATACTCGGCTTCTTGGCGATCGAAAAGAACGTCATTTTCGATATTAGAAATTTTTCGCTGGATTCTAATGACCTGAGAATCGTCAGGGCTACTTTCCGTATTCTCACGACCCGTTTTCTTCCCCTTCTTGGGTTTATCGAAAACTTCAGGCCGGAGACCATACAAGCGAGTCTGTAGTTCCAAGAACTTTGGAACCAGAGTATCAGGATCAATGGAGCTATCGGAATCATATGGACTCGAACTTAAAGCGCTTGGAGCTTTTGTCTTTTGCTTCTTAGTTCCGCTATTATCCTGTTTGGTATTTTCAGTGGAAGATCGTGGAGATTCACGATCTAGTGGAGGTTAGCCTGCTAACGCGAGAAATACTAAAGGCCTAGGTTTACCAGTGATCCAGGAAATGGACTTTTCGGAGTCCTTAGGTGCTTGAGCATTTGTCCGCGCATAAGACGGTAGTTCTTCAGAGCTGCAGTGCATAGCCAGCCAATCTAACGACTCGTCCAAATTCCATAGCACATCCCTATTGGCGCTGGGGGCATTGCCGGAGAAATATAGCAAAAGATGTTTCATGGCACCTTCGATCTTTGTTTCAGGGAAGCCAAGTCTAGAAAGTGTCTCCTTCAAGGTCCAGAGTCTCACGTATAACTCCTCTTCGGAGCCAGACCGTTTGACGCCATTCGAATCTCGCCCAGGCATGGGACTAAGCTCACGCTCTTCTGTATCGATGAGCTTGAGAACCCAATCCAGCACTTCGGTAGGCAACCATTCTAGAAGACTCAATGAAGGGGCCTGTTGCCGCAGCACCCGCCGCTCGGTCTCGAGTTTGGTGACCTGACGCGCTGCGTCGTTCTTGCACTTGACCCCATATTTATCAACCAAAATCTGTAGCTCCGCATCTTCCAAATGCTTTTCAAGCTCCTCGGGTGAATAATTTTGTAGAGATGAGGTTTCTTGTGTCTTCACGGGCGCTTGGCTCTCCTCCGCTGGTGTTGGCCGTTCGCTTTCCGATGTCACTTTAGAGTCAGCCGTTGATGTAGGAGCTGTTGGCTCGGGAGCCTTTGGTTTTGAGGGAACAGAAACCGTTGCAAATCCTCGAGCAGGGTTGGAGGCTGGCTTCTTCTTTTTCTTGTTGTTAGGAGGCATAGTTGTCGAACCAGTACTTCTGCCAAGGCAGGACGAATAGAAAGAATTCGAGGACTTTCGACCAGAAACTGTAGGAAATAATTAGAAGGGCTAACAGGGAAATAAAGAGCGAGTCTTGATTATTTCCCTTGTGCGAGCGAAAGTGTTGGACGACTTCCCCTCCATGGGCGCGCAGGTCGAGCCGATGATGTCGGTTGACGGTGCTGTCTCCCCACAACGTCGAAAACTTTTATGACAACATCGCGGGAAAGCCATTCAGCGGATCTCACGCCGACATGCTCCAACTCACCTAACATGGACGAATTTCCATGGGAACAGGTGAAAACAGGAGACCTGGAGAGCCTGAGTGTCGTTCTCTTTTCGAGTTCGACTTCTCGCAGAGTTCGTGCTCTCCAGGAACTCCGCGATAAAGCTGGTAAATGACCCCTCTAATCCCTCATTCCATGGAAATTGCTGACTCTTCCTGCGCCTTTCCCCAGGGGTTGAACTACCGCAAAACGCTCATCAAGATCTTATTGATATTCTCTTCAAAACTATTCCTCGCTATGTCGATCGGCCTTCCCGTGAAGCCGCTCAACAATGCCTTCGCTCTCTCCTCAAGGCACCAGCCCCGACCGACGATCTGAAATACATCATTCAGAAGCTACAGGCGGAGACATCTCGGTCTGGATTTGCACCAACATCTGCTTTCGTCCTGCTGGAATGGTGCTCCGTTTTACTACAGGATCTAAAGGATGATTCCAACACGCCATTGTCAACTGTGCTGGACCTAATCGTTGTGGATGCGAAGGCATTGGATATCTGCCTGGATTCTTTTCCCAAGCCAGGAGTGAAGATCTCCGCACTGAGGGTTACCAGACGTGCCCTGCGCGCAGCATTTTCATCGAAAACTTGGGGAGATGATGCTGTTCGCCAATCTGTGGATCGATTGACCAGCGGCTCGACTTCCGGGCAGAGGAACGCACCGTTCCTCGGTGTGATCTCCGGTGTTTGTGCACGTCTCCCAGCAAAAAAGCCTATCTTGGAGGAGCAAAAGAAATCCATCATTGCGTTCTACGTAAAGGAATTGATCGGTTCGAAAGCAGCGGTGCCAGCTCATATTGCAAATGGCCTATTTGACTTCTTCTACTCTTTTGTTTCCCATGAGGATCTGGTCTCTGAGCTCTTGCCACCCCTTGAAAAGGCCATACTAAGATCACCGGAGGTTGTTCTTGGTGGATTGTTGCCAGCCCTTTCCTCTTCGTTGCCCGAGGAAATGGATCTTTCAGAAGTTCTGTGTTCTCGTCTCACGAAACATCTCCTTTCAAGCATGAAGTCAAGCAATGCGGCTATTAGACAGGGTGCTATCCAGTCTTTCGAGTCACTTCTTTCCAGATCCAAGGCCGAGAGCTGGCTCCTGAAAATCACAAATGAGATTCTCGGCCCTCTGAAGACCCAGAAGATCACCAACCCTGAGCAACGTGCTATCTTTGCCCAAACACTCTCTGCGATCTTGCCTTCTGCCGATCTTTCGAAAGAAATCGTTCAGGGCCTGATCCCTGTTTTCTCGCGCGAATCTAATGAAGTTGCCCTAGAACAGGAGATCAAAGCGTTCTGCAAACACCTTTCATGCCTTGTTCAATCTACCGTCAAGGTTAGCGATGATGTTGTCAACACTATCGTCAAAGGGTCCTCCGATAAAAGAGTTCCTTTCCGGAAGCTTTGGCAGCTCAGTGTTGGCGAGGTGCTTTGGAATGCTGACTTCAAGGGTCAGCTAAGTCCTGAGGTAGAACCATTTGTCACCAAGTTTATGAATAAGATGAAGGACATGTTTGACGAAGTTTCATCCAATCCTTTGCCATCGGCACAAGGCGGTTCTCTATCAACGGCTTACATCTTTCTGGCATTGTCTGAACGCCTGAATTTGGACAAGACTGCCTGGGAGAACACAGTAGCTCAGTCAATGATGCTTCACCCTAAGCCATCATTTCTTGTTAACCCAAGAGCTTACTCAAAATTAGCTTCTCAGGCGGAAGTGCAATGGGCCGTCAGGGCGCTTGCCGCAGTTACATCGGGATCTAATTTTGAGACTGTGGAAGATGCAGCAAAGGTTGCTTGGGCTCAGGCTTTCATATACGCAATTACTGCCCCCGGACTTCAGACAAGTTTCCGGGAAGAATCAGCCAAAACTCTGTCTGAGGTGTATCTTAAAAAACCAGGGACCATGAGTCGCATTTTCGTCGACGCCTTGTGGGCTTGGATCCTGGCTTTCAGAACTGCAGAAAAGGAGTCCGCTCCTGTTTCTGCGGGCCCAGCAAGCGAAAAACTGCTTCACCTAGTCACAAGAGCGATTTGCCCCCTGGAATCAGTTTCGAAGATGTCTGGCAATACTACTTCTGATCTGAAGAATGAGCTTCTCGGTCTTCTTGTTCTCTGCCGACCAGAGTTGATTCCCAATGTTTCATGGATTGGTCTGTGTTTGAGAACAGGCACTGACCCAGGCAACCTTGTTCGTGAACTTCCCGGTGAATGTATGAAACAATTGACCCGGGTACAAGAGGTTCGTCACGTTCCTATGATCTCAGTTCAAAAAATGATCACTAACCTCCTTCCCTCAGGACTCCGTTCAATCCAAGGTCCCCGCAGTCAACAACGCTGTGTGGAGTGCGGCGGCAGACCTGGCGTTCGTAGCACCCGACGTTATGGTTCCTGAACTTGTCAAGCAGATTCAAGATGACATGAATGCCACAAGGTTGTCTAAATTTACGCCAACCGATGTTGCTATCTCCCGCACTCCTGAAGGGACCATGTTCGTCGATGTTCTTAGCACTAAGTCCAAGCAACCAGTATTTGATAAGAATACTAAAGACTATGATACTTTGAAGTGGGAGGAAGAGTTGCGAGCACAACTTGCCGAGAAGAATGGTCAGAAACCAAAGAAACTCACTGGCGAAGAACAGGCAAAGGTCAAGACTCAACTCGCCAAGGAGTCCACTATTCGCGCAGAAGTCTTGCAGGAGGTGAAAAGAATCGAAAGGGGCGCCGGAATCATTCAAGGCCTTGCAACTGGCCCTGCTACCGAGGCAGATGGCTGGATTAACCCGGCAATTACCTCTTTACTATCCTTGGCGCAAGTAGGTGCTGGGTTGTTTGTTGGCGATATTATCTCAAAAGCGTATGTTGTTTGCGCTGAAAAGCTGTCATCACGCCTGGGACCGCTTCGACCCTTTGTCGGAGTTGCAACGCTGCGGGCAATTGGCAGAACCAATCTACCTGCTGAAATGGAAGCAGAGCCTCTGGGAGGTAGGTCGTACGCGGCTCTATATTGGCGAAAGAACAATTATTGACGTGCTACAGAGCTCGTGACAAGAATCCTCTACCGCCTGCGTTTCGCATCCGAGCAGCGCCCTCTTGATGTTCCATCATTGGCCTATGTTCTTCCCTTGCTCTTTTCAATTCTTGACCGTAATGGAATAGAAGAAAATAAGGCTGAAGGAGAGGGAGAGCAAGTTTTGCTCGCTCTTGAAGTCCTATCTTTCCACTCGGGTTCATGTGAGTTCCATTTTACTCTTGACAAAAAAAAAAAGAAGAAGAAAAAAGATTCCACAGCCATAAGCTGACATATGCATAGTTTCCGATTCACGTCTTCCTCGTATTGAGGTTTTGGGCCAGATCATTTCGTCGATGCAGAAATACTCTCAGCACTATAAGCTCATCAAAGATATTCTGAACGATTTCTGCAGATGCATCTCGCCAAACATCAAAAAAGAGGAGCTGGATATGCTTTTGGAGGGAGCCATCGTTTCTGATGTTTCCGTTAGAACTTCAGTGTTGCAGGTTATTTCGGCTGAAATTGATCTGACAGACCTCGATTTCTCCGAGCACATCTGGCTAGGTTACCACGATCACGTGGAGGAAAACGCTGAGATTGCCGAAGCGATTTGGGAAGAAAATGCATTGGAGGTTGACGACACATGCTACGAAAAGATTATCAAATACCTCTCTTCCAAGGACTCACAGCTTCGTGGTGCAGCTGCTCGCGCGTTGGCGCATGCGATTGAGTTGAATCCCTCAGTATTTGGAGACATCCTGTCGGAGCTGCAATCGAAGTATCAAATTGAAGTCCAACCCAAGGAGCCCGAAAAGGACAAATACGGAATGCCTAAGAAGATGGACACAACAGATAACTGGGATGGTCGAAGTGGCATCGCCTTGGCTTTCAACGCCATGACAAATATCTTCGAGGGCGAACAGATCGTTTCTTTTCTCCGGTTTTTGATTGAAAGAGGACCTCTTGTCGATAGGAGTGGTACAGTCAGGGCTCAAATGGCCGACAGTGGCAGATCTGTTATTGCTGCGCGCGGTCAACAAAAGGTTGAGGAGTTAATGAAGCTCTTGGAAACCACGCTGGAGACATCTGACAAGGCAACTGAAACATCTGACCTGCTTAACGAAGCAGTGGTTGTTCTTTACGGATCTCTAGCCCGTCACCTCAAGGCGGACGATCCCCGTTTGCAGACCGTTATCAAGAAGCTTCTCGCCACCCTTCCAACCCCCTCAGAGAGTGTTCAGTCTGCAGTTTCCGGCTGCCTTCCCCCTCTCATCAGACTTTCTGCTTCCCAAAGCTCGGGCTACGTCCAAGAAATGCTGGACCAGCTTTTACAATCAAAGAAATACGCTATCCAGCGTGGCGCTGCTTACGGACTTGGTGGTATCGTCAGCGGAAAGGGTATCTCGACGTTGCGAGAATTCCGAATCATGACACATCTCAAAGCAGCCACAGAAAACAAGAGAGAGGCACACCAGAGGCAGGGAGCATTGTTAGCGTACGAGCTTTTTGCAATGATCCTTGGGCGTACTTTCGAGCCATACGTTATCCAGATAGTTCCACAGCTGCTCTCCGGTTTCGGAGACCCGAGTATCGATGTACGCGATGCCTGTCTTGATGCCGCGAAGGCTTGTTTCTCGAACCTTAGCTCTTATGGAGTCAAGCAAATTCTACCCACACTCCTTGAAGGTCTTGATGACACACAATGGCGCAGTCAGAAGGGAGCTTGCGATCTCCTCGGTGCCATGGCTTACCTCGACCCACAGCAGCTTGCGGCAAGTTTGCCTGCTATCATTCCGCCTCTTACAGTGGTTCTTAATGATACACATAAGGAAGTGCGGAATGCCGCAAATCGCAGTCTTCAGCGATTCGGTGAGGTCATCAGCAACCCAGAAGTGAAGTCCTTGGTCGGCGTACTTCTGAAGGCTCTCAGCGATCCGACGAAGCATACAGACGAAGCTTTGGATTCACTTATCAAGGTCTCCTTCGTTCACTACTTGGATGCTCCCTCTTTAGCGCTTGTTGTTCGTATCCTCGAGCGTGGTCTTGTTGATAGATCGGCAACCAAACGAAAGTCTTCCCAGATCATTGGCAGCTTGGCTCATCTTACCGAGCGCAAAGATCTCATTTCTCACTTGCCCATCATCGTTTCTGGTTTGCAACTAGCCATTGTCGACCCCGTGCCCACGACTCGTGCTACCGCGTCCAAGGCTCTCGGTTCGCTTGTTGAGAAGCTTGGAGAAGATGCCCTTCCCGACCTTATTCCCAACCTTATGTCTACACTCAAGTCTGACACTGGGGCTGGTGACAGATTTGGGTCTGCCCAGGCTCTTTCGGAAGTCCTTGCAGGCTTGGGTACGACCAGGCTCGAGGAAACTCTGCCAACTATTTTGCAGAATGTGTCCAGCTCGAAACCTGCTGTTCGTGAAGGCTTCATGACTCTCTTCATCTTCCTTCCCGCGTGCTTCGGTAACAGCTTCGCAACATACCTTAACAAGATCATTCCGCCAATTCTTGCTGGATTGGCAGATGACATTGAATCGATCCGCGAAACCTCTCTCCGTGCTGGTCGTCTGCTGGTCAAGAACTTCTCTTCGAAGGCTATCGATCTCCTTCTGCCAGAACTTGAGCGTGGTCTTGCGGATGACAGTTACCGTATCCGACTCAGCTCCGTTGAGCTGGTTGGTGATCTTCTCTTCAGCATCACAGGCATCACAGCCAAGGCTGATGGTGAAGAGGAAGAGGAGGAAGCGGCACAGGCCGGTCAATCCTTGCTCGAAGTCCTTGGAGAAGAGAGAAGAGACAAGGTCTTATCTGCTTTGTTCATCTGTCGCTGCGATACTTCGGGTCTTGTCAAGAGCGCAGCTATGGCTGTGTGGAAATCGCTTGTGGCCTCTCCTAAGACCCTCAAGGATATGGTGCCTATTCTATCCCAGCTCATCATCCGACGTCTTGGGTCTTCCAATATGGAGCACAAGGTCATTGCTAGTAACGCGCTTGGTGACCTTATCAAGAAGGCCGGTGAATCGGTTCTCTCGACTCTGCTGCCTTCTCTCGAAGACGGTCTCCGAACCTCTCCGGATGTGGATGTCAAGCAAGGTATTTGCATTGCTCTACGAGAGCTCATTACCTCTGCGTCCACGGATGCCCTTGAGGATTACGAGAAGGTTCTCATCTCCACTGTCCGGGTTGCCTTGGTTGACAACGATGAGGATGTGCGTGAGGCTGCCGCAGAGGCATTTGACGCACTGCAACAAATCCTAGGCAAGAGGGCTGTCGACCAGGTTCTGCCCTACCTCCTACACCTTCTTAGGAATGATGAGGATGCCGAGCAAGCCTTGTCAGCACTGTTGACACTCCTGACCGAACAAACTCGTGCCAATATCATTCTTCCTAACCTTATCCCAACGCTACTTACATCTCCTATTTCTGCATTCAACGCCAGGGCACTTGCCTCTCTGGCGGAAGTGGCAGGATCAGCCATGTCACGCAAGCTACCACAAATCCTGAACACTCTGATGGACAACATTATCTCGACGACAGACGACGAACACCGTCTCGAATTGAGCAATGCCTTTGACACTGTCTTGGTATCTGTTGATGAATTCGACGGTCTCAATGTCGTGATGAATGTGATGTTGACTCTCATGAAGCATGATGACCATAGACGCCGTGCCAACACGGCCATGCATTTGTCCAAATTCTTTACTGACGCTGAAATCGACTTCTCTCGTTACCATCAAGATCTGATTCGTGTGCTGCTTATCTCGTTCGATGATAGTGACAAGGATGTCGTCAAGTCTGCTTGGACTGCATTGAGCAAGCTCATGTCTTCCATGCGTAAGGAGGAGATGGAAGTGTTGGTTATTCCCTCTCGTCAAGCGTTGCGGCAAGTCGGAGTGCCTGGAGCGAACCTTCCAGGTTTCAGCTTGCCAAAGGGTATCACTGCTATCTTGCCGATCTTTTTGCAAGGTCTTCTCAACGGCACTGTGGATCAGCGTACACAAGCTGCTCTTGCAATTGGTGACATCATTGACCGTACTGGCGCCGATTCTTTGAAGCTGTTCGTCACTCAGATTACTGGTCCATTGATCAGAGTTGTTTCGGAGCGGTCTGTGGATATCAAATGTAAGCCATGTCATTCTGTTATATGCTTTTTGTCTTTTTTTTTTTTTTTTTCCCTCCGGTCATGAGGCTAACAGAATCGATCAGGTGCCATCTTCCTCACGCTCAATAAACTTCTGGAGAAGATTCCGCTCGCTGTCAAGCCTTTCCTGCCTCAGCTTCAGCGCACATTTGCGCGAGGCTTGGCAGATACATCCAGTGAGACTCTTCGTAACAGAGCTGCTAAGGGTCTTGGAATCTTGATCACCTTGACTCCAAGGGTTGATCCCCTCATTGCAGGTAAGTCAAGACAATTGGAATACAAAGACATACAGTACTAATCGTTATAATAGAGCTTATTGCTGGATCGAAGACAGCCGATATCGGCGTGAAGAATGCTATGATGAAGGCCCTTCAAGAAGTGGTTGGTAAGGCCGGTGGTAACATGAGCGAGGCCTCAAAGAACGCCATCCTCGGTCTCATCGACGACGATGCTAGTGACCAGACCGGTTAGTTCATACTAAGTCCTTCATTAAATTTTTCTCTTTCTAATTTCACAAATAGATACTGTGGCTATTACCAATGCCAAATTGCTCGGTGCGCTTGTGAAGGTTCTTCCTGCAGCGACTGCAGGCCCGCTTATCAAGTATGCCCTCTCTACCTTGAATTTCTTGAAATAAAACTAACGGAACTTAAGAAACCGCGCTCTCACAACGCATTTCACGCACGCATCAATCCTTGGGCTCAACTCCTTGCTTGTCGAGTCACCATCTTCTTTGACTGAACATTTCGAGGCTGAAACGCACTCCATCATATGCCAGGGTATTTCTAACAAGGATGTAAGTTTCTGATTACTTTTTCAGTCTACAGTTTGACGCTAATTCAGAGGTAGCCCTTTATTGCCGACAACAGCGTCCTCGCGGCAGGAAAGTATCTTCTGACGGAAAATGAAGGCCGTGGCTTTGAGGCCAGCAAGGCTATATTTGAGGCCTTATCGGCTTGTATTTCACCAGGCACGCCATCTGACACCCGTCGCTTGGCTTTGGTGGTCGTGCGAACTGTCAGCCGCCTTCATCCCGAAATGACTCGTCCCCATCTTGCTTTGCTTGCACCACCAATCTTCGCCAGCGTTCGTGACATGGTGATCCCTGTTAAGTTGGCAGCAGAAGCAGCTTTCTTGGGAATATTCTCCGTAGTTGAGTCTGAGGGTGCCGTTTTCGAGAAGTATATGGCTGGACCTGGTGCGGAGCTTCCACCTGGACCGAAGCGGAGCATGTCCGATTACTTCAAGCGTGTTGCGATCCGTCTTGCCAACCAGGCCAGAGAACGAAGGGAAGCCGAAGGTGGACAAGGAGGATTGGGTCTATCCAATGACGAGGTTGATGATGAGAAGGAATTGTGGAGTATTGGAAAGGTCGATCTTGGAGAAGGTTCATTCGAGGAGTGATTATTGTTCTGCATGAGCTAGATCTATACTACCTCTTTTCCACTTGTGTATATCTTTTCTATACAAAAAGTCCGTTTTCATGATATGTTGAATTAATTTCACGTTCCTTTTGTTTACATCACCAATGAACATATGACATTCTTAGATGTTTCTATGTCATTATCCCCAGGCGATCATGACGATGACGCGATGCCCTAGACCTATGGAGATCATGTGACATTGGAAGTAAGCGAAAGCATCAAACAGCTAATACAGAGTACGATCAAGAGAGCCAGCAAAAGACGCAAGGAAGATGAAGAAATATAATGTATTTGTTTATGATTTCCAGTTCAGTACTTGCAATTACTTTTCCCGAGAAATGGAATAATTGCCAATTAAATACTCTTTAACTATGGTCTTCTTGAGGCTCTTGACATCTTCCCCGGTCGGGACAAGCGTCTGGGGCACAAACCCTAGGGTGGACCCTCTCGCTTAGCAGCACAGTCGCTTAGCTAATCATCCGCCGTATCTCAAACTCCTCACCTGGGAATTCTACCCGTCGACGAGTGCAACGAACATCATCCGCCAACGACCGTCGACACGCCGACATCAAGATGTGAGTTTCATCTCCAGAATCCGAAATTGTTCATTGAGGGGGAAATACTGCTCTTGGAGCTTTTTTCTTCCCATGATCATGCCCCTCCGAACGACCTGTGGCACCATTTTTTCTCCAGGTCTCCCGATTTTGGCCTCATGCTGACCGAGTGTTTTTGCTCAACAGGGTCAACCTTCGCACCCAGAAGCGCCTCGCCGCGTCCGTGGTGGGCTGCGGCAAGCGCAAGATTTGGCTCGACCCCAATGAGATGAGCGAAATCTCCAACGCCAACTCCCGTCAGACCGTCCGCAAGCTCGTCAGCGATGGCCTCATCATCCGCAAGCCCGTCACCATGCACTCCCGCTCTCGTGCCCGTGAGCTCAACGCAGCCCGCAGAATCGGTAGACACAGAGGTCTGGGTAAGCGCAAGGGTACCAAGGACGCTCGTATGCCCAGGTATGGACACGCCTAATCGACACCTTTTCGCTCGTCATTCTACTCCCATCCACGGGTGGCTCGGGATATGCTACTGTGAGGGAACCGTTTTGCTGATGGATTGTCTTTAGCGAGCTCCTCTGGATGCGCCGCATGCGTGTCCTCCGTCGCCTCCTTGTCCGCTACCGTGCCTCTGGCAAGATCGACAAGCACCTCTACCACGAGCTCTACCACCTGAGCAAGGGTAACACCTTCAAGCACAAGCGTGCTCTCGTTGAACACGTAAGTTCTTGGTCACCAATATCTCGGATGTCATCGAAAACATTGCCCCACTGAGGGGCATTGCGGCAACAATATATAATCATCGTGATGGAACTTGCGAGCTGACTTGATATCTTTCCCCGAAACAGATCCAGAAGGCCAAGGCTGAGAGAGCCCGTGAACGTGTTCTCAAGGAGGAGATGGACGCCAAGCGTGCTAAGAACAAGGCCCTCCGTGAGCGGAGACAGGAGCGTGTTGAGGCTAAGCGCAACGCTCTGGCCGCTGGCGAGCAGGAGTAAAAATCCTTTGATGTTTTTTGGCGGTGCGGAGGTTGAACTCGGGAGGAATCAATCAGCCAGAGGGTAACAGGTCGGCCATATTGTTTTTCTCTCCCGGTCTGCCTCGATGGCTTGAATTTCGTCCGGGACGGCTTTTATATCGGGAACCTGGCAATCCGGGGAGGGTCGGAAACAGCAAAAAATGCGTTTCTTTTTCTTTTCATGACCGACAGAAAAAGAACATCAAAAAATTAAAACAAGTCAAATGGCATGGCGCTCTGTGTGATATGAAACTTTGATTTATTGCATTTCTCCTGCTTCCATCCAACCATCCCAACCAAGTCCCGGATGTTTTTCCTTTCAACCTTCCTTGGTCCATCTCAGGCTGTTTTCTACTTAATGTCGTAACGTCTTACTACTGAATATCACACTAGGATCATCTCGGTTTGTAATGTGATTGTTCAGTCGACTTATGAGTCTTATACGGAGTATGCTTTACGGTATCACTACCTAGTAATCAACGGTTTTAAGGAACGTTCATCTCCAACCTAAGTGGGGTGTAGTCTTAGAATTGTAGCCTGGAATCTGCAAGTCTTTTATCGCGCGGGGGGATGCACCAAGATATAATGTAAATTCCTCAACAAAAATAGCTCTATATAATAATCCAGGGGCCTTTTATTACCATGTTCCATTCATCAATTATTGGATTTCATTTTTTTTTATATGGTTGTGTTTTATTTTCTGTGGGTTGATGTGATTCCCCTTGCATCATAGTGGAAATATATTTTGAGTGGATGACAACATATCGATCACGAGTATATCTACACTTACATGCAGTTCTTGTGAAATCTGCAGACGAACCACAGTATCACGAATTAGATATTACCGCAACGGTATACATTTCAAGCAACTTGTATTTTCATACTCCTATTCAAGATCTCTAGCCTACTAACTTTGCTATATCGTTCACCTTGTGGGTGTCCTTGTTATAGGTCAACATGTTGCGAAGATTTTTAATCTATATAGAGGACTGGTAAATCTTCTAGAAAGTCTCAGGTATCTGAGAGGAGATATTACATTTGAAGATTTCTAACCAAATACCATTATAAATTCTTTTGCATAAAATACTAGACAATAATAATCCCTACAATTATTATACCAAACCAGTTGGTCTATAAAAGCAGAGTTCCACCCATAAAGCCCCAACATATAGGTACGCGTAACCACGCATGAAATCCTCATGGCTCATATCTCGTATTGCATATCATTTATGACCACAAACAGGTAGTTCCACCTTGAAGTTACAGTCAAACAAGACAGCGGTTGTTGCCTGGTAGCTATACCCGGTCCTCTCTGATTGGAAAATAAGTGTCTCTCTGCATTGCGCTCTGAGGAAGTTCCAAATCAAATGGATCACTTCGTGTGCTAACCCGCGCAAACGAGTCGCGCTGTCTAGCTGACCTCGGTTCCGAGATTGAAAGTTGATAGCGAGCCCCTTGAAGGCTCCCTAAGCTGCTTCTTCCGGGGAGAATAATGGTGCTACCATAGCTCTGGTCACTGCTGCACAGAGACGCCTGATCTGAACTGAATTGCAGACCAGAGATTGTTGTCACCATCTTTTGGATTGGCTGAAGCCTTGGTTCAGATAGAGAAGCCTGCCTCATGGATGGTGGCCCCCTGTTGGGCTCTGGATCGGCGAACGGATCTTGAACTGTACCAAACATGCCATGAGGACCGAATTTTTCATGTTGTATCTCTTGCATGTCGGAGAAGGGATTTTCGACTCGAGCTGACCTGGGTGGCGCCGGCGCCCCGGAGAAATTACGCATATGCGAATGCATAGATGAACGAGTAGAGTGGGAAGAGGTATCCGACTGGCAGCGCCCATGTGTCATAGCTGAAGAAGCCGCAGAACCTCGACCATTCAGTAGCAGTGTCTCACTGCCACCTAAGTTTGCGGTGCTGCGAGATTTTCGCCGCCTGTGACGATACACAAGGAAGCATGCCAAAAGTATGAGTGCGAAAAAAGCCAGCGCACCCAGAACGCTGCCGAGAACAGTGCGAAGAGTATTATTCGAGTTACTATACCCTAGTCCATCTGACGGAGTTTTCGATGGATTGGCTCCGGCAACATGTCCTGTTGCCGTTGGCGAATTGGTAGAAAAGACCCTGTGTGTTCCTAAACTCGACGACACTGACTTCGACTCTGTTGTAATTGAAATGAGCAGCGGGGAAGGGTGTTCAATGCTACCGGAAGACACCAGAATGCTAGAGCTGGACGAGTTCCGTGATTCTGATGGAGAATAAGGCTCATGAATTGATGTGGCTGTAGGTGTGGTTGTGAATGTAGTAGACGAAGTAGTCAGAGGCGGTGCTGACGTTGTACTGATTGTATTTTGTTGGGTCAGAGATGATGTTGTTGATGTATTTAAAGGCCTTTCTAATGTCGAAGAACTCGTGGATAACGAAGTCTCAATAAATGAAGTCGGATCAGAGGTTGACACAGGTGTTTGTAATGTGATATTCGACGCCGAGGAAGCTGTGATGGGAATTGGCTCAACGGGAAGAGCTGAAGAGCCGGAGGATGAACGTGTCGTCGCTGCCACGGGTGATATTCGAGGGACTTTGGTGCATTTCAAGCCCTTGAAGAAGATGATAGATGGATCTGACATCTCGCCAAGCCCGCAGGCTGTATGACGGCTGCAATGACAGTACTAGAATAGGAAACCGAGACGACACTCGAGTCTATTGCATCGAGGGCAAGTATATGGGAAATATGGATAGATATTGCAGGGTCGAAGGTGCCGCTGATGGGCAGGGATGAGAATGGACTATGAACCAAGGGAATAAACCAGTGTGGACGATCGAAGAGTTTGACAGCATTCTAGACCCTCATTTTTTCGTTTCTCTAGGTCAAATAATGGTGAGAAGAGACAGAGCACAACCGAACTGATCCATGACAATAGTCGTCAGAGGCGTTGGCCCGAGTTGAATTCTTCTGTTTCAGGATTGGAGTGGTGTGAGGCAGATGGAGCATATAGGAAACCCATGTGGATTGATTGTATCACATCTGACAAAGAAGAAAACAGGTTTGAATTATCATTATCGACAGTCATGAGAATAAATAAAAAATGATTCATCGAAAGAGAGAAAAAGAGAGAAAAGAAAAAAGTGCTCAGGCTGACCCCGAGTGATTAGGATCATTCGAGTTGTCGTCTCAGGCGCTTCTCCTAAGTGCGGAGAACTATCACCATAATATTATCATGATTGTAGGGGCTGTTTCCCCTCTGGTATCTGAAGACTTGAGCACGCACCAAGCCGAAGATGAAACAAATGCCATTGAGACTATCCAATCCCTTTTCCGAAATGGATGTGATGGCCTGGTATGTAGTACTTTGGGACACACCAGTCAGGACAGCCCCTGCCAGAAGCCCCCAGGTGTGATCGACCGTCAGAGGGGGAAGCGACAGAGAACGGGCGCATATTGGCTATGTGGGCGCCCAGAAACATAAACTTCACATGGCGGTTAGTACTTCTGTATAGCAATGAACCATGATTCTCGTTTCGACCAATCTTTGGGGAGATGGCGGTTTCAGACAGATAGCAAAGCAGCAGTCGAGAGTTGGTTGAAGCGCCAGATGAGGAGGCATTGCCGTATGGGGAAAGGCGTGGTATAGTGTCATGTGATATCATGTGATGGTATTCCGCTGACTCAGGTGTGTTCGGTCCGACTGTCTCCATTGGGTGTCACGTGCATCGACAATCATGACAAGCGCATTAATCACAGCAATAATACAGCCTCAAAAATGCAGAAATAAGCGAGTGGTGAGTGCAGCGTCTCCGAGCTTGGATCAGTATTTGGAATAGGGTTCAGCGGTAGGGTTTGTCTATTTAATTCTAATGGGTAGAGCGATCGCCTCATTATTAGCTGGAGTGGCAGATACCCCACCTCTGACTAGTCAAGAATGCTCTTACAACGATGTGTACATGACTACGGTACAGAGTATTTTGACAGGCTGGGTTTTATCAATACATCCTGGTGATTTGCATTTACTGTGCCTTTCAAAACAAAACAATACATCAGAATATGTTCTTGCATTGTCCAGTAGCACTTCATAGTAAATACGCACGGCCCGATGCGAGTCCCGCTGGAACCCAAAAAGTCCCCTAAAAGAAAACGTTTGACTCCATCAGAAGAACAACAACAACTGCAAATGATCGGAATCAGGTCATCGTCAAAGTACTGTCAACATACCATTTTTGCTGCTTTGCTCTTCGGTTTCTGTCTCTCTTCCTTTTTTTTCAACACTCAACATCTCGCATATTAGTGTATTTCCTTGGCTGGCTCAGGAAATCTTCTCCGACTCTTCGCATCCCGTCTTAACGTTTACCCCTCAGCCACTCCAAGCTCAGAGCACAAGCACATGATCACCTGCTCCCCATCTCTTTACTTACCTGCCTTCATCTTGAGCAATTTACTGTGATCAAGAGTTTTGTCTATTGAAGACATCGGATCATGTTTGGCGCTTGGGCTGCTACGCTGAGTAAGGACTCCCCTCTTCCAATCCACCTGCTACCCGCCCGTGTCAGCCATGGGCTATGTTGTCATTTTATTCCATGATTTTCAATTTACCCTCGCTTGTAATGACCATGATTCATTACTGAAAAGCATGAGATGAATGATAATATCTACCCTATGGCCTTTGCAGATTAGGCGCGGAGACCTCCGGGGGTTTGCTCTACGTTCCTAAACCATATCCCCTCATGCTTTTTTGCTAGGCGAACTTTCCAGACTGGAACTCTTAGAGCTACTTCGCAACTGGTCTGGTGGTTTTCGCTGAAAATCCTCGCTGTTCTTGGTGATGCTTGCTCCCAGGTTAGCCTGCGACCTCGCGCTTCATAAAATCACCGGATAAAGATATTGAAACAAGCAACTGATAATTATAGGCGCGCCTTCGGTGGGCACCGAGCCCGACAAGGAACGTCAGCCCCCATCTGCTGCGACGCCGCTTGATTTCCCTGTATACAACCTCTTGGATGCCACCGAAAATGAAGCCGAATGCACCTTGGATGACCTATATCACGATCTAGCCTCGATCAAAAGGCCCCAGGATATCTCCGCAGAAAGATTCAGGTCTCTTAATCTCAAAGTGGAATCGGATATTCCTGCTTCGCATATCGTTCCAGAGGCCTGCCAGGGTTCATCTCCGCCGTTGCCGTGGGAAAATGCTCCTCCCAGGGATCCTGCAGATGAGCCGATTCTGATGGAAAACCAAAACCCATATCCATCAAATGAGAGGTTTGAGGTTGTGAAAAATGAACTGTTGTTGGACAATGATGATGCGTTTCGAGAGGTTGGGAGGTTGGCCCCTCGCGAGGGTCGTCAACGGGTTCGAGTGACCCAAACGAGAAAATTCTGGACAGGACTGGAACGAATGGCGCAGTATTGGGACACTAGCCTGGATAATTACTACGAACGCCCTGCCACACCACGACAAACGCCAGATGAGGAAACGGGGGACAAGATGCAGGTAGATGACCAAATCCAGGCTTCCAAAGGAGCTGAGAAATCAGACACGTCCATGGAGGTTGACAATCCTCCAGCCACACAAGCCGCTGGTGACAAACCTCAGCCCGAGGAAGAATCAGGACGGCCATCAGTTGCTGTGTATACTGGACGCCGTCACGGCACCGGTAGCGAAATGCCAGAGGATGCCCGTGACGAAACTATCCGGGCATTTGCCGAAATGGCTGCCTGGCCTTTTGGGTGCCAGGTCACAGTTCCAATGATTCCCCCGAGACTGACCGTCAAGTCCATGCTGTTCCCCGTTCGACATTCCTTTTTCTCCGCTCGATCCCCCAAGGACCGACAGCTGGCTCGAAGTGGCATCATGGAAGGACCTATTTTAGTTGCACAATGTCGGACTGAGACATCATTCCGCGGACCAGAGGAAGCCCCTGGCTCAGGGATAGGAGAGATTAGCGATATCTACCGTGAAGTTGGCGGTATGCTTCTGGCAGCACAAGAACGAGCACGAGAGGGCTCGACTGAAGTCAGACCGGGTGAGGGCCAGTGGTGGACGACGACACCTCGATGGGGTGGTGCACCAAACGATGGAATGGAGGAAGAGACCAGCAATGAGGAGGACAAACCTACGGCGGAGACTATGAAGGCGCGCAAACGCTCCAAATTCGACCATCCCTTTACGGCATCGCGTCGACCGGGGGCTCCTCGGAAACTGACAAACAATGAAAAGTGGAAGCTTGTCCAACCCGGACCCAGTCTGTGGGATAGGAGAATGCGATATATTCAGCTTGGGAAGAACCGGGAGAGTGCATTTGACGATGTAAGCTACCTGCAAGACCAGGAAAGAGGAATGACTAACATGGAATTAGATATATATGCTGTCATCTATCAACCACCACCTTGCGATTCTGCATTTACGAGTCCACCGTCGATATCTTGATATAGTTACTACAGGGAGTAGCGACTTCCCGGCAGTGTCCGACGTACCAGACCAGCCATGGCATGTATTGAAGTTGCGCCGGACACGATGGTATAATCTGTTTGATGTGAAAGACCGTATTGAAGCATTCGAAGGTGTCTGGGGAATATTCCATCACTCCGTGCGAAAGCCTTGAACGTGATATTATTCGATAGTTACACGTATATACCTAATCCTTGGATATATTAAGATAATCACCTTGATTGGATGGATAGAATAGCAGGTAACCATTAACCAAGAACAATACCATTCATTATCACATGCCGAGGGAGCAAAAATAAAAAGAAAAGAAAACAAATTTTTACTTTCACGGTAGGATTATATTACGACCCCCTCTGAAGGATTCATAATTTCAAATAACACCGTGGCCGAGCCTCCACACCCAGTCACCCACAACTGGATGATACGCCAACAGCCAATATGACATGTACGCATGGTCCAAGTCCAAGTACATGCATAGATAGCTGGATTGCACCATTGCATACATACGAGTCGGGACCAGATTCTGGGTGGAGGGGGTGTGCCGCCAATACCAGACTATCGGAAGAGGCATGCGATGTCGCGACGGGAACGGTAAGCTAGATGGAAGAGATCCGGGATAATTGATTGGTGCATCTGAGTGTGATACGATTAGATTTTAGATAGAAGGCTGCCTGACTAGTAGATGGAGGGGTGGAAAGAGAGGGAGAGAGAGAAAGAGGAAAAGGGAAGAAGGCAAATGAATGATTTCAAATAGATGAGTCGATTATTGATGCGGGGGTTTTGGGTTTTATATACATAGAGACAAAAGATATATAGAATAACAATAATAGATGGATATATAAAGATGAATTATGTATAAATACGGAAGATATATAAAAGACTCACCCAACCAAGGGCGCGAGAGTGCCCCGATCTGTACGACAGAATAGCCATGAATGGGTGTATAACGCGAGGGACAAAGCTTGAGGGGAGATGGGGATGATGGGTGAGATTCTATGAACCAGAACGAGATGCATGCGACATGGATAAATCCTGTTTGGATTTGAGTTGTGAAATATCACTTGCTGTGTAATGAGAGGTGAAATTGCAAAATCGTCAATACATACAGTACTTTTACTTGATGCTATACGGAGGACAATTGCTTCTTTTTCCTCGCCCCCGGATGCGGTGCGGGCCGTTTACCCAACGCCATGGACGAGTTATAGAACTATACGGAGTGACTATAGAAAGAAGAAACCATGGAGTAGGAGGAAGGGGGGGCCACAGCTGACTCGATAGTCAATATTCATATGTATGTATGTTGTGAATACGTCAGCCTCATCAGAACTGAGGCAGCCAGTCACAGCAGGGGGAAAAGTGAAGCTCTGATCGGCAGATGGCAGCCGATGCTGGAGACGCACCGATATAGAAAGTATCTGGATTGGATAGCCATGGAGTCGGAGAATGTATCCGAATTATTTCAAGGAGAGGTTTTTTTTTTTAATTTTTTTATTAATTTTTTTTTTTACTTTAGGGGGATCGTATGTCGATGATCAGGGGAAGTACTTTTGATATCATGGTTTTATCCAGGATTTCATCGTTTATCAAGACAACGGCATTGATTAACGAAGCATTGTCTCCATACAAAGACCAAGTAGGTACTGCAACGAGCGTTTCATCAGTGCGCAAAACAGCATAACTGGACAAAAGCATAAACCTCATCTTGGCCATGACAGGTCTCGCAACGCTTTGTCCACATAATGCTGATCACTTTTGCTGTCCGTTCATCTCGCAGCCATTATTGGATGGCTGGTTTGGACGGTTGCATTCAACCCTGTCACAGTTGCCAAATCTTGCCTGCTGCAGTCATAGCTGTCAATGCCATTCTGTTCTGTATAATCAATTCGCTGGTGAATTCATATCAAAGACAAGCTAAAGTAGTTGGAATAACGTAGGCAATAAGGCGTACGTATGGCATATGTATACAATCCGGTGGACCGCTGTAAATCATCCCGATTGCATGACAGTTGCCCATCCACAACAATCAACCCATCCCATCTAGGCATATCCTCCGTGGAGTCATTTATTATCATCATCGTTTATTGTATTTTCTTCTCCTGCACAACATCCCTGCCAAATCCCTACTAAATCCCTCGCGGAGATACTCGGTGCGACCACGATGGGTTGTGTGTGCGGAAATAAAAAAAGAAAAAGAAAAAGGGAGGTTCCAGACCGGTGGAAATGTGATAGATCAGCAAGTTCCAGAAAAAGAAAAGATGATTGCCGAGGCCCCCAAACCTGATCTTGGAATGATGATTTATGATGAAGTGTTACTCTGTTACTCCATACGGAAGAAACAGAAATGTCGACAGTTTTGGACCCCGCGCTGTCATGTCGATGCGACCCATTTCCCAACCTCCCCGAAAGCATGTTTAAGCCTCCCGGTCCCATTAACCAGGCCCGTGGGATGAATGCATGGACGGATTGACAATAAATGAAGCTGTTAGTTTTGAATAGTAGTACTTCTGTATGGAACATCCTCCATGGTCTAGACTGATGGTGTTGTCTTACGCTATCTCTGCACACAAGTATAAAGTACGCCTGCAATTGTCGATAGATCAGTTGCCTCCTGACTAGTCTGATATCAAAGTAAACCCCTGACTGCATCTGTCTCTGGCTTACTTGATTCCACACTTCTCCAGTTCTTCATGCCAGTCTCACATGCACGATCGATCTAATATGCGGTTACCTTCTATGGCTCTGTAGAATCAGACCACGATCGTATCGATTTCAAGACAGACCGATTCCATCGGAGTAAGGAGTCTAATGTATTGAATATGGCTTCAAATGATACTGTAGAAGATATGCTGATATCAAAAGACAGTTAGCACATGGACCACTCCACGGTCCAAGCACGTACTCGAGCCATGTTCATCAGATATCATTATCAACTAGTCAATGCCTTATGGACAACGGTGCGTATAGAATACGTTGCCTTATGAGAGAACTTAGAAACATACTGTTCTGTATAGTATCCTGTACCTATACTGCACTTGTATTCAGTGTCACGCGTCGATCAAAACTACCACATAGAGTATGCAACTCCGTGTCCATTTCTGCAATGCTATTTGCCATTCCCCAGGATGATCTGGTTTCATAGTGGTCGATTAAGTATCACCAGTTTGATGGCGTCTGCATTGTCTGCGAATCAGCCTTAATCAACTTCAGTACGGTGTCCTCCGACGTAATTAACCATGTACTGGCTACTGTCTATAGTTCAATAATATACTCTGTGTCGTTGTATTCAGCTCAATATCCACTCATCCGCTGATGATCTCCCAACCTCCTTTATCACGATCCCCCGTCAACGCGTCCGGAGTCGGAGAAAGCGGGCTGCCCCGCTGTCATTGGAGAATTGGAATATTCGCCTCACTTTGACATTCAGCTTTAGTTTTTGGATTCAGGAGGTGTTAACCTATGAGTTATGGAGTACTCTGTATGGAGTAATAGTGTACGACTGTACGTAGGATGGTTACTGGTTGTATTCGTATTACTCATTGTACTGTAGTATGGTAGCCTTATGGCTACCAGGTATGCAACCCTGTGTTGCGGTGTATAGTTGGCGGTTATTATACATATGGAACAAGGATTAATCGGCTAATAATATCGTCAAGGATGGATATTACTGATGGCGTGAAGATACGGTGTACTCCATGGGATCAGATAGCCTGTACACCGCATGATGTACATACATGGGAATATTGGCTCGTGACGATTTTGCCTTGAGCCAGCATGGAGAAATATGCAGTTTCCTACCTACTGGTTGCCCTGTAAGACAGCCTTGATTTCCTTTGAATGCTACCTTTACCATGGCATCCATGAGCATTTCGAGTGACACGACCAGGGACATACTGGCATATCCCCTCATGGATGGAACATGTGATCTGTGCAGGGCTATCCATCCCTTGCAGTGTGTGTGTGTCTGTGTACATGTACACCCTCAGCTTACCAGCATACAGACATAGACAGACCTGTATCGGTAGACCCGACCTTGCAGGTGATTCAGGGGCCTAAGCGAGTCAATCCAATCCACTGGCTGAGAGATATGCATTCTCCATGACACAACATGTTGACTCCGGATTTTTCAGATGAGTCTTCGGGTGTGTGTGTGTGTGTGTGTGTGTGTGTGTGTGTGTGTGTAAGATCCAGCGAACATTTCACCACACCAAGTTACCTTAAGTCTCCATGATTTGATTTGAATTTTATGCCGCCACCCGACGGATGATTCCAGGAGACGGGATCATGGTAACCGTGGATCGACACGGGAGAAGAATTCGAGCATGATTTTCGGGGTTTTCTGGAGAGGAAGTGAGGACGTCAGAAGTGAGGGAACGGAGAAGACGGGGTGGAACTGAAAAAAAACATGTGGATTGTGGATAGTTAGAGAAAAAAGAGGAATCCTAATCCTACATCATAGAAAACAACCCCTCTGGATTTCTGGAGGTCAGGCGGCTGGTGGTTGGCAATCCATCTGAGCAGATTAAGTAGTCGGAATAGTTGATCCATCACGACCTGCCGACCATCCACTTTTGCCCCTCCTTTTCTCCGAAACCAAAGCATCTTGACTACCTAACACTCTATCCATCGTAGTCGGCTTAGTTAGTCTGGCGTAGTGTTGCTACTAATCACGCCCAATTTTGAGAGGAGGTGAGGTGGTTGGTTATTATGTGTAGACTCCACTCCCGTTGGCGGCCAGCTGTCTGCTTGCTTTTTTTTTTATTTTACTTTTGCCCTCTCTCTTGCGAAGATCATCCAGAGTCAAAAAATCAATTCGCCTCTCAGGACAAGAAAGAAGACCGAAAAGATGTGAGCTGAAGAAAGTGATTTTAGATTGTTTGTTTGTGGATGAGGCTCAAACACCCCGATCTTCCCCTCCTGTACCACGTTGGAAAAGGCTGCTGAGTGCGGACTGCGAGGGGTGGCGACCGTACGGTGTATGTATGGTATGGCACATGGATGGTGTTTTCCGATGGTAATCCGAATACAATACTCATCCTCAATACTCCATAGCATGTCTAGGTAACGTACTTCTCTGTAGTCTGTATGTACATTAAGGAAGAATATCTGGATAGTAAATATATTCTGATTATCTATGGGACGTATCTGTACCTGACCCAGACTATTCAGTGGTAACCATGGAACACGATGTTTTCATCCCCTGGACAGAATATGTATGTGACACCGTCATCAAGTCCCAAAGTCAAACATCATGATTATTTCATCCCCAGACGGGCTGCGTCAGGTGGATGTGGCTTGTCCACTTCTTCTTCAGACACTATTCCAGCGATCTGCCCGACTATTACATCTGTCTGTCCACTGTCCATTCACCGTCTCCTCTCTGACTTGGATGATTTTCGACTGTCTGTATCCACATTACTTCATCTACAGACATTATTCTCATCGACAGACAGAGAGACCCCTTGCTACAGAATACAGATCAGTTTGCAGTCAAACAAAGGGAATGGGATAAACTCAAATCGCGTCTTGGATAGGAATCAAAATAATCACTATCATAATAATAATAACAACAACAACAACAATAACAGATGTACACAAGCTGTAAACTTCCGTGCTGCTGCCCAGTCCAGTTCCAACGGAATTTTGCCTTTTCTTTTTTCTTTTTTTCTTTTCTCCCCCCCCCTTTCCTTTTTCGCCTTCTTCAAACAACCGTTTCGACATCATATTTGACAGGCAGTTTGTCTCCGTCCCGTAGTTCTTTTCTGGATCCTTCTTTTATTGGATTTGATCGGATCATCCTCTTGTCCTTCATCTCCATCTCCATACTACTCATATCCCATCCATATCCATATTTCAGTCCCTCTGCCCTCAATACGAGAATAGAAACGCCCAAAGAACCAGAGTACCGAGAGACTCCGGATTTTGGGCACCGATCGCAAGTTCCCTGGGAAGTCTCAGTCCGTCAGACTATCGCAAAGCCAGCCTCCGAGACAGAAAGATAATCAAACTGATCAGGCTATCTCCATCCAAGGGCACGGTAACTTGTCCCACTCTATCTTCTGTCTGATCCCTTTACCAGCCCAGAGATATTATCCATCTAGTACTGGACTATCGATAGGGATAGCTTAAAGCTTCTCTTCTCTTCTCTTTTTTCGTTCTCCTCTCTCTCTCTCTCTCTCTTATCTTCTCGTCTTCCTTCAGCCCGTCCCGCACAGCCAAATAAGCCCAGCTCCATCGAGCTACCAACTGATCCAGTTTGCGTCTCCACCTGTCGCTCTCTGTCTATCTTGGTGTTAGTGCTTTTCTTTTTCTTTTTCTGATCATTTAAAATTTTTTTTTTATTTATTTATTATTATTTTATCATTTTTTCCTTTTTATTTTTTTTTATTACATACAACCCTTACACGCCAAAAGGAAAAAAGATCTGTCAATTTGGGTGGCTTGTATTTCCTCCATTCCCATCCCTCATAACCAGGAAATCCCGGCCTCTCCAGGTTTGTTGACTTGACCTGGTTTATTTCGGGTTCTCAGGGAGTGGCGCGCGTTAAGAAAACAAACACCCAAGAAAGAAAAGAAACAAAAAAGACCCAGAAGCAGAGATTCTTGTCTCTCTCTCTCCTCGTCTGTAGGAACCATTCTATCGTACTCTCTACTACTATCACCTGTGAGTTCCTCCACTTGAAAGAGGGGCATTTAGCTTCTCCGCCAGACCATCACCATCACCATCACCCATCACCCATCATCGTTCATTCCCTTCTCCCCCTCTTGGTTGTCAGGATAGTTGTCATCCTTGATCACGGTTGTTACCATTTTATTACCATCCTGTCAGCACATCTCCACCTGTCTCCCATCCATCTGACTCCTCTTTTAACTCTCTTTTCCCCTTGGATCTACGCACTCGGGCGACCCGACAGCTTGGCTTAACTATTTACTACCGATTGATCGGGGGAAGAAAAAAAGAAAAAAAAAAAAGAAAAGAAAAGGAAAAATATCCAAGAAGAAAGAAAAGAAAAAGACAGAGCCAGCGTACTGTCGTATTTTATTTCATGCCTCTTCTACTATTTTGTCATTCTTCCGGCTCTAATTTACCTCGCACTCACACCCCTCCCCCCTGTTCCTTTTGAACCGTGCCAAAGAAAAAAAAAAAAAAAAAAGTACTAGTCGGTGCTTTTTCATCTTTTCTGGCGATTCCTTGTGATTAGCCAACTCCCCTCTTTTCTGGCTGCTTTTTCCACCTCTTCGTGTTCTGCACTGACCCTACTGAACTTATCCTATCCTGTTTTGTTCTATCCTATCGTCTTCGCTTTTCTTCTTTCTTTCCTTGATTTCCCTTTCGTTTATATTATTTACTATTATCTCCTCTGGTCCATCTTTCTTATCTTTCTTCTTATCTAGCTTCTCTCTCGTTTTCCTCCTGTGCGACCGTTTTTTCCATTCTCGACCTGACCATTCCTCTACTCCCCGATACGAGACGCTTCTTTACGCACCAGCTTATTGCCTCTTTCGGGAATTTCCTTAGAGCTCCTCCAGCTCCCTCCAACTCGTGCCCAACGCCCGCCATACCAATTGGCCACCCTATTTTTTCTTCTTATGCTGGATTTTTTTGTCTGGGACATTTAATCATGTCCTCATAACTGTATGTCTATATTACTGAATCGTCAACCTTCCGCGGATTATCGCCGATCTGCTTCCATCGGCCGCAGCAGCGGGCCTACGATCATGGAAATCATCGCAACGGACGAAAAACCAAAGCCTCCTTCCGCCTACTCTGGTCCTCCTCCCCTTCCGATGCATCGCATACCACCGCACGAGGGATCGCATGGTCCGCCCAGCGCACATGGCTTGTATGAGCCTCCGCCTGCATGGCGTCCGTCATACCCCTCGGCCTATGATGCCCACCCCGCGGAACCACGGCGGGCGTCAAACCCTCCCCAGCCTCCTTTGCCCTCTCATAATTATTCCATCATGCCGAACCGAGAACTGCCGCAACTGCCTCCCGACGGCCCCTACGGTCGACCTAGCAGCCTCCCGGGCCCAACCCATACGCCCCCGGAACATCCGTTGCCGCCTCCGAACTACCGGCCGATGAACGGAACCCCCCATGAGGCTGCTCCCCATTCTGCGCCTCCGGATTTCCGCCCGCGCATGTCCTTTCCACCGCAAGAACCACACCCCAATGGAGAACCTCCCCTTCCTGCGCACTCGATCCCGCCTACGCAGTATGCAACAACCCCAGTCCCGCATATCCCAAACACCCCAACCCCGTACGATGCTGGCTACTACCAGAACCAAGCCTTGGGCATGCGCCAGCGAAAGGCTGCTCGAGCTCAACAGGTAAACATGATTCAACTCTGGCACACATTGGAAGTGATTGCATCGAAGGAATTTGGCTGACACTAGTGTCTTTGCGTGTGATTGAAGGCCTGCGACCAATGCCGAGCGAGGAAAGCGAAATGTGATGAAGGGCGACCGGCATGTAGCCACTGCAAGGAGAATGGCTTGACATGTGTTTACAAAGAAGTGCCTCCTCACAAGTGCGTGTTGCCTAAACCCCGACTTAGTGGACGCGAAATTAACGTGTTTTTGGCAATATAGACAGGAAAAGGCAACCCAGCTACTTTTGGACCGAATGCAGCAATTGGAGGATCGCCTGGAGGATCGCATGACACAATTACAGTCAATTCAGGTCGAGCAAGGATCGCAACTGAGCCGACTGCTTTCCGCCGAATCCAAGCTTAAAGAACCCAAGGTTATACCCACCAAAGAGGCTGCCCGGCCACCGTCGCAGAAACAGACATCCGCTCGCCTGCTGAAGCCAGACGCCCCCGAATCTTTGCGAGAGACAAAGGCCAAAGACGAAAACGTTCCTTTTATTGTTGGACAGGATGTCGACGGTGTTGAACCCGCCGAGGAATCTCTCAAGGCTGAGGATGATGGAGAGTTGTCGATTCCCGTGGAGCATACAACAGCAGCCCATAAGTTACTACATTGGCCGTCAATCAAAAGTTTGCTTTGGCCGAGAGAATACGACGAGGATTATGTGATGAAGTTAGAGGAAGAGCGAGGTCTGATTCGTGTGTATGGTCGGGGTGAAGGGGATAATACAAGTGAGGACACTGGGATGTTGCTGACACCGTCGAATTCGACTCCCGTCTGGGATGAGAGCTATAATAATGGGGCTTCGCCCAGCGGACCTTGGAGCAACCCAGCAGCCGCACCTCCGCCGAAGCGCGACAATGGTCTCGAGGAATCTGGTGTGTTGACCACGGATCCCGAAACGGTGCGCCGCTACCATCAGTGTTATATGGACAACATTCAAAAGCTTCATCCATTCCTTGACCAAAATGAGTTGGAAAAGAAGATCGAAGTTTTCATTAAACTATACTGCCCCCAGAAGGCTTCTGGTTCGACCCCGATCATGAGCAACGCGGGCGAAATCCCGCGGGGCGCGAAACGGAAGCGCTCTTGCGAGACCTTGCAAGGAGCCGGGTGCGACGTTCAATCATCTCCTGGTTCCAAACCAGAAAGATATTACACACGACGAATCGAAAAGTCAATCGATAATGCTATCATTCTCTTGGTTCTCGCCGTTGGCAGCATCTGTGAATGGCGAGATCTTCCTGTCCCAGGTCCGGTCCGCGACACTCCCGTCGACTTCCGGAAAGAGCGAATACCCGGTCCACCTACGAATAGCATCCTGTCACCCGCCGGATCTGATCCAGCCATTCCACAGTCAGGAAGCTTTTACGCACCGACTAGCAACGCCTTCCCTTCCCCCTCAATGCTTGATGGCCGAAAGGGTCTCTCTGGGCGCTCGATGTCGTTAAGTCGCGACGGATCTGACACTCGACACCTGCGAAACTTGGATGTAATTCCTGGACTAGCATACTATGCGTATGCGACACAGATTCTTGGTAGCCTTCAGGGTGCGAATGGGCTGCTTCACGTTCAAGCGGCGTTGTTGGCTGGTCTGTACGCAGGACAGCTGGCACATCCCTTCCAGAGCCATGGATGGATCTACCAGGCCGCTAGAGCCTGTCAAGTGCTCGTGAGATCGTACGTCCTGCGCTACCCCGGATCGATTTTTTGGCCTTTTCTGACCTGAAATTTAGGAAACGTTATGAGCAGATGCAGGATGGTCCTCTGAAGGATCTTTATGATTTTGCATACTGGACTTGTCTGCAGCTTGAAAGGTATGTCCAAGTGGATTGTGAATTTCAAGTAGCTTCCATACTAAGTGATACAGTGATATTCTGGCGGAACTCGATCTTCCAGCTAGTGGAATTTCCCGCTCGGAGGCTCGCATCTCCTTGCCAAAGGGCCGATTTACTCTCAGTCTCCCGAATGAAATCTGTGCACCGAGCACTATGATGATGTTCTTCTATTCTGCCCAGATCCATCTTAGAAAGGTCCTTAATCGGGTTCATACTGACCTGTACAAGGTTGAAAGTAAGTTTCTGCCTAGCCCTATCCACTGTGGGCGAGTTGCTAATTGTCTCCTATAGAAGTAGGACAGAATCGTTGGTCCTCGAACGTTCAGGAAATTCTAAGCATGAACCTTGAACTATGGAGAAGTAGCTTGCCTGAGGTGATGAAATGGAGAGATACCGACCCGCCGTCTAAGGAGATCAATGTGGCACGGATGCGAGCCAAGTACTATGGTGCACGATACATTATCCACAGACCGCTTCTCTACCATGCATTGCATTTTGGTGGTCAGAACGATCGGTCCACATCCGTTGACTCTCCTACCGGATCTGCGATGTCCGGATCTAAATCGCAGCAAGTATCGCCCTCAATGACACATAGCCAGCGGGCTACAAATATGATGCGATTATCGAGTGACATGGGGCCAAGCACTCGGGCTCAGCCGCCCTCTTCCAATGGAAACTTTGGGGTTGCATACCATTACCGGGATCTCCCAACAAAGCTCCGAAGAGCATGCAAAGTCTGCGTCGACTCTGCAATCCTGAGTACGGAGGCATTTGATGGTATTGAGGGACGTCCTGTAGTGACGAACATTTTCGGAACTGCTCATGCGTACGTGACTATATCAAGCAATATGTGTTTTACCAGTGCTAACCACTTCACAGGCAATTCGGTAACATGTTGGTTCTCTCTGCCACATTCATGTCCAACCTCTCGGAACTGGTAGACCGAACTGTTCTTGAGAGACTACTCAAGAGGACCATCTACTTCCTTCTCCGGAGCCAATACATCTCTCCCAGTCTGCGCGCAGATGCGAAGATTCTCACTGAGATCTACGAAAAGATTTTCCAAGAGCCAGCCGGAAGTTTCTCAACAGAGCCATCAATATGAATGGCTTTAGTTGCCCCTCGTTCCCCTCTGATCGTTGCACTGGCTCCGATGGGGGGAACCATTTTGAATGATCTTATATCACATGGCCATGCATTAGCCATGGTTCTTATTAGAGAGATCTCTGCCCTTCTCTTCCACATTTTCCCTTTTCTTTCCCTAGAGTGATATAAACCGCTTCTTTTGACCGTCTTTATTTTCGTTTTTTTTTTTTTTTTTTTTTTTTTGGACTCCATCGCATGCCACGCAGCAGGGTCACTGCTGGCATGGCTTTTCATATATATAAACTCAACTTGCATGGTGGCTCTCTGTATTTTCTCTGCGACGTTCGCAGTATTCAGCGTTTTTTGTTCGATTTCTGTCTGCATCGGATTCCATGCATATTCTGGAACGATTGTCTGCACAAATGGAAGGGGGCGGTTTTTTTTTTTATTTTCTTTATTATTTCCATGTTCTGCAAATGTTTCTTTTCTGGGTATCCTATCCGTTTCTTGATATTTTGGAGTCATACTGGAGTTTCGCGACTTACCATCTGCCACGATTGACAGGCGGGGATTCGGCATGGGAGGGATCGTTGGTTGCATTTTCAGCGGATCAGGGATGATGGTTCTCCCATGTACACACATTCTTGGGGAGTTTCTTCTGGACGGCCGTCAGGCGCATCATGCTACAGCGTATCGGCAGCGCATGTATTGAGTGGTGGTATCACTTCGTTCTTTTAGGTTAACCAACTGCTTGTATCTGGTTCCCTTGCTGGCGTATACTGATCCAATGAAACTGCGTATTGAATGAGACAGCATGATATTGCTAGATAGTTCGTAGTCCACCTTGCCGCCCACCTTGAAGCTGAGAGATCGGTCAACCGAAATGAACTAGTAACTACCGGATGATCGTCAGCCACGTACCCTGCACAACCATTTTCAACAGATCTAAGCTGTAAAAAGCAACCATGGACAGAAAAGCAAAGCTCAATGGCATTGTGTCGAAGATCATCTTGAAGATCACACAGGTTATCTCCGTGCCAATTGCCGAACGTAGTAAGAAAGATTCAACTCAAGGCGTCGGACATGATGTCACTCAATTCAACTCACGCCAACAGTTATATATTAGCTGGATATTTAGCGATGAGATAGACAGCTGGAATGCATCTGGATGGAGATAGATCGATCATAGAGGGCATAGCATAGCCACAGTACAGTTATATTAGTATCCCACTAGGGTGATAGTTTAAGGTCTTGTGCAGGAAGTGTCAGGTAGCCTATCACGATACCATCAGTGATGAGCTATTGTTATTCTGCTTGGACTGACTGATGAATTTTAGTATAAAGGGGCTGAGTGGTATTATGCGTTTCCTATTTGATTGATTTATTATCGTGTTATGGCTGGGCGTAGGTAACTCGTTGGGATGTAGTTGGGATACTCATAGTAGGCCGTACAGAGATTGTATCGCAATTGCCAACAATCTTCCTTGACGATAACACACACAAAAGCCAAAAATATTTTCAAATGAAAAAAATAAAATAAATTTCTTCTTAGTTTTATCTCGTGATCTGTCCACAACCGGATGTATGGTGTGGAGTTGATGATCTTCTACATACAGTACATACCCTCGTATATACATTACCAAGTCTTTTTAACTTCAATAAGCCAGATCCACACCAACCTGTACATATTTTACACGGGACATTGAGATGATAGTCCTAGATGGGCTATTTTTGAACGAAGGCTCAGTAGAACCGGTGAGTTGAATGTTCAGCTCGGCTTAGCTGGCTGTAATTATCTGTTGGGCGGGTCTGGACTAGTTTTGTACGACGTGGATTGTGATGGGCTTGATATGGTCTGTAGTGTGTATTTTTACCCTGTAGATGTTGCTTGATTGTGATTGAAATAGGAGGTATTTTCTGTGTGGATTTGGTTATGGGGGTGTTGGAGGGTTGTTATAAGATGTTAGAAAAGGTTTGATGGACGGCAGGTCGAGTCATTGTATGTATGAAGTGACCGGAATAAACCTTCACGTGCAGTAAATCCCATATTCAGTATGCATGGAGATAGAGTTGAAAAGAAATACGTGTGATATTTGTTATACTCTACAATACCACCGATACAGCCACGATTTGCTTTTGATGATACCGACTCAATTGGCCCAGAGATCTCTGTTGGGATTACCCTCTTCAACCAAGTCGACTGTCATTGACTGCCATCCAGAAGTGCATAAAGGACGTCAAGTCCGCGTGCTCGTCCTCGTGCTGTTTTGCCCTTGGCATCGCCGCAGCTTTCTTTGTTCCGACAAAGCACGAGTACGTCAGCAAAATCCTGTGAGAAAGCGCTATATATAACGTGCCAAGTCCCTTTTATCTGCTTCGAGTCTTTTACCAAGTCATCTATACCCAGGTGCGAAGAAATGGGAGTTACAAAGTGGTTCTCCCGAGAGGGTACGCTGTCTTGGTCTCTGAGCCCCGCATAAGAACTGCATGATAACAGATGACAGGCTTCACTGCCGATGTGTTTGGCAAATTCTTACAGTCCACAATCTTCGATCCGTGGAAAATCGTACCTCTCTTCCTGTGTGCACAATACACAACAGCAGGCAGTGAGATCGTCCAGCAATATCCACAACTTCTAGGGGCACTCAAGGTCCTCCTCCCTCTCGCTGTAGGCCGCCGCCTCAATGCATGGCTCAGCCGTCGTGCCGTCAACAATGGCGTCTCGGACAAGTACGACTGGTCCCGGGAGGTGATTGTGTTGACGGGTGGAAGCAATGGGATTGGAAAGCAGATCGCGGACCGTTTTGGTGCGCGTGGGATCAAGGTTGCTATCCTGGATATCCAGCCGCCTACGGAGCAGCTCCCTCAGAGTGTGCATTTCCATCAGTGCGATATCACATCACCTTCTGCCATCGCCGCTGCTGCAAAGGACATCCGCGCGACGCTGGGTGAGCCGACGATTCTCATTAATAACGCTGGTGTTATGAGCGGGAGAACCCTTCTCAACTCCACCGAGGCCCAGACAAGGCTCATCTTCGAGGTCAACACCATGTCGCACTACTGGCTTTCCCGCGAATTCCTACCGTCTATGATCGCGAACAACCACGGGATGGTGGTGACGGTTGCCTCGCACGCGGGTTACACCACCACCCCGAACATGGTGGATTACTCGGCTACCAAAGCGGCGTCGATTGCATTCCACGAGGGGATATCGGTGGAATTGGCGACGCGGTATAAAGCTCCTCGAGTCCGGACTGTGCTTGTCACACCGGGATTCGCCCAAACGACTCTTATCAAGGACCTGACGCCGGAAGATAGCTGGATCGGGCCGCTGTTGCACCCAGAGACGGTGGCCGACCAGATGGTTGAACAAGTGCTGACTGGCCAGAGTGGACATGTCAACTTGCCTGGATCTGCGGGATGGATCGCCAGGTGTATGAGGGCGTCACCGTTGTGGTTTCAGTGCGCGATTCGCAAGCGATTGGAGAGAAGGGTGCGGGCTGTTTTTTAGATCGTGTACATGGCAGATTAGATGAAACAAAGGATAGGCAAGAAAGGCTGCTGGTTAGCCGGACATTAGGATTAGGATTGAAGTGTCATGGTTGGAGTGCTTGTCTGTATGTATTTAATTGGGTAGCGAATCGATGATGCTATATCCATCCCTCTTGTGCTGAGGCCAATCGAATCCAGAGCATCGACCAGGATCAAGTGGCGTTGACCACGACAGCTGATGATGGTACTAATTCCACCCGACAATTCATCGCCAAACAGAACTGTTCTTAATATGTACTCTACCTAGTTCCTCTCCTGCCTAGCAGCAGCAGCAGATAGCACTCGCAACCAGCCTCTTATTTGTTTCTCGAGTCTCGGCTCTTGGCACGTGCATCTCCCAGCCTCACACCGACTTTGTCTTTTTCGCTCTTCCTTCGCCTCTTCTTTTCTCTCTCTCGCCCATCCTGGGATAATCAACCAACAACTCACTCCCAGCTCGGACTTTATCGTCCTTGTGACCTGCATATTTTCCCCCACCTGCATCTCCATCGAGCTTGATTTTTATTACCTCTCATATTCACGACATCTGATGAAACAGCCCCCGATCGGCTCTGTAAGTTCCCTCACGCGCTAACTTTAGCGCCCAGATTGTCTGGAGCAACCGAGCTGTTGTTCTGTGTTTCGCGGGCTCCGCAAAAGAACCACGGTTCATAGCCGCTTTCTTGTTTACCTTTTCCCCAGCGCAAAAACAACTCCGCTTCGACGCTCTTTACTGCGGTTATTGTGATTATTATCATTCCTTTTCTTAATGATTATATGATATCGACGACATCTACGATTTAATTTTCTTTGTTGAGATATCCCCCCGCTTTTTCTTTTTTTGACGCCCACATTTTCCAGATCTGTGAACATTCTCGACAAGATTTTTCCACATGTTTCTCCGTCTCGCTCGGGCATCTTTCTGATCCCACCTCTGCCCACGTCATGTTGAAGGCCCTCATAAGCGGGGGCCGTTCCTCCGACTCTCGCAGCACTTCCAGCAAGAGCAGTAGCAGTGGCAGCAGTGGTCGACGTCGCCGTACAGATTCTTCCTCTTCCAAGTCTTCCAAGTCCAAGTCCTCGCGGGGTGACGACCGTGATCGCGGCTTGGGCGATCTGTCCGCCTACGCCTCATCGACCAACAGCAAGAGTCGCAGACGCTACGCTTCCAGTAACGCGGGCGAATCGGTCGCATCGAGCTACGTGACGGCCGAGCCAAGTTTCGCAGACGAACCCGACCGGAGTGTTGTCGAACCATTGACACCGTTGACACCGATAACTAGAGATTTAGATGATGGCGACCGCTACGACCGCTATCGAGACGTTGATGATCGTGATGGATACACTGCGCGCAGGCGCGACCGGAACCGATCGCCCAATCCAGACGAGCGCGACCTGAGGAGGATAGATAAGAAGGAAAACTTGGATCGCGACGATGATATCGAGCCTCGCATGGACCGCCAGCGCTACCACCCAGGCGATCCGTACCTGCCGCCGTTAACTACCAATATCCCGACAACTGGAGTTGCTGGTCAGTTCGCCGCTGACATCGCCTCGCCTGGCTTCTCCCAGTTTCCGAACCAATATCAGACCACGATGACGAGCCCTCTAACGCCTGGCGTGGCCCATTCGCCTGGAGGCTACGATCCCCATGTGCCGCATCAATTCCCCGGCCAGTTTCCTTCATACCCATCTAGCCCATATCAGCTCAATCCAGCGGGCGAAGCGGCCGATTATTATGGCGATCAAGGGCAGTCGGTTCAGCACCAACCAGGCATTCGTCCCAAGCCACCAGCCATCATCCCTAATAACCAAGCGCATTTGATGACTGCCTCCCCAAGTGCGAACCCTCCGCCGGAGCCTAGCAGCATGGGACAGGTTGGTGCGGCGGCTGCGTATTACGGTGACGAAGTGGAAACTCCAGCCGTGGAGACTCCAGCAGAAACAGCAGAAACAGTACCACCAGCACCACACCAAGAACCTGAGAATCCCCCGTCTGTCATATCAACCAAGCCTTCGAAACCGTCTAAGCCTTCCAAGCCCTCCAAGCCCTCTAAGCCGTCCAAACCGTCTAAACCATCCAAGCCCGTCAAACCCATACCAGCTGGGATCTCCGCCGGCGGTGCATATGGCGTGCAGAGTAGCCTCGTGGCCCATAATGACCCAACCTCTCCTTTTGTACCAATGGATCCGACAAGTCCTGCATATATTGAGTCTGAAGTTCAGAGCCCCGACAAACCTTCCCACAATTCTCATAATATTGAAGCCGCCGCGGGTGGCGCAGTAGCTGGAGCAGCAGCGGGGTATATGATGGGCCACCAACACCATCCTTCCTCGAATGGCGAATACCTACCTCAATATCCGAATCAGAATTACACGGAAATGCCCCTTAACGGTGTGAGCCCCGGAGGCCCGTCGATGTACCCCCCTTATGCAAATCCTGCTTGGTATGCACCCGGTGTTGGAGGAGCACCTCCCTATGGTGCTCCAATGCATCCCTATCACCATCATCCGGCGTATCATGGATCACCTTTCCAGTCCGGGGGCTTGGCATTTCAACAGCCTCAACGTGGACCGCTGGATAAGTTTGTTGATTTTTGGAAGGATCCTGATGGCGTGGGTATGTTCGAGGACTACACAGAATCCATTGGGGTCTGCAAGTACTGTTTCGAGCCTGGTACAAGTTCCCTGAATGCGCCCCGAAAACATAATTATCAACCTCGCCGCCGTCGCTCTCCTGATCGTTACCAGAATGGCTCCAGAATTGACAAGTCGCTTCGCTATCCGTCCTCCTCGGAAGATGAGGGCCGACAGCGCAAGAAGTCGTCAAAGAGCTCCTGGTTGCCTGGATTGCTTACCGGATTCGCTGCTAAATCGCTATTTGGCGGCAAAGATTTCGAAGATAGTTATAATGTACGATCAAGTCGGCCAAACAGCGCAGGAAATTCCTCGCACGATGATGAAAGTGGTTCGGACCGAAAGAGCCAGGCCTCCCGCTATCGGCGTTCTCAGCGGAGCCGGTCACCTGGCCGTTCCCGCCGCGGCTCGAAGTATGATGGATCTCGCTTATCGTCACGATCCCGTTCGCGATCAAGGTCTTCGTCCAGGACTGAACGCACCACTTTGAGAGATGCGGCTTTGGAGTCTGCGGTGGACTCAACATTAGGGGAGTCGAAGCCTCGTAATCGAGGTCGCAGCCAGTCCCCCAGGCGTACCAGAGGCAGGAAGTCATCGTCCGATTCTTCATCATTTCTCGATATCTCATCTAAACCATCACGGAAATCCATTGCTGGTGGCCTGGGCTATTTCTTTACGGCGTCTTCCGAGAACCGAAAGAAAAGACGCCATAAAAGGAGTAGCAGCATCTTCTCGTTTAACAATTCTTCATCTTCATCACTGGATGCTGATCTGGCCTTCGGAACTGGCTTTGCGAAGAAACCCGGCAAGTCGAAGAAAAAGGGCCAGAAGAAGGACGAAGATGTGGATGCTAAGCTGCGCGATTTGAGCGCAACAGCAACATCACTAGCCGATAGTGCTTCCCCTGGAAACAGACGCAGACGAGGCGAGATTCTTGCCGGCAAAGACTCGCGGCGGTCAGACTATGCCTCATCCGCCACCAACGATGACGACTGGGAGGACTTGGATTCGGAAGACCAGTCATCATCTAGTGTCATCTCTGGCCTGGACTTCGGTGGCAGTGCACTATATGGCCACGAGGACTCGTCGGATTCGGGCACGTCCAAATGGAGTTGGAGATGGGGCAGTAAGAGGGATAAAAAGAAGAACAAGAAGAAGCAATCTAGTCCGACAGCAAGTCACATCCACCCTGGTGCTGCATTTGCGGCGGGTGCTCTCGGAACGGCTGCCTTTGCTTATGCCAGAGATTCCAACCAGGGCGATGCAAATAATGCAGGCGATCTTCGACATGTTCACCCCATGCCTATTTCTGATCCATCTGGCCAACCCGCCTTTGTGCGTTCCTCAATTCCTCTCCAGCAGCCCCAACCTGTGATGCCAGTCTCCCAGGCGGTATACTCAAGCGAGGGAGAAACAATTCCTGCATTTGTCGCCCCGACTGGCCCTCCTGCCGCAGCGTTTCGTCAATCTTCTGGTCGAGCTGATGGACAGGGATATTGGAACCAGGACGCTCCTTCGTATTTCGATCGCAGCGATGTGACTTCCAATGCGAATCGTCCCCATCGGCGGACCGGCTCTTCAGTGATTACGGACCCCTTCGCTGGCACAACAGTATCCAGTCTTAAGCGTCGGTCTTCTGGAAAAGACAAAGACCAAGCTAGTGTTTCATTTGACCTCACCGAAGAGCAAGCAGACAAAGAGCGACGAACCGACCGTGCTCGAAGAAACAAGCGAGACGCTGAATATGGAGTTGGTTTGCAACTTATAGACAAAGAACAGGAGGAGCTCGAGGAAGCTGAACGTCGTGAAAAGCGTCGTCGAGAACAGGACTATGAGAAGCGACGAAGAAACGATGATTATGACGACTTCTGCTCGCGCCCTTCTACCTCGCGCAGACGGTCACCGGAACGTGAATCCCGTCAGAAAGACTCGCCAAGAGATGGTGACTCTCCATCATGGGTTGGTCCTGCTGCCGCGGGCGTAGCAGGAGCTGCAGTTGCAGCTAGTATGTTTTCAGGAAGAGCTTCGAATGATACATCTTCCGAAGCTAGTCAGAGGCGCCATGAGGAACGCCGAGAGAAACGCCGTGCAGAGCGCCGCCGTGGCTCTGGGCATGGTTCTGAGCGCGGCTCTGAGCGCGGCTCTGAGAGAGGATCTGATATCTCTAGCCAGGCTATCCCCGAAGCTCCTCGAGAGGTCATCCCTGAAGTCCCACCAGTGCCAGTAGATGAGCCAGCAGAGCACGTGAAAAGTTCAGCTTTCCGTGGTGTCTCACGCAACAAGCCAGTGTATGATGATTATGCGCAGTTCTTTGCCCCTGAACAGATACGTTCCAGCCCAGATTCTCAATCTCGCTCTCGCGAGACTACCCCAACTCCTCAAATCGTGGAGGCAGAGCCTGCTAGTGAGACTTATGGTCGGGATATGGCCCGGCCATCCAATCAGCCTCTGAATTTACCGTGGCCTGTACCTCGACTGAATCTCATTGAACCTACTCCTCCTCAAAGTCTGAGTGGTTCTGTGAGGGGCGGCCCCTCCCCTGTTGTGCCCTCGGTAACGCACGAGGAAGATATCGCGAAGCCCACCGAGTCTAAAGTATCTTGGGGAAAGCCCGTAACGCACGAGTACGAGGTTCCTTCTGAGCACGAATCGATTGATAATGAAGTCTCCGGAGAGCCAGATGCTAGACAATTAGTGCGCCATGTTCCAGAATACTCGTCTTCCAAGACCGTATCGGAAGAACCTGCTGAGGCTTATGGAAAAAACATCGAATTCGCAGCTGTTGTCGCTGCAGCAACGGCCGCTGCAGGTTTTGATCCTTCGATTGTGACAGATAATCCAACCTATCATACCGAATCATCGCCACCTCAAGCTCAGCCACAGGTAGCCTTTAGGTCACCATGGCCTGAGACCCCTTTGCATGATGTGCCTCACGGGTTCGTCGAAGAAGGTGAAGTTCAGACAACCGATGACGAAGGAAAAGGCAAAGAATACGTGATTGTAGACCGTGAGGGAGAAGATCCGAGCGCCAACGACAAGTCGAGGGAGCTTGTATATGCACCCAAACATCTCGTTCAACAACACCCATACCGTTCAGATCCGGAATCTGCTTCCAGAGATCTTGGGCAAGTTCAACCTTATGCACCATATAGGCCGTCAATTGCCCAAGGCGTCATTGAGGAGCTCAGCAGCAGCAAAGCTCCCAAAGAAGATGAACAGTTTACAGATGCTCCTGAAGTTGCCATTCCCCCCGAGTCCCCTCTTGAGGATGTATTCTCCATGCCCGGTGGCTTCGAGACTCAGGCAACATCGAAGGACCCCAAGCATATCGGTAACACTCGCTCTGTGGTTTCAGCCCCTGTCAGTGGCGAGACCAATTCTCCGACAAGAACCGGAGCGGAGAGGTCAAAGGACAAGAAGAGACGAAAGAAGCGCTCAAAGGGTGGTAGTGACATTGATGACTCCAGTCGAGGGGGATCAATGGAGTTTGATGAGAAGGTATAGTTTTCCTTGTTAGTCGTGTTTGATTGTACATCTGCTATTCTTGGACATACATGTCTATCTTTAAGCCCTGAAAGCAAGAGATATAAGACACATATACTAAAATCTTCTTTCCTTGTTGCTTTCACGTGCAGGATCGTGAAATCGCAGCGAATAGTGACAGGAGACAGCCTTTTTTAGATCAAGGCCCCGAAATGCCAGTCAGGCCAGACGGCATTAATAACGATAATGATAAAGGTGGTGCTTCGGGGCGCCGCGCTCTTTTCGCGGGCGCAGCAGTTGCAGGGCTAGGTTTGAAATTATTGGAAAACCGACCCAGGAGTCGCTCAGCGTCTCCTCCACCAACACAGAAGACCATTGACCTTGGCCCCAAATCTCAGAGTAGACCATCGTCACCCGAGTTAACCGGAAAGCATGATACTGATCGCCAAGGTCAAAGATCACGCCGATCATCCATGATTCGGGAATCTCCAACTGCTGTTCCCCTACATTTCCGTCGACCCCCAATCTCGCCCAAGGTTAGTCGTTCACCGTCGGTCGGCTCTCCTCCTGCTAGCACGTCTTCTGGCTCTCCCACCCAAACACGTTCGCGCCGGCCAAACTCCTGGGAATTCCGAAACTCACGAGAAATCCGCCCCCTGTGGCTTGTCGAACGGCATGGCATTGCAAAGATGGAAGCTCAGCCTGATGAGCCTTTGCCGTCTTTGCCGTCGAGCAAAACATCATCAAGAAACCCGTCCGTGGGGGATCTTGCTGCCCTCGCAGACGAGAAAAACCCGGGTGCTATGGATTCCAACGAAGATACCCGTGATAGACAGGCCCTGACTGTGCCTGAAATCACCACTAGCAGAGCTCTCTGCAATGATGCCGAGCATGATGTCTTTTCTTCTCAGCGTGAAGTCCTTACTGAACCAACCTTCGAGGAGCCTCATTCAACTAAGAAGCCAAAGCCTAAGTATGAGTTCCATTCGCCATCTGAACTTCTGCAGGACCCGAGTAGCTTCGTCGAATTGCCTCCTTCCCCGACAATGCTTCCTTCGGCTGAGGGTTCAGCTGTTGGAGTTAGAGAGGCAAACCTCGAGAGTGATGAATTGCAGCGTGATTTACTGAGCCTCCCTGCACTCCCCGAGTCTCGACCTTCTAAGCCCCAGGAAAAGCAGGCGCACGGCCCGGAGAGTGACATGACAATCCCAAGTCAGGATAAGTCAGTTCCTTCAAACCTGATGAAGGGAGTTGGGTTGGCAGGAGTGGTTGGTGCAGCTGTTCATGCAGTTGCTAACGACGAAGGTCAACAGAAGGGAGTTCACGAAGTTAACTCTATGATATCCGACCAGACCGCTCCTCTAGAATCTATAGAGAAAGCTGTTGACTCCGAAAAAGCGATGCTTCCAACCACCGAGATCCCAGCTGTACCAAAGGATAAAGCTGTTCCTACCCTCCCAGACGTCGAAGTTCCAGTGTCGACAACACCCTTTGAGACTGATAGAGCCGTTTCTCCCGCCACGGACCCAAAGCCCGCTAGCTCTGCTAATTTTCTTGATAATGTTGTCGCAGCGGTCCCAGCAGAGTTGGAAAACAAAGACCTGGAAAGCTCAACTACGCCTGCAGTCGAAGAGGTGGTTCCTCAGGACCGCGAAATACAGACAACTGATGCCCCCGATCCTCAAGTCGCTGGGGAACCTACAGAGCCGGCATCTGAAGCTGCTAACAAGGGTCTTGATGAACTGGCGGAAACACAGCCCGAAGATGCAGCGACCGAACCCCCTGCGCCCGTGTCGTCCTCGAAAAAGAAGAAGGATAAGAAAAAGAAAAAGAAGGGCCAGAGCGTGGATATGACTAGCGCCGAGACTCCCGCACCTGAGGAAACGACATCTGCCCCGTCTGTGCCTGGAGATAGCCAGGAAGCACAACAGGCCGTGCCCGAGGATACGCCCGTTCTTAACAAAGAAAGTGTGCCTGAATCAGACCTCGCTCCTGCAGCAGTGGCTACTGTCGACCAAATCCCTGTCCCCGAAGAAACTCTGACAACCGACAAAGAAGTAATCCCTGAGCAAGAGGCTGCCGTTGAATCGGATCCTATCGCCAAGTCAGAGCCCGCCGCTGAGCAAGCGACTATCCCTGAGGAAACTCCCAGAAGTGACAAAGAATCTGAATTGGCGCAAGAGCCTGTTCTTATTCCCGGATCCGAGCCTATTGCTGAAGCGGAGGTTGCAGTTGACCAAACACCTATTCCCGAGGAAACAACCATGGCGGGTAGAGAACCAGTGCCTGAGCAAGAGCCTGTGGTTGAACAAGAGCCTGTGCATATGCTTGAAGCGGAGCCCATTGCTGATGCAGAGGCCGCGGTTGACCAAACACCTGTTCCCGAGGAAACTCTGACAACCGATAAAGAAATAGTGCCAGACCAAGAAGCTGCGATTGAACCAGAGCCCATTGCTGAAGCGGAGCCTGCGATTGAGTCCCAGCCTGTGGTAGGCCAAATACCCGCCTTCGAGGAAATCCCCACGGATAACAAAGAAGCTGCGCCTGAACAAGAACACCCGGTCGAGGAAACACCTGCCATCGACCAAGAGCCTATCTCTGAAGGAACCCCGGTGGTCGACAAAGAACCCGTGCCTGAACAAGTATCCGTGACTGAGTCAGAGCGCGTCCTTGAACCCCAGCCCGTGGTCGAGCAAAATCCCATCACTGAGGAAACTACGAGGGTTGATCAAGAACCTGCGCTTGAGCCAAACCCCGTCACTGAATCAGAGCCCGTCCTTGAACAAGAACCCTTGTTAGAACAGCCACCTGTCAACGAGCAAGAGCCTGCTGCCGAGGAATCTCCTGCCGCTGGTGAAGAACCCGTGCCTGAGCAAGAACCTCTGGCCGATCTGGATCCCCTTTCCTTGGTTGATAAGGAGACTGTCCCCGAGGGACTTCCCACTACTGAAGAAACTGTGCCTGAAAAAGAACATGTTACCAACCCAGAGTCTGTCCTCGAGGAAACCCCCGCTCCTGATAGGGAAGCGGTGAATGATCAAGAGAATGCAGTTGAAACCGGGATAGTGCCTCAAAAGGAGTCCTCTGTGGATCAAACCCCCGCCGTTGAACAAGAACTTCCTCGCGACGAGAACCAAGCAGCTGAAACAGACCATGTGACTGAGCAGGTGCCTGTACATGAGAAGGATGCTTCTGAGCAAGACCCTACAACAGCCACGCCTGTCACAGAAAATGCCCCAGAAACAGTCGAGGGGAGCAAAGAACTACAGCCCGAGATTGCGCCGGCTGCCGATGCTGAAGAGACACCTGTTGTCACGGCGTCTTCGAAGAAATCCAAAAAGGACAAGAAAAAGAAGAAGAAGAGCAAGGGGGCCGCCGCTGAGGAACAGCCCGATGAACCAAGTGGTGCCGATGCTGCTCAGCCGTCTACGGAGCCTACAGTTGCGGAAGCACAGCCCGATGAGCGACCTCCAAAACTCGAGTCGGAAACACTTCAATCTACAACCGAAGTCCCAGAGTCCACCGAAGATGTAGTCACTATGAACGAAGACCCCGTGCAGGTTCCTACTGAAAATGCTGAGGCTACAGGGGAGTCTACTGCTTTATCGCCCGAAGGATCCTCTCAAACTTTGGCAGAGGGTGAAGTAGAAAAGAAAGAACTGCCAGAGCCCGATGGTGAAATACAATACCCAGCTGCAGAGCCGACAGCCACGGATCAGGAGGCACCGGAGACGACTGACAACAACAAAAGCCCCGATGATCTCGATGCGGCGACTTCTGAGCCCATTGCATCAGAAGGCCCCGTGGCCGTTGAAACCAGTGAGATGACGCCCGCAGCAGATACACCAGCGGTTGACAACTGTTCCACTGAGAAAGACATCGCCGAGCCTCTCTCAGTTGATGACTCTAATCCTGAGAGTGTAACTGAAAAGCCCAAGGAGCCAGTAGATGAGGATGGGCAAGTGAGAGCACTTCCCGCCGAAACTGAGATTGTCACTGCAGAAACTTTGGAAACTCCAGACAACACTGCTCCGACTGAATCCGCCTCTCAAGACCCAGAGACTCCAGCCGATGATGTCGAGCCTGAGCCCTCTTCGACTAGCAAAAGCAGCAAGAAGAACAAAAAGAAGAACAAACGCAAGAGTGGGGCAGCGACAGCAGTAGAGCAAGAGCCGGCCGAAACACCTCAGGCTTCTCTAAATGAAGATACTCCCGAGACGGAACCTGCTCACCCTGGCACCGAAGAGCCTGAAACAAAGCAGCCTGATGATGTAAACCAGCAGACCGAGCAAATTTTTCAAGAAACAGAGCCAAATAATGAAGCGACGCCGGAATCTGTTGTCAACCACACAGCCGAGTCACCTGTGGCCGATGCACCCTCGGGTGTAGGAGACGCTGCGGACAATGCGGGGACAGAACTGCGCGAAACAAGCGGTGAGGTCCCCACCAACGACGAACAGGTACCACCAGAAACACAAATCAATGAGGAGACTACGACCGACAAAAATGGTGAACCAGCCCTTGGACGAATCGAAAACGAGTCCAATCTGCCTGTGGAGAAATCAGAGACCAATGATGAATCACCACATGTGCCGGAGGCCAATGTTGAACCTGAAACGGAGACGGAACCTGGCACTACACCGACAGGGAAGAAGAGCAAGAAGAACAAGAAAAAGAAACAAAGCGTCTCCACCATTGATGATGCAGGTACTGAAGCGCCACCCAGCACAGACCTGGCGGATGCAAACGCAGACATTCCCGTCGCTGTTGAAGAACCATCAACCAGCATTGGCCAGGAACCAGGCAAGGAGGAAATAGTCGAAAAAGAGATGCCTCAGGAGATTGACACCGAAACCCCCGATACTCGAGAAATGGCAGAAGCAGACGCCCCCATGACCCCAGCTCAGAAGAAGAAGGCAAAGAAAGACAAGAAAAAGAAGCGCCAATCTGAAGCCCAGGACGAGGTACTAGCTTCTGGTCCTACCGCAGAGCCCACGCCAGGGCATGGCCAAGGTGATGTTCTTCCAGAAGCCGCCCCAGACCATACCGAGAAAACTTCTGCTCTTCCTGAGTCTGAGACACTGGAGACTACTGGCGTCGATGAGCCGGAAAGAGTGGATGCACTCCCCGAACAAGAACAATCAAATAGTGATACATCCACAGCCACCGAGCCTCCTGCCGGAAATGAAGAGTCAAAAGCTCCAGAGGCAAACTCGATTACTGAGGAACATAAAGATGCCACTACGGGTGCCGACAATGCTCCAAACGAGGAACCCATAATCATAGAAGCGAAAGATGTATCTGAAGGAACCAATGATGCTGGGAACTCGGGCATTGAAACCACAGCTACCAGCGAAGAACCAACACTTGCCCATGTCGAGCCAGCACAGGAGGACACAAGTGCTCCAGCTGAAACGCCAACACCGACGCCAGGCGAAGAAGTTTCGGTAGACAAGCCCCAGGATGATGCGGCCACGAGTCTAGAAACAACACCTGATCAATCTCAGGGTAACGCGACCGTTGCTGAAAATCTCCCGGAGACAGAGGGTGGCGACGCAAACATGGAAGCTACAGAGAGTGCCTCGCAAGATCAGACACAAGCTGAACCTCAGGAACAAGCTCAAGACGCCACACCCGCAAACGCTTCGAAATCGAAGAAAGACAAGAAGAAAAAGAAGAAGCGTCAGTCACAAGTGATAGAAGACGAGCAATCCACTGCTGCAAATGAAGAGAATGCTAAAGCTCCTTCTGATCCAACCTCAGACGCTGCTCCTGCTCTTGAAGATCCGCCGGCTGCTTCTGATGTTCCTGAGAAGTCAGAAGATGCTACTCCTGAAGAACCTCTCGCAGAAGCTGTTCCCGCAGAGGCTATTCCTGCAGAGGCCCCGTCAGACACGACGCAAGAAACCACTGCAGCTGAAGAAGCGTCTTCGGACCTCAAAGAAGAACCTCAGACAGCAACCTCCAAGAAGAAGGCCAAGAAAGATAAGAAGAAGCGTCAATCACAATCTTTAGGTCAAGAAGAGGCTGCTATTGCAAATGAAGAAACCGAACATGTGCCCAACCAAACTCTGGATCCAGGATCCGCCCAAGATTTTCCAGATGTTCCTAGTACTTCAGAGAAAGAAGAGAATGCTGTTCCTGAAGATGCTCTTGCAGAAGCCCCCCCAGAAGCTGCCCAAGAAGCTGAACCAGCCGAAGTACCAGTTTCAGAGCCTGCGGGAGAAGAGACAACATCATCTAAGAAAAAGGCCAAGAAAGATAAAAAGAAGCGCAAGTCAGTTTCTTTTGACGTCGAGGAACACTCTGTGGAGTCTGGCGAGGTGAATGAGCCATCAGAGAATCAAGAACTCACTCAACAAGCAGATGAGCCAAAGCCTACTGATGAGAATGTATCGTCTTCGTTAGGTGAAGAACCTCAACCGACCAAGTCCAAGAAGAAGAAAGGCAAAAAGGGCCAAGATTCTGTTGATATAACTGGAGAGGTGTCCCTGGCTGCCGGGGAGGAACAAGGTTCTGCGAAAACCCCTTCGTCTGAAGGTCATCGAGACACCCAGCCATCGACCGAATCAATCGAAACAGCAGCAGACACCCCGCCAGATGCAGAATCTATCCAGACCGAAGACCAACCATCCCCCCAGCAAGACAACATGGAGCAGATATCGATTTCTCAGCCTGGAGCAGAGGATGGTCTAGATACTGCCAGATATTCCGAGGAAGCAATGGAAGCCAAGCAATCTCAGCCGGATGCAGACGTCCTGTTGCCTACCAAAGACTCTGACCAGACTGCGGCAACTGCTACCGATGAAGCAGCTGTATCCGATCAGCCTCCTCCCGCTGAGTCAGAGCCCCAGACTCCAGTAGATGAACCCGAGCAAGAAGGGGGATCAAAGAAGGATAAAAAGAAGAAGAAGAAAAAGAAGCGGAACACTATAGAGGCGAACGAAGACGCACCGGCTCCTACGAATGACGACGCTCCGCCAGAAACTGAAAAGTCGCCCGAACCCGAAACCCCAGAGGTTAAAGAACCTGAAGAAACTGCCCAGCCAGAGAACGCAGGCGGCGAAGGCGATGCTCCCATGTCGGCAAAGGCTAAGAAGAAGGCAAAGAAGGACAAGAAGCGCCAGTTAAAAAATTCGGATACTCCATCCGCCGAGGACATGCCCTCGACCGAAGCGAAATCCCTGGAGCTATCGCTTGAGACGGCAAACGCACCTGCTGAAGATGACGGTAAAGAAAATCAGTCCCGCGACACGGAACAATACGCCGAGAACGAAAAAGATTTGGTTTGGACTGATGAGATGGTATCTTCGCAGGTAGAGCAACAGCAAGCGAGTCCTTCATACGCTTATCCTCCTCCCCAACCCACACTTGAACACACTACAGCCGAGTCACCTCTCGTTCCTTCTGATGACGCAGTCGATTCTGCCCAGCGGGGATCAACTGTTGCAACAGAACAACTTCCGTCAACAATAAACAAGTCAGAAGCAACTGACGAGGTAGGAAAGGCCCCCGGCGATGGGCCATTCGGTGAACCCTCGGTGAAAGAAATACAAGAAAACAACCGGGCACCTATTGGAGATACATCATCAACAACTGAACAGGTTGATCCAATAATCGAAAAGCATCCCGAGAACACTGTGAAGCAAAACGAGGCCGCCGGTGAACCCCCCGTGGCTGATATTGATTTTGCTCCCGAAAATTCCGAACTTGAGGTGCCTTTTGTTTCAGATGGAGAGGACTTTGGGTCGTCGGAACCTAGCAAAAAGAAAAAGAATAAAAACAAGAACAAGCAAAACAAGCAAACTCATGGACAAATACCCATTGGGGAGACTGAGCCAGTTAGACCTTCAGCAGACAATACCGAAAACACGCCTTGTGAGCAACCTTCAGCAGTCCCCGAAGCCAAGTCAACAACTGCTCAAGAATCAATCTCCGAAGAACCATCATCCGAGACAAACCCCGAGACGCAAAATGCTGAAGTGCCAGCCACCTTACCCCCTATATACAGCAAAGATGAACCCTTCGCGAAATCTTCATCAGAGCCTGAGCAGGAACCACCCTTGGCCGAGCTTGAAACTTTACTCAATACAGGAAATGCAGCGGCTCCTGCTTTTTTAGGTGATGCATACGAAGAGACCACTATGCCTGAGGCCGACAAAGACCCGATTTTGCCAGCTGATGGAACAGTCACTGATCTTCAAGGTCCAACCGACCGCCAAGCTAGAGATGCAGCAGAAGAAATCGAGGATGCAAGGACTTCCGGCTTTGACAGCGCCAAGGACCTGCCATCAGTTCCAGACCCATTTATCAGTACTGAAGCAAGCACGGTTGATCATACAACTGACGGCACTGTGCATGTGGATGGGGGAAGTGGAAATACGATCGAAACTCAAAAGCCAATTCCAGAAGTTGCACAAGTCTCGGAAGAATCACCTGAGTGGCCTGTTGAGGAGAACAAACCCTTACAAGAGGGTGAAACCGAAGAATTCGAGACTGAAAAACATTCGAAACCAGAGGATGTGGGGAAGCAGATTGCCACCAATCCCAAGGGAAATGATCCCTCCCGATTGCAGGAGGTTGATAAAAAAGGTATGAAAACAAATCAGCCCTCGCAAGACGAAGACCTTTGGCCTACGATTGACTGGGAAAAAGGCGATATCGAGGTTACGGACCAGACACCTATGCCATCCCCCGAGACCCAACCAACTACTTTCGAGCCAGGAATCCCTGAATTCGATGAGACTGGGATCCCAGAGGGTCTGATACGACGAGGATTGCGGAGTTCAACCGAAAAAGAAGGTCCCGAGAAAGGCTTGCCTACGGCACCACAGAAACAAAGCAAAGTGGCTAGCATCTTCCCCGAGCTAAAGCGCGGGGCATTCAGGAAGCCTGCGAGTCGAGAGTCGGTAAAAGACAGGGCTGAGGAAGAGACAATGGACCAGGGAGCGAATCGCGACAGCGCGATCCATGTCTTGGAAGCACCTATCGCTACCGATAAATCAATGGACAGCGAGGATATTCCCAATCCTTCGCTGGCTCGCACTACGGCTATTCCTACGCCGTTACAGGATCCCTTTACGGAACAGTCAACGACAACCGAGACCAGAACACCAGTCACACCCACCGATCTGGCGGTTGATGTTGAGTTCGACCCTTCTTACAGGGTGTCAGTGCTATCAGATGGTCCCACGAAGACCAGGTCAATCGATATCCAATGGAGGGAGGATTATGGACAAGATGGTGAGGTCAAGAAAAACGCCAAAGCAAGACCTGAAGCACAAAAAGAGCTTCCCACTCACAATGATATGTCTCTATATGGACCTCCTCCGGCGCACGCAGCCCCAGCCGGACACTCATCTTCCGCGTCGCCTCAGGTGGACGTAGATACGCAACAACAACAACAGCAAGTTGGCAATCCTTCCCGTGAACTCCTTCGCAGCCCATCAATCCACGGGCGACATGACCACCCGTCGCGAACATGGTCCTGGGACCAAGGGCCCATCTCAGCAACAAGAACACCATCACCGCCGAGAACGTTCCCCGGAGGACCTCAACTGGACCCTAGTACGATTTCCCCTCCCCGGACCCCGCTGGACACAATTTCGGAACAAGAGCCAGATGCTGGTGTGGAGAAGTCGGGCACAAAAGGAACCATGGCTCGAGGCCGCGACGGCACACCCCGTCTGGAGATGAAACCCGAACATGTGCTGCCACGTCCCGAAACCCCGGTTAGGAAATTCACAGACAATGCGCTGGCACGACAAGCGTGGCCTACTACAGACAGGGATGATGAGATAAAAAGGAAGACTCATCGATCAAGTGGCCGACCGGCTGACCCTGGATGGCCGGCGGAAATACTACGGACACCTGAGCAAGGGATGCCCATTCTGAGACCCAGCAGCGTCAGCAGTATTCACAGTGTCCAGAGCACCCAGAGCATCTCCAGCGTCAACCGGGCGTTGCGGCGGACAACTCGCAACGCCAGTGGTGACTTGCGGGCGGCAAGTCGGGCACAGGAAACCTCGCACCCGCGCAATCCCCAGCCTCCTCTTTCTCCCCTCCCGTCCGACCTCAACGTAGAACGCATTCCCTCTTCCTCCTCCTACGACCCCGTCACCGACAAGGGCAAGCGCCCTATTCGAGGAATGACGGACGTCTACGTGAGTAATTTTCATTTTCCTCTCCACTTTCTAACTGCAAAAAATCTTTTCGCTTGTGATTTTGTTTTGCTAACGGTTTTTGTTTAGGAGGGTTGGGGGGAGACACCCAACTCGCCCCGGTCGCCCAGCCGACCGCCCAGTGTCCGTCGCCGCCAAAGCATGCAACAACTGCAAGAACTCGAGACTCGTCTAGACCGACTTATTTCAGAAAATCGCCTCCTGGTCGCTGAACGAGAAGCCGCCGAAAAGGAACTTCGCACCACCAGTGTCGCTCGCCGCAAAAGCGACCATGCCCTCAACAGCCGTGATGCCGACCTACGAGACCGAGAAGCGGAGGTAGAACAATTAAAGAACTCAGTGGAGTGGCTACAGAAGGAAGTCACCCGCTTGACCAAGGATAATGAAGGATTGACTACCACCAACACCAACCTTGCCGCTACTCATGCCAATGAAATTCAAGTAGCCCGGGAGGAGTCCACCCGGGAACTGGATGGCCTACGCCTTCAGTATCAACAACTCTCGAATAGCTTGCAAGACACGGTGCGTCAGCAAATCGATGCGGCATTAGCTCAGAAGAACGCAGAGCTGCGCCGTCTCCGTGAGGACCTCGAGGCCGCCCGGGACAAGGTGAAGGAACTGCAGCATCAAATCGCAGCGTCAATGCAAGACGATATACTTATCTTCCGTGATGAGGACTATTTTGATGCTGCGTGCCAAAAGCTGTGTGGTCATGTGCAGCAGTGGGTGCTCCGTTTCTCTAAGCACTCCGACCACCGTCGCTGCCGCAAACTGGGCGACTTGCATGACGAAAAGGTTGCCGACCGATTTGACAATGCCCTTCTTGACGGCTCCGATGCGGATACCTACCTCGCAGACCGAGTACGCCGTCGTGATGTGTTCATGTCTGTGGTAATGACGATGGTGTGGGAGTTTGTCTTCACCAGGTACCTATTTGGAATGGACCGCGAGCAACGCCAGAAGCTCAAATCGCTTGAGAAACATTTGGGGGAAGTTGGTCCCCGCAGTGCCGTCCATCGCTGGCGAGCCACTACTCTTACTCTTCTTTCGAAGCGACCTGCCTTCTCCCGACAGCGTGAAAGCGACACTGAAGCTGTTGCCCTTGAAATCTTCAGTACTTTGTCACGTCTACTCCCGCCCCCAACACAAGTTGAGGCTCAGCTCCTAGAATCCCTACGAAAGGTGTTGCGCGTTGCCGTTAATCTTTCCGTGGAAATGCGTGCTCAGGTGGCCGAGTATATCATGCTACCTCCGCTGCAACCAGAATATGACACAAATGGCGATCTGTCCCGGCAGGTGTATTTCAATGCTTCTTTAATGAACGAGCGCAGTGGCGAGACCACGTCAAATGATGAGCTAGAAACACAGCAAGCTGTGGTCCGGGTTGTGCTGTTCCCCCTTGTTGTAAAGAAGGGCAACGACACAGGCGCCGGTGATGACGAAATTGTCGTCTGTCCGGCCCAGGTTCTTGTGGCCCGTCCAAAAGACAAGAAGGTTGTCCACATGTTGAGTGGTGACCGCATGTCAATCGACGGAGGCAGGTCAGTCCACAGCAACGCCCCCTCTTCAAACATGGACTTGAGCAATGTGATCTGAGGCGTCACACTCAGATCACGACTACTGCTCATGATATTTTACATTTGGGGGCTTTTCAAAACAAAAGAATTCTGTTTTCTGCGGTGGCACATTTGAGGCGTACGGTTACGGTCAAGCATGGATGGGTATGAACTCCCTACGGGGTAGTGGTTAATTCTCGGAGGACACTTTTCAAATTTCCTTTTTCTGATTAATATTCTCTTTTTTATGATGTGTATGTTTTTTCTATTTGTGATTTTTCTTTTCTTTCTATGGAAATCCGTTGCGATTATGAGGAAAAAGATGTGCCGTGGTTTTATTTTGTATGTAGTATGGCATTGATGCGTCATGACTAATGACTTTGTATTAATCGATAGAGTGATATACCATGTATCCTTTATTCCACATTGCCTTGTAGGTGTAAATGGGTCTGAGTGCGATATAAAGAAACTCCTTGGAGAGACACCATCAACATAGTACTGGCAGAGTAGCTCACTCGCTAGCAATCCCCATTTTCCAGTCCCACTAGCCACTACGAGCTCCTATTGATGCATTGAGTCGGGATATATGGAGTAGACATTATGATATGTATATTTTTAGGTGCCAAATATTGTACATGCAGCAGATTCGAAGCTTCACCATTTCCGGTGTCTTTGCTCCATAGGAGCAATGGATTTGGCGATGGTATCATGTGACTTGTCATAGGTAGTCACTACCACCCCAGAGTAGCAGGGATTCTTTTCCTGGAGGGATCATTGAATTCTTCTCCTCAACCCCATCTTGGCTGTCTGCTTTCCTTCTATTCCCATCCTCAATTAGCGTGATTTAGGGGGTCTTGATCCTTATCTCTGACTATTTTTTTTATGGAGTCTGTCTACCCTTACTTGCTGATTTGCCCCATGTTCCACCGCATCTTGCCACCCGCGTCATTGTCAACTGCTCTTGTTTCCACAACCTGGGCACTTGATCCCTGGCGCACCTGGTCTTGATATACACTACTGATTACAATGCTGAATTCATTTTCTGCTCCATCTGTTTGGATCGCATAACCATTGATTCTGCTGTAGCCCCCTGTTTTCTGCGGCCATTGTTGAAGGGGCCTAGGCGAGCCGGTCGTGGTTAAGCCTGACCGTCTTTTGCCCACCAGTCAGCCAGTCACTACCCATAGTGAAGCTTTGATCAGCACGGCCTCCGACATGCCTCCACCACAGCCATCGTCTATCTCTGGCAGGCGCTCCCAGCACAACGGTCACTCCGCCAGTACAGCTGGCCCTGCGAGACCTGGCACGATGGCCCCGGAGACAACGCAGGAGTCCCGCTCAGACAGCAAATCTGGCACCAGCAAATCAGCCAAGCGGAGGAAAAACCGCAATCGCAAGCGCCGTACCCGCCGCCAGTCATTTCTAGCTGCAGAAGAACCTCACGCTGGGGCTGCTTCTGTTCCAGGTCCCGACACCGAGACTACGGCCCCATTAGCGGCCAATCATCCCACTACTCCGTTCTACAAGTTGGGGAGACGTCTGAGTAACACAAGTCTGGAAAGTGAGGCCTTGTTGGATCATCGGTACGTTCAATTTCTACAATTTATACTTCGTTTTCTGCCTCAGAAAATAGCTGACGACGTTTGCTTGTTGGAACGAATGCAGAAACCAACCTATGATACCGCCGCGCAGAGACAGTCGTCTCGCTCAATCCTTTCGACCTGGCTCCTCGTCAACACCCTTCCGCTCTGGCGACGGAGGTTCTCTCAATCCTCTCTCGGCAATGAGAAATAACAATACAGGGAATGATAGTGACGATTCTGAGGCGGTGGATGATCGGACACCGCTGATGCGGCCCTCTTCGGGCCACACTTCCAACCTGCCTCGATACGGGGCAGATAGCCGATCGAGTCCCTACCCATCTCGTCCTCGACCAGCATCCGTTCATACAATCTCATCACGATGTTCTCCTCGCCATAACAGTCCTATGATCCCAGAGCCGGATCGCGATTATGATATTAACAATCCACCTTCCATGCCCACCTCACCCAAGGTGGGTCCAGAGATGGGATATGACGATGCAGTGGTCACTGGGGCGGAATTTGATTTTTCGTTGGCTAGATCTGTCGAAAATCGACGAGGCTCGATCTCTCTGCCGCATGACATGGTAATTGATATGGACGGTGATGAAACGCAGCACAGCCATTCAGACCCGCCCTCTCCATCGTCCTCCCGGCCAGGGTTACAGGATTCCCTCCGCCGGCGTCGAACCGTTGCGTTCCCCGTCGAGGAAGATGTTTGCCTCCCGATTGCGGAGCCGTCAGAAATGGCGGAAGAGGATATGCCACAAGTATCTCGGGATGGTAGCCGTAGGCGGAGGCGGCATAGGCAGTGGCCGGACCTTTCTATTCTGGACGAATGGAGTCGTGAAGAAAAAGAGGACCGGCATGGTGACTTCCGTACGAAACAAATTAGTGAACCGATGCTCATCGAGGGTCGATTGCGACCCCAATATCGCACGTGGCGGCGGGAGGAAGATGAGGTACCGTACCGGTTCACCTATTTCAACGAAGAATTCGATAGCACCATCCATGCCCAGACAATATCGGAATTGGTGCAGCCTGGAGGCAGCTTCCGCGATCTGTTCATCCCCGAACCTCCTGAGTTGGAAGATTCGTCGGACGAGGACGACGTGGAAACCGACCATCCAATCCGCGAGAGCACTCTTGGTACCGACATTCATAGCAATGGAATTAAGACTCCATCTAATGGGACATATGCCGCTAACCACCACTACAACATGAAGAACAACAATGGAAGTTACGATATCAAAAGCAACCATACCCCCACTGAAAATAAGCAGCAGCCCCGCGCGCATTCAATCATCAGCGAAGCCGTTTCGGATGCACGTGTATCAGAAGCACGACTATCTGCAGAAATGCCGGCTTTCAAAGAACAGCAACAGTCCAAACCGAAGCGTTATGGGCCCCGACCAGCCTTCTGGCTCGATGTTCTCTGCCCGACAGACGCCGAAATGAGGGTAATCGCCAAAGCATTTGGAATACACGCGCTTACAGCGGAAGACATTATGATGCAGGAGGCCCGAGAGAAGGTGGAGCTATTCAGGAATTACTACTTTGTCAATTACCGCACCTTCGAGCAGGACCCCAGTAGCGAGAATTACCTGCAGCCAGTGAACATGTATGTGGTGGTGTTCCGTGAAGGTGTGATATCCTTCCATTTCTCTCAGACACCCCACCCTGCCAACGTACGGCGACGTATCCGCCAACTTATGGATTATCTGATTCTGAGCTCCGACTGGATTTCTTACGCACTCATTGATGATATCACTGATGTGTTCGGCCCACTCATCCAGGCCATTGAAGACGAAGTCGACGAAATTGATGAGAACATTATGCACATGCACTCTCTCGGGCGGACTGCTACGTCTTCCAACAAGGAGGAAGGAAATGACGGTGTATCGACATCCCTCACCCCGGGTGAAATGTTGCGGCGAGTGGGTGAATCTCGCAAGAAGGTGATGGGTATGTACCGGCTTCTAAGCAACAAGGCGGATGTTGTCAAGGGGTTTGCCAAACGGTGTAATGAGCAGTGGGAAGTGGCACCGAAGTCAGAAATTGGCTTGTATCTGGGTGATATCCAGGATCATATCATGACTATGACGAGTAGTTTGACCTACTATGAGACGTATGTTCTCGATCTTCTCTGCCCGATTTCAAGCAATAACTGACCGAACTTCCATTAAAGCATATTGTCGCGAGCCCACTCCAACTACCTAGCACAGATCAACATTTTGATGAACGAGCGACAGGAACAGACGGCAGATGTGCTAGGGAAGCTCACCGTTCTTGGAACAATCGTGCTTCCCTTGAACATTATCTGTGGTATGTGGGGAATGAACGTCAAGGTCCCTGGCCAGGACGTGGACAGTCTAGATTGGTTTTGGTCGAGTATGGTTCCCTCTTCTTTTGCACCATCTATGATAATGGCTAACTTGTTTTACTTTTTCAGTTACTGCTGGGCTCATTCTCTTTGCCATTGCTTCGTTCTATATCGCGAAGCGAGTGTACAAAATTGTATAAATTGCAGGGCGTTTCATGAATGTCCTTGACTAATAATCTCGACAACGCCCATTGATAGAACTAGTATTTCTGTCAAGTAAGTTTGGATATTTATAAGACGTGATGATATTTTGGATACAACTTAGGGCGTCGATGCTTTTGCGGGCGAAGCAACCATATAACATTCTTGCTTGGTTGCTACTTACTTTGGTTCCTGTTCCATAATTTGGGGGGTCTTGGGTGTCTTAACCATCGATTCATAGATAGGTATAGGCTTGGGTGGCTTATTATATATAGATTCACAAATGGCAACAATTGTATCATAATCACAATAATCCAGAATACAGGGCATCCCATTTTGCCTCGCGATGGATGAGGTCATTATGACCGTCGGTAATTACCGAATGTGACCACCCGTTATCCCCAGCCGCAGCCAAAGTGAACGGTAATATTACCAGATCCCGTCACAGCCCGGTCACGCCCGCTCAGATTCACTTTTCGACCTTCATTCCTCGGTTTTCCTACGTGCTTTTTTCTCTCTCTTTTTTGCTTCTCTTTCTTGCTTCATCTTCCTCGTCTCTGTCCTTTATCTTCTTCTTCTCTATTTCACCATCATTTTTAACCCCATCTTCATCCTCGCCTCACCGCCATCCCCGTTCCCGTCCACCGTGGACCCTCTCTTCTCCCCCAGATCATTTGAAAGTCCTCGGGCCTTTATTGTTCCCGTCCACCGGTCTTCAGCCCTCAATCAAATCAATCGACACTCGACAGAAATACCAAAGCCTAAAAACTAAAACCCATCGAGCTTCTTGACGTGGGCAGCTGTTATTGGGCCTCGTATCTGTTCTTCCCCTGGACTCCGAGTGGGTGTGGATGTGATCCATATGCGCCCGTCAGTCAACGTCGCCTGCCCTGCAATTCTTTAACTGCGGTCAAGTCCTTTGGGGTCCTTGCTTCGACGGTCAACTGCGGCACAAGGACAATAATCCTCATCGTTGCATACCACCGACGTTACTACATTTCACGGAGTAATATTTGGGGTGTCTGGATTATTCTTCCCCGTTCCCAACCGGAACCACCCGCTGGAGCGAAGTTATTGTCGAGCCGGATCGACACCACTCGAACCACCGCGGCATTTGCTTGACGAAACAACCCTTGGCCCTGCTGAGAAGAAGGATTGGATGTTCTAGACTGGACATTCCGCGGGATTGTCTTCTGATCAAATTCTGGGACTCTTGGGCCACGTTCTGCCTGGGTTGTTCTAACGTTTCCTGAACATCCTCACCATAATTCGATTGTCTGTCTGCAGTCCGCCTGCAGTGGCTTATTTCCCTTATAGTATTTTCCTTTCTCCCTCCCCTCTGCCCCCCTCACCTTACAGCTATCCCCTCCTCTTTTTGTGATCCTGTCATCTCCCGTTTGCCATCCCCACCAGCATGTGGTCTGCGTCTATTCGTCCTTCTATTCTGTCATCCGTGTAACGCGTTTTGTGCGACAGAAGATCATCTTCCAACGCATCGGCTCCCACCCAACTCTACTGTCTGACTCTCCCCCCATATTTTCCTTGTTCCTTTTGTGTGCAAGACTTTTTTTATTTTTTTCATTTTGTACTTTTACCGTCTTTTCTTTTCTTTTTTTTTTTTTTTTTCACTCCCCTTCCCGGTTTCCTCTCGGGTCTCCTGACTTGTTCTAAGTCGTGTCAGAAAATCCTGACTCGATACAGGCCATGGCAGCGGAGTCCGAGAGGTCGCCTTACTCCAATGGTGCCTCTGGTCAATCCAGAGTGGCCCAAGATGATTCTGCATCTCGGCGATCCGCTAGTGAGAGTGACATGATGGAACTGCCACGCTCGACTGCCCTTATTAAATCCCAGGCTCCCATAATGTCCCAGTTGCCCAAATTTCCGCCATCTGCTTCTGGGATCTCTGCCCCAGCCTCAACGACCTCCTCGACCATCTCCTCCCGTGAAACATCGCCTGTTCGTACCTCACTCCGTGCCACAAATTCGAATTCGACCCATCGTGTCCCCTCCCGTTCTCGCAAAAGCAGTCACGATTGCAGCCCACCTCGGTCTGTCCCTGCTCAGAATCCTGGGTCAGGCACCGTTCCCTCTTCAACTGCCGTGCAAAGAGCGCTATCTCAGCCTTGCAAGCCGCTTATACTGAGCCCTCCGCCCGTTGAGGCGTCCCCCAATGCCCCAAGTCCCGAGAAATCCAATATGTTATGGGCCGCGACACGGAGGCCGGATCAGGACACCGCCCTCCCGAATATCTCGAGTAAACGATCGTTGGTACCACCAACTGAGGATCATACATCAAAGGGGGACCGGAGCACACCGCGTGCGGTGAACAGAGGCATCAATGGGTCCGGGTCCGCCCTCGAAACGGTTGAAGAAATGACCAGCGATCCATCCACACCCTCTACCGATACCGTTTTGAATAAGCCTACAGTGGACGAGTCACGCTTGCAAAAGATTGATGAGGATACGACGCCCCGGGCTTCGAAGAACAATACCGAAAGTGGCAGCGATAGTGGTGGGAACAAGAGTTCAGGCCCGGTGGAAAAGTCCCGCCGGCGTGCCTCGTCTCAGGGACACAAGAGGCCACATTCTGTAGTACCGAAACGGTCTTCTACGTCTTTGAGTGGCGGCGGTGCCCGTGGGAAGCCTGCCGATGGGTCTGTCCGAAACATGATTGTCGAGACCGAGACTGTGAGTTCAATCCCTCAGGTCTCGTTGGGTGTGGCAACCGGTGATCGAGGCAACACCGGTCGTGTCGATGGTGGCACTCTTCGAATGAAACCCAGCACCGAAACCATTCGCCCGAAAAAGGATAAGAAACGACCTCGCAAACCCGCTGCCCTGTCGAGTGGCACTGCTTCCTCCAAGGCGGACATCTTCGAAGCCAAAGTTGCGAGTGCGGTCGACGAGGCCGATGTGTCAGATTCCGATGAAACGTTTGTGTACGAATCGAACCCGCCAGATCCATACCCTGTCCGGCAGCAACGGTATCATTCTCGAACACCCAGTGCCACGTCCATGGCAAGCCAGGTTGATCAGCTCGCTGGTCGGGTGCGTAATCACAGTGTTACGGGTAAACGAAGCATGAAATTTACGAACAATACCTACAATAGCAGCGTGGATGGCGACGCTGGAGATGAAGCTGGCCGTGGTCCTTCGAGAGCCGACGGCACCGGTACACAGACCCCTCGCCATCATCAATTTAAGCGATACGGGCGCAACAACATGTATCCATCACTGTTTGATAACGAATCACCATTCCCGCAGCCCCAGCCGCACCTTAAATCTCCTCGACATTTCGTTGGGAACGGATTCAGACAGCCCAGGCACAACGGCTCGTCTCGCACTCTCCCAAACTATCGTACCATCAGCAACTCTAAGAAGGCAGGCGATGTGTACGGTTATGATTTCGATGCAGAAGGCGCCGATGATGAACGAACACCCTTGGTTGTTGGTACGCCCCGCGTGACACGAAGCCGCCATGGCGGCCGACGGCCCAACAGTGCGAGTTTACGGCAAATGGAATACATGCAACAGCGCCAACGCAGCTATTTTTCAAAATACGGCGCTTGTCTCATAATTTGTCTCATGCTTTTCCTCATTATTGGGGGCATCACCTCATTTGTCATCGCCATTACCAAACCGCTCATCGACGTCCAGGTCCTCGACATCCAAAATGTGCTCGCCTCGGAACAGGAAATCATGCTCGATTTGAAAGTTCAGGCAGTGAATCCGAACCTTTTTCCTGTGGCAGTTGATGATATGGACGTCAATATCTTTGCCAAGAGTCGTTTTGTGGGCACAGAAAGTTTGTGGCGTGACGGTGCCTACGATTCGGAACAATTTCCACGCGTGGAGCATAGCAGGAAACGTGCCGAGATGGCACAGGCTGTACGCTGCGTAGGGAGTACGGGATGTCTTGCGGATACGAAATCATCGGACCAGTCTTTGAAAATCCGCAACGGAGGTGTTGACAAGGGCACTGATCCCATTCCGAACGACCCTACCGGCGATCCACAAACAATGCTGCTTGGCCGAGTGTTTCGTTTTGACTCGCCTCTTGCCTTTGAGCCTTCCCCGTGGAACCATCTGACATCCAACTCCAAGGGACAAATACGTCTTTCTCGACCCGGAAACAAAACGGAAGAAGGTGGCACTGAACGGTGGGAGCGGGTTTTACAACATCCTTTTGACTTGATTGTCCGCGGAGTGATCAAGTATCAACTACCTTTGAGCTCCCGGTATTATTCTGCATCTGTCAGCTCCAAAACCCAAGTCATCCCAAATGATGATGGCAATAACGATGATGATGGTAATGATCCAGATGGTAATCATGATCCAGACGGAACTCCTGGGAAGAATGATACCGCCATATCAATGACAATGTTATCTCGGCCGAGGTTGCCTCCCCCTCGGCTTGTAATACCTGACGATGAAAAATTAGAGACCAAACCAGAGGCATCTGGAATGACTAGACGAGTCTTTACGGCCTGATTGATTATATTCTATCTGTGATTATACGACAGCAAGCGAACAGCTTTTTACTCTTTTTGTCTTTTTCTTTTCTTTCTTCCCTTCTTGTATACCCTTGCCTCATTATTGTTTTCTATTATTTCTCATGAAATTTTACTGTCTTGGGCCTCTGGAATGGGGCCAATCAATGTAATGGTGGTTCCTGTCACGATTGGACTCGCCAGTGTTTCTGTTTAATCAGCCCTGGACTTCAGATATTATGATTCAATTGGTTTCTCTTTCCTTGATAAAAGAGATCGAAATCCTACATGTTTATATATTTATATGCTGCCATTCATTTTGAGATATTCAAGTCTCTTTCCCTTTGTTCTTTGAATATACTTTACCCTTCTTTTGGGGGGAGGTTTCCCCAAATGATGTGATGATTTGACATATTGTCTAAAACAGTTGACTGCACAGAAAAAGCATGCATAGAGCGGGAAGATCAAAAATTGATACTATGCATCAGCCTGGCGTTCCCCTCCTTTTTTAAAAACTTGGGTTCTTTGTCTTCCTTTTGTCTTGTTCTCGGAATTGTTTGATTAGAGAGCTTTGACTGGGTGCAATGTATGTATGCATGTACATAAGACCTTAATTTCCGGCATGAAGATTGGCTACTCCAGCATATCTGGCTATTAAATCCCTGGGCTTATGAATTATATTATAGATAGGGGTCTAGAAGAGTACTTATTAATGCGGGGAATTATAATGAGCGGAATATAAAACAAGCTTCTTAAATTCAAGAGTAACCAAGCTTAGACAGTCTACAGTTGAAGAAATACCATGCCCATGGAAATCACATAATTTATTTCGAAATAGACCATAATTTATCATAACAACGTCGTTAATATCATGTAATACAGCATAACAGGTCATCTCAAGTCTTTTGAATACATAAAGCAGAAGGCCACACAACTAGTTGCGTTCAAAGGGACAGGGGAAAATTAACAGAAAAGACAATTAGAATAACACCTTACTGATATCTCTAATCAAATCCTCCAATCTATCTACCACTGGATCATTTTCCCGCTGTGGCAACAGTTTACCTTGCGAGTCGAATCGAGCCGGCAAATCGATAGTTGAATCCGAGTCAGATCCGATGTTTTTACCAGCATCCAAGGTAGTAGAAGATCCACCACCGGGTCTAGATTTAGTATTGGATTTTGAAGAATATGGATCGGAAGAACAGCGGCGATGGTAGCCATGCTGACGATCGCCTTTCAATGAGCCAATCGTTGAATCACTATCATCAGTTTCGTAACCCGGGTCCATTTGGCGATCGTGCGAGGTCCCCGAATTCAGGTCAAAAGAAACAGATTTTGGCAGGGCTGGATGGCTAACAGCGCGTGATCTCCGTTTTTTGGCACGCGGCGTTCCGAGGGGAGGGAATGCTTCTAGACCTGAACGAAGGCAGTTAGCAACAATGCCTAATCATTTAGGAGTCTCTGTTCCCTAGACCCACCATCTTGTGTGTGGTATTTAGCAGTGGGGAAGGGCCAGTTTTGTGCAGCACTCACATTCTCATCTGCCCTTCGGGGCCGGGGCGCATACGGATCTGGTCCTGGAGGAGGCGGATACCCATACGGTTGCGGGGGCGGAGCTGCTCCAGGAGGTGGTGGATAGTCTGCTGGGCGATACGGTGCTCCATTGCTCGCCGGATGAGGAGCTGAGCTCGGGGGCGGCGCAAAGTAGTTGGTATTAGGGTAGTACTGGCGATCATCGATTTGCTGCTGAGGCGCGGCAGGGGGAGAAGGTGGGTAGGGCTCGGGGTTGTACGACTCTTCGTACGGATCCCGGCTCACATTATCGTCATCATACCCTGGTTTCTGTCAATACACGAACGTGCGGGTTATATTTCTCAATAGTAGGGAGAGACCTTACCAGGTCTGTCTCTATCCTGACCAGCCTTCTTACGATCCTTCCGCTGTGAATATTTGTGAGCTGCATATCCCGCTCCTGTGGCGGCCAGGGCAGCTCCTGCTAGGTCGCGAGACCTGTGGTGACTCTTTCGTCGTCTACCACTGTCCTGGTCTGAGTCCGATGTACTGCCGTATCTGACACCCCGGCTGCGGCTGCGGCTGCGACTGCGGCTACGGTCCCGATTTCTTGAAGAGCCATATCCTGCAGCACCACTAGCCACGGGATCGGTGGCATCGGAGTAATAGCCGGACGGAGACGGTGATCTGCCATAGTAGTTTGCAGTTGGGATGCTTCCATGAACTGGATCGCGGCCATACTCGATAAGGCCAGCTGAGTCTCGTGAAGGATCTGGGTAAACTTCTGACGGGGTCCTGCTTCTGGACCTGGATCGCCGCCGTTCTCTGTGCCTAGACCCATCTTCGCCTTCCTTCTTTCGGTCCTGGCTTTTTTCATACAGGCCGGTGGCAGCTGCTGTTCCTAAACCAGCCGCCACGACAGGGAGGGCCTGGCGGAATCTGCTGTGAGACCGAGACCGTTCACCTTTGCGAGAACGCGAATGGCTGCGGGCCCTTTCCACAAGGCCAGCTACCGCGGCGCCTGCCAGACCGGCTCCCGCCATGTGCTTTCTCCGCTGTGACTGACTTCGAGTCTCGTCATCGTCACCATCGCCATCGCCTGTTCGCGACCTTGCCCTGCTCCTGCTCCTGCTAGAGGTACGACGGCGGGAGCGACTGCGCCTGTCATCTTTTGACTTTGATTTACTGCGTGCGAGAGCGACAGCACCGGCTATAGCAGCAGCACCCAGGCCAAGTTCTGTCAAGGTCTTGGCTCGGGAGTGAGAATGTGAGCGGCTTCGACTGCGACTCCGACGGCTGTGGCTATGGCTATGGCCATGACGATGGCGGCGGCGACGACGGTGATGATGAGAGCCGTGGTCGTCATCAAACGAATGAGAACGGTGCCGGCTTTTGCTGCGATAGTAGTCTCTGGCCCGCGAGGCCGCATTGACGGCAACAGCTCCTAGAGCACCAGCGCCTACGGTTCGGCCGAGACGACCCGCGCCATCAGACACCTCTTCGCCTTCCTTCTTCCGATGGCTACGGTATAGTTCAGCAGCACCTGCACCAACCAGAGCACCCTCAGCAAGGTGGCGTCGGTGATGTGGGTGGTCGTCGTATTCACGGGTCTCTTTGCGAACATAAACCATGCTGTCATCACTGCTGTAGTCCTGGTCATCACGCCGACGGCTAGCCTGGGAGATCGAGTCGGCGGGACTAAGCTCTCGGCGAAGGCGACGGTCATCCTCATACTCGCGGAAACGTCGGTGATGATAGTGGGGGTCTCTATCAACCTCTGATCGGTGGACAACATCGTAGTCGGATTCGCGCGGGTTGATGTAGATGGGGCCTCGAGCTTTATGAATTATTACCGGCTGGCCTTGGGGGATCACAATGGGTGTAGGGGACAGCTCCGATCCAGCCAGGTGGTCCACAGACCGGGAGTGGCGGCTAGGATGGTGGGATTCAGTATACTCACGCTCGTAGTAATCTCGCTCGGAGCGATAGCGAGGCTCGTAGTCGACGTCACGTTCATAACGACGGACGAGGACGGGGTCGTCATGGTGGTCGGTAGAGCGCCGAACCATCAGTTCTCGATCCCCGGTATAAGGATCCTCGCGGCGAACGAGATAGTCGCGCTCTCGCTCATCTTCAGGAGGAATGACGTAACGCTTGATTGAGACGCTAGAACGAGGTTCGTCCCAATCACGCTCTCTATCGCGTTCTCTGTATATGTATGACATGGGGGAATGGACAGAAGATGGATGAGTTTAGGGGTGTTGAAAAAAAGATGGAAAAAGGACGAGGGGAGAAGAGAAGAGAAGAGAAGAGGTGATGATGAAATGATGAAGCAAAGAATTCGGCGATGACTGATGGGAATGTGGAGGCGCAGAGAAAGTGGGGTAGAAAACAGGACGTTGACGATCAGCGCGGGCGAACTGGGCGAAATTACATCAACAAGAGTGAAGGTAAAGAGGATCGATCACCTTGAGGCTCTGCGAAGAGATGAGACGAAGGTGATGATATTTATGTAGACGAGATCAGGAGACACAAAGGATTGTGAGCGCTAGGATATCAGGCGTTGGTGGTCAACAAGCAGGGTCGAATGTTGATGAAACGAGACGGTGGAGGGGCAATATCAATATGACACGGGTATTGTCTTGAAGAAACAGTAGCAGATGAAGATGGTGTAATTGGCAGTCATGGAAGATGGATGAAATCGAAAGAAGGTGAAATGGACGAGATGAAGTTAAGAAGGTGGAAGACGAGGATAGAACACCACGTGAACGCGATGGTGAAGCCAAAGAAAGACAAGACAAAGACAGCTTCACTATCGGATCAATGGGAATCTCGCATTCTCTTCACTCTACGTCTTCTTTTTTTGCTGAAACAGCTGCAAAAACATTCTATGATACAACAATGACTCAAAGAAAACGAGGCGCAGTTCTATCCTGGTCCCTGATTTGCCTCTTTGTTGCCCATCCAGGCTCCCTCGTATTGGGGCAACATTCGCGGAATCCGATTGATAGAGATGCCATCAAGACCCGTTGGCTCCATCTCTGGTTGCCCCTTTGCTGTTCCCTGGATATTCCATCGGTTGACAGATGGCTGTTCCATGGATCCTTTGTGTGGATAATCAACCTTCTCCTTAAAAAAAGAAAAAAGAAAAGAAAAGAAAATTGGAAAAAAAGGAAAAACAACGGTCAAGAACGTGCTGCAAAAAAGAAAAAAAGGCAAATAAGGCAACCTCTTGTTTCTGCTGGATCCCACTTGTTCTCTGTGGAAAAAGAAAAACCCACATAAAATCTCGAGTGTCTTGCAGCCCCAAGTTGCGCCGAGTTACGCCGAGTTGCCTCAACTTTCCAGCCTCAGTCCAGGTACTCGGATCCATCCCACATCGTCCAGATATGATACATCTATGATCTACACTCTGCCATGTGTTGGAAAATCTCGCCTATCCGTATGTCATTTGCCACGCGTGCAGTTGGTTCTGGAGGCGTCCGACTATTGAGTCGGGGAGGACTTCATCGCCACAGGCATGAATAACGAGATGCAGAGTGAGCCGTGGCCTCGTCCTATCATCTCCTCGAATTCTTCTGCAGTCGGTAATCCCCCTCGGTTCCTCTCAAACGATCCCTTGTTGCTGCATGGCGTTCTTGAACTGCCTTTTTCTTTCTCGTCAGCCCCCGTGTCCCGTCGAGATCTACCAATAACCACCGCCACAGATCCTATGATCTGTCATTGCAGATGCGAACGAAGTTTTCTAGAAGCCCTTCCTTCGAAGGATCGACGTCGATCCTCAGGCTCACGGACGGCCCTCAACCTTTCCCCGGACCAGTCCCGATTCGTGTGATAGGATGGGGTGCTATTCCCAACTAATATTTCCATCTGTATGCACTATGTCGTGCTACATGCCCCGTGCCTTGGGCCCTGGGGTCTGAGAGTAAGAACGGGGTTTTCCGTCGTGTATCGTGTGTTTGGAACTTGGGGAGGACGCCGTGACGCAGGTTCGAGAGATCGGGTGTCAAAATAGATGATCAACTGGTCTTTTCCGATGGTCGGCTACGGACAACAGGATCGGATCCATTTCGGTTTCGCGAGGTGTTGGTCTATTCGCGCGACTAGTGTGCACTGCGACTTTGTGTCGTCAACCATGCAGGGATTCTGCCATTCTCACCATGGCCAATGCCACCATCATATCGCGCACTATTAGTTATTCTCTACCGAATCTACTTCTACTATTACTACAGGTAAGGCAGTGGCTCCATCAATAATGCTGCATGACAAACCTCGCACTTGGACCCAACTTGCAGCAATTAGAACCCTGCACATGATCCGTACTAAGCGCCCGGTCAGCGACTTAGCAGCCAGCACGCTCAAATTGGTTGATAATAATTATCTGTGTCCAACCCCCCTTAAGCTAATTCCTCGAGGCAGCACGCAAGGGGGCGATCGACGGTGCCACGCTTTTGCTTAGTCTTACTCCGTACAGGGATGCATGCCAGATGGCAGTGGCAAGGTTACAAGTGACGGAAAAGAGCCTCGGCAGAAGTCCATCTCTACATAATCCACAATTGTACGGTTTGATCACCACAAGCCCAGATTCTCAAGAACTGGAGAAACGAGATTTCAGCCTTGGAATGGGTCCAACCCCAGACACAGTATCTCACTATGGAGGAGTATCATGTATGTGCATATTTAGTAGGTCCACGGCAAAAGTGGTCCATGACCGTACGATCTGTCATACCCATCTGTGATCCAGCAGTTCCCTCATCTGGAATGGAATCGACGAGCAAACTCTTTTTTTTGCTTTCTCGACGCATGGCAGAGGGATCAGCGTTGGGGGGAACCTTGATGGGCTTGATCACCGTGATCACCTCTTGGAGGCGCCATGCATGGTGTAGAGTTTTCATGCTTTTATTTGATTTCATATTTTATTTTTCTTCTTTGCCATTCTAGAAGACGCATCATTATTGACGCAGAGATAATGTTTCGGTGTGCAATCGTGCATGGGACTGGAGAGTCTGAGTCGGGGGGAAGACGTTAAAAAAGAAATAAAGGGGGGGAGGGAAGATCCTATACAGGGTATATTAATCTAGTTCCATCCAGGACGGGGGTTTTACTCGATTGAATTATCTCTTGTCTCCAGCATCATCGTGAGAGAAGAAGAGAGAAGAGCAAAAAAAAAAAGAAAACATTCTACCAGAAGATCGTCTGAACTCCTCTTTTTCTCCTCCCCCTTACAAGTTACAAATCATTTGTCTCCAACTGATCGCCGTCCGAACCGTCCAACTTTAAAGCATCATCTCCCCGCTTATCCCCAGCACCTCCTGGGTGTCAGACTGCATTTATCTATCGATCGGTTAGCTGCCTATCACTGTCCTTTTTCCATCCGCCTTTTTATTTTCTTTCTCTTCTCTATCACACACCCACACACGCGGAATACATGCTGGAGATTGTGTGAAAATAAGCCTTTGTTTATTCACTGTCCACCTCCATCGATCGATTCTCCCCACTCGCGATGGCCTCCATCGCTCGTCCAGGAGGCAAACGATTACCTATTAGCTGTCAGGCATGTCGCACCAGAAAGATTCGCTGCTCTCGTGATGGACGACCGTGCCAGACCTGCGTCCGAAGAGGACTCGGTGCAGAAGACTGCATTTATTTAGGCCAGCCCCGACTGTCATCCGAACAGACCGCGACCGCCGACACCATGGTGCATAACGAACTGCTCGCCCGGATCCGCAATCTGGAGGAACAGCTCCATAAACAAGTCGGCTCAAATTCGAATTCCAACTCACAGGGCATCAGCAGTAGCGCTGGCAGCAACAGCGATCCTCTGTCACCGCAAACGACTCCGAGCGCGACCGGCAGCGCGTCCGAATCGGACAGCGCCATCGGGATGGAGCCGCGAGGGCCATTGCTGGGCAATGTGGGCTCTCTCCAAACATTTACATCGGGCTATGTTCGCTACTTGCCCTCAGCGTCGCAGTGGAATTCGGTGGTCAAGAGTTCCACCGGAAGTGATTGTCTACAGAATATCGATGCCGAGATCCCCGACGACGACGACGATTTGCAAATCCCCTTGGTTCGGAATGGAAGTGTCTCGAGAGGAGAACTGCTGGCAATTCTCCCTCCTGGTCGATACTGTGATACTCTCAAGGATGTTTATTTCCGTGTCTTTTCTCCGGTGTGTTTCGCTTTCCTTTCTTGGAAGATAGCAAGCCGTGCTGACCGTGATTGATAGCTTTTCCATATTCTACACGACCTGACCTTCGAAGCCGAATACCAGCAATTCTGCCATGACGCTGGCAGCGTGTCATTGTCATGGCTAGCGTTGCTATTCACCATCCTGGGCATTGCCGTCACAGCCTTGGATGACGATGACCTTTTACTGTCCGACCTGGGCCGTGAGAAGACAGTCAGCCGGAACATCAAGGTGCTCTCCTCGCGATACCGATCCGCGGCAATGCGCTGTTTGGCTGCCGACGGTGTCACATCGCGCCACTCTATCAACTCCCTCCAAACACTTGTGCTCATCTGCTATGCACGAACCCACCGAGGGTTGCCGACCTGGACCTTGCTGGGCTTCTCACACCACGTGGCCATCTCTATGGGCTGCCACATCGACCCCGAGCGATTTGCGCTGGGTCCTATCGAGCGGGAAGAGCGACGACGAGCATGGGCTGGTCTCATGATGCTGTACACCATCCAAAATTCTTCCTTTGGCAGTCTCGACCAACGGCTTCTCGCCCAGGATGTGAAGCTACCAGCCGATATCAACGACGTGGACCTGCTCACGGGCTCAGAACCCAGTACACGCCCCACCCAAATGACCTATCTTCTGTTGAAATTCCGCCTCTACAAGATCTCCGCGATGATCTGCGAGGCCATCTTCAGCTTCCCTTACAGACCACGCCTGACCGTGCCGCAACTCGAGTCCGAGATCCTCGCCGTCCAGGAACGATGCGATGCGCAATACCAGTTTGACACGAGCCGCGGACCCTTGCCGACCCACCACCTTGCCAACCTGAACATCCTCTACAGCTATATCCACCAGCTCTTCCTGCTCCTTCTCCGCCCCAGTCTCTGCCGTTATCTTCAGGGCGAAATCACACCCGATACCTGCGCGGCCAGAGCTAAGTGTGTGGCATCCGCCAAGGCATCTCTGGTTATCTATCAGTCGCTCTACGAGTCGTCTCAGTTTGCACAATACAAATGGTACAATGGCGGTCTAGGCAGTTTCCACGCATTTCATTCGGCAGTGGTCTTGTCTGTCGTTATGATGAATCCCAGCAGCCAGTCAGAATTCGTCGAAATCAAGGATATTTTATGGAATTCCTTGGATGTCTTTGCTGCGTTGTCCAACCGCAGCGCATTCTGCAGCAAGGCAGTGCCAATCTTACGACAGATTATGTACGTCACCCCCCTTCCCCCTTCCTATACCCAAATAAAGCGAGAGAAACTAACAGACAAAAGTGATGTTGCTTGCTCCCGCCAGCAACAACAGCAGATTTTCAACGCCGAATCCGTCGTCACCCCTCCCACTACCTTCATGGCCCCAACCCCAACGCATCCTTCAAGCCCCGAATATGGTACTCCGATCGAGAATTTCTTCCCGCAACTTCACCCGCAGAACTGGGTGGGCCCTTCCTCTGTGCCCTGGGACGGGTTTGGAATCCTCACAATGGATCAGTGTGGATTTGGTCAGGTTCCGGGGTAATTTGAAGCTCCGTTGTCTCTTTGAGACTTAGAGCTTTAAATTTACTACCAGGGCTTATATCTTGGTTTGAGTCCTCGGCAGGACCGGGGGTTCGAAAAGGACACCTACCCAAAGGATAACCAGCCAGTCAGGGGTCACTCCAGACATCCCCCAGCGCCCGAAGTCGGGGAGGACTAAAAAAGACAGTATAGAGTAACAGGGCAAGAGTCTTGATTTACTCAACAGAAACCCTTACTACATGCTGCACTCTACTGCACCGTTTGGGTGTGGAATACACGAGCACAAGAATGGCTTCGAGCCCGATCTGAAATATGATCCGGTTTTGAAAAGCCTCACCAAGTACTGGTCTGAAATGAAGAAATTCTGAATTCGTGATCATTGGAAACAACATGCCACCAGACATGAAAGGCCAGTACGTCAATGAAAAAACAAATCGACCAAAATCGCGTTGGTTAGTCAGTGTCTCTCACTGATCCAGCGACCTCTACATGCTGCGAACCCATTTTGGCGACATTATCGGGCGCGATGACCCTGTCGCCGAATGCAGCGGCGATTTCCTCCAGTGTCTTCTGTTTAGTTTCACTAAAACATTCAAAATGTCAGACTGTTTCTCACATAATAGCAATTCTTCTTTCTTTCTGTAGGAGTGACTCACGGGAAGTAGAGATAGGCAACGGCCAGGAAGAAGCAGGAACACACCACGAAGACGTAGTAGTAGTTTTCGTGGATGTTGGCAAACGCACTTGGGCCGGCTTCGGTGACTGCAGACAAAGTATTAGAAAGCCCTTTGACTTAGTCGGGATATAAAAAATCTCACCAGCGACGTTGACGATGAAATGAGACGCCGCTGCTAAGCCCATCACCTTACTTCGAAGGGCAATAGGTAGAACCTCAGCGCCGTATAGCCAGGTCGTACTGTTAAGCATACCATCTGCAGATCGCCACATCAGATAAACGAAACTTCGACGGAAATTTTCTTTTTAAGACGCGTGAGACACGTAAGACTAGACTCACAGTAGGCAACCACGAATAGATAAATTCCAAGAATAGCAAACCCCTTTCCGACGCGGTTGTCGGTGTTCTGGAATTCTCGTTGCATGACAGCAGCATAGATCTCGATAAGGATAATCCCCGCGAGACCGGAGATTAACATTCTAGAACATGTCAACATTTTTTACTTTCAGCCGATCCACTGTAGACGTACTTTCGTCGACCCCACTGATCAGTAAGGTATTTTGTTGTCGCGCAGTTGATGATGAAGGCCACGGTGCCGTATACGGCGGCCAAGGCAAGAATGGAGTGCGAGCCGATGCCTAATGATTTGTATAGAATTGCTGCAAATGCCAGTTAAATTTATGAGGTCTCCTATATGTTGGAGGAGACTCACTCTGATAGTACTATGAATGCCTCTCGTTAGTCGTCTTCTGTTAATTGATCACGACAACCAACATACCTGAATCACATTCACACCAGTAAGACTTGTCATTGTTTGAACAGCAATCGATCTGGGACATATTAGTATTATCACATGCATAGCTTCTCATAACCTACACGAGCACACGGTGTCTGAAAAGCTTGAAGATCTCCCGGTACGAAGTAATCTCTCGTTCCATTTCGTACTCGATCTGCGTACGCATGAGCATAAACTCCTCGTTCACCTCATGCGAATGCAAATCCCGTCGTATCCTGCTGAACTCGCTGCGCGCTTGCTCGACCTTGCCGCTTCGAATGAGATGGCGAGGAGAATCAGGCATGAAGATGAGCAGGCCAAAGAACATGATGATACCCCACGGGATCTGAATCCCCAAAGGCAATCTCCATTGTACCGGTCCGTATGAGGCGTAGCTACATGCATATCCGACCCAATTTGATGCCATGGTTCCAAAGGAGATACCGCAGCCTGATATCCCTCCGATCAGACCCCGATAGCGAGGATCTGAGATTTCGCTTAGGTAGATGGGTACGGTGCCAACTAGTCCTCTGATGGCCAAGGGTTAGTGATATGAAACTTTCGCGATTTATCCTGTCGTGAAACCCTCAGAATTCACTCACCCAACAGCATATCCGGCCAGGGCACGACCCGCAAGGAACATCCCAATGTTGACCGACGCTGTTTGAATGACAGTCCCAATTGTGACAATAATACACATCATCTCCATAAATCGAAGACGGCCTAGTTTGTCTCCGATAAACGTCTGAGTGAAGGCACCGACTGCCTCACCGGCAATGTAAACAGCGACGACCTGGAGAAGTTAGACATCATCCATGCCAGTGTGTATGTATAGCCTTGACATACAGCACCGGTGAGCCCCTCTGAGGGGTGGCCCATATAATCGATCCAGCTTTCATGGGCGATTGCTAAGGAATCTACTCAGTCCTTCTGCTCTGGTTAAAATGACCAGCCCGCACTTACTCGTCGTCGCAATACCCGTATCAAAGCCCTACTCCACGGGTGATTAGGATCTCTCAAAGCCCCACGTTTCATGGGCAGTAGATCTACTCACGAATAGAAACGTGCCAATTGCGGCAAAAAGAGCAACGCCAACCGAATACCACAGAGTCATCTTATCGAGTTTCCAGCATAAAAAAGAGAGCAAGCCATCAACCCTGCGACCAGAAAAAGCAGTCTATCATCGTTAAGAAGGCAGTCAAGCAACGGGCGATGTCCGACCTGCCGAGTGTGTGTAACGCTGAACATGCCACTCGGAGGACTGCCGATAAGAGGCGCCCATTGGGTTCAAAGCCGGGGAAGGTTGCAGAATACGGGGAAGCTATTGCGGGGTTATCCCTCGAGACAAGAAAAGTCACTTGAGCGATTGAGCCTATGTAAGGACTGAATACGGGGTTTTCCATCGTAAGGTAGCTTCCAGTCAAGTGAAGATTCATTATTCCATTGCAAATGAGCCATAGTGATGCTTTTATTTCGTACACAGGCTGCTGCAAGGCAGATTATGAAAGTAGTATGGGTAGAACAGTGTTCCCATATAGCAATGGTGGAAAAAACAGGTTTCAACGAGGATGTGGTAGATGGCGAAGAAGAGCAAGGAGAGAAGAGGAAGAAAAGGACGTGGAGGGGTAGTGGTCAACACAAACAGCGCACGACGTCTTTCTGCTCGTCTGCTTCCCTTCCCTTCTTCTGTTCTTCTTCTCTTATGCAAAACCCCCACCACCTCTCTTTTCGTCACTCTCCCACAACACGAGCGACTTGTTTGCTTCCTTATTAATTAGTATGGAAATGCTATTCCGCCAAACTAATTTCAGAATGGAATGGTATCCATCTATTCCGTCTGATGAACATCTATTAGTGCCACTTTGCTGACGGGGAGACGGTCCGAAACAGACCGTCAAATCCACAGATGATCACTACAACCACATCGTCTACCGCCAGTTCCATCGAAATCGATACACACAACGTGACACCATAATGATGAGACAATAATTTCCATTGTCCTGTACCAGTTCATGGTGGATCGCCCATTGAATTCGTCATACAGAGAGGGGCAGGGCGGCAGACTCGTCAATTTTAACTTTTTGGTCTCAAGTGCACACCAAACATTGGTGGCCGCAGCCACACATGGTACGGATACGAGCCTTCAGTTTCGCTAAAGTGGCACTGGCATCTGCATGCCCTCTTAGGGCGGTTTGTCGGAAGTAACTAGCAAAGTTACCGAGTGGAGAAATACGACATGTGTCCCAACTGCTGTTGAGTTCGTCGACAAGGATCCCCTCGAGTTGACGAGACCGCTCCTGTGTCTTTTACTCCATGCAGGAAAGGCTGCTGGGGCCAAAGGTAGCCCCCTGTTTAGCGGAAACAAAAAAAAAAGGGCATTTCAAATTCACAAATCCTTTAGGACCCATCAGAGAAGGTTAGTAGGATGCATCGTGTTTCATTTTGCTGCTCTTTCTCCCAGCGAGTTGATGCTATGGCACCAATGAACCCTGCCAAATTAACGATCTGCGGGACTTACTGGGGCGTGTTAGTAGTTGAGCGTTAAGGTACCGCATATCAATTCAGGAGGGGGGTTCTTCCAAATTGAAATTTCATGTTGCGATGATTCCTACGTTGTCTCAATCCCAGGATTCTTTTCACTCCAAGTCTACTTTGTATTGTTCGACATCATTCCTGAAACCCAGTCACCATGTCGCCATCGATCATCACCCAACCCAGTTGGACTAAATCCATGTCCAACATTGAGCCATACAAAGGACCTCCGAGAAATATCGAAGCAATTGATGCAATTGACTTTGGTGAAAACTTGAAGCCAAAGAACTATGAGATCTTCGGCACCCATTCGGAGTCCAAGATCTTGATTCTGGACGTTCAGATCATCGACTCGACAGGCCAAGAGCCTTACCGTGGCGATGTTCTCATTGAAGGTTAGTTGAGACCGTGAATATTCATGCCATTGAAGTGCCTGGTCTAACGCTGGTGGTTACGTGGCATAGGAGAGCGGTTTACCGCAGTCGGTATCGTCCCCAACAAAGAACAACTCCAGAAGGACCCCAAAGTTCGCAAATTCTATGGCAAAGGCAGGACCTTAATGTCTGGAATGGGGGATGCCCACACTCACCTCTCATGGAATGGAGGTGACTTGGGTCGGTTGGGCGAATTGGAAGTAGAGGAACACACTCTCCTCACCGCCAAAAGTGCTCAATGCTACCTGGACTCAGGATATACCATGTACGTTTCTACAGTGCGATCCATGTCCAATATGCCCAGATACTAATCTCGGATCCGTATTCAAGGTGCTGGGGAGCGGCGTCTGCAAAGGACAGATTAGATGTCGTTGTTCGTAACTCTATCAACGCCGGTGACATTCCTGGGCCTCGCTATCTCGCCAACGCCAAGGAGATTTGTCGAAGAGATGGCGACCTCGTCCCGGGAATTACAGCTTACGCCGATGGTCCAGATGAGATGAGAGAGGTGGTTCGCCGCCATGTCGACTTGGGTGTCGATCAGGTCAAACTCAGCATGTCCGGAGAAGCGGTGAGTAGGATTTCCTTTCCTACTTGGATTGGAGTGCATTCAGCTAATCCGAGGTATACGAAGATCACGGAAGTTCGCTCTGCTCTGGACTGTTACTTCACAGACGAAGAAACCGCTGCATGCGTGGACGAGGCTCACAAGCATGGCCGTAGGCTATGCGCTCATGCCCGTGCACGAGACTCGGTGACCATGTGCGCCCGACACGGTGTGGATGTCATATTCCACGCCTCTTATGTCGATGATGAGGGTAAGGGAGTGGAGCAAGAACTTGACCCATCTATCAATATGTCTTGGGCATGGCTAATATTTGTGCAGGGATGAATATGCTGGAAGACAACAAGACCCGACATGTTGTCGTGCCCGCGCTAAACTTCCCAGTGAGCATCTTGGAAGATGGAGAACGTTTTGGATACGCGAGATCCAAAGCCGAGCAAGTAGGCTACAAGACGGAACTTGATACAGCAATCCTAGGGTTGCGTGAGATGCACCGACGGGGGATTGTTGTGCTTCCGGGAGGGTATGTACTTCCGCTTGACCCCTGTAATAATCCCGGCCTAACACTGAAGTACAGGGATTATGGCTTCGCTTGGACTCCACACGGAACATATGCCCGTGACCTTGCCCTTTTCACTAATTTGCTGGGCTTTACCCCCCACGAGGCGATTATTTCTGCAACGGCCGGCGTCGCGAAGCTCTTCATGCGCGAAAATGAGCTGGGTAAGATCAAGCCCGGATATTATGCAGACTGTGTTCTTGTGGATGGCAATCCTCTGGACGACATTGAGATCCTGCAAGATCACTCAAAACTCAATATTATCATGATCAATGGACGCGTGCACAAGGCGGGTCGGAAAGAGTACATCGCGCCCATGGTCGATGGGACGAACGGTGTCACATATGAAGCCGATCTTGACACGGAATTTCCCGAGGTCAAGAAGGTCATGCAGAAGGATTATTAACGGTAGGCGAGGACATCGAGCAATCGGCGTGTGTATATCAAAACCGGAAGCTTGCTTCAGTTTGGGTATTTGAAAAGATAGTTAATGCGATTCATGTCTGTATACCTGCATGTGCTGCGAGTATAGATGCGCACTATACATCATAACGATGGAATAAATGTTATCCTAGAAAGCTTATCAGTACCTGCGAACTCTAGTAATCGTCAAGGTTGGGTATCGCCTGTCATAATCCACCACGTATCGGTAGCATTTTACCATCGAAACGTAAGCAGGTAAGCAGATAAGACTGTCTGGTCGAAAGCCACAATTGAACTGTGTATCTACATAGTAGACACTCTACACAGGGTACTTCCACGACACAAGTGTCTAGTCGATGCCCTACAGTCGAACGGTCTTGTGAAGATAAATAAGAGATTCGTGAAGAGACTCATAAACTAGGAGTCATGATTTTCTTAAATATGAATTCCTATTTCATTTTTTTTCCATTGCCAGTATGTCATAAGCCCCCCGCCGGAAGTATTGGAGCAGATGCAATGCAGGAAACCCGAGCCGAACAAGAAAATCGCAAGCTTAGAAAACAAGGGCGGCACCCTTGGTCTTCTTATCACCACTGTAGAGAAGAAATAAAATTAGCATCATGATCAAGGCGCGAATAGTTGATAATAAAAGATATAGCGTACCCCAACTCGAAGTGCTTGCATCTCTTGAGAGCGAGCTGCTTCTTGGTCTTGCAGGCAGTGCACTCCAGACGCAGGACGATCTTCTTGGTGGTCTTGGCCTTCTTGTGGAAGACGGGCTTGGTCTGACCACCGTAACCGCTCTGCTTTCGGTCGTAACGACGCTTACCCTGGGCGGCAAGGGAGGCCTATGTATCACATCTGGATTAGCATGTGCTGTCATTATCTCGAAACCGTGGGGTCGCTATTCACCTTTCCAGCCTTGTACTGGGTGACCTTGTGCTGGGTGTGCTTGTGGCACTCCTTGGACTTGCAGTACGTCCGGCGGGTTTTGGGAACGTTGACCTGAAGGGCGCAAAAGAGATATAATCAGCGTCTGTCAAAACGTGGTACAAATGTTTGCTGCTGCTGCTCCAAATTCCTGTTCATCGAAGAAGATTGTTCGAAATCGATTTATCGAGCATCATCGGGTGCTGACTATTTTAGATAGAAGCAGCAAAGGTATCGAGTGAAGCTTCATGGTAGACGAGGTCTCATCGACGTAATCGCGAAGAACTTTTCGTTCGCACCGATCGCAGTCCTTTCGCGGGGAGTATGTTTCTTTCAAGATATCACACCGTTCAAATAATCGACTGTGGATTCGCGACTCTTTCTCTCGTCTTTCTCGCTCTTTTTTCTTCTTAGGAAAAAAAATAGTCGTGTTCAACGGCGGTCGATGTCGATTTTATCGGGACGATTTTGTTGCATTCAAGCCCTCACCACCGATTAAAATATCGGCCCTCCTCCACCCGTTGACCGATTTCTCTCAAAATTCTCCGGTTGCACAGGAAGGACGCAGCTTTCAAACGATAACGAGGGGATAGAGTCCTTACCATTTTGACTGACTTGGCCGGATCGCGGTGTTGGTGGTCGTTGGATTGTCTCTTGTCGGGGAGGTTCGAGTCGGGCTGGACGTGGATTGTGGGATTTCGTTCGCTTAGGCCCTATTCGGGTGTGGCCTAACCGCATCGGGGAGTCCAACGCCAAGCCTGCCGTAATACTTCTGCCTCAGGCATAAACGTATCCTTTTTACATCGCATCATTGGAAATTCGATCAAAATTGCCATGTCTTCATGCTATGTACATATCGCATAACAGGTCGTCGTTAAACAACGGGATCACTGAAAGCCCTCTCCAACAAGAACACATTCCCCTCCCCCATACCATGATGTTCCTTTACAAAACTCAAAGCCTTTTTCATGTCCAACAACCCAATCTCCCTTCGAGGACCCATCCTGCTTAGGCCAGTACTTCTCTTTTAGATTTTGGTTAATTTCTTCGATCCTTTGTATCAGCTCATTGACGCGCTCGCGATCAAAACTGCTTCCGTCTGGGTTGGGCTTATCAAGCAGGAACCCATCATGTGTGATGAAGCGTGCAAGCGCGATATGTGATGAAGGAACGGTGTACCTGGGGTGGATTGGAATACCCGCAGCTGTGACTTCATCAAAAAGATCCCGTCGCAGGTGGTGATAGGTATAGTCATCGCCTTCTTCGTCAGTAGCCGGGACAAAGCTCAGAGCGATGGCTGAGGCGTCATAGCTAACGACGGGCTTGATCAAGCGTGCTCGGTGATGAAGTGTGTAGTTCACAATATCAGGCAATGCCCCAGTCTGTGAAAGACGGGATACTATCTCGTCAATCTCCTCTGGAGACCGCGAATTAGCTAGCTCGAGAGTTGTCATGTGTAACCCGGCCGACGGCGTAAACCACATGCCTATGGAATTGCTATCTGGTGAGCAAAGATACGAAAATCGGGCGTCGGCGCTGGGAACAATGATTACTGACTTGGAGCAATGCTTCGGATTTCCTGCTGGACTTCACCCGCCAGCTCCCTGATATGCTGCGGCGGTCTTGCGTAGAAAGCCAAGTTGTTCCTTGAATCAACAAATGGCGATCCGTCCGCATTCTTTGCCTGCACATGCAACTTCTTCAGGATCTCGTCGACTTGCCATCCTTGAAAGTTCGGATTCAGGATCTTGCTCTTAAAGTCAGCAGCCCTCGTGGTTCGGTGGGTTTCGTAGCGCTCTTGTATCTTGTCCTGTTGGATGGTTAGACGGTTTATATAATAGAAGTGACAGACATACTTTGTCATCTCCATGGGCAATAATAAACTGCTGGAATGGATTTTGTACTGTGTTCTCAGTCATGGTGCTCAAAGACTGGTATCGGTTTCGATTGTGCTAGAAAGTTGGCTGGGATCGAGCTGAGAATCGAGCTGAATCACGCGAGGCGCGGGAAACGAGATATATATATATGCAACTAAGAGTTGTTATTGGAGCAGATTACAAGAGCAACAAGGAAATAGAAAGTAAAAATAACAGTAGAAAATCATATTTTACAGCTCTACAGCTCTACAGCTTACAAACGCTCATAATGCTTGCTGCCTTGGGGATTTCCTACACATCCCCCGAGATGTAACTGAACACTGCCGCACCAAAGCCATCCATCCACTCCACCCCACCGAAACCCCGCCGGCGAAGCTTCCGTCACCATCTCCAGTTCTAACACCTCGACATCTCTTGTCGCTAGCAGCCTTCGTGTTCTTTTCTTTGCTCTTTTCCCCTTTCCTTGAGCACTTCTGGTTATATTGTTTTATCTGTGGTTTATACCCATAAATATCTGTCAAAATGTTGATCAAGTGAGTCTCACTGGAGGAGCCCCGTTGTTGCTGCATCAGTTGCATCATTGGTGGTTGCAACGTCTATCCGAGGCATAGAACAGTCGCTGACCACTGCTTTAACTAAACAGAGTCCGTACTCTCACTGGCAAGGAGATCGAGCTGGACATTGAACCCGACTACAAGGTACTTTAAACTGCCCTTTGCCCCGATCGACGAAATCCACATTCAACCTCGATTCCCGATTATACCTGTCATACTGTTTGATGGGGCCCAAAAATGTCAAAGCTGGACAGTTGCTAAAACAAATCACCAGGTCTCCCGTATAAAGGAGCGTGTTGAGGAGAAGGAGGGCATCCCCCCTGTCCAGCAACGATTGATTTTCGGCGGAAAGCAAATGTACGCACCTCCTCCGTCGATATTATCACACCTTGAATGAGATCATTCTCTGAGCTGTGCTGACAATAATCTGGTGAAAAATAGGGCGGATGACAAGACGGCCTCAGAATACAACCTCGAAGGTGGTGCGACGCTACATCTCGTCCTTGCCCTCCGTGGTGGCTTGTAATCTACACCTTTCCCATGCCACAATACATAACTCTTACAGTGAGGCTTGTTTCGGACACCAATAAACATCACAGTGTGGTTTAAGGGGCATTTCAAATAGTCATGTCGCGAGGAAATGATGGACTGGATGAACGGCGGTATTCAGCCTGCAGAGCTGGTTGCGCACAGGGATACCCACAAGACGCGGAGTAGGAAACCGATAAATTGTCACTTGTGCCAGTCAAAGTGAAGCATACATTATCTCTATGGGGCTATGTTGTTTCCCAGGCTGGTTTCCTGAACCAATTATGCTTGCATTCTTACGGCTCAAGGCGTGATGATTTCCATTTGGCTCATCGGGTTAGACGAATTTTATGTATTACACCAACGCATTGATGACAACCATTATAAAAAAAATTATCAAATAAGGGACCTATCCAACTCTGGTAGACATCTATCACGCAAAGCTGCATCGTACGCCATGTAACAAGAATGTAAGATATAATATGTGCTTCTGCATATTTGCTTCCAGACAAGCTACAGAAAGTGCAAAGTCAATCGGACGTCATAATCATCAGAAAACGCTAATCGCAAGACATGCAGTTTAAAACGCCAGAGACCATCTCGAAAAAAACTCCATTGAATGATGCAACAAAGGGCTACCAAGGCTATCCTAGTATCATCCAAGAAAGAAAACAAAGCTTCCTATATCCGTACACCTATGAGTATTGTAGAACGCCGCCGATAAAATAACATGGAATAATCATGCTTTCGTCACATGCCAGTCAGATATAACAAGGATGCATCTACTGGCCGTAGAATGTGTTGAAAAAGAAGTAATGGTCGGGAGGTTAAAGAGAAATGAAGGGTATAATGTTTTCAGGTGACTTTTCTCTTCTTGGGCTGCATGAAGACACTGGGGGCTAATCGTTTTCGAACCATAGGGCGCGGTGCCTGTGCCGGGGAGGTTTTAGATTCGTCGTCATTTGAACTGGTGTCCGCTCCAACAGGCCTGGATGATTCGCGGGTTGGCGTTTGATGCTGAGTCTTGGGTTTAGCTCCCGTGGCAGAGGCCCTTGACAAATCCCTGGCCGGCGATGAAGTCGTTGCAGTTTTTGGCGCAGAAGATGACGCCGAAGCCCGTGAGCTTACTGGGTTCCCAGACTTCAAGGCTCGCAGCCTTGCCTCTCTTTCTTGAAGTGATGGCGAAATTGTTTGATTATTCTGGCTTGCAGGATTAAGGGAGCCTTGTGGCCTTGACCGTCCAGGTGCAATTAACCGTCCAGGTGCGACTGATGGTGGAGGCCCCGTACGTCGAGGCGCAATGGGCTCAGATGGTCGCCTGTGCTCTTCAACAAGAGAACGAGGCGCCTGTCTGACTTGAGAAGCTCGGTTATGCAGCTGCTTTGTTGGAATGGCCAGCACATTATTTCTTTTCTTGGTAGTAAAGATGTTGCTTTTCTTCTTTGTATCTCGCGGAAGCGAAGGACGTTCGAAAGACCATGCAGACGGCCCTTGGGGATCTGAACTGGTGCTACTGAGACCGGAATTGGCACTGGAAAAGACAGGTGCAAGGCCGCCCATTTTTCGATCGTATGAAGCATATCGTTGCTTCGCGGTCGGCCTTTCCTGGGGAAGACGAAGGCTTCGTCGGTCGGGCACGAATTTTGCACTTTTTTCAGCACGCTCAGAGCTGATGCCATCCAGCGCCATCTTCAGTTTCTCTGCATCTTCCTCCACTGCTTTCTGAACCTGTTCCCGGAGGTCGCAGTATACGTCATACCAACAATCGGACTTCTCGGGCAAGTCGTACTCGTCCCACCGGGGTATATCTCGTTTTATGAATTCGAGCCATAGTTCGTCGTCGTCTTTGGATATATGGGGGGATAGTTGTTCTATCAATCTCTAGAAAAGGGGGCATATGTTAGTGATGGTGTCAAGCTGTATGCGATGTCAGATGGAATCCAACGACTCACGAGTTTCTCTGGGCTTTCGATTTTGAGGAGGAACGGGCGAGCGAGGGGATATGGAATATTGCCAATGTCATTTAAAACTGGAAGAAAGAAAAGAAAGGTCAGATTGAAGCTGTAGTGAGAGCTCTGTTAGGGGTGGCGTACGTACACTTCACATTCCTGATAGCAGTCGCCGTGCTAAGCTGCAGCAGCGACGGCGGCGGCATTGTGGTCAAGGGGACAGCAAGCCAAAAAAGCTCAAAAATAATGGCATGAGGAGTTATAATAGATAAATCCTGACAACTGAGTTGAGGATCAAGAAAAAGCTGATCGCAAGTGGTCACTCGTGATAAATGATGCAGTGGTCGATCGCAATGGCCGAAGATGGATGCTGCCTGTCCATCACATGATTTCATGGGGCTGCTCTGGTGCCAAAGAAAGCTTGTGGAATATTCTTCCATTGAATTTGAATGGTGCTTTCAATGCTTGTAATAGCTTTTTACATGGTATTTAATTCAATTATCTAAGATGGCAATTTATTTGGAGTGAAAGAAAATCATTCATGTATGGGCGAATCACTCAAATATATACCATTAATTCAATATTCAATATTTAATATCCAAAAATAGCACAGTAAATTCATGAACCAGTAATCTAAGTGAAGGGAATCAAGGGTAGTAATGAAAAGAAATAGGATATTATAAAAGACAGCATTAAGGGGGCTTCAATAGCCAACTGCGACAGCCTGTAAGTTGTGAGTGATAGACCCGTAGCAGCATCGCTGATGAGTTAGATTATTTTTATTCGTGAGCAGCCAGAATACCATTAGCCTTCGGATTCTGCGATAAAGTCTCTTGATGACTCTCAGGCATCTGGGCCAGCCATGATGGTGGTGTAATACCAGTTTGCTCATGGATGGTGCTCAAAAGAGGAGGGAGGTTTTGCATGATATCTCGTAATGGGCCCACGGAATCACCAGAGCCACTTGAATTCCCTGGAAACAGATTAGAATCTGGCGAATAAGAGGCAAAAAACAAACAGCGCTTACCTGTATTCCATGTCGTGATCTTTGGCTGGAGACCATTGATGGCAGCACCATTGGCTTCGGCCAACCTCTCGTAAGTACCAGTTTCCATCATCTTAAACTGCAGGAATGCCTGTGGCCCGCCGAGAACATCGACAAGAGCACCATAGGCCTTTGCCATCTCCAGAGTTCCTTCAGCTTGACGCTTTTGCTGGTAGAAAGAAGCGTCTGCCTCTTTGCTCTGACGATAATCTGAGATCAACCAGTCAGTTTTGATACTATACATGGAAAAGGTACCATCCACTTACGCAAGGCATCTGCTTCCATCTTTTTCTTATACAACTGCGCATCCGCTCCCTTTTGCGCAGTATAGTAGGCTGCATCTGCATCTTCCTGAGCAGACTCGCGCGCAACCTTGCTCTTGGTGACATCGTTTGCCCTGAGACGCTCAAGCTCCGTCTCAGCACGCGTAGTCTCAACTTCCTTCTGCAGCTCTGCATCTTTCATCTCCGCCTGACGCTGGGCAGAGATCCTGCTCAGCTGCACGCCCATATCAAGCTCTGTTTGGCGGTTCGTGAGCTCCGAGTCAGCCTTGGCCTTTTCAGCCTTGCGTTTTGTCTCCAAGACGGCCGTATCGGCATCGATTTTGGAAATTTCCTGCTTGGTTCTCCCTTTCTTCTCAGCTTCGCCGATTTCACCGCGCATTCTTGCTTCGGCAACATCAATTTTGGCTTGGTTGAGGGCTCCTTCATGAGCTTTGCGACTCAGGAAAGCAAAATACTCGCTGCCAGGGGTATCTTGAAGCTCTTTGACGTTTGCATTGTAACTATGACAATATTAGGAAAAAAAAAATGTATGAATAGCGAAATGGACAGAGAAACTCACATTCGTAACCCAAATTGCTGGAGTTCATTTTGAACATTATCAATGACTATTCAGAGCATAAGTATACGATCCCATCATGTCCAAGAGGGCCACAAACCTTTCGCCTTGAAAATCTGTCTCTCTTTGAATATCTCCTCCATCGACATGCTAGAAACAATGACGCGAGTTTCGCCTTCGATGATTCCCTTTACGATATCCTGCACATGGTTCTTTCTTGCTGGGTTGATTACATCTTTCAGCTTGGAAAAGTCCGATCCTTCGGTGTTTCCAGACAGAAGGAGAGCGTATTTCCTGAGTGCTTCCTGGTTATTATCAGGCCCGATTGTGAAGACGGCTGGCAACGAGAACTGCAATTTCTCGATGGTCATGGCCTGTAGACTCAGCGAGAAGTCAAACGGCGACACGGATATTCTCGAGCACTTAAAAATAGTAGTCAGTAGTTGTTGGATGGATTTAGTGCGTCAAGACTTACTCGTTGGAAAGGAAACACGACGGCTTTCTTGCATATACGAAGATCTTCAATCCCGGCTCCAGTGAGCACGAGATATTCGTTTGCTCGAGCAATTGCGTATCTGCATTATATACTTGATGAGTTTACTGTTCTGGGAGTATGAATAACCAATAACCAACCTCATATTGGTATCTTTGGTGGTGCAATTGTTTCAAGAATATTTGAATTGTAAGCAGAAATATTCATCCAAGTCTCGACTGTTCTTCAAAGGATGAACAGAGTATATAAAATGTAAGAAGAAGTTGGTGCACTGTAGACAAACTATACATATGAAGTATGATACACATAGCATCGAAGACGAAGCCCATTTTTATAAATCTTTCTACGGATAGACAGCCTTGTTCATCCACATACCTATATTAGGCAAGGTGTATAGCATGTGCCCAGTGTATTGTCAATGCCGGCTTAGCAGACAAGGCGCAGATGGTCGCTTCCACATGATGAAGGCAAAATCCACAACATCCGGCATTTCATGAACAGAATAGCCAGTAAGAAGGATTTTTTTCAAGAAGCCTCATTCTACTGACACGCCCGGGCAAATACGCCCGGCAGATGAGGCTGTGTTCATCACAGGATGATCCATTGACAGGCCAGGATTATGCCAACGCCCGAGTTTCGTGGCCGCCCCAAGCACAAAGCGAGAGAGCCTCATGTCAATCTTTATCAAATTGTCTAAGATCAACGATCAGGCTTGGATGATGTCTAGGATGTAGACCTTCCAAGGTTAGACGCGGACGTGAGCCACATCTAAGACTTGTGTTTTTTTGAAATTCTGCTCATGGCCAAGAAGATAGTCGACTGAATATACGAGAGCATGCTCTAGAGTATAATCACTCAAGAGACTCTGATGATATTGCATGGTTGTCGAGGGGAAAGAAGAAGATGTTGATGCTTTATACAGACCTACGTCACGTGCTGCCTCTCCACCCCACCAAAACAAACACTGCAAAATGCCTCTTGGATAGCATCATAGTGAGGGAAGCGTCACATTGCTCTCCTCTTCTCTTCGCTCAACAGATTGTCTATTTGATTGCTTATCCATCCAGGAAATTTTGTGATCTGCTCACTTAAATTACTTTCTCAAAGGTATGTATGATGCTTCTTTTGAATTATTTTTGACCAGTGACAACCTCACGGCCTGTAACACCATGCAAGCCCCTCATCGGCCTGAGACTCCTTCGGGTTTCTCCCATATCATGGAGCTGATGATTATGTTTACGGCATTTATTGCATTGCTATGCAGAAACCAAAGGCTCATGTCAATGCTTCATACATGACATCATTGTCCCTCTTTCATTGCCCCGCTCGTGTCAAGAACGTTGAGTATTAACAACTTAGCTTTAGAATCACCAAAACATGGGTCCACGCTCGCCTCTGGAGGTCTACACCTCCTCAGTCTTGCGCCTTGTCAAGGAGGAGGCGTCTTACCACCGCGAGGAACAAGATCAAAAACAACGGATCCAGCGGATGGAAGGCGAAGAAGGAGATGAGAACAAGGAGTTTTTGTTGAATCAAGAGGTATGCATAGCTCGTTAATCCAAAATGTTCTTGATTGGTGACCCTCAAATACAGCGTCTGGCACTCGAGGAAACCAGAAAGGTCTTCCCCAGCTTGAAGCTGAAAATCGAAGACAACGTGAAAACTCTTGAACATCTACTGGTGAGTTGTTCGATCCGTGTTCCATTGCAGATTGATCAACCGAGCTGAGACTCTATGACAGACTGAGGAGGGCAAGAAGGGCCCCGAAAGCAACGTCGAGCATATCACTGCTGCCAAAGAGGCCATTGCAAAGGCTAAGTCGGCTGAGCGGGAGATCTCTTAAAATGAAAGATTTGCATGAGAAGTCCCTGTGCCTGTGATGTAGTGTCAGGAGGCAAATTTGATGAATATGCAGAATAAGAACATAATGTAAATTAAAAAGAGGTGTCATGATTCCAACGCCGCCAAACCTAACTCCATGCTTGATAATGATTCGATGGCTATGTAATGTCCATTCTGTCGTTCACTTCTTCCCCTTCTTCCAGGTGATCAGGCCGTTCTGCGTTATCTTCCCCTTCGGTCACTTCTCCTTCATCCACCATGGTAGCGTCTTCCTGATCAGGAGATATCTTCTTCTCATTTTCAGCGGTAGTGACCTGCCGTAAAGGTGACGCTGCCCCGGCAGCTGTGATGCTCTTCTCTGCCTGCAGACCCCCGAACGATCGACCGGTCTCATCTTGACTATGAGACGGCGTCGCACTATCTCCATCAGGACGTGGTGTATTCGCTTCGCTGGATTTGCCCTTAGAAGGAACGTCGCCGTCATCCGCATCCGCATCCTCTTGCATACCTTCCCTGCGCTCAACCTCTTCCTTTTCGTCTCGAATGAGGCGTCGAAGCTGCATTCCTTCTTCCACAATACGGCCAAACTGCTCTCGCCTTTCGGACCAAGTTTGCGCGTATTCCTTGCTCTCCTTTTCTAACTCGGTGATTTCTGTTCGTAACTTCTGGAGGTTCGACTGCTGATCTTCGCGAGGCTTGAGAAGCCTGTTGCTCGTAATCTTCTCGGCCAGATCGTCGTAGCTTTTCCGTAGGGCAAGAAGTCGTTGCGCCTCTTCCAGCTGAGACCGCAAGTCAGACGTGTTTTCACGAACGGCTTGCATCGTGGAGAGAATCTGAAGCTTTTCGGCGGCATAGCGCTCCCGTTCCCTCTCGTTACTCGTCAGCAGAAATTGGATGCGCGCAATGCTTCCTTCGAATGCGGCAAAATCAAGAGTCACATCTTCGCGAAAATTGCGCCATTCCTCAAGCCTTTTCTGTTTTTCGGCCTCTGCCGCTGTTGTTGCCTCTTGGTCGGCATCTTCTGGAGGAGGGGTGGGAGGGAGTGTTGCATTCGAGACCACAATCGATTGGGAAGTTAATAGACGTTTCGATATCCGACGGAAGGGTTTTTCTTCAACGTTTAGAAGACGCGATTTGTGAAGAGCATCTGCGAGGGTCAGTATGGGGAGAGAAGAAAAAACAAGAAAGGCCAACCCGACCTTCTTCCGCTTGGTCCAACAATCCATAGGATGCCATCACGTCTAGAATCAATCGAGGCTTGAAAACGACACTGGATGGCCGATGGTGGATCGGTCTTTGTGTCTGTCTGGTGGTGTCTAAGGTCGATGCGAGCGGTCTGGGGGTCGGCGCTAGCGGGCGGAACATCTTCAACCTCTCCACTCCCTGTCGATTCTTCCTGCTACAATCTGGACCGCCTTTGGATCGTCGATTCTCCCACCAACTCCTTCAGCCCCAAAATCAACGGCCCTTCCAGGGTCGTTGGTAGATGGCAGTGCTTGCTTTTGCATATTGTGATCAGCGATTTAGCGATGCCCGTATTCTACTTGCTTATGGTTATTCCGCTACTGCAATCCCCTATTCTTGCTGACCTATCTTAGCTCCACTCAGAGCTCACCAGTGCAACATAGATCAACCCCGACGTTCCTGCATCTACAGAACCGGAACGCACCCTGATCATCGCTAACAGCCCACTGATGGAAATCTTATTTGGCACCACTGCCACGGCTTTCACCGTTGTTGGATCGCCTTCATTTATCCTGCGTCGCTTTCCTACCCCATCATGACGGAAATGTATTCGGGGCTCCATGTGGGCCAACAGTTTGTATCGCTGGAGGAATTTAAAACTGTCGTACGGAGCATCTCTGTAAGGCAGCACTGGGAGCTCCGGGTGACACGGAGCAACAAGAAAAGTGTCGTGATAGGCTGCCGATCGTCTGCTAATTGCTACTTTCGCGTTGTCTGCCGGGCCAACAAAAATGCGACTTATATCACCAGTTTACAAGACAGCCATAGTTGTCGCAGGAACGAGGTTTCACCGGGGACAACACCTGCGCGCTCCGAGGCATCGCATGTTCGGTTTCTTCTGACGGAAATACCAAAACTCTTCGACATGAAGAGCAAGATCAAGGGCCAGGAGGTTGTGGATGCCGTCAAACGCTACCATGGATATGATATTTCGATGAGACAAGCTCAGCGAGCTCTTACAAAGTTGCAGCCGCGACAGGCATCAAGCCAGAATGGCGATACCGGTTATGATGACAGCAGAATTGTTCGCCAGGATACTCAACACCTGCATCCGGAATCACCGGAAAATCAACCTGGCCCATCGTATAGCGGTCTGCCAGGGCAGAGGTGGATTCCAGAAAATATGCGGCCAGAAATCATTGATATCAGTCAGAACGAGCCTCAACGCAGTCCTATTCCAGCCCCGCAGCAGCCCCATGCCCAGTCTGTGGCGCTCGCACCTTCACTGCAACATCCTGCCCCTGCCCCTGCACCTGCACCTGCACCTGTACCTGCTCGATCGCATGAACCAACCCCTCTCAGCCAAAGTACCGCTTCGCCTAATCCGCCGCAGCCTACCTTTGCCCGCACGGCTCCCAATCAAATCCATATAACGCAGACGAAACAGCCGGCACCCCAGACACAACCCCACGACGGTGGAAACACCCATACTTCTCAACCGGTATTTTCAAACTTTAAGATTGAGTTTACCTGTACTACGTGTGGCGCTTTGAACCAGAGTTTCTTTCCGAACCAAGGAAACACTGCGGACGGGAACTACTTGCCTCCGCATCCTGTACCCGAGCAAGCAGCTGATCCAAGGGCTGTAGGCCCATCTCAACCTGGGCCAGGTAACAATAGCAGCAACCCAGTTGGAAGTACGACTGCATTTGAAGGCGCCCCTGTTGCCAACACGCGCGTTATACAACCTCCTTGGCCAGCGGGAGCCCTGGAAGTTCCAATCGCCCCAGCACATTCCTGATTTACTACAGGACTATCAAATGGTCCCTGACTCGCTACCTGTCACAGGTTCATATGATCTGTATCTCATTTGAAGAACCGCTTGATGTAATGTCTAGTATTGAGCTTCTTTTTCGAAGAAGACGCTTGGCATACGGTCATACGGTCAAACATCATTCGACATAAGTCGCGCTGGTAATGGTTCGAATAAACAAGATGATGATCTTGACTGGAATCGGGCGCAAGATTATTCCCACCGGCCCGGCCTGAATCCATCAAGTAAATCTTGCATTGGTCGCACTACCTTGGCCATCATCCTGATCAACAGACTGATCGCGAACATGGAAGAATTGATCTACAACATTTTACTTTATTTCTAACGTCTCTGGACTTTACGAATGAAAGTCCCACGCCATTGAATCAATGCTACTTGAAGAAATTCAGTCATGGCATATGGTCGACTGTTCGAAAAATTGATGCCCACGCGTTTAATAACTTTCTTGAATATATGAAGGGCTTTATCTGCGGCTGTTCTATTTCATACAGGGTTTTGGTACATAACCTTATTGCCTATTTGCACCTATTGGGTTAATCGCGATTGTCCGTTTAGCGTGACTGTTCATATATCAGCTATGTACATGACTGTTGCCACAGTATATAATATCTCATTCAGAACTTCGTTGGAGTTGAATTGTGAAATAAATTTATTAATTACTTGATTTTCTTAAACTTTTGTTTGATTTTTGCAACCTTTGGGTAGTTGGGTAATTGACAAAATGCTGCCTGAAGAAACGATACTACTCGTGCCACGACGAAATCGAAATTGAATACTGCAAATTCTGGCTTCAAAGATTACTACAGAGAGAGGAATAAACTTCTGAAGTGTCTCGTCAAATGTACATTCGGGATTTCCCTCAGCATTGAATTGACGAATCCAATCTTCGCGTGGAAGCCGGATGGAAGAGGGATTCCTAGTCACGTCATCCGTCTGCTTTGTGCCATAATTCCCGGGCTGCCTCGTCCGTTTTCTGAACAGCCTTGACACGGTCATATCTAATTTTGTTTATATTTATTGAAGAGGACATACTGGATGTCTTGATCCGCCCGAATTGAAGCAGGGATACGTCTTCGAGCTTCCATGGGAAAGATTATGATTCTTAATTGTCGGCATCATCCTGGAGACATGATTGTTGGAGGATTTTCCATCACCCAGCAATACTCAATAAGGATATCCTGGACTCTATGTACAAAATAGCAGACGATTCAAGGTGTCTTTCATTGGAAGTACATATAAGCATCACGCAGGGAAAACTTGACCTGAGCTTTCACAGACGGAGTCCTCCATGCAGCCTACCCTTTTCAACAGAATCATTCAAGATGCATATATATATATATATACTCTGTACTATGCTCCAGCATATATTTTGCTTGCCTTGATCTTTCTTTCCCAAAAGGGCAAGGTCGATGACATAACTCCGCATCTGTATCGGGGGTTTGCCGATCGCACATTTTCTTTTCCTTTGACAACGGACTGTTCTGGCTCACCGTTGATACTTGAAAGTGGAAATGTCTTGATGTGCGACATGCGAGTCGTGGCCTGTCAATAGCTCGGAATAACCACTGATTAGCAACTTCCCAAGCGGAATTCGTCCAGCGCCGCCTCCATCGGACGTCCGACGAGGCCATCGCGGATGCCGACGTAACCGCTCCACATCCGACCAGACGGTTTCTCTTTTTTGGAGCCAAAATGCACAAAGAAAGGCGGAATTGGCCCGACAGGCTCCCTGCGTTTGGAGTGTGAGCAGATCAGGGGAGAGGGGCTTTCTGACTGGCCTGTCAGTGGCGCAGATTCTGACCGTCGGTGTAGGGTCCGATGCACGCCTGGAGTTATTGATAAGGCCCAATTTATCCCTTGATATCCCTGCAAGATGTGTTGCTGCTATTGCTGCGTTTGGAAAAACCGGGATAGTAAAGGATCATCTAGGCTGTTTGAAAAATCTTCTTGATACCCGATACCTTTTCTACTGGCTGCTGTGAGTCAACTGTTGCTCTCGAGGAGCCTTGCCACCGAGCTATAAAACAGCAGCATTGAATTATGTTTTAAACCGATGCTGTGTGAGAACGGTGTTTGTTTAAAATTGATTGTCCTTTTTGTACATCGAGGAAATATTCTGGTATACTAATGAGGTTGTGATATCTTGGATTCTATCTCATTGGCCTACACAGTCGATATACGACATCGGAGAATGGACCGGCAACGAGCCGCAGAGAAGGCTCTGCATGACCAGACAAATATCCTGCCCTTTAAACAGTTGATGATTGTCTTTACCAGTCTTGCGATATCATTGCTCATCTCATTTGTGGACCAGAACGGAATCAGCGTTACCCTGCCCACGATTGCCAAAGACCTCAACGCAGAAAGCACCATTTCATGGGCTGGCACCTCATCACTGATCGCAAACACCGTGTTTACGGTCCTGTATGGCCGCCTTTCAGATATCTTTGGTCGGAAGATCGTGTACCTGTGTGCGCTGGCTCTGCTGTGCATCGCGGACTTGCTGTGTGGCCTTTCTCAAAATGCCGCCATGTTCTATGTCTTCAGAGGTCTTGCCGGTATTGCAGGAGGTGGTATTGCATCTGTGACCATGATCATCGTCTCCGACGTGGTGACATTAAGAGATCGTGGCAAGTACCAGGGAGTCCTGGGTGCGTCTTTGGGAATGGGAAACGTCATCGGGCCCTTTATCGCAGCGGCCTTTATCATGAAATCAACTTGGCGAGGCTTCTTCTGGCTGATTTCTCCTCTGTCGGCATGCTCAATTATCGTTGGATACTTCTTGATCCCAAACAATGCCCGGCAGGATGGCCTCAGAACGAACATGCGTCGGATTGACTACTACGGCATTCTTGCCTCTTCAATCGGGATCATATTCTTACTGATTCCCATCTCCGGCGGTGGTTCTTACTTTGAGTGGGACTCTGCCATGGTGATCAGTATGCTTGCGATTGGAAGTTGTTCCTTGATTGCCTTCATTTTTATTGAATGGAAAGTGGCGTCACTGCCCATGCTTCCCAGTAAGTTCTGGCAGTTTTCACCTCTCAGATAAGATGGATACTGACTTGTATGACTAGTTGTCTTCTTTAAGAACAGAGTTCTTTGTGCACTGTTCATTCAAAGCTTTCTCTTGGGAGCGGTCTACCAGGCATACCTTTATTATTTACCATTATACTACCAAAACGCTCGAGGATGGTCTCCGATTGTGTCTGCAGCATTAACGGCACCTATGGTCACCTGCCAATCGTTGTCTTCCATCGCTTCTGGGCAGTACATTTCACGATGCAAGCGATACGGAGAGGTCATCTGGCTTGGTTTTGGTCTTTGGACGCTGTAAGTGTAAATGTGAACCGTCTTTTCCTTGTGATTATTCTAACTGAATTTCTATAGGGGCGCTGGCTTAACCCTGCTGTTCAATGTCCATACTAGTCCTGGTGCGATTGCAGTCATTGTCGGTGTGGTAGGGATGGGTGTTGGATTCACTTTCCAGCCCACCCTGGTCGCCATGCAGTCGCACTGCACAAAGTCCCAACGTGCCGTGGTTATATCAGATCGGAACTATTTCCGCTGTCTCGGGGGTGCGTGTGGACTGGCCGTCTCTGCTGCTCTTCTGCAAGCAACGCTTCGGTCCAATCTGCCCGAAGGATACCAAAATTTGGTGCACTCGACTTATTCGCTTCCCTCCCGGTCAAACGTTTCGGATGCAGACTGGGCTAGTATACTTGCCGCATACGCTAAAGCGTCGCGTGCAGTTTTCATCCTGCAAATACCTCTTATTGGAGCGGCGTTCCTGGCTTGTGTATTCATTCGGGATCGTGGTTTGGAGAGAGTCAAAGAGCCCGAGGAGGAAAAGGCAGAAGCGCAGCAGAAAGCACTTGAAGAGCAGCGCGCGAACGGTCTTTCGGCAGAGGCATCTGAGATCGAGGGGTCTGATGAAAGAGCAAAGGCCGAGCCAAGAGCAGATGCTGAGTCACCTGCTGCGAAGAATACATCGGAGAGCAATCAGGAGAGCAAGACGTCGTGATTGATGTCTACACCGAAGACGTTTCGTTCCGTGTCAATCCTGTGGATCGCATTAGATGCATCGGTGGCGTTTTGTTTTCATAGAGCATAGAGTAAAGCAACTTGATATAGATAATGTTTGAATTGAGATATGATCATTGATTTTGGAATGCTCATGAGAACACCCTGTGAATTGATACACTAAACAAACCAACGGAAGGAATGGTGGATTATAGATTCCGTATCTATTCTACTGTAGCAGAGTTAATAGAGAGCGTACCCTCAACAGACCCAAATCGGACAAAGTGAAGCTATTCCCGCCAGCGGGTCTAGTCTATTTCTGGACATGCCGGATGGAACCGCAAAAGTCTTGGCGCCGTCGGTTTCTCCGACGCATCTCGACTCCATCTCGACTCTCCAGGCATCTTCTTGCGATATCTGGAAATATACATATTCATCGCTGATAATTTGGGCGAGATGGATATGCTTCAATCTCTGCATTATGGATATCACTGAGCCTTCAACTTCTGCTTCAAGGGATTACAACCCTCGGAAGCGCGGGAGAACGGCCTGTTCACGATGTAAGACAAGGAAGCAGAAGGTGTGTAATGTACCTGTATGACTGAGCCAGGGATGCAGCTTTAACATGAAATAGTGTGACAATGAGTATCCTGTGTGCTCGAATTGCCAAAAAGCTGGAGCCGACTGCGATAAATCCAGCGTTCGGCAGGAGAATTCGTCGCAGAACCAGTCAGCGTTTTCCGTCCGTTTTTTCTGAGAATGAGGATACTAATTACCTACGATAGATATACACGTACTTTGGAACAGCGCATTGCGTATCTAGAGTCTCAATTAGAAGGCAAAATAGCCAGCAGCAATGCTAGCAACAACGCCACTCATCCCGTTGCTGCTTTACTATCGCCTCAGAATCAGGATACTCCTCAGACAGGCTCGATGGCTGGGATTGATAATAACCCAGTCGGTGAGCTGGCGGGATTCCTCGCTTTGAACCCCTCAGAGGCACCTGCATATGTGGGCTCTAGCTCTGGGCTTTCCCTGGCTGCAAATCTTGGAGAGATGGTTCAAGCAACGGTGTGGAATCAGATCCTCTCCCCTTTCTACAGCCAACAGAATCAATCTTCTAGAGGTAATGGGGTAGATTCAGGACCAAAGTCTACCGGCTTCCCCCCTCAACCACCGCATGCTCAGAGTGGCACTCGGAATCGAGCGTCCAGGGTAGAGGAGGTGCTTGCAAATAGTGCTGAGCCACCGAATGATGTCATGGGGACGAGGATCTTGAATGCATATCTCACAAGGCTTCACGTCCGCTATCCCTTTCTTGACAGGGACGAGTTGTGGCGGTTGCATGGGGATCGCTGCAGGCTAGCAAAGGTCAAACGTGAGGAGCTTTCAAAGGCTGAAAGGTTTGGGATATTCAAAATCTACGTGGTATATGCAATCGGAGCGACCCTGATCCAGTTGAGCGAGAAATACACATATGTGGCTCCTGAGGTACGTATTCCAATGGGTCTTTTTCTACCAACTCTGACCATTATAGCGATTTTACATGACCGCTCTTCAACATGTGCCAGCAATGTGTGAAACACGATCGGTGGAGAATATAGAGGCCATGACTCTTCTTGTAGTGTACCACCTTAGATCTGCATCAAATCATGGTATGTGGTACATGGTTGGTCTTGCCATGCGTACTGCCATTGATCTTGGACTTCATCGGAAAGCAAACGAGGCTCATCTTGATCCTTTTACTGCTCAAATGCGTCGGCGGCTGTTCTGGACGGTCTATTATCTAGAAAGAGTCGTGTCGATGTCTCTTGGGCGACCGTTCAGTCTTGCAGACAGGCATATCGATCTTCCCTTACCGTTGGATGTGGACGACGATGTGCGTGATCCAGCGCTGTTGACCAACCGTCAACCAACGGATAGACTGTCGACTTTGACATTCGCAATATACTTGACTCAGCTACGTCGCATTGATTCCAAAATCCAACACAAAATCTACCGGGCGGATCAACCGCTGCATGCCCTTCGATCGAAAATGGATGGCCTTTTCTTCGAACTGCAAGAGTGGAAGGAATCCGCCACGGCGCGTTTCAGTGGGCCTGATCTTGACTATCCCATGCTTCATTATAACAGGGCGCTACGGATACTGATCCAGCCCTTCTTACCTTCTCTTCCCCTCTCTGATCCATATTATCATATCTGTCTTCGGGCGGCCGGGGATATTTGTCAGACTCACAAAAAACTACATCAAACACCCGGGTATGGCCACTCATTTCTGGCAGTTCAGACGGTCTTCATGGCAGGCGTTACCCTTTTGTATGCCTTATGGACGCATACGGATGAAATATGGTCAGTCCAGATGAGCAACGACATACGCGCGTGCTCGACCGTTCTATTCGTGATGGGAGAACGAGCAGCATCAGTCAAGAAATACCGCGACGCATTCGAGTTACTTGTCAACGCAGCCATGGAGAAGCTTGAAGGCGACGAAACTGCCAAGAGTGTCGGTATGGCCGAACTGATGACTGCCCAACAAGGTGGGAATACCTTCCCCGGAGCTGGAACTGGCATGTTCAAACCCGAAGATGTTTCCACGACGAACCCACTGGGCGTGGCATCGGATGGGGGCTGGGGATCGCAGATGCAGGCGGACTGCGAGAACCACGGGGTTCGGATGGCGATGCAACTTGCTCCTTGGATAGACCTGAACCAGGAGAGTCAGTTGTGGATGCCTGATTTTGAGACATTTGAAAATATGTCTGGTACACTTTGGGGATGCGGAGATTCCACTCCATTTGATGCGCTTTGAGATGACCTCTCTGTGAGACATACTCTGTCTACGAAGACTGCAACACTCAGTCTTGAGCCAGCAATTTCGTGACAGCTTGAATACATATCATCGGAAAATCCTGATACTTCTCATGCTACAAGTCAGTCTACAAAGACTGCTAGATCTAATCTATGCTCCGAGGCAGCGATGCTACGTCACAGTTTGATAAAATGTCAAAACGAACCCTGGTAAACTTCTTCGACCAGACTGTTTGGGAGATCACTGCCTGTATACAAGGTCTACAACGCACCGCTGCAGCCTACTGTAGCTTTAGGTGGATGGCAACTTTCCTTCGATTTCCAACCTTCTATCATTCAACGACTTGATCACTACACTCCTTCACTATGCTGCCAACCACCAACGATCACTTATCAATTTACTATTCATAACCTCCTGTTTATCATTCATTACCAAACAAAATGGAATTCCCCAGTCTCGGATGTCTGGCTCAATTCCCATACGAGATCCGCGAACAAATCTGGCTACAGTTCATCCCCGACGGCCAGGATACCGTGCTTTTACGCACCCCAAAGACAGATCTGCGCATCCTCCGCGCTAGTAAAAGCATCCACGACGAGATATCGCTGTTGCTGTACCGACGGTCCTGTCTGGAATTCGACGTCTCCGCGATCTACTACCAAAGGAAGGAACGATGGACCACTGTCTACTTAAGGCGGGGCCGACAGGAGCGAGCACAACTGGAGGAGCCACAAGCTACGTGGATTCTTCGAAACAAAGAAGACGCGAGAACACGGGGCTTTGATAATCTTCCCTTCCACAGAATCGATCGTGTGGTTGCGAATCTCTTCGCGCCCGACCCTAAAGACGCAGGCAAGCTATTCTGTCTCTGGCAGAGAGTGCGTGCCCTAGTCGAACTGCTGAAGGGCGCGGAAAAGATTCGAAATTTGACCATCCGACTGTGCAAACGCGACGGCCAGGATTGGTTCGACAGAGATCGCGGAATGAATCACAGTATGAGGCTGCTACGAGGAGAAACCCACTGTGACCATGACGTGGCGGTGTTACCGTTCTGCACACTACAGAATGTCGAAAACATCACGGTTGAAGCTCACTCGGCGGAACTGGAGCAAAGGATGAACTGGCGAGTGATCAACGTGGGAAAAATCCAGGAGAGCGAGGCCCGGCTTGCTGTATCTCGACGCGTGGGGTTTGAGTATATGTGGCTGCATGCGGATTTGTGGAAATATGCGCCTGGGCGGACGGCGAGGCTTATGCGGTGGGATTTTCTCCGGCAGTGGTTTCTGCAGAAATGCAACGGGGAGTCTGAGTTTGAAGAGCGGACTCGGGGGGTCTTGGATGAGTTTCCGGAGCTACATCATAGGCGCCCTAGAGATATGATGGTGATTTCGAGTATGATTTACGATATGGTGTGTTTATATTACGATATGGAGGCACAGCAGGAGAAGAAGATGCACGAGTGGGAGGAGAAAAAGGGGATCCCGCCGGCAGCGTCTTTGGAGTTTTCCGAGACGTATGATGTGGATGAATTGTGGGAGAAGCATAGCAAGGGAAAGACAACGGAGGAGATGTTGTCTATATCGACATTGTATGAGAAAGGAGGTTGCGTTGAAGATGAATCTATAGGTGCTGAGTCTCTATAGCTATGGTACATATATACAATATTATACACGATTATTATAAACTGTGCGGCCTGGGATCAACCCAGAGAGGATCTAGATAGTAGATCAAGCCATGTCCGATAGAAGCAGCCAACGGACCAACCTGATTACTATGTTAGCATCATCTCATACAATATAAGATATGAAGCAGAAAACTCACCCAATGAATCCAATGATACCCCGGAAAGCCGGTCGCGACATAAACACCAAAACAGCGCGCCGGATTGACACTGGCCCCGATATAGCCCTCTCTCGTAAACGCCGACCCCCAACTGACAATCCCCAGCACAATGCCCACCAACCACGGCGACGCCGCATGGCCAAACAGCCTCGCCTGGCGCGGATCCAACGCAACCCCAAACTCCACATACACGAGAATCAAACAACTCATAAACTCAATCACCAGGGCATCTTTCACCGGCACGACGTCGGTGTCGAAATAGCACCCGCCGACGGTGAACTCGCGACTCCCGTACGCAGTCCGCATGGCCCAGCCAGCGAGCGCACCGCCGAACGTCTGCCCGGCTAGATAGAGCACCATGCGCGGGAAGGAAATCATACGGGCAAAAAAGGTGGCCATGGTGATGGTGGGACTGATGTGGCCGCCGCTGGAGGGGGAGAAGGTGTAGATGAGCAGCGGGATGAGGAGGAGGTTGGTGATGCCGCCGAAGAGGGGGGAGAAGAAGGTGACGGTGTGGTAGATGCCGGCTTCAGTTTTGGGGGCTGCGAGGGTGGAGGGGGCGTGGATTGTTACCCAGGAGGTGATGAAGGTGTTCATCATGCTGCCTATCATTCGTTAACACTCATCTTCGAATGTAGTATAGAAGGTAAATAGTATAAGAGGTCATACCAATGCACTCCAACACCGCAAACTTCCACAAATCCATACTCTTAAAGCCACGCAGATCAAAAACCTCAGACAGATGCATACTGGGCGCCGCATCGGGAACCTTCTTCAACAGCTTCGAATTCCGGGGATCGTTACGATCAAAGTATTCCTGGGGCCCGCCCAGTCTGCCCGCAAAGGGGGGAATGGCCGGAGACACGCTGGGTTGGCGTTCATGGCTTTCGTATTCGGGGAGGCCCGAGATGACGACCATGGCTGAGCAGACAGAGCTGAATGAGATGAAAAAAAGAAAAGACGTAAGGCTACATTTCCGTTTTCACGCGACATATTCACCTTTGTATATGCGGCTTAAGGAAAGACCCGGAAAGAGAGTGGATACGACAGCCGTTTGTTTCGCAGTTACGGAAGTTTGCATAGCCAGAGTTTGCGCAGCATTTCAGCTATTCGTCACACACAGCATACCAGTGACCACGAGTCAGTCGCCCGAGAAGGAACATCGGCAATCCGAAAAGCTGCAAGATCCGAAACGGGGAAAAGTGGAGCTGCGATAAGAAGGCAGAAAAGCTTCTGGAAGCAAACGATTTGGCAATTGCATTATGTCGTTTCAATGGGCGGGAGGAGCGTGATTGGCCGGATTAGCTGGAGAGATCGGCCCATGTGGACTGGGGTGGATTCGGATAAGATATTATAAATGAGGTTAATAATGCTCAGTCTGACAGTAACTGAGTATAAGCGAGATGGAAGAATAAATAGTATAATGAACAAGAATAGGAATAAGGATGAGGATAAGAGTATAAGCACTATGTTAGTATAGTGCACTCTGTAGTAGTAGAGACAGCCTGAGTGGCAATGTTAGTCATCATTCAGACATTCAGATGAAGAGAATGGAGAAAAGAAATAGAAAGAAAAAGAAAAGAAGACAAGAAGACAAGAAGAAGCCAAGAGCGTATTTAAAGGACAGCTTATCATTGCATCTGTCTTGACTCATTTGATGAATCAAGATATCAAGTGCAGTTATTAACCAACTTATCATCCCTGTTGAGATAAGACTCATAGCACACTTAGATTGCATTCTAAGGACCCGTGAAATCGAGTTTCCCACCCGTAATTCTTATTTAGTTTAGCTAATTATAAAGACAACTCATTATATCTACGATTTAACTCTTCTTTCTTATGACTCTTATTACTCTTAGGAGTTTCTGATATTGCATCTTTAACTATATCTATCTCTTTATACTCTAAAATTTCCCCTAAACAGAGGAATGAAATCCCGATAATATTGATATATCTAGTTCTATATCGTAACATCCATCTTCATGCTTCAGAATGAAACCTGTAGCTATTAGCATAAACCAGATATTCGATCATGTTCAACGTACTTGTACTACCCGGACCGAGGTATGACGTGCGGGGTCATCAGTATATCATCCCCAGAGCATACCAAGCAGAACATCTCATCAACAACATGAATTTCGACTTACCACCAGAATTAACTGCTTATGTCGAGTCCATTGACTCCTTCATCAAATCCGACATCCTCCCTCTGCAGTATTCAAACGACAATAACCGCTTCTTCGATCACCGACGGGAATACACCCGCACCGACTGGGAGAATGGCGGAATCCCATCCAAACAATGGGAGGACCTACTCCGTATTCACCCTCATCTGCAATCTAATAGATTAGTCTAATAAATCCAGAACAAGCCCGTGTTCTCGCCCAAAGGAATGGATTCTACAGCTTCGCCCTCCCAAAACCATACGGCGGATCAGGACACCCACACACCAACCTATACATGTCCGCGATCCGCTTCCACCTCGCCTCCCACCCAACCTACGGAGGAGGGATAGGGCTAGCCAACGATCTCCAGAACGAACACAGTATAGTCGGCAACTTTCCCGATCTCCTCATGCTGCACCACTTTGGTAGTGATGCGCAGCGGGACACGTACATTCCCGCCCGGCTAAGGGGGGAGTTTCGCGTGACGTTCGGCCTGACGGAGCCTGGACACGGGAGTGATGCGACGTTTATGGAGAGTGAGGCGAAGGCGGTGCGAGGGGGGTACGAGATATCTGGGGTGAAGAAGTGGCAGACGGGAGCGCATGCCTGTACGCATTTGATTATCTTTGCGAGAACGGGGGGGAAGGATGGCGAGGGGAGGGGGGTTACGGCGTTTATTGTGCCTCGGCAGACGGAGGGGGTGAGGGTTGTTAGTTATGAGTGGACGCTGAATATGCCGACGGATCATGCGACGGTGGAGCTGGATCGAGTGTGGGTGGGATCGGATGCGGTGCTGGGGAAGGTGGACGAGGGACTGGCGGTGGCGCAGACATTTGTGCATGAGAATCGCATTCGACAGGCGGCGAGTTCGTGTGGTGCGGCCAAGTACTGTCTGGATAGGAGTGTGGAGCGGGCGAGAGAAAGAAGGATTTGGGGAGGGAAGAGGCTGGCCGAGAACCAGGCGATACAGTTTCCTGTGGTTGAGCTGATGACGCAGGTGGAGATGTTGCGGTTGCTCATCCTCAAGACAAGCTGGGAGATGGATCGCATTGAGGGTGATCGGCCGTGGGTGGAGACTGAGAGAAGACTCAGCGATAAAGTTGCCATGTGTAACTACTGGGCGAATCGGTTGGTGTGCCAGGCTGCAGATGAGGCTATTCAGGTAGGACGATTCCGGCATCTGCAGTATATGGAGTGCTGATGAAGTAGATACACGGGGGCGATGGATACTCGCGACACTACCCATTCGAGCATATATATCGCCATTTCCGACGATATCGCATCACCGAAGGAGCAGAAGAGATCCAGATGCGCAAGATTGCTGCGTATCTTTTTGGCTTTGGGCCGAAAGAGAAGCTTTGATGGACAGTCCCTAACTCAGACATTATTCAGTCATTAGGTAAGTATATCATCCAACTATATTATACTTATTATACTTTGAATATACTAAGATTATTCTAAGATACACTCTGATATACAAATATTGAGATGTTGCCTTGGGCCACTAACCAATCAGCGTTGCCTAAATCCCCGCAATAAAACTGCAAATAACCTCAATCTGATAACATCACCATATCATCATGCCGCTTCTCAATCTGCCGACTGAGCTTCTATCGCGTATCGTTGCATATGTCGACTGGGAGTCTCTCCACCCACTGCGACTAACCTGCCAAACATTATCCCACATTGCAGTCAATCAACTCTTCAAAACAGTAGAATTATACCCAGATCAAGACAGCTGCAACAGATTTACAAGCATTCTGAGATGCAACCTCAAAAACAGGACGAAAAGGATAATTCTGCATAGCATCGAGGCAGATGCTGTGAGTGTCTCCCCTGGATAACCATCACGATCTAACAGAACAGGATCTGTGCGATGAATACGGAGGAGCCGATGGCGAAGAAGCCCAACTGCCAGGTTATTATACAGCCCTCATTCCTCGACTGGATGAATTCCCCAATTTGCACAGCCTGACGGTCCACTTTGACAAATACTGCTGCGTGCCGGACGAGAATGGCTACGTGAACTGTTCCCAGACATGGAATTTCCGCTCTGACGTGATGAAGCGGTTGTTCGCATCGACAGCGTCCCTACCTCGACTCAATCAAGAACTGGCAATCCGGCACATGCAGACTATCAATGTCAAAGATGTAAAGACACTGCAATCGATGGACAAGACTTTGCGGGGTCTGCGTTCTCTGCGGCTCGGCATCATCAGTGAATATGACAATACAAACCCAGAGATCACCGATCGAGTAGGCTCAACTATAAATGATATAGACACAGCTAACGAATGCAGCTCCCTGAACCGCATGACTTTTTTGACGAAATTCCCCCTCTGTGGCTGAAGCCCACCATGTCGACTCTCCAGCATCTCACTCTCTACTATCAGCACTGCTTTGGCTTCTACCCCAAACTCGATCTGCGTGGTGTTCACTTCCCCCATCTTAAAACGTTGGCTCTAGGAAACTACACCTTCATCCACGACACCCAACTCGACTGGATCCTCTCTCACGGTCACAGTCTCTGCGAACTCTACTTGGACGAATGTGCCATCGTCTTCGCAGCTCGAATGACCGAACCAGAAACCGTGCAACACTGCTATCTGGACTCGACACAGATCACCCGGTTATCAAACGAATACCACGCCACATATTCTGCGCGCTGGCACGACTACTTTTCAGCCTTTCAATCGGAACTGCCCCATCTCCGACACATCAGCATGGGGAGATCCGACTGGTGGCTCGGGATGCCGTTTGAAATGGAGGGGGAGATCGGCATGGGGCTACTTATGGACCGGTATATGATGTTTGATGATGAAACACGTCCCAATCCGTATATTGGGGGCAGCCATGTGTTTGAAGGAGAGTATGAAGAATGGCCATCTTGTACTGAAGAGGATAAAGAGGCATTGGGATCGTTGTTGATATCGACTGGGCAGATGAAAGAGGATATCATCGTGGAGTAATGATCTCACTGACGAATGACAATCCGTCATTAATAATGATGATAAGTATCCACACCTCGTATAAGTGTGTACACAAAAGTACGAATTAAACTCGGAATAGCAGGTGCATCGCATCCCTGCAGCCCGAATATGACAGCTCAACATGCGGGGTTGAATAACGCACTGCTGCAGACTTTTAAAAAGCATTCTGTGTAACACTGCTTCCCCTTTTCATCATCCCAAAATGGGTTCTTTTCAGACATACGCTGGCTATCTTTTCCTGGCCATCATCATCATTCGACTTGTTTCGAACAAGTTCAGACTATCTGGCATTCCAGGTCCATGGCTTGCTGCGTATACTCGACTGTGGAAGGTATACGATGTGTGGAAAGGCGACGCCCATCAAAATGCCATCCAGCTGCACCGGAAATACGGCAAGATGGTTCGCATCGGGCCTCGCCATGTTTCATTCAGCGATCCAAAAGCGCTTCCAATCATCTACGGACTGGGAAAGGGGTTTAACAAGGTGAGTCTATTTGGTATGGATGAAGTGAGCAGCGCTGATAGATGCAGACTGCATTCTTCCCGCTGCAAAGCATCGTATGGGAACAGAAACCACAGATGAACCTCTTCTCCACCCGAGACGAACAATATCACCGCGAACAGAAACGAGCCGTCGCCAACGCGTACAGAATGAATTCGCTGTTGGAAATGGAGTCGTCTGTGGACTCCTGTACGGATGTCTTCATCTCGCAGATGGGCAAGTTTGCAGACGCAAAGAAACCGGTGGATCTGGGGATATGGCTACAGTACTATGCGTTTGATGTTGTTGGGGAGTTGACATTCTCGAAGAAACTGGGCTTTCTGGGAGAAGGACGCGATGTAGATGATATGATACAGGCTATTCAGGGACTGCTGCTGTATGCGAGTGTGTGTGGGCAGATTCCTGAAGCGCATCCATTTCTACTTGGGAATCCACTGCTGCCGTTGCTTATCCCGAGTATGGAGAACTGGAATCAAGTGCTGCGGTTTACCTTGAAGGCGATGAGCTCACGCATGTCGGTGCACAACGATGGGAAAATAGAGCAGGACAGCGACAGCACTGGCAAAGACATGCTGTCCCGCTGGATGGCCGTCCACCAAGCTGATCCCGAACGCCTCTCCTCCCGAGACATGATCGTGCATCTATCCGGGAATGTCTTTGCAGGCTCCGACACCACCGCCATCGCCCTCCGCGCCATCATCTATCTCCTCATCACCCACCCGGACAAGCTGTCCAAAGTGCAAGCCGAGATCGACACTGCAGCCCAACAAGGCCACCTCAGCAACCCCCTCTCCTACCGCGAATCCCTCACCCACCTCCCCTATTTCGCCGCCGTCATGAAAGAAGCAATGCGCCTGCACCCCTCCGTCGGCCTCATCCTCGAACGCCACGTCCCCTCCACCGGCGCGACCATCTGCCACCAATACCTGCCCCCCGGCACAGTGGTGGGTATCAACGCCTGGGTCCTCCACCATAATGAGGACATCTACCCCGATCCCGAATCATTCATCCCCGAGCGCTGGTTAGACAGTTCGGCGGATAAGTTGCGGGAGATGGAGCAGAGTTTCTTTGCGTTTGGGGGTGGATCGAGGACGTGTATTGGGAAGAATATCTCGTTGATGGAGATGCATAAAGTTCTGCCGCAGTTGTTGAGGACGTTTGAGATTCGGCTTCATGAGGGGAGGCCGTGGAAGACGCGCAATGTGTGGTTTGTCCAGCAGGAGGGGTTCTATTGTGAGTTGGTGAGGAGGTAACCAGCTGTATGCGTGCTGTATGGTGCATACTATATAGTGATCTATACTTTAGATATAACAGACCAATCAATCTAAACAAATCCGATCACATGATACTGAGACATTAAAACATCCTGAAACATCAACATCACAACAAATCAATCAGAATCATAAAAGTAAGAAAATGCACCTCGACCACAAAATCCCCTGGACCACCGCCTCCTCGCACTTCTCTCTCATCCACAACAATCCCAAATTCACCCCCCACCGCACCGGTCTCTTCCCCCGCAATCGCCCCGCCCAATCCAACGATCTCAACCACTTCATTCGCGTCGTGGTCGCCACGATCCGCGAGTTTTCCAACACGCAGCGGTCCAAAGCCACATCTACTACTTCTGTTTCTGGAAAGCTGTTTTCAGACACACTTCTCTTCTATCCCGAGCGGAAATATGGATTAGGGGAGTATGAGACGAGTTCTGCACTGCATAATCCTCTGTCCGAGAAACATCAACATGTGGAGTACTGGATTGAGCGTGCGGGTGGTTCTGAGCGTCCGGTAGAAGAACTGGGCTATTCGAGTGGCGATGGGGATCTTTCTGATGCCGTAAAGATGCTCGTCATTCTTGCTGCGAATACAGATAAGGATGACGAATCGCGAGAAGTAGCCATCGAGGCATTCTCTGTTTTACTTACTCTATCTCGACATCCGAAAGTGCCGCTTCACCAACTAAAAGCCATCCATTGGGGCCACGCATTTGGAGTAGGCTTAGTGGGTGATTTTGCGCTGGATGCATACCTTCTGCTGAATCTCGTCGATGCGGTACTTTCTCGCAGTCGAATTGAAAATACACTCAAGAAAGAAGTCTCAATCCTAGAAATGGATTCCTTTCGTCACTTCGCCAATAATGCACTCCCGGACTACGACTATCCGACTCAAAACGTCCCCCATCGCGCGTTCTGGAATCCACTCGGCGTTACAGATGGTTGGGCGTATGAGCAGATCGAGGCAGTTGATCCGTTGACCTGTGAGGATCCAGATGTTCTGGGGAAGTTGAAGGAGTATTTGAAACTGTGCTTCGCACTGGTATACGTGTATGATGCGTTATTGGTGGAATGGCATGGAGAGGAAGAAGCAGACGCGCATTGGAAGGAGGTGATGGTGGGCTTTTTGGGGGTTTGTGGGTGTAACCGTGACTGGGATCGACTGGAGGTTGTATAGAAGACTGTGTATATAATGTATAAGAAATCCAGCTCATATGTCAGATGACCCAGAAGATGCCTTTGCGTGTTTCGGATTCAATTAGGTTGCTGTTTGTCTTTGATGAAGACCTCGTGGGGTGCTGAGCAAAGTGCTGCGCCTGTGTCTGTGTAGCATATATGCAATTGACCAGAAGATTCGAGCAAGAGAGCCAAATTGAGCCATGCAGTCCATTGAAGCAGGACTTGGGCAATTTTGCCATGGGTGAAGGCGGATTTGTCGGAGTTGGGATGGTAAGCTGACTAGGGTTTAGTCTAACATAGAGCTCCATGGTAAAGTACAGACATTATCCACCCCTTACAGGGCCCATACAGGGCATCATTATTCTACTTTGCCTTAAGAATGAATGGCATTCTACGAGGAGACTATTAACCAAAACTGTTGGTCTTTATTTTCAGAAATGTCCTACCATATTTAACTTTAATCAATGCTTGATTCGTTACGGTTATTGCAGAAGCTACCTACGTCAGTTGCCTCTTTCATCACATGTAGTATAGAGAAATAGCTTGATTATAGAGTACACGAGGGCGATGAAATAATTGTGCTTTAATAGATTTGGAAAGATAGCATCAGCTATGAGAGAAGCACTTCATCGCGTCCGTATGTAATGGACCTCATTATAGTAGTGTAGAGCCAGTACCGTATACGACTGCGTGAAGCCAGTAATTATTTATGTACGGCTATGCTGAACAGATATATATTTAATTGCCATTTGCTGATTTCCAGTACACTCACTCCCAGTGGAGTCAACTACAGGCCGAGAGTACGTTTACCAGAGGACACTATCAAGACAGACAGTTGCCATTACTTTACCTTAGGAATACAACGAGTAGATCCTACTAACCATCCTACTTGAACTGACTGGAAATTCTCGCATTGAGTGACATGAGGCAAATGGAGGTGAATGAAAGGAAGAACGTGGGCTGTTTCACGGTCATCCCTGGAATGCAGCCCATCCGCCCTGTCGGAAGGGGGGCATCCTGTCAACCTTTCACAATCCATTTCAGGGACATGTCAGTTGGTAATAATATAGATCCGAGTAGAAATTAAAAGGAGGATACAGAAAGAACATGTTGTCTTCCCATGTTGGAAAAAAATTCCGCCGAGGGGGAAGCCGCCGGTCCGCATTCCAGGCGGTTTATGTTTATTTTGCTTATTGATAGAAGAACTCGTGTTGTTTACTGTAGATGAAATGAGAGAGTATGAAGAATTGGTGATGATATAGAGGTTAAGAGTGTGATTATGAGTATTAAGTAGTAGTCTGTGTCTTATAGATGGATTTTGCTGCGTCAATTACATAGGACATATATGATGATGGGGTGATAGCTGGTAGACCGAATATATATATATATATATACATATATGTATACTGTGTTTGTATATATATAACTTCCCTTCTACATAGATAGTGTAATGTCACTTTAATTAAACAACCATCCTATCCTTCAACCATCTACTATTATCATCACAATTCTATAAATTATTAGTTGTTTAATTCCATAATAATGCAATATAATCTATTCATCACGATGTTCTCTACTGTTGACCAAGGCGGTCTCAGATGCTGCCATAAGTCAACATACCATCAATGCAAACAAGACAATATTAATAACCATCTTTGAAACCAAACCGAATAAACAAAACATACATTATTGAATGCAATGAGGTGATGGGAATGTACATACCCGGACTCCTGAATATCAGATGATTCCGCCAGACGTCAAGCAAGGGGGGCACGTGCCTATATCCCACCCTTGACACCTTGAGGGTGACAGGGCATTTTGACTGGAAGAAGAATAAATGGTTATGGCAATCTTGTCTATTATTCTGTAGTGAAATGTTCTTGTAGGTAATAATCCGTAAAGAATAGCTTATGATCAAATACCGTATTCACTGAATAGGGAGTAAACAGTAATGCCCTCAATGTCACCTAGTCTGTGCCCTTCATTCCAGCGGCGCGGAACCATAAAGACAGCCCAGAATGTCATGTCCATTCTCCTACCCTGTCAATCCTCATCACTTCATATCCACCGTTGCCACCAGCAACATCGAATATGTCTGAATCTTTAATCCCCCAAGTATCTGGTCATATCCTTTTCTTCCAGACGACAACCTTCAACTGAAGACTTCGTCCCATCCCCAGTCCTGTCCTTTCCCAACCCCCCCCTCCCCGACAAGTATCCAAGGTAAGTAGCAAGGGAAGTATTCTGTGCAAATCAGTCAAGATGATGAGACACAGACACGGGGCGATCCATTATGGGGGCCCGAGTGCGCGTGGAAATGCAGTTGCCCCGAGAGGCGCTGCTGGCAGTGCTGCGGCTGACGTTCAGAATTTGAACGCGGGATACAACAACGCTGGGACCCAGGGGCCGACTGGAGCGGGAAATGAGTATGGATATGTGGGGGACGGTCGGTCTGGGAATGATTATGGGTCGTATCATGCGGGCCAGAGTCAGCAGGATTCAGACGCAAGTGCGAAGGAGACAGACACTGCGGAGGGCTCAAGCCAGCAGAACGGATCGAGCCAGAAGTCCAGCACGGATGGCAGTGTCGCTCAGGGTCAGACGCAGCAGAGCCCGGAACTCGCTCAGAGCCAGGGTGAAACCCAAGGGCAGGTTGGAGCGAATAGTCAGACTCAGGGCCAAAGCCAGCCACAGAATGCGCAGAATGCACAGAATGCGCAGAGCCAGCAGGGGTCTGCTTCTACAAAAGGTCAATATCAATCCGATCAGGCTCAGGCTGGATCTGGATATTACAACGCGTACTCGAACCAGCAGGCATCCCAGAAAGACGCGTCCAATGCAGCCAGCAATGGCTACAGTCAATCCAAGCAACCCCAAGCCAACGAGCAGAGCCAACAGAGTCCGCAAAACGTGCAAACCACCAAGCAGAACAGCCAACAGAATCCCCAGCAGAGCAACAATCACTCGTCCAACAACCCCCTATATCATGCCCCCCAGCAGAACACGCCCAAAGAGCCTGTCTACTCCGATTATAAAAACGGCCAATACCGTCCTCAGCTGTACAACAATCCCCCGCACAATTCGCCTTTGCCAGACCCAAGCATCGCATCCAGTGCAGCCACCGACCATCCCACCCACACTGCCGCCACTGGCATTGCTACCCACACGGCTCTTCCCACCGAAAGCAATCCGACGACAATGCCCACTCTTGCTTCCGGCTCCGGTGGCCATAAAATGGGCGCAGGCGAGACTGCTGCTGCCGCTGCCAGTGTGGTCGTCGTGGTCGGAGGTATTGCCGGATTTATCCTCGTCTGGCTGCACAGGAAGAACCGTCAGCGTCGGGCCTTGTACGGACCAAAATACGGCATGGAGAAGCGTGTGCCTGTTTCACCCAAAGCACCCAAGGTCGCCAAAGCCCTCAAGATTGGAAAGTCTCCCAAACCCCCCAAGGAACCCAAGCCCCCAAAGGCCCCGAAGCCGCCCAAAGAGCCCAAAGAACCGCAAGGGCCTTCTTTCGTTCAGAGAGGAGCGTCAACTGTTGGCTCTGCGATGGCTGGTGCTGCTTTGACAGTCATCACCATGTTCAAGCTTCTTCGCAAGCCAAAGGGCTCCTCGCCGTATCCGCAGGTCATCATGCATCACAACAACACCACCGAGATGTTGAACGAGACCTTCAACAACGAGAGCAAATGGTCCTTCCCCCAACTCAGCATCAATCCCGGAAAGTCTCCCAACTTGATCTCCAACTGTTCCACGCCTACATTGATCGTGTCTCCGACTTCGGAAAGTTTCGCCCGAGATGGAGGAAGACTCCGCCATGTGCCCTCTGGCCGAGCAGACCGTGTCGACCACCCTGGCACGGCCGAAGCAAGCACCGGATCGCTGAGAAGCTACCGTCCAGCACCTTCGGAAGCTGAGGTCGACCATGCTAGTCGACCGGAGAGTCCAAACGTGGGTTCATCTGCCAGTTCCACATACGACTTCACAGCCAGCCGTGGCGATCTACTGGCCATCACCAGCATCACACCGTCCCTGGCCAATCTGTATCGTGTCGACATGTCGTTTACTCCAACCAAGCCTGGACACATCGAGTTGCGGGAAGGACAAAGCGTTCGAATTCAACAATCGTACGACAATGGTTGGGTATGTATCTTCCTTGGCCTATTCTCATCATATGCTAATAAAACACAGGTCCTCTGCTCATTATCCGACAAGAGCCAAGAAGGAATAGCCCCAAGGGCCTGTCTCTCCTCGTGGCCCATCCGAGTCCAAGGAACCAGCTTGCGAGAAGTTCCCCGCGACGGCGCCCCATCCCCCGACGCAGGCAGTTCTCCAGGGACACCGCGCTTCTATTCCCAATTCTTTTCAACCTCGACCACCAATCTGTGATTGTGCGGTACTTTAAAGAAAAAGAAAAGTGATGTTATTTTCTATTCCACTTTGTTAGGTTACATTTATCTTTCTAGGGTCTTCTGGCCATATGATGACGGCGTTGGGAAACCGGGGAGATGCTAGGTCGATTTGTTTTGGTCATCATGTTTTAATCAAGTTTTATGTTTAATTATCGATACTATAATGTAGAGCATTGCTCGTTGACTGGTACTTTTCATATTCGGTCTGGTGAACGTTAATGCTGCTTCTGCCTTTCAAACCACACAACCCCCGAAGCACAATTAATTATCTATTACCTATACTCTATCCCTTCATATTAACCCTAGAGATTAAAAATTATATATTATCCAAGTGTCTGTTCATCCTATGTACATGCTAACAATAAGCCCTATTCTCAAAGCAGTAAGCATCATAATCGCAGCGCCAGCCCTGCCTTCTCAACTCTATGAACCATGCACTTCGCCAGAGGAGGTATGTTCAACCTACTCGGTATGGATCCGGTGGATCAAATTCCATAGCTGAACCGTCAAGGTAACACAATTAGGATTAGCCATACTATGTTCTCATCACGTCTTGAAATCGCCACCTCAGCTCTATCAGCACAGCATATCTTTCCCCTTAGCTCGTCACCTGTCACTATATGATGACAGCAGAGTAATCCGTGCACCATGCACCATGCACTTCAAGCACAGTACACTGCATAACGCATAGAACCAGTCATATTCAAAACACCTATCATAATCTAGTCTTATCTAGCATGAAAATCAGTTTTCCCGCTCGGTACTTGTGCAGTATAATCCCTGTCCAATAATGGCTTTCTTTTCTTTTTCTTTCAGCTGATGGCGGGCGATCTACGACATAGCTATTGTTTTTTATGATTATCAATGATCGGCGGATATCACATGATAAGGGATTTGATAGGGGATTGTTTATGCAGCAGTGTGCATTGTTCTGTTTTATGTGTCATGTGATTTGTATGCGAGTTTGTATGGAGTAGTTGAAGTATCTCACTACGGAGGATTCTTCACTACGGGGTATTATTCTGGTTGATCTTTATTAATAGAATATTGTGTTATTCTTTGCCTAATATAAGGTATCATATTAAATCTACTTTGGATGGTGGTGGGTGGGGTGGTGTTGATGTCTGGGTCACAATATATACATCGAAGCACTGACAATATATAACTTTAGCTATATCTTATACCATATAATTCCAATGTTAATTGTAAGATCTTATAAGTATATACTAAGTTTATATTAAATTGAGAACTATTGATTTCATTAACTTCTATATTGACATGAGTACTATGTCATTCAAAGTAACCCGACTACGAATAGTAGAACAATAGAATAGTAGAATAGAATTAATATATTATTATGGTATATCATGCAATAACATTAACAGTCTCCTCATCAAGCAACGCCTTCAACGCAACATTGACATCCTCTACATCCTCCAAATTGAGAATAAACTTCTCAATCGCCCGCTGCCTCTCCTCGGTGATCACACCCTTCGTCACAGTCCGGAACTTGTCCACAATACCCTCATTCGTCAAGGCAGGGTCAACACCCGTAGGAGCCTTGATGGTTGAAGTGACCGAAGTACCATCATCGAACTCGACCACCGCCTTGTGCGCCCAGGTATGGTAGAACTCTTCACTAGTGGTGCAGGTCACCTTGGGCATGATCTCCCAGATGGCGTCACGGCCGAGCAGCTCCGTCGCGAACTGGTGGGGCGTGACGTCGCCGTCGAGGAGGGCGACGGCGACCGCGTAGGGGGCGCTCATCTGCGCCGCGATCGCGGTGATGGGGCGTTCGGGGGCGAAGGCGGCGCGTTTGCGCGCGACCTCTGGCATGTAGATGGTGATTTTGGCGATGCGGGAGACGTCCTTCATTTGGTCTGGGTGGTCGGAAAGCAGGGTGCGGATGCAGTCGACGGAGCCGTGGGTGGTGGCGCAGGATGCGTAGCGCTTGATGCTGAAGCCCAGGAGGTCCCAGCGGGAACCGAGCTCGGAGAGGAGCTCGGCGCCGTCGAAGCGGGGGGTGTTTTTGGAGCCGAGCGAGAAGGTGGTGAGGAAGCCGCCGTATTCGCGGTCGAAGACTTTCTTGATGCCGCGGAAGCCTTCGCGGGAGAGAGACGCAGCGAGCACGCCGCTGCGGGCGGCGAACCCGTGCTGCATGCGTTTCACCATCGACTCGTACTGGGCCGACATGAGCCCGCCGGCCTGGGTGCATGCGGTGCCGATGGACTCCTCGATGATCTCGGCGGGCTGGTTCCACAGCTTGCTGACGGCGGCGGCGCTGGCGGCAGGACCGAAGATAGGGCCGGAGTGCCAGCCCATGCCGAGGATCTGGTGGCCGCCCAGGGCAGCGCCGACCCGGGGGCCAGTCTCGTAGCCTACGAGAGCAGCGAGGAGGAGGGAAGCACCCGTGATGGGGGAGGATTCATGCTGGGCGGCGGCAAAGATGGCGGGGATGATGACCGAGCTGCCGTGGATGGGGTTGGCAAAGTGGAACTCGTCCATCTCAAAGGCTTGCAAGAAAGTGCTGTTCAATAGAGCAGCAGGGAGGGGCCCCAGACCCTGAAGCTGTCAGTATACAGTCACATTCATACATAGGACAGGACGAACCTGGTTGTAGCCAATCAGGGAACATTTTCCAGGGCCTTCCAGGGTGCAAATGGCTTCTTTGGCTTTGACAGACCAAGGCAGTTTGGAGCCAAGCAAGGCGCAACCAAGGCCATCAAGGAGGATGTGCTTGACGCGGGTCCGGACGTCTTCAGGCACATCAGAGAGCGAGAGAGAGGCAACCCAGGAGGCAAAGGGCTCCGTGACGGGCTCCTTGTTGGCCGACACGTCGATTCCGCCACCCATGATAAGATCTTTGAATCTGCTGAATCTAAATCTGAATGATCTGAATAACTAGACAGGCAGAGTCTTTGCGTGCTCGAGCTGGTTTTATCTACGGAGTAATTCCATCTACGTGGGAGTGACAGCCAGGCTGAGTGAAGGCTGAAAAAACAATACAAACTACTGAATAATAATGATGAGTTGTGATTATTGATGTGATCATCGGGCAGAATAATAGATTACGCCCTATAGTCTGTGCTACATACCAAGCTAGGCTAAGCACTTGCCAAGAAAGACTAACTCCCCCGCTCGGAACCAATCAGCAGGCCAGGAGTAATTAAATCCGCAATACAGGGCAATACAGCCCCACCGGGCGATCGAGGCTTGTTTCGCTAGTTTGGCTGCAATGCAGGATGTGCTGGTTTGGGCGATCCAGGCGGACTAGTGATTCTGTGCCACCCGACTACCGACTAGGTGGGGGGCTAGTAGAGGGCAGGGTGGATGGTGGCTGATGGAGCTGATAATCACCCAAGCATTGTCTAGTTCATGCCAGAATTGCTTGTTGACAATGGATTGTCTTGTCGTTCTATTGCCCTATAGCCTTGTGGAGCAATGGCCAGACTGACTATTGCGAGCTATCCAGCTATGATATTCGTCTTTGCTTTTTCTCAAGTGTCTGATTACGACCGCCACCTGTCAACTCAGCTGTGACTTTTATGCATGTGCTGAGTACCGGTCCAGTTGTACGCATTAGAAATCCTGCTCGATGTACAGTCTAGATGGTGTAATATGGTAAAAGTATACATTAAGATAGACTAAAACTAAGACTCCTCCCGCACAAACAGATCCACAAAGTGATGAACCGGCATCGAGTCCTCCTTGACCGCTTCAAGGATCTTCTCGATCTCCTCCTCCGTAAACATGCCCGCCATGTTCGCCCGGAACTTGGCCTGCACCTTGGGCAGCGTGTCGCGATGCATGGGATGCCCAATCGGGAACTCCACCACCACCTCATCCAGCACGGTCCCATCCGCCAGCGTGATCGTCAGCCCACTCGACGCGCTCTTGCGCTTGCCGTGATAGTCCTCCGTGAACTGCTTGTCCTCGACCATGTCGATCTTCTGGCGCAGCGCCTCGACCCGCGCGTCCGTCACCCACGGGCTGTCGTTGTCGTAGTCGCTCGCCTCGATGAGTTTGTTCTTCAGGAGCACCACGGCGATCATGTAGCGCATGCAGTGGTCGCGGTCGGCCGCGTTGGTCAGCGCCTCCCGCTTATCGATGATCCTCATGGCGGCCTCGTGCGTGCGAACGTGAATGTGCTTGATGTCCTTGGCGGGGTCGAGGCCTTGGGCATGCAAGGTGGCCGCGAGCTCCGTGGCGGCCTGCACGGCGGAAATGCCATGTCCTTCAGCCGTGATGAGCTTGAAAAACACCCCCTCCATGACAAAGGTCCCGAAGGGCCGGGACAGGCGCAGCTCCTGGTTGGCGAAGCTGGTCTTGAGGAAGCCCCAGTTGGGCTCGGTCAGCGCGGTGGGGATGCCGGGCTGGTCGGCTTTGGCGAGCAGGCACAGGTGGACGGCGCGCATCGTGGCATCGCCCGCGGCCCAGCCCTTACGCGGGCCGGTATTGGGACTCTGGCGGAAGATGCGCAGAGGGTGGCCGTCCGCCCAGGCGTGGGAGATGGCGGAGGCTGCCTGCGACTCGGACAGGCCGAGCAGGTGGGCTGTGACGGCGGTGGAGGCGATCTTCACGAGGAGCGTGTGGTCCAGGCCCACCTTGTTGAAGGCATTGAGCTTCTGGTAGATGCCTTCGATCTCGTAGGCCTTGGTCAGGGCCACGATCACGTCGCGAACAGTGGGGGCGGCGGTGGCCGACTCGGCGCCTGCAGACTCGTGGGTCCGACTTAACCAATCCGTCACCGCCAGAATGGCACCGAGATTGTCTGTGTTGTTAGTATAACTAGTGTGCATAGTAGTAGAAAAAGAAAGGAAAGAAATTACCAGAAGGATGACCCCACTCGGCGCCAGGATAGGCGTCATTGTGATCGAGGAAGCGAATCAAGGAGGACAGATCAAAGGCGCCCTTGATAGGATCGAGCTGGTAGTTGGTGCCGGGCAGACGGAAGCCATTGGGCGAGGTTGAGCCAGCCACAACAGGGCCGATAAAGGCACGGCACTCTTTGCTCGTCTGGAGCGTCTCCACAGCACATCCCAGAGCGTCAATCAGGGCATGGCGAGCACGGTGCAGAGCAAGGCCCTCGTCGATGTCGACGTGATAGACGTAGTGGACGAGCTGAAGGATCAGCTCGTCATAGGGGATTTGTTCAGTCATGATGCAGTGTGTCGGGGTATTTTGTAAAGCACAGTCGGATAAACAGGGAAGTAGAAGCAGCGGAGGAAGATGAAAAAGGGAAAGATTGGTTTGTGACGCTGGCGATGATTGAGGTGAGCTATTTAACCTCTGAGTCGGGGCCGACAGGGATGCAGTGGAGCAGCACTAGTTGTATTGATTCTTTCTTTTCTTCATAATTCGGAATAGGATGATAATGCCATATTGCTTTTATCTTTCAGCTCTGCTAGTGCGTAGATCTTCCCTCTGCAGTGTGACTGTGATCACCCGGATCGTGCATCTCAGCTGAAGCCATCGCCATCGACGCCATCCGCGGCCTCCAAGGCATCTATAAAGCTGCTCGATGTCGCTGGCCATTCAGTCTTCATTCAGCTTCTCAATCATCCTCTCTTCCACCTTCACAATGGGTCTCTTCTTCGGCTGGATCTACTTTCTCCAAAATGTTCTTTCTTTCCTGACAAAGAAGAACCCCATGGCCCAGATGATCGAGCATCAGGTGCCTGGGAAGCAAGAAGGCACATTGACTGTTCGCGACGACCGAACAGGCCACTCCTACACCATCCCCATCATCCACAATGCCGTTCCTGCCCTGGGCTTCCGACAGATTGTCAAGGACCGAAAAAACAAGACGCCTCGTCAGCAGTTTGAAGAGGGTCTGCGTGTGATTGATCCCGGTTATCGCAACACGGCCGTCAAGATGTCGGGCATTACCTACATGTATGTCACTGCTTCTCTATACCCGATCTGCATACTGACTTCTCCTAGCAACGGAGAACAAGGTGTCATCCTCTACCGTGGCCACCCTCTGGGTTCGCTCGTCGGCAAGTCCTATGAAGAAATCACCCATCTGCTGGTCTGGGGCTCGCTGCCCACCGAGTCGCAGCGCCTCAGCTTCCAGCGCAAGTTGGCTGAAGCCATGGTTCTGCCCGATGTGGTCCGCCAGGCTGTGACCAACCTTCCGTATGTCGCATCTCATGTATCACATATGAACCCAGCTAACGAATCAGCCGCGATGTCCCCGCCACCGTCCTCATGGGCGCCGCTCTGACTGCCTATCTCTCCGTGCACCCCGAGTACATCCCCGCCTACGTGGGCAAGAACCTGTACAACGGCAAGATGGACAAGGTCGACGAACAGCTCACCAGGACCCTCGGCATCTCCGCCGTCACCATCTCCATCGTCTTCTGCCACAAGCACGGCCGCGAGTTCCGCCCCGCCGACCTCAACCGCAGCTACATCGAGAACCTGCTGCACATGGGCGGCTTCACCGAAGGCAACCCCAACGTCTCCCCCGAAAAGGCCGCCGACATCTTCACCCGTCTCTGGGCGCTCTACGCCGACCACGAGATGACCAACTCCACCTCTGCCTACCTGCACACGGCCTCTGCCCTCACCGACCCCATCTCCAGCCTCATCGCCTGTCTCCAGTCGGCCTACGGTCTCCTGCACGGTGGCGCCATCGACGCCGCCTACACGGGGATGCGTGAGATCGGCGGCCCCGAGAACGTCCCCCACCTCATCAACAAGGTCGTCAACAAGGAAGCCCGTCTGTCCGGCTACGGCCACCGCATCTACAAGCTCCAGGACCCCCGCGCCGGCTACATCAAGGAGATGCTGGACGAGCTGACCCACGACACCGACATTCGCCAGATGGATCCTGTCCTGGCCATCGCCATGGAAATCGACCGAATGGCCGGCCAGCACGAGTACTTTACCAAGCGCAACCTGCAGGCCAACGCCGATCTTTACGGTAGCTTCGTCTACACTGCTCTGTAAGACTCCCCCACATATATTATACGAACTGTACTAACGAAAATAGTGGCGTCCCATCTGACTTCTGCGTCGCTCTCGCCATGTTGTCGCGGGTACCCGGTGTCCTGGCACACTGGAGAGAAGCCATGTCCCGTCCCCCTGAGCTGTGGCGCCCTCTGCAGATCTACACCGGTCCTACTTCGGTGACAGTATAGATGATGGAAAAGGAAAAAAAAGGATAACTGTGATTGATTGAATGCGAGATTGGTAATATTGTCTATAGCATTGAGTACTAGTATTAATGGATATTTGGCGTTAACATCTGCATTCTCCAATTAAAATGATTTTTATACATATACATAATTATAATGCAATGCACTGCACTGCAACTTAATAAATCCCCTTTCAACTTCCTCTTGTACAACAGCTGCATGCAAGGTCCTTTTTCCCTATCTAGCAATTGCACGATATCCTCGATGAATTAGCAATACACGGCTAGCAGATGCAGATACAGTGGGTTTGATATTCAATCAAGAACAGCCGTCTGCGTAATTTGATATCCTGATTCAGATTGATGAAGTTACACAGGTGGGTCGGTGGCACAGATAGTGGCAGGAGATAAGTGGAGCGATTCCGCTCAGCTCTTCAAAGTCAAGCTTTTAGGGGTGATTCTGGTAGGTCAAGATTAAATAGTTCTTGGAGATAAGTCGGCGAATTGAGGATGACTTGTTTGATATGGAGAATTAGTATCTGATGAGTTGAATGCATAATCAATTAATCAAGGAGTTGTCCGATACATGCAATATGCATATTAGGGTATGCAAGCCCCTCGAGTTCAGCATAACCACACCCTGCATAAACACGCATAAAGATAAGCACAACTGACAGCTATCAGTGATGGCAGCTGCCACGTCACCTAAAATGAGGTGATGATAATACGAGCCGAATGACAGCCAGCCACCAAATCGATTGCTTATCCTCTAATCTGTCGATCATTGGGATCGACCATCGTACTCGGCATGTATCCACTGGCTATTGGAAAAAGCAATATGAGACATTTACATTCACAATAACATTACCAATGATAAGAGTATCTAACAATTCATTGTCTTTCATGTCAATACGCAATCTAAAACCATGTCTATCTAAACAACGCCGCCTGCGTCCCATACCGACTCGCACACGTCACCGTCAACAACTCCTGCAGCGGCCGACTGTCCCTCGACTCGATCCGCTCAAACTGCTGCACCAGTCGTGTCGTCGTGTACGCCGCCTGGATCAGCGCAAACTGCTGCCCAATGCATTTGCGCGGCCCACCCCCGAACGGGAGATACGCCCACCCGGGCCGCAGGTTCTCCCAGCGGTCTGGTTTGAACTCTTCCGCGTCGGGCCCGTAGATGTCGTGCCGGCGGTGGAGGGTGAAGACGTCGAAGCCGATGTTTTGGCCCTTGGCCACGAAGACGGGGGAGGTGCCGTCGGGCCCGCCGCCGGTGGGCAGGACGGTGTCTTTGATCGCGGTGCGGACGTTGCGGGGGATGATGGGGTAGAGGCGGAGGGCTTTACGGTCAGTATGTAATATTGTAAAGGAGTAGGAGGGACTTACTCTCGTTGACAGTTGCAGACACGTATTTCAAATCTCTCAGCTCGTTGAATGTAGGACGGCGTCCTTCCAGCGTGGCAACCTCCGCCTTGAGCTTGGCCCAGACATCCGGCCGACGAGCCAGAATATGGAACTGGATACTCAGCAGACCGGCCGTGGTGTCACGACCGGCCAGCAGCACATTCAGCAACTGATCGGTGATCTCAGTTTCATCGGTGGTAAGTTCAGCCAGCTGAGACAGGAAGCAGTCGGGCAGTTTATCGTCCTTGGTCTGCGATGCACGCGATCGCAGGGCCTGCTTGACAAACTGCTGCACGTAGCCTCTGGAGCCGGCGACGGCGCGGTTGAAGCTGCGTTTGTAGGCGGGATGGAGGTGGATGAGGAGGCCGAGACGGGCGTTTCGGATCATGCCATCTTGGGCTTCGTGGTAGTTTTTGGAGAACTGGTATGCTTCCGCTGGCGAGTCGGAGCGGAGAGTGGCGACCGAGTGGCCGAAGAGGAATTGCGTGGCGGAGTCAATGGTCTATCTAGTTAGCATACTCCATCTTCATCTTATCTGTAAGGAACATACCATTCTAAAGAACAAATCCTGCAAATCAACCGTCGCCCCATCGGCAGGAACACAATTCACCAGGTTCGCCACATGCCGCTCGAAAATATCCAAATCGGCAATATTATCCCGCGTAAAGCTGGGTCGCAGCAGCGCCCGCGACTTCTCCCACTGCTTCCCATCCGCCGCAAAGATGCCATGGCCCAGCAGCGGCCGGAACGAGTTCATGCGGCGCTTGCCGATGGAATAGTCCTTTGCGTTGGTGGCCAGGATGACCTGCAGGTTCTTGGGATCGGCCGTGTGGATGACTCTGCGGGTGAGCATGAAGGCTTCATAGGTGAAGCCGTTCTGCATGAAGCGGTTGTGGGAGTAGTCGAGGAAACGGTGCTCTTTGGAGGCTTTCAGCATGGCGCGCACTCGGTCGAAGCCCAGGATGGGATCTTTGTTGCGTTCGCTCGAGGCGGGTTGGCAGCCATGTTGGCTGGCGAATTTGCGGTCTGATTATTAGTATAGGTATATAGATGGAGTAGAGGACATACTGTGGATGAAGAGAGCGAGTTTCTTCACAACAAGCAGAAGAGCAAGCAGGCCAAAGGCCAGACTCGACACGGGAGGGAGGGCCATTCTGACAATCTTGATGAAGAAAGATCATTCAGAGAAGAGAGAAGGAGCCGATTTAAGTCTGCAGAGTAGATCTAGACCAATAGTCAGATGTGATTGCGGTGAGTATTGTGATTCAGCCGTGCATAATAATAGATATAATAGTAATATTAATAATAACTAGTACTATCAGTGGATTCGTCATTGTGGAACAGCCGAATCGGGACTCGCATTGCTTTTGCCGTGTGCGACGGTGATGCCAGACTATCACCAAAAAGAAAGATGCACTATCTAACCAGCGCGTCAAAATCCATCGCCTGGTTGAATCCCCTCCATCCACTCGCTGTATTCCACCCTCGCATCCAGTATCCTCCTCCATCCGGGCTCTTCATCGTAATACCCGACGGCCACACTCCATCCCGCATATTGCGGACCACCGGATTCACAAACACCACATTCGTCTTCTGCCCATCAACAGCCGCAGCTGAAAAGTCCAGCCCGGAAAAATCCAGCCCCGTCCATGGTGTGATCATAAGCAGAGGCATATTTCCACTGCCCCGGATGCTGGGCAGCTGGCGGTTGGCAGATCGGTCTTCGGCGAAGCGAAGATACGACTGGATCGCCGACGGTTGTGTATACTGCATGGTGGTATGTCTGAGTTTGCTGGCCAGAGCACCAACTGACAGACTGTGAATCTGAGCGGTAGATAGCCTGTCTCGCAAAAGACCAATACTATTATGCACCCAGTATTTCCCTTCTGGGGGAGGGCGAATCCAAGGACGGTAGTTCACCGGTTGGTAGAACTCCACCGGTTCATCTGCTCGTACAGGGGCGTAGAGACTCTTCAGATACCACGCACACAGGATGTTATTCTTGCTGGGCTCGCTCTCGCCCGCCGGAAGCGTCTCGAGAGCCTGCTTGCGGAGCATCTTCACCCAGTCCCCGGGGATGTAGACAAGTCGCTCCTCGAGACGTTCTCGCCAGCCGGTCGCGCGAAGAAGACTATTCCACAAAACACCTAGTAACAAAATGAAGATAGGCCAGAATCCGGCTGAGAAGTTATCGCGGTGGTCGTGGTAGCCGACCGGTGCGATCGACGAGTCTGTCTCTTTTTCGATCATCGTCTCTGACATCCCTGTCCCCTGTGCATCAGGGGGGAGTATGAATGATGTGCTTGCTCGGTTGGCGAGGAGATTGCAATATGCTTTGATGATGTTGTATCCAGATGTGGCGTCAGCGAAATGGTGGCTGAAGCCGAAGCAGAGGATGGTGGCATCGCGGAGGACGGTCGCTCGGATGCTGAAGAGATTCTCGAGTTTCTTGGGCAGATCGAAGAGGAACATCGAGTCGAGGTCTTGCATGCTTAAGGAATGCATGGCTTTGGGTTCAAAATTGACGTTCGTCGTCTCATAATGTTTGAAAAAATCCGATACATCCTGATCCACCTGGCGACTGGAAAAGTCGACATTCGAGCCTGTAGATAACGTCCATGGTCGTGTCTATCAAGTTAGACAACTGTATATTATACCAGAAACATAGACATACACTGGGAATCAAACGTCCACCAAGAGTCGGATTGGCCTTGATCAACTCTGCCGCTTTATCACGGAGAATAACCTCATCGAGGCACGAGTCGACAATCAGGCCTATATAGAAAAAAGCCCGATAAGTAAACGGATGGGCCGTTTTACACTGATACTTGAATTCCTCCATTCTGATATGTCCGTTTGGTATGCAAACAAGCAATGCAAGTGCAGATAGAGGGCTAGATAGTGGGAATATTATCAAGTTATAATCAATCTACTTTCACATGTATACAATAGTACCTCGTGAGCCGTCTCATCCGGACAATGAGTTGTCTCGTATCTTTGTCCCTTAGTCCAAGTTCTTTGACCATCCTTTGGAATAATTGTTGGCGTGAATAATATCAAATCTCAGGGGATTTGACCTTGAGGGCAACCTCAGCCCAATGCCGTCGATCAGACCAGCCAAGACGATCTGCCCCTTAACGGCAATTGCTTGGTTCAGCCCTGCCTTTCTTCACAGCCAGTCATATCTGCTCTCCGTATTTCCGCATCGGCGTTCTCGTTCACCGACCGATTCAGACAGATTCGGTGGGCTGCAATAGACTGTGGGTCTGCTAGTGTGGGATCCACCGGCCCGCTTGAGCGGACCACGAACTTAGATCCCCACCTGTATTGTTTATTACACGGTGTACGGTGTAACACCGGTAAAATGCCTCAACTTGGTCAATCCACTATCAATGGGAACAGATGTGCGAGACTGGCGATCTTGATGCACGGAGAGTAGAAGCATCCCAAACTGGATGCGCTGTATAATCACATATCAGCCTCGGTTCAAGATGAGATTGATGGAACTCAAGTAGCATCCTTCATAGAATGATATGGATAGTCAGGATGAAGTCGTGGCTAGAGAGTTTGAAGTAGAGAGCATGGATGAAGTTGAACAGATGTCTTTTCGTAGAAAACTGTAGTGCTGTAAATATAATTAAACATCCATTAATTCGGGTTTTATCAGTTATCATTGTCTTGGAGAAGCTTCTGTCCAGGTTGCCCTAGGACTGGCCATAGTAATAGAGCAAATATAGGTTGAGTGAAAGATGTACTACACCCGGGGGGACTGTTTGTTTATTACTGTAGAAAATGCCATGTTGCAGCCAGCCACTATAGGCAAACACAGCTGAGATAGCTCATGGTGTCAGCTCTTCCCAAGAATGAATGATATCAAACCAGCCCGATTGATATAATAGCTGCAAATCTTGGTTACGTATATAAATCAAGTATTCGAGCATACACCGAGGATGGGGAACCGGTCAATGGAAGCTGATGATAAGCTATGTTGACGTGTATATGGGCTAGCCACTGTCTGAATTATCAGACATTGCTTGCTCTAGTGGTATCGATACACTATTAGACAGTCACATCAATCTATCATCTTCTATGGTATGTGGTATCAATAGTAGATAGTTAGGCTCAGCCCAGTCTCTTCTCAAACCATACTACAGAGAGCTATATATGTAAGTAATAACAAGATCTAACACTAGGAAAGCCTAGCACCTTCCATGAATGGGAAAGGGAGTCTGTTCGTCTTTCAAGCAGTTGATTGGCATACTTGCATATGATCTAGATGCCATAGAATTATAAGAATGGTGAATAGCAGTTTTTAGGTTTATCAAGTAAAGCTCCAAGGAGTAAATCATATATCCTTTTAGCCGAAGAATCAGCAGAAAAGAAAATAGGGCCCAGGTTTGGGCTTGATCTTAGTCTATCAAGGTCTGTGGGTATCTTTTATCCCGGGAAATTATATGAACCAAAGCGTATTTAACCAGTCCTATGAAGGTAGCTGCACATAGCTCCAGAGTTGACCTCTACATTTAGAGTCTTGATATCAAACTGTCGATTCTAATATAGGCCTATTCTAGAATCATGCTCATAGATTTATTCAATGCTGGGTTCAACTCTGACATCTTGTATAGGAGGAAGAGATGTAACATTGGACGGAAAAGATGCCATTGTCGAGTAGTGGTGGAGCCTTGCTATATGATGAATAATATTAATGACAGTTTTGGGGTGCCTCTGTCTCATTTTATAGCCACTGCTAGCTATCTGGTTGTGCTCAAGCAATTTCAGCTACAAAATATACGATCCATCATCTCTGTAGGTCGACAGTATTTCTAAAGCTACCCCAAGGATGGCCGTCGGAAAGCCCTCGAGGAATCTGAAGAACCTGAACAAGAATCACTGAGAAAGGCGCAAATCAGCTGCTACAAATACTTCCAGTAGATCCCCTCCTAGTCGGTTCAGGTAACATCAAAGTTGCTACATCATTCAACACGGATACGCGAACATCCTAGACGAGGAGAGAATCGGACATATTGCGCAGTTGACTATATACTACACCAAATAAAAGACTACAAGCTCTAACAAAGCAAAGGGAATTAGCAAAAGATGTCACAGGCAGTGTCTACCGTATTACTTAACACTACAACTTCGTTGATAAGTCTTCACTAACCTCTATATATCAGGGCACGGAAGGCATGAAGGCTAAATTTGGCGCATTGTCTTTCCTTTCCAGGAAACCCCCTCTCAACAGTGAATATCATGCCACATCTGTTGGTTAGACTGACTTTGATGCAACTTCGATGCTACTCGTGGAACTAAACTTACATGGACAATTCAGGCAGCCTGAAGAGATGAACAGAGCTGATTGGGAAGGAAGTGGATAATAAAGCATAGGATGAAGGGGGCGAATAGCGGAATAATCAAGTGAAGAAAGCTGGATAATCAGGCAGTAGTAGGTCCCTTAGAACCTTAAGTCAAGCTTATATGGACTTATATAAGTGTGGTACCCAACTTCTGAATTTGCGACGACTCGTCTATTTCAATGAACCTGGATTGGAAAAAAGACATCGCTGCTTGAGTTTGGGTTTACTGGCCATTCTCTGCATCAGTGTCCCTTGGCTATAAACAGGCAAGATGACAAATAACGATTTGTTCGCTTTTTCTATAAAATATAGATTAAATGCCACGGAGCGGGATTGACGCCCACCTGGGACTTGACGAGAATATTTATACAGTCGGGTAGAAACAAATCATCATTTATAGCACTGCATTAGAATATCACATTCTCAAACGCACCTTGCAGCCCTCTCGCTGTCAGCCACGCCTCCAACGCCTGCATATCGCCCCGATTTGCTCTCTGCCCACCCCTTTCTCCCAGTGAATCCGTGATTTCCTCCATCCCGGAGAACACTCTCTGGACATTCTCCGTCTCTCTAAATCTCTCGCTGACCTTTTTCTGATGACTGGGGATGTCACCCCACGAATGTGTCTTGATGAAGCTCATGTAATCATCAATATCCGTCGATGCACCCTCTAGACACAATACACCCGGTTTGCCTGCCAACACAAAGCCCGTGAGAGAATAGCCTGGTGCATTGTTGACCATATCATCTCTTTTTGCACGGGTTGATAATGACGGAAAATAAAACCACACTCGCACAATAGGCCCGGACTTCTTACTTGGTGCATTCTCAGATGCCAGCGATTGCTGATTTTCCAAGAAGCGGAGTGCCTCTTCTTGAACATATTCAAACGCCTCCAGGACATCATCTCGTGGCATCGCGGCCCCCATTCTAGTAACCTCAGCTTTGGACATCCACTCCGGCTGTCGTAGCGAGTAACTTAACGCAGGCGGCTGCTCAATCCCCACATCCTCGCATTGTAGCGGAATGGAAATATTAACCTGGATGACCTTCTCCCCGCCCGCAATTGGTAGACGCACAGCGAGGAGTATATTTTCAGGAATCCCAGACGGCATAGTACTCGACGGATCCTCGCACCATGCACGCAGTTTTTCAACGCACTGTGTTGTGGATGTGGGAATTTCCAGTTCGCCTTCTGAAGGGAACATGGCCGTGAGTAGGTCAATTGTGGATAGTTGAGACTCCATCATGTCTGCTGGGAGGAGGAATGGTTTTTGGGTCATTTTGGATATATTGTTTATTAGTATATGCGATAGCATTTCAGTATGTCCGGATGTGGGAGTTGCTTTTGTGGTGTTCGGGATGCGGAGTATTTATGCTCCGTGAGGTCCACTTGGGAATATCTAAACGAGGTCTACATGAAATGTGTACATCAGTTTTCAACAAAGAAGAGAGAGAAAAAAGCATTTCACAAAGAGAAAATTCCTATCGATTCTCTGCTCTGGAATGGCCTGCCCGAGAGTGTATGTGAAGAAGCAAAAAGAAATAGCAAAAATGAATCTCTCCCTCGGGGAATCGAACCCCGGTCTCCCGCGCTTATCAGATTAATGACAAGCGGAAATCATGACCACTAGACCAAGGAAGATTCCAACTGAGTTATCTCAGTTGCTTGGCTGACAGTTCTCTTCTTATTTGACACTATATTGCTATTGAGACGTAGCCAGGCTCTTACTGTGGATGATAGAAGTGATTGCCTACCACAAGTAGACTCCAAAGTAATCTCACCTTGATAGAAATATAGATCATAGATAGTATAATGATAATGGTAATGATTGGACATACAATAACCACTGCACCCCCATTGGAAGAAAAAGTACCGTGACTAGTGGCAGTGGCAATGTAACCCCAAGCTTAAAACAACCTCAAAGTAACAGATCCTTATCTTCACATGCAAACACATCTTCAACCCCAAAATGAAGATCATCATCATCGGTGCCGGAATCTCCGGATGCACGGCCTATCTGCAGCTAAAGAAACATCTTCCAAAAGCCGTCAAACATGACTTCACCATCTACGAAGCATACAGCACCCACCCCGACACTACAGCCCAAGATCGGCAGGGATCGACTCATTCATCGACGCTGGTCGTGGGAGGGGGGCTGGGGGTTGGTTCGAACGGGCTGAATGTTCTCAAACGTCTAGATGAAGATCTGCTCCGTGATATTGTTCGTGGGGGGTATACAGTCGACCACTCCAATCTGAAGAATAAAAACGGGCGACTTCTTATGCGGATGGACTCGACGGATTCATCACAGGATGATGGTAAACAGGGAATGAATATGGTCGCCACAAGTCGCCACTCACTGTGGAAATGTCTGCGCAGGCGTATCCCAGACGACGTCATCATCAACAAGCGAGTCTCGCGCGTCGTGGCAAACGCAGCAGGTCGGAATATCGTCAGCTTCAGCGATGGAAGCGCCGACGTGCAGGCGGATTTGGTCATCGGGGCGGATGGGATTAAAAGTATTGCTAAACGGGCTGTTTTTGCTGATGACGGGGATGATCACTATCCTCCACATTACGAGTGAGTTTTTCTCTTTTGTCGATGACAGCTCTAACGAGTCAGGGGTCTTGTTGGGATCGGTGGGTTTATTCCCTCGGATGAAGTTAGAGATTATGTTGAAAAAGGTTCGATGAATTTCATCTTTGGTGGAAATGGATTCTTCGGGTATTTCTTTTCAGAAAGCAATCCATCAGATCCAAATCGAGATTCACCATATGATATCTCCGAACCGGGAGATTCCATCGCATGGTGGTCAACCTACGCAGTGGATGTCTGTCCAAATCCAAAAACCATCGACAAGGAAGACATCGTCCGTCAATTACAAGGGAGACACGGAGAATGGGAAGATCCTGTCGTCCAGAAAATCATCCATTCCGTGCAGGTGGATAGTATGTATCCAACATGGACGTCACCGCAGCTGCCAACATGGGAACGAGAAGGCGTCGTCCTCGTTGGTGATGCAGCACATGCTCTACCATCGAGTTCAGGACAGGGATCTTCACAGGCACTAGAGGATGTTGAAGCATTCGCTTTGTTTCTGGCATACTTTCTTCGCAGGGAGTATGAATGTCCACTTCCACCACAGATTGCAGCGGAGAAGCAGGCTATCAAGACAGCTGCCAAGTACTATGTGGATCTGCGTCAGCCGCATGTCAGGGGGATTCTGGAACATGCGCAGAAGATACAGGATCATAAGCGGGAGATGAATATCGTTCAGGAGTATTTTATGTACGGCGTGATGTGGATTTTAGGTGAGTATCTCATATAATATCAGGCCATAGCTGACAGTTCAGGATTCTTTCCGAGTGTTTTGTCCAAACCGATGCAAGAAGTCTTTCAATATAATGTAGCAGAGCATGTTGGTCAAGTTCTTGCTGGTGAAAATGAAGGATTGCCTTGATGTTTATATGTACGATGTTCTAATGATAATTCTCTGTATAATCTAATCGATCAGCCCCACTTCTCCGCACTTCCCCTTTTTCGTCAATCAGATATTCAGTCTTTTCCTATGTACTATGTAGAAGTATACTAATTAATTTAAAACATATCTACCGATATCTCCCGAAATAATCTTCGCTTCACCCTGCCGAGACATTAGCTTCGGCTCTCGATGAAAAAAATGCAGCAATCGGAGAAAAGTCTTCAGTCTAAGACTAATCGGGCTATAGAGACCGAGTTTGTTTTTTAAGCTGAGGTGCAGACGGAGGAAATGACGATCGTCAGTCGAATAGTTTCATATAAAGCCCACGTCTCCCATTGAGTTGAGTACAAAATACTTCATCCAAAAGCACCAAAATGCATCTCCCCACACTGGCCTCCCTGGCCATCCTGGCTTCTTCGGCACTCGCACAATCAACGACGCAACTATTCAACTTCACCACCTACGTCGATATCGAGAATAGCATTCTCCGTCCTAATGGCCATCTGCTTCTGACGACATTCAACAACGGCAGTCTTTACACCCTCGATCCAACTGTCGCCAAACCAAAAGCGGAACTCGTCGCTGTATTCCCCGGCGTCACTGCCATTTCCGGCATCGCAGCTATCGGGGCCAACACGTTTGCTGTTGTTGGTGGAATCCGTGGTCACTATCACTATACGAATGAGACTGTCTTCACGGTGGACTTTGATAATGAAAAGGACGAGACGAAACCAACCATCAAGGCTGTTACCCAGGTTCCAGAGGCTGTCATGTTCAATGGCCTGGCATCCCTACCGACACGGCCAGATGTAGTCTTCGTCGCTGATTCCCGTCGTGGATGTCTGTTCCAAGTAGACACCAAGACAGGAAATTCCAAGATCGCCTTCCAACACCCCGCCCTCTTTGCACCAGCTAACGCCTCAATCCCAATCGGAATAAACGGGCTGAAGATCGCCAACGGAAACGTTTTCTTCACAAACTCCGCCCGGAACATCTTCGCGCGCATCCCCATCTCCGAGAATGGGGATATAGTCAACGACGTCAAGGTTATTGCGCGATTGAATAGCAACGACGGATCTGACTGGGATGACTTTGCCATTGATGCCAGTGGCGTTGCGTATGTTGCCCAGCCGCATAATGCGCTGGCTCGGATCACGCCCGATGGAAAGCAAGTGATTGTTGCCGGGGGTGGAAATAGCACTGCTCTTCATGGGCCTACGTCTGTGAATATTGCGAAAGATGGGAAGACGGCGTATGTGACGACTCAGGGTGGGCAGGTTGTGAGGGTGGAGTTGCCGGGTTATCAGTAACTATCTTTACTTTAGAAGAGCTTCATGGATTGTAAGAATAGGTGATGCTTTTAGCAGTCCCTATGTTTAGTATAAAGTCTCAGTATAAATAAACATGATATTCACAGGAAACCCTGCAAGACCTTCCTGCCAACGGAGTCCACCTCCTGTATGATAGCCTTCATCTTGCTCTCTGTGAGTAATGGACTGAGTGCACAGATCCGCAGCACCACTTTGCCCTTGACCTTGGTGGTCAGGATACCACCCACATTCTCCAACACCAGTTGCTTGGAGATAGCATCATTAAGCGCATCCAGTTCGTCGTCATTTTTGCCCCCCGGAACAAATCGAAATGTCACAATCGCCAGACTAGCAGCACTCGTCACTTCCCAGTCCGGTGTTGATCTAAGCTGCATCTCTGCAGCCTCAGCCAGTCTGCAGCCATGGGTAATCACTTTATCAACCTTATCCACGCCCAGAATGCGTAACGTGAACCATAACTTCATAATCCTCGCCGGCCGTGTCAATTCCAGACCGAGATTCCAGAAGTTAGGAATGTCCTCTCCGTCTGCTGCGTCGCGTATGTATTCAGCATCTGTATGAAAGCTCTGTGCGAGATGCTCTTTATCGCGAACCAGGAGAACACCGCATCCATACGTCTGGAATAGCCATTTGTGCGCATCCCACGAGATACTATCCACCCCTCCCAATCCATCGAGCAGCGGTGCCCTCGATTCTGAAAGCAAGGCGGATGCCCCGTATGCGCCGTCAACGTGGATCCATAGTCCTTCCTGCCGGCCAACATCCACAATGCCATGCAGCGGATCAACACTGCCGGTGTTTGTTGTCCCGCAGCTGGCGATAATGACAAACGGACACAGCCCTGCATCTCGATCAGACTGGATGGCCTGTTTTAACGAAGATACATCCATTCGAAAGTGCTCATCGCTCGGTATCTTGTGGATTTGTTTAGCTTGGAACCCCAGAATCCGGAGACCTTTAGCGACGGACGAGTGCGTCTGGTCGGAAACATATGCCACGCCCAGCGGCCATTTCTCACACGGCATCGTATGGTCTCGAGCCAGGACCATGGCTGTTAGATTCGCCATTGATCCTCCGGAAACAGATAGTCCTCCTGCTGTCGTAGCGGGTAAGCCAGCCTTAGAAGCCATCCAGTGAATAAGCTCCGTTTCAATAGCGCCCGGTCCAGATCCTTGCAGTCGTGACCCAGAGAAGGAGTTGAATGCGGATGTGACAGTTTCACCCAGCCAGGAAAACGGGGACGCGGGTCCTGGGATGAAGCCAAAGAATCGGGGATGGTTCATGCGCATTCGGTAGTTGAATATCTCAAACGCTTCCTGGAGGACATTCTCTACCGAGCGCGCGAGCCCTGGTGTTCCATACTTTTTCAGGCTGGCTGCTTCTGCGTCGCTGGCGGTCTTGACGATGTCGTCCTTTTCGATGTTCAGATTGATGTCTTTGAATATGCGAGCTACCTCGTGGACGGCATCGGCCGCAGTGTGGACGTCGGATTCCCAAGACGAGGCGAGTTCGACATCTCCACGGTTTTCCATATAATCACTGCCATTGGAAAGGTCGTTAGAATGGGGATTCATTATAGATGGGAGGCGAGATTGACTCAAATAATCACTGCGGAATGTGCGAGCAGGCAGATTTGTATACCCGCCAAGTGGATGCGGAACCCTGGTTCCGCTCGACCCTACTTTCCTCCCAGTTATGTAAAATCTACATCTTTCTAGGAGCCTGCACCACATCCTAAACTATGTTGTCGTTAGAAGGGCGTTGCAATGATAGGATGGTGGAGACGAACCAGAGCATTTGTCAGAGCTGATTGGGTCAGCGCAAGATTAGCCAATCCAGGAAGTGATCGGCAAAAATAGGATTCGTCAAAGCATTCAGGCTCCACTTTTCTCCGCTTCGGAAACATTTCTGCTTCCATCTACTTTTGATGTTGAAGGACTGAATATCAATATCAACCGATTCTAACCGGAGATCCATGCTAATCTTATAGGATACTTTTTAAAATTAGAAAAGACTAACTCAACCCGCATCTTGTCCCTCGTGTTCAACCAAGTCATCGCACCCCGCAGAAGAACGCTCAAGTCTCGGCTCTTGGACCATTTTGAACCTAGGATTGATATGAGCTATGTCGGCAAGTTATCTCTTGAATTACGAGGCAGAAATCTATAGAACTCGACCATGAATACTTTACATAGGATCTAGATTTGTATAATATTAAGACTTGATTGTTGTTATATTTAATTCGTGAAACTTGATATGAAATCGACATCTATTAGATACTGCTATTGGTTGTATGTATTTTCTTAGATACTTGTATTTAGAAAACACCTGGTATCTTTTGATGACAGTATAGAAATCGATCGCTAGTGCATATACATAATGCTAGCCGAGTTCAAAGACTCCAAGCTTTCATGTTGTAATCCACCGTGCCTTAGAACATTTCTGGCCAATGCCCCGCCTGGTGTGCTTCACGAGAAAAATCACTCTGTTCTTTGCCAAGCTTTTGTTGGTAGTCTTGCCCAAAGGCATTCATAGCAGCTTGGGTTAACTGGGCACCAGCACTCTCCAGTTGATTCTTCGCCGCGATCCACTGGGGGCACTATTGGTAGGGGTGTTAGCAATACCAGATCTTTCAGGCTGATTTCCAAAACTCGACATGAGATGCATGGACTTACGTCTCCTTGCTTCACCCACGTTCCAAAGCTAGCATCAGTGAGGCCATTGTCCTTTTGATCCTGGTAGTCTTCCCGTGCGTTTTTGTCTTCAGACGCGAAATTTGTAAGGGCGCTCTGGTAGCTTTTGGTCACATTCTCAAGTTGAAGTTGCAGGGCGGGGTTGGAAGTAGAGAGGCCATCGAAATTGGTTCGAAATGCGAGCTTGGACGCGTCAAATGGGACCTCCACGGCGTCGAGCATTTTTGCGGTGAGAGAAGGAAAATAAGATCTGTTGTGAGGAAATAGTAAATCGGGTCAAGATGATGGAGATTGAAAGGTAGAGATGGAGGGGAGGGAGGGGTATTAATACTGTGGGATCGACTCAGCTACCCTCAGCTGAAGACATTCGGCTGAGATGTTTCGCTTCAGCTATGCCGATCTGCTTCAGCTCTGACATCATTTCTTCAGCTATGGCTTTTACCCCTCATTCTGCCCAAATTACTTGACTCACATTATGACATTTATTTATAACTCACCACTATTATCTACATCGGTTATCACAGCCGGTCATCTTGAATCTGATGTTGAATGGGATGTATGGGCATGAATGCCACCCGCAACCCATCTCGCTTAAATGGCGCATTCAAAGTTTGGTTTTCTTAGCTACAAAATACCACTAGGCCGAAAGAAATATACGGACACCCCGCGTAGCCCACATCATTTCAAGTTAACATTCAGGTTTCCATGGACATATGTGTACGGATAAGCAGATCGAGATTGCTTAATCTCTAGGTTAATCAAAGTAGGCTCAGCTGACATCATTGAAAGATAAACAAACCTTCATAAAGGATAATGGTGATAATGTTATTCAGCTGTGCGTAGCTGAGGGGTAGAGAGAATCCACTGCAAGACTATGCCGTTGACTAGCGTAGTTGAGTCGAAGCCTTTTTGTCTCCAGTCAAGGCGATGGCTGCCTAAGAATGAACAGCTATTCTAGTCGATACTACAGCTGGCGACTTGAAGTGATAATATTAGGACTGGAGGTCCACATATACTGGATCCAGGCTATTGTGACCATATCTAGCTATTTAGATGCTATCCATGGAATGAGGGGATGATATAGAGGTCCATATCCTACTAAATGGTCCAAAGACTATTATGATCTGACCAAGGCATGACTATGCTAGTTTCTAACACTATACTTAGCTCCTTACATAGGATTGTAGATTTGGGGTCCTTATTTCGTGAAACTGCAGAAACTACTGAGGTGGTTGGACCGGCTGATGAAGCCATGAATGGCTGGGCGTGAGAGCTCTCGTAGACGAAAAAAAACAACACAGAAAATTCAAGGGAGTTGTTCATCTACACATTGTAGTATGACGGTCCAAAGTGACATGCTGCTAGGGAGAGTTGAGGATAATATGTATAATTGTATTTCACGTCCAGCGGTATCATTTCCCCTCGACCTTCTGGAACATGATAACCCCAGTTGGATCCGGAATCACCGACGTTCCATGATAGATGTTCTTCGGTCTGGACTCGCCATCTCTGAATGCCAGATTGTAGTGTTGAATGATATATGCAAATGCCACCTTGATCTCATTACTGGCAAAGAAACGGCCAGGACAGGCATGTGTTCCGTGACCAAAGTTGATTGATTGCGTGCCCGTGGTGACAAACTGGTGCCTGTTCTCGTTTCCGGCCTGCTCACGGAGGCGCGACCACCGGAATCCATCGAAGGCTTCAGGGTTGGCGATGATCGATTCGTCCATGTTGAGGCCGTTTGCGCAAAAGGCAATCGAGGTTCCTTTGGGGATGGCGAGGCCGTCAGAAAGATGAAGGTCTGATGTCGTCAATCTTTCCAGAGATACTGCCAATAGTAAGTTATATGCTTGTCAGGATATACTTGTTCATGGCTCAGAACGTACCAGCACCGGGTGGGCTCAGCCTTTGGCTCTCCTTGAGGAAACTGTCCATCAGTCGTAATTTCGGCATGCTAGACTTCACCAGTATTCCTCCATCTTGCTTCATGACAGCGTCCAGCTCCTCTCTCAAGGGCTCCAGGTACTCTGGGTGGGCACATAGGTCGTAAATCAGATGGGTCAGATTCATGGACGTGGTGTGGATGGCAGCCAGGCTTAGAGACATTTGCGCAAAAGCTTGATAGGTAAGATCGCTAGCTCTGGTGCCGGAATTCTTCATCATGAATTGGATCATATCCTGCGGTGGAACATAATCCGGCTTCTGCATCGCTTCCAACCGCTCTTGCAGGATTGGCTTCAGCAAGCGCCTGGCATTGGCCAAGTGGCGACTAATCGCCTGTACCCTGGGGATGAAACGTGCAACAATCGGTCGCAGGATCCAGTGATACTTGCCGACTTCTTCCCTGGCGGCAAAACAGTCCACTGTGAAATTGACCGACGAATGAATCCATTCCTCATCCCGGCATAACGGCCGGCCAACAAAGACCCTACCAGAAAGGAGGGCAATAATCCGCAGCAGCTTTGGGTACAGTTGAATCGGTGACCATTCCTCACACGGACCAAACGTGTCGGGGAAAGCAAAGGCAGTCTCGTCTTGGAGCGCGGCAAGAGAGGCGGTGATGTTCCGAGTCAGGTCGGTCTTGACGGAATTGACGAGGATTTGGTCATGAGTGCCCATGGTTGTGTAACGGCCCAGAAAGCGCTTGAAGATTTCCTTTGCAAAGCTGACCTTGCCCTCGGGTAGAGATTTGATCTCGTCAATGTACCGTGTTGGGAGGACCAGTAGCTCAGGCTTCTCGGGAAGCGTATATGGGGTATCAGGTATCTTGGATAATACGTTAAGAATGGAGTTGGAGATGATGACTGCAGCAACTGACTTACTTTTCTATGGGCATCAAGCGTTGTTTTGTAGAGACAATCATTCTCACTCCCCAATACCGGGGCCATTCCCTTGCGCCATTTGAGGGGGGTTTTGAACAGGTAGACAAGAAGAAGAGGCAAGGATATGTAGATCAAAGTCTGCACACCGGGAGTGCCCCAAAGGTCAAACATTTTGAATGTAAACAGCCAGCAAAGTCGAAATGATATTGGGGAAGAAGCATGGATTCAAAGACATTAGCAGGATTGAATATTTTTATATTCGTATCGAAGGGCGTATTCTCGGAAGCAATACGCCGCCAGTCGACCCTCCCTCAGGGGAATCCCCGCTCACTCGGATACTCGGGGCTTAGGCTAACCGGGACAATGCTATTCGATCATTCATGAAGAATATAGTATGCCGGAGATCGAGTTAGGTGACAGAATTTCTCACGTAGCACTGGCCCGTGCTTTCTACCAGACAGCATTTCGGAAAGCCAAAGCCGTCCAACATGGAAACGAGTGCTGATGTATACTCGTGACCTTGCTTGTGCTTGCTGGATAGCTATCAGCCTATGCATCACTGGCTTTATGCAATGTGTAATATGGCACATGAAACGCCAGTCAATGTACGATGAACGATGAGCGATAAACGATAAGCGAGTAGAGCCGTGTTCCTATTCGCTGCACATGTGCCGGACCCACTCGGATCTGCGCTTCGACGAATACGCGATACGCAATTGGCAGTTTTGGTGTGCCTTCATCCATCGTGATATTTTGAAGCGATTCAAAGCAACTCATGTCTTCCCGTCGGTTCCATAAAAAGTCTCGTACAGGATGCAAGCCATGTCGCTCTCGTAGAATAAAGGTAATCCTCAACAAGGCTCCATTCAGATCGACTCTAATCCGTGCCCAGTGCGACGAAACACATCCGAATTGTGCCAACTGCCAACGAGCAGATTTGTCTTGCCATTATTCTCGGCGAACACCAGCTCCTGCATCTCCTCAAGCAAACCATTCTGAGCATGCATCTTCAGCTAGTCTTCAAATAGAGAGCGAGGAGAGATCGGGGTTTGATTTGCTGGACCTGAGACTAATGCATCATTTTACCCTGGTGACCTCCGCTTCTCTTTTCGAAGACAATCAGCAACGCCTATGGCAGGAGGAAATCCCCCTCCAAGCGAGTTCTTGTCCCCTTTTGATGCATGGCATCTTGGCTATCGCCGCTCTCCATTTGGCCTTGTCAACGCCGGCCGAGTCTTCGTCGTTATTGGACCGGGCACTACATCACCACACCTTGAGTCTTCAGCTTTTCAATCGCCAAATCACAACTTCCAATTCTTCAAACGCACATCTACACTTTTCATACACCGTCTTGCTCATTGTCTGGGCTTACGGGTCCGTTGTTCCGATGGATGACCAGTATCTACAGCTTGATGGCCTGCTGGACTCACTCGAGCTCGTACGATTGGGGAAAAGCATGTTTGAACTCCACAGTGATGACATCCGGCGAGAGGCAATCGGTCAATTTGCCGGATTCGATGCTTCAAGGGCCAAAAAATACATATCAGATACAGTTCGCCAGGCGCTCACTGGCTTGCGCGCCAAAGCAGACGATTTCATCGACAGCATGGCCATAGACCACATGGAACATCATCTGCAGTTTTCCGAAACCACCGGTGACGTACGGTTTGTAATAGGATGGCCGGCCGTCGTTGAAAATGCTTTTTGGGCCCGGATCAGATCGCACAAGCCAGTTGCAATGTTGATACTGGCGCATTACTCCATGCTTCTTGCCAAGTGTAAAGAGCATCATTGGTGGATATCAGGTTGGGCTGGCCGTGTTCTCCTGGCCGTGGAAAACATCCTTCCTGACTCAGAGAAACGCCGACTTGATTGGGAGACCCATCGGGTTTGGATCAGGCATGAGATGATGAGGTCGCCTTGAGATTTGTTTTTCTCCAGACTATCCAACATACTCATTGTTCACTGTCATGGCCACGATGCCCCGAAGATGGTCAACCAATCAACACTCTTGCTACCTGATGCCAATTTTATTCAGAGGATCATCAAAGTCGTATAACAACCAGGCCATGAGACAAGACATCAAGACCCTAGCAACGACTGGCAACCGTGAAAAGCAACCATTGCAAAAAGGGCTCTGCAGGGAATATAGATAGACGAGACTACTAATGACAGCATTAATATTGTAGTTATCTGGGTGCTCATGTACATGCTTAGCAGTGTTCTCGACATCCTGATAATCTAAGTGGCCCGCTAAATAATTTACTCGTGCTGAGATCTTGGTTGTGGGCCAGGGAGTGATTGTTAAGTTAGGATTCTTTTAATGCCTATGCTAGACACTGATAGACGTTATTCTACTTCAAGTAACGGAGAAAACTATATAACCTTCTATATAGCTTCAACTAGTGATAGAGAATTTTGCCTATTACTGTAGAGCAAATTTCTACCACCAATGGACTGCATCCCAAGTAATATATACTTAAGGGAGTATATATAAGCACGTGTCACAGTTGCTGAAATGACATGATTATGGAGGCCAGAATAGACGAATTCCATTGCTGGGAGAGGATACATATTGCAAGAGTTAGCACTATTCTTGTTAGTCGAGAAATCCCCCAGGGACTACTGCAGTTACTCCACAACACGATATATTTCTTTATCATCTGGATAAAATAGGATATTTATTACAAACAAATTGTGTGCGCTGCGTAGCTTAGGGCCTGATTATTATTATTATATTATTATTATTATTATCATTATTATTGTTCTTCTTCTATGATACCTTGTTAATGTTGATCGTGCCGATCTTGCTATGAGGCTGTGATATGCACCAATAGCAAGGCCGACCCTGAATCCTTGCTGAACAACCCCTCCTCGTACAGCTTTAGCCTTGTTGCTGTCGTTTTCCTATATTTCAACCATGCCCACCGCCCCCAAACAATTTTCACTTATCAGGTCTGTTGATATCCTCACATACTCTGGGCATTCGAGATGGATACTCGGCGAAAACAAAAGAAACCTCTCCTGTCAAATACGGCCGAACTCATTAGCGACAAGAATGAAAAACCTCGAGGCAGGAAAGATCAATTTCAAATGTGGACACCGATCATTCTTCACCCGCTCGTTCTGATCGCATTCGCAACCCTTTTTGCCATCTTTTTGATTGTCACCGAAGTGCTGTACCATTTTTCAAATAAAAACCAGGGACTGAGCACGAGTGACCAAAAATACCACTACCTCTGGACATACGCTCCAACTGCCGGTAGGACAATCCCACCGTACAAAGAAGCCAGACTGACGAGAAAGTCTTCCTCATCGTTGCTGGATTCTGGGGACAGGTCGAGTATCGATCCAAGCAGCTCGCGCCATGGCAATCCATGAGGCAGAGGCTGCGACCGGCATCGCAGAGCCTGCTGCTTGATTATATCACGCCGTGGAATGTCATTTCCATGTTTCGCTCGATGAAGCAGAAACACTGGGCTGTTGCGCTCTCTGTGCTGGGGTCTCTGCTTATCACATTGCTTACCGTCTTTTCAACCGGTCTGTTTATGTTGGAGAGTGTGCGACTGGAGAACATTCCGACGACGTTGAAAGCTTCCGCACAATTCAGCAGCAGTGGATACGATAGCAAAATGGTGGACGGTGTTCCTGTCTTGAGTGTTGCTGGGATTCGACAGTTCAATCTTTCTTATCCAACGGGGACGACGGATAAGTATGCCTTTTCGCCTTTCAACGCGCCCAGCACAAGTACAGGCACAAACAAAGTCATCACCGGCAGGGTGAATCTGTTCTCTGCAGACCTCGAATGCGAACAAGGCAAACTCACCAATTACACCGCGTACAATGTCACCGGGGGCAGTAGCGGTGGGCCTATTAGCATCATACCAACCGCGAATCTCACGCTCAGCTCGCCGTCATGCGATACAGATCCTATTCAGACGACGATATTCGCCGTACCCGATCAGAACAGTACCGCTGCCGATGTATTTTTTGAGAAGTGCACGGGTAATGGCCAGACCGGCTCACGACTGATATTTGTGAGCGCAAGGATGCTGAGGGCTGGGTCGTACCACAGCATATCACCGGGCGCATTCTTTTGCAAGCCCACATACACGATATCCAAAGGATTGGTCTCATTGTTTGCGAATAACCAGAGTGTCACTCGTCTCGTTCCTCTCAGGAATGAAACATCCCGCCGCGATGCAATTCCAGGCATTGGGTATTCCGAGATCATCTCGTCCTTGAACTCGAGTCTGCTGGGAGCGGAGAAGCCAGTCACGGGGGTCTCTACGGGGAATACCAGCATCAACCACCTTGGGACTTTCTACAAGATAGCAAACATGTCTTCCCCGTTTGACGCAGAGAGTCTTTTTGAGCCATCGTCTTTCCAGAACATCTCCACAAGAACATACCAGTCGCTAGTTGCACAAATTGCAAGACAGAACTTCATGACCTCGTCTGACAGTGAGTTCACAGGGACATATTCCGCCACCCAGCAAAGACTTATTGTCAGAGAACTGTCTGTGCGAGCCATGGAAGCGATTCTGGCTGTTCTGATTCTGGTAGCTGCAGTCATGCTGGTCTGTAGACCAGTGCATTCAACGCCCCGTGATCCCGGTCCTCTGTCCGGTCTCACAGCGATATTATCCAGGAGTCCTCAATTAACGGAAAGGCTTGATGGGACACAGAATAAAAAAGACATGAAAGCAAGGTTGGCCAATGGTCTATATATCGGCGAGGTTGCTAGCCAGAGCGGCGAGAAGACGTTCCGCATCAAGGCAAAGTACCAGGGAAACAATAAAGCTCATACTGGTGCTACCATCTCATGGTGGCAGCCCATATCTCGGTGGTGGCAAACTGTCACAATACTTCTTCCTATCTTGATCATCGGCGGATTGGAAGCCGCATACCAAGTATCGAAGAGTAAAGATGGGCTGGGGACTATCACGTCTACTGGATATATCCAATATGTCTGGGTGTATATACCTGCACTGGTGATGTTGCTTGTCCGGATCTTCATAAATGGCATTCACTTCTCCTTAATGATTCTCCAGCCCTATCTTCAATTAAAACGCGGAGCAGCGACTGCTAGCAGCATGATGGAGAACCACCTTTCTAAGATCACACTATATTCATTCTGGTGTGCCCTGTTTAAGAAACAGTTTATTCTTGCTGCATCTGCCCTGTCTGTTATTATTGCCCCTATCTTAACCATCGCTGTAAGTGGTTTATACTCGACCGAGGATGTGCCAGTCCCTCGCCCAGTGTCAATAATGGCGAGTGATTCTTTTAACGAACACGGAGGACCTGCCCATGATAATGGCCGAACAGCATCAGCGCTCATCGGGTCGTTGATTGTGGCAAGAAACATGTCTTATCCAGCCTGGACGTACGACGAGCTCATCACTCCAACTCTGCGGGAGGACTCCGTGACTGACCTGGACGGGGATCTTCCCTATCAACCATCAAACAAGACCTCCGACGACTCTGCGCTGATAGACCTGACACTTCCAGCGCTCCGAGTTAGTCTAAACTGCACCTCTCTGCCGAGGAAGAACATCTCATTAAAGAGCTTTCCAGCCGGGGGTTCATCTGACTGGGAGTTACAGATGCACTTTGGCTCCGACTGCCGAGCTTATTCTGGTACAACGATGACAGTCAAAAGCAACAATCCAAATGCTACCCAGACAGTCTTTGGACAGTTTACAGATTATATAGCCTCCTTCAACGGCTGTCCCCAAATAGCAGCACTGTACGGTACCCTGACTCCGCACAACTCTACCAGTGGCGTCCATGGATTCGCCTGCAAACCATATTTGAACCAGGTTGAAGCCAGAACGACACTTGCCTACCCAGGGCTGCAGATCCAGTCATTGGATGTGGACGAATCAACTATGAAGCCATCTAAAGATTTCGCCTTTCCAACTATCATTACTTCCATGCCCAACATCACTAATAGCGCTGGCAACAAGGCCTTTGACAGCTTTTTCTCCATCATAACGAGCATCCAGGGAGCCTTGAATACATCCGACATTGTGAATCCAGATGCCATGCCGTCAGTCATCAATGCTACGCAACACCTCTACCGGGTTCTCATGGCTCAATATCTCAATGCGGAGGCTCGTACTGCCTCCTCCACCTCGATACCATATAACGGGACCATATGGGACCCTACACCAGTGCGTCTTGTGCAGAGTGTGGTTTCCACACGCATCTTGGACGGGTGCCTTGCCGCAATGACAATATGTTCTCTCATTGCGGTTTTCGGGACTCGAACTAGAAAAATACTCCCTATCAATCCGTGCTCTATCGCTGGTGCTACGACATTACTAGCCGGTTCGGACATGTCGAAGTCCGACGTTTTCCCACCAGAATCAGAGTGGTGCAGTGACAAGGAAATGACAAAACAGGGCTTATTGAGCGGACTGATATTCGGGCTTGGATGGTGGGATAGACAGAGATACGGAATTGATATCGGGAAACCGGCGGAAACGCCATAATTTTAAAATACAAATAGCCTATGATTAATGCCTTGAGATAGTAAGCAATAATGACCATTTCTAGTTAAGTCATAGAGTGTAAGTTATCCTATGTCAATCAACAAGTTATGGACATGAGGTATTTCCGCTAGTAATTACCATTCGAAACAATCATCTTCTGTCTACTCATATCACCAGTCCAACCAATGTTGTATCTTTGAAATATTCTCAGACCGTTCTTTCGAGCGCAAATTTATACATTTGTCAAAACAATGTGCCTACGACCTTAGAGGCTTAGCCTATAGGAGAGTATTGCCCGCCGTGAAACTCGGACTGCGTATGGAATGCTATACACTGCTTGTCTCGCCATAAATAATGCAAGATTTATGAATAGTTGAGAAAAGCGTCAACCCGAAGTGCCCTTATCGATGCTTCGGTGTTTCTCTAAGCCAGAGAATAGAGGGACCTTGGAGTCTTTAATCAGATCCAAAGCTTCGTTCTTCCGTCTTTCGCCGAGCATGTTTGCACTTTCTTCCAAGCGAGTCTCCACAACATGTGGTGCCGCCTGAACATATCGCTTCAGAGCTGCAATGGCTACCTTGAAGCCAGGCGAATCGATACCTTCAAACTTGCACATATCTCGATGATTTGCGGCGATCCCACATCGATTGGTTCCATCTATCACTGGCGCAGCACTGTCACGTGCCACAACATAGTCCGTTGAGTATATAAGGTTTGTCGGAAGCTGCTCCCAGAAGAAGTATACATGGTATCGAGTCATCATTGGTGCAAAGTCTTGTGTTATGTTTTGCAGAGTCTCAGAGTCTACTTCGAGGCCCGTGACAAGGCTTGTCTCAAAGCGAGTAATCCTCCTCGGGACAACAGCAGATGCAAATTTCATCAACTTGTTTGCCGGTCGGGCGATTCCTGATCCGTTATGGGGCGTTCCGAAAAAGAGAATGCCGAATGTGCACGTATAAATCAAGTGAAGACGAGCGCTCCTGGAGGATACACGACCAGCAGCTATGGTCAATGCTCGCTTCACTATGATCCCGCCCAGAGAATGACATAAGAAAATGATCGGTCTTGTCGAAGCATCGTGAACCTATTAATATTGAGGTGTGAATTTAGCGTTGAAAACTGATCGGACTATTTTGACTTCAAAGGCTTCCTGCACTCACTTCTCGGTCAATTTGAAGCTCTTCAATGAGAGTTTCTGCATGATGGAGGATTCTATCTGATGTCGTTGATTTCCCACCCCATGAATTTGTGTTTGCTAGATAGCCCCAGCTTAGCACCCTGGCATTCGGAATCTTTTCTGGGAGGAGATCGCTAAGCCAACAGAGATGGCTTTTCTCGTGCGTCCACGTTCGGATAGCGTCGCCCTGCAGCCCGTGTACAGCTACAATACTGTTAAGATTAGTAAATCGCCTTCTAATTACCAGTTTGGCATACTCAATATCTATCTCTCTCCCCTTCGGTTTGAATAGTTCGACTATTCCCGTACGCTGGGAGCCCATTTCCCACCTTGAAGTGAACTCGAGCAGTCAAGTATAGGGATGCGCAGAGAAAACGAGTGGCAAAATGAAGGAAATCAATGTTCTTGATCTAAGGGCGAACCCCACATTAATACATGTGTATCGCTATCTGGGGCACTTGGGTTGACTGGGTGCATGAACCCTGTCATTGATGTCACACGTATAAATATAGGCACAGGCGCTAACTTTCCTGTGAGATGATGCAAGCGTGTGGCTTGCGCCTCGGCAGAATCCTGGGAAAAGAAGCAAAATGGATTCCGCGCTAAATTGGAGCCTTCTATCGGACTTCGAAAGATACATGTTTCCAATTCGTTTAAGTGTGATGGAGGCCCCTCACAAGGAAGCATAAATGGCAGATCCCAGTTCCGAGGTGATTACGATTTATAAGACACGAACGAATGGCAATCTACGTGGTTTCGATTCCTAGGGGGTCCATATGATCCTAGAATGAATGCAAGATCTTATCCTTTCTACATAGGCCAAAAACTTCCAAAAATAGGATTCCCGAGAAAAATGAAGGACTTTACAGCGTGGCTATCCAGACATGAAGAGCGGGAATAGATTCTGGCCCACGCACGACCAATGCCAAACATTTCTGCCAAGGAACTAATCATGCATCCTCTATGGATGAGCCTTTTCAGAAAGCCAGTTCATATGAAACTCGAGTGGCCTAGTAGGCGTAGACCGGCGCTAATTCATTTGGTCATGCTCATTCAGCTGCGTCCAGGAGTGCTAAACTACACAGAAATACTGGATTGTTAGTGGACGTCAATTATGATCTGGTGAAAAGCAATATCTTGTCGGCGGCACGAAATGGGATCAAATAGTCGAGAAATTCCGTGCTAGGCCTGAAGATCTGCACACATGTGCAACTGTAAGATTCGCTGTATGGGTAAAATAGAAATTTGGGAATATACGGATAAAATGGACTTGTATGTGAGCTTCAGTACATAATTCTAGGAAAGGACTACGGGTATTCATGACTCAGACAGTTTTACCCAGCAGCCTTCTTTCAAGGATAGAACCAGAGTCATTTTCTGCCTTTCGTATGCCGTCATTGGACAACCCTCGGTCTTATGGCTGGACCAGCCAACCCAATCCCGCCGGGGTACCTCCATCGCTAGTTCTACCTTGGGGTATCGCTGGAGAATTCTGATCACGGCACATGATGCTTCGATCAAAGCAAAGTCCTCTATATTGGCGAATCAGACAAATTACTAGATCGTTAAGAGGTTATGGCATTAACTTACGTCCTAAACAGACTCGAGGCCCACCATTGAAAGGTAAATAACCCCATTGTTTGCTCAGAGTGCTTTGAAACAATGGGAGATTCTTATCTTCCCAACGCTCTGGCCTAAAGGCCTCCGCGTCAGGGCCGTAGAGATCCTCCCGGCGATGCATTGCATAGACACAAAAGGCGACATTTTCACCCTTGCGAATAAGTACCGGAGAATCCTGATCGGGACCGCCGCCTACTGGTAAAACTGTTGTGCGGTGGGCTGTTCTCGTATTAACTGGAACTGAGGGATAAAGGCGAAGGACTATAAGGTTATTAGACCATTTACGTAGCCGGCTAGGGATGCGACGGAAGTAACGGCGAGAAAGACTTACCTTCCTTAAGCACATTTTCGAGATATCCCATCTTCTTCAGATCATCCCGAGTAAAGTCAGTTCTTCCATTCAGCTTTGACTCAATCTCCGCATTAAGCCGATGTAGAACATCTGGGCGCTGAGCAAGGTGATAGCTATGATAATGCAACATCAGTGAGACAGCAGTCACAAGCACACAGGAACCATGCAGATACTTACAATGTCCATGTAAGGAGACAAGCTGTTGTATCTCGACCAGCGAGTAAAACATTTAGTAACTGTGCCCTCAACGCCTTTCGATCTGTTGAGTTCTCTGCAATAGCATCAAAAAGACCGTAGCGATCCTTTTCCTCCGGGTCCTCTTTAGCCTTGTCATAGCGCGAGTCAATAATACTGTCCATAAAACGATGCACCGTGTCGCATGCATTTCGAAACTTTTTGCCTCCGATTATCCAGTATAAATCCAGTAGTCGAAAGCGCTGTACAACATAGTTTTGCGCAATCTCAAATTCCTCGGCAAAATTGCTGCCTTTTGAGCACTGCTTCTCAGCAAGACTGTTGATCGATCTACCACAAAGATATTCCGTTGTGGTGTCTAGAGTGAGTTGAAAAAATAATGATTGCAGATCAAGGCGGTCACTTTTTTCTGAAATACGATCAAGAAGGTTGTTTATGTGGACTTGAAAGATTTCTAGGCCGTTATACTGTTGTTTCCCAAACTGTGGCTGAAGCATCTTTCTGGAGTGTCTCCAAGGTTCACCCTCCTGAGTGAAAATGCCATCACCAAGAAGCGGGAAAAATATTTGACGACGAAGACCAAATCCAAAGTCTGGTGTATTGTTAGCCAACCATAAAAAGATCATTAAATCAGCGAGGATCTCACCCTTCTCCTGGGATGACATCATCGCCTCCAGATTTCTAGGCTCTATCGTGCCGAAAGCAATCGTGCCTAAGAATTTCTGCTCCAAAGTAGTGCCGACGTCCCTGAAATGAAATGTGAACAGGTCCATCAAGCGCTGGTCGGCATCAGCCGTCCAGATTTGTATCAGGCGATCGATGCCCAGCGGCCACCAGTTCTTGAGCCTGGGGGCTTTTTTGCAGCCATTTTGCACGCCGATGCTACAGTCCACCTAGAAATGGTCAGTATTGTACACACCAGCCATTTGTAGCAGATGGACCATCTAAGCTTTACCTTGTAAGCGGTGAACGCTTCTTGCGCACGGTACAAAGCCCATGCCACGATAATAGACGCACAAGCTATTGCTGTCAAACTCAACATGTTCGCAAGGTGCTTAGTGCAATGTATTCAGACTGACAGGAATCGCCAAAGAGGTTTGAACCCCTTATCTAGCACGAGGCTGTTTCGAAGCGAAGGTTGTAGACTTAGCCACGGCGGTTCGTGTCACACGCCAACATTTAAAAGCCCCCTGGAATCGACTGGTTCGTGGATAAATTAGATAAAATTGAATGGTCGTGTTATTTATCGAGGTCAGGAAAGGACAAATGTTAGCCCAGTTCAGATCACTGCTGAAATTTGGGACAGTGGCGGAGTTGATGCATTAGCGCGTAAAGGTTGTGACGGAGACTGCATCCCAGCCTCGCAACCTCTCAGCTGCTTCATACTTTGACAGGGATAATCTACCAATCGCTTAGCGCGTTATTATCTTTCGGCAAACTTACAAGGACCCCTCCACTTTGAAACACCCATTAGGCTTGCGGGCTTCACCTCACCCCGCCTAAAATCGCGTCGTCGTTGATGACCCTTGTAGACGGCAGAACATCCCTGATCTTGCCAGACACGGCCTCTAAACGCCCCGACGCAGATTTTCCTGTATTATTGATAATCTGGAATGCCATTTCACTCATGAATATTCCACTTGTTCTTTCCCTCCCGGTCGCGATTCCGTCTCGTAAATTGTTTGGAGGTTCTCCCTCATGCCAGTGAAGACTGTTTTCTCCACCGCCGCTGGCGGAAGCGCGGGTATATCCGTCGAGTAAGGTTTTGACTTGTGCTGCAACATCAACCCTCCGTACAACGCTGATCCACCTCTAGTATTGTTCTTGTACATGGGCTGGATGAGAACGCCAAGTCAGCTTGGACGCATGAAGAATCCGAATGCTTTTGGCCCCTCGATCTGCTGTCTAAGGAAGACAACATCAAAGCTCGCATTTTGTCGCTGGAGTACAAAGCAGACGTGCCGTCATTCTTTGGTAGCAGCTCGGCTGACAGAATTCTTCATCATGCACAAACACTCGTTGAAGAGCTTAATGCGGAACGGGAGCACGATGGTACCAACAGACGACCGATCGTCTTCATCTGCCATGGTCTTGGTGGGATCATTGTCAAGAAGGCCTTGATCTACTCCTCGATGAGTAAATCGTCCAAAGTTTGTCATCTGCATTCTGTTTTCACATCGACGTTCGGCCTTATTTTTTTCGGCACTCCACATGAAGGTGTACAGAAGGCGAATTGGTCTTTATTGACAAGTGGTTGGAAGGGACTTTTGAAAGATCGCGGCAACCTCATCTCTGCGATGGAAAAGGACTCGGAGACACTGGAGAACATCACGGAGCAGTTCGCGCCATTGCTGAAGCATTTCCATATACACAATTTTTGGGAAACACTGGAGACACATCGGGCTATCACCCGAGGTTATATTGTCACCCCTTCTTCGGCGGCTCCCGCGTGGGACGATACGGGTCGCTCTGGTCTTCCTGGGACACACTCTGGAATGTGCAAGTTTCGCGACCGAAGGGAGCCTGGATATAAGAGTATCTATGGCATTCTCGTCAGATTCCAGACGCTGGCGGGCCCCACCGTATCAGCTCGTTCGAAGCAAGCTGATGATTTCCTAATCGCCCAACGACAATTCGAGGCAAACGAGATCTTGGCGTTTAATGTTCACAAAGGAAACAAGCCCTTCAATCTCACGTTGGAAACGACGGCCAAAATTGAAAACAAACATTTCTTGGTCCCACGCGAGATCACCGAGTTCTATATAGGAAGAGAAAAATTGGCAGTCGACCTGCGAGAAAGGTTCCTTGCACCCTTGGATAAACAAAAGCGGTATGTTCTCTATGGGCTTGGGGGGTCTGGTAAATCGCAATTCTGTTTGAAGTTTGCTGCGGACAATAAACAAAGGTATGTAGAAGACTCGATGCGAGAATAGGTTGTATGCCATGCCTTTCAATGCCTATTTCTAGGTGACATAAGTCGTGTTGTGATTAGTTACCCTGCGACTGGTGCTTTCAGTTACTGACACGCCAAAAATATACGCCAAAATGAAAAATAAAGAAGCTAACCTTCGTGGAGTCAGGTTTTGGGGGGTGTTTTGGGTAAATGCCAGCACCCAAGCATTTGCTGAGCAGGCATTCTGCAACCTCGCTCGTATTAACAATCTCGAGGAAAAATTCGAAACAGGCCTGCATTGGCTATCAACGCAGGAGAGACCGTGGCTTCTCATCATTGACAATGCAGACGACACTCAATTCGATTATGCTCGTTATTTCCCGGCTGGTGGAAAGGGACACATCATACTTACCTCACGCAACAATCAGTGTCAAGTACACGCAACAATAGGATTCCAAGAGTTCATCAGCTTGGAAGAAAATGATGCTATCACTCTCCTCTTACACTCATCCCTGCTCCCTGTGACCAACGAGGAATATAGAAAGACTGCCCATGCTATAGTTAAGACCTTGGGTTGTCTTCCACTTGCACTCATTCAAGCTGGTTCATCCATTCAACAAGATATATGCTCGTTGGACGATTACTTGGACGTTTTCAATTCCTCGAAAGAGATCATCTACTCAAATCACCGAATACAAGGCAGAGGCTCCTACGAGCATAACATTTACACAACGTTTGAGGTTTCTTTCAATGCCATTGCCAGGATGCGGACGCAAAGAGCAATGGATGCTGCTGAGATTCTTCAATTAATTGCCTTCCTTCACAATGACGAAGTACCCGAAGCCCTTTTTCAGAACGCATGGAGGAGTATATTGGTTCATAAACGAGCGATTCCCAATGTTGTCTACGAAATGGTTACGGGTGTTTTTGGAGATCTTGTCACCCTCTCGACGTCCTATTGGGGCTGGCTTACTTTCTTGGCTGAAGGTCGCTTTCCACGAATCTTCTCACAGACTGGCATGCGATGGGATAAAATTCGTTTTCGGGACGCAATTGCTCTTCTTCGCTCGTACTCTTTAATATTCCAAAATACCGCAGTGGAGAGTTACTCAATGCATCCGATGGTTCAATTTTGGGCCCGCGAACGCCTGAGACCTCGAGCACAAAAGGTGTGGGGCATGATAGCAGCGAGAGTTCTAGCAGAAGGCATTACCACAGCAACGAAGGAGTCGGATGTCATCTACCGGAGGCACCTAATACCTCACGTCGATTCTTGTTTGAGGATTGACGCTGTTGACTCCCGGCAGGGTATAGAGTTTGACGGGTCTATTTCTGGTCAATTTGCTAAATTTGCCGCTATCTATTCCGAGGGGGGTCGTTGGGTTGACGCCTCGAGAATCCAAGAACTGCTCCTCAAGCATAGACGGGAGAAGTTGGGAGAAGACAGCGATGAAATCCTCGAGATCATGGCAGGACTCTCAGAGAGTTATTGGAACTCGAGCGACCTTAAAAAAGCCCTCAAGATACAAGAGATTCTTCTAAAGAGTAGTGAGCAGCGTCTGGGATCATGTGATCCGCGTACCTTGCAAGCAATGGATAATTTAGGGCGCACAAAGTGGTTATGCGGTTCGATTTCCGAGGCCCATGACCTCGGAAAGCAAGCCTATGAACTTTCAACCAAAGTTCTTGGCGCAGATCACCCTCTTACTCTAAGTGCCATGACTAATTATTCTCGTAGCTGCGCTCATCTCGGAGACTGGAAAACTGCACGAACATTGCTTATGGCGGCTTGGGAGGGGCGAATAAAGATTTTGGGTGAAAAACATTTGGACACACTAGAGACGATGCAAGAGCTTTCAATGTGCTGCCTTTCGCTCAACGAAGTTGACGAAGCGGCAAATCTAATGTACTTCGTGTTGGACAACAGGAAGCGTCTTCTGGGCCCAGAACATGCCTATACTCTCTGGTCCATGAACGATCTTTCAAAGATCTATTGTGCCCAACGCTACCCGAGAGATGCCGTGGACATTCTTATTCCGACTAAAGAAATCGCGTTGCGTACCTTGGGCATAGCCCATATAGGTACCTCGATGACATTCTTCAACCTCGCCCATTCCTACACATTGTTAGGTGAGCTTGGTCAAGCTGAATCAATTCTGATGGAACTGATTCAGCGAGAGGAATCATCAATTGGACCGGACCATGCCGATGTATTCTCCGCGAAGATTGAGTTGGCCCGTGTGTTGAGGAAAAAGGGAGAGTTGAGAAAGGCTCGAAGAATGTCGCAGCAGGCCTTTGAGGGTAGAAGTGCAGTCTATGGACCTAAGAGTCCTCGAACCATTCAAGCCAAGAAATTATACGAAACGATATCTCGGGAGATGGAAATGACAACGAGTCCTGAGGCCTAATAACACGGGTAAGCTGCTTTTTTTTCTCTCTCTCTCTCTCTCTCTCTCTCTCTTTGGGTGTATCCTTTTGTTCGCGAGGAGACAATTCCCTGCGTACAGCCACGTGACCTGTTCAGTTTCTCCAGTTCGATCAGCCTCTGAAAGTCTCCGTAGACCTCCTTTGGGTCATCTTTCTGTCGATAAACCTCGACCACGTTCTCTTTGATGCTTGGCCCCTGCACGCTCACCTCGTCTGGCATGACCGTGGAGCTGATCGATGGTGAAATATTATCTAATTGATTAATTAAGGTTTCATCATCTTGAAGGTATTTAAAGCGGTTTATCAATGGCTCCATTATAAAACTGGTTGAAAACTAGTTTAGCGGCTGGGGTAATTTTATACACGGATAAAAGCTTGTCTATGTTTATTCCTAATTTGATAGCCGAAGTGACCTAAGCTTTCTTGGCAGAGTCATGTGATGTTATATACTAACAATGGCTAGGTCGCCCAACACCTAGCTGAGGTGAGTGAGTTTCAAGGATAGCTGGGTTGACCTGTATCCTGGTCACGCGACCAAAAACGGCCTTCTTCACCCTGGAGATAGGTACTCGGGTTTAAACCAGATATTCTGTCTTGGAAGTATATAATTACTTGTCACCTCATTCTGAGTACATACGACCACAGGGTGTGGAGAACAGGGCTTCCCGTCCGCTCAGCCGTACTTAAGCCACACGCCGGCAGGTTAGTAGTTGGGTGGGTGAC